GCCGGGTAGCTCTCTGAAATTGTGGGCGAAATCACCAGCGAAGATGGCGCAGAGCTCGACGGGTTTGGAACCTCGTGAATCACTGGCGTCTCGCGCTGGAAAAGCTCCGAGTACACGCCGCTTTCCCTCCCATGCTTTGATACTCCTGTCCGGCCAATGAAATGCAGTAGCTTCCCATAGGTTGCCACAAGCACCCTTCTTTGGTCAGGCTTAGATGGTACCGACTCCGCCGAGATTCCAACCACTGGAGAGGCGCCTGGCACCTGGTAAACCGGGGTGGTATACTTCTCCTGTCGGTAGCTGGAGGGTTCAATATAAGTCTCGTAGACATTGCCATCAGTGGCACCAAGGAGGATTTCACGGGTGGAGGCGGTGGGTAAAGAGGGATTCCAAGCAACGCTTTCGATTGACACGCCTTTCAATCGTGTCAATGGTTTCGGTTGTCGCGACGGTGTCTGGGCGTGGAGATAGTAGTTTTCGCCGAGGGTCGTGGTGATAATCAAATGAGATGCCGATGGGTCGAGGAACATGCGCCGAATCACTCCAACTTCCGAGGATTTCTTGGGGAGGTCGATGTCTGTTGTTCATGAGCATGGTTAGGTCAACTCGTTGTGGCTGGCATTTGCTGCGGGGAAGGATTGAAAGCCTACCTTCGACATCTTCAGGGGAGTCAAGATCGATTCGGAGAATGCGATTAGTTGATAAGGCTAGCACAAGCACGTTGTTCGCAACTTGCGCTGCAACGAAGTCCGCGGCAACGGAGAAGGCCAACTGCACCCGTTCAACGTCGAACATGGGGAGGGAAGAGCTCGGTGGCTCCATTAAGTTGCTTGGAGCAACATAACTGCTGGATCCGTCCAGCGCCATGGTGCGCTAGCTGTAGGGGCGCTATGGCATGCCGCTCATACAATAGTTGAGGCAAATCAAAGGTCTTGCGAATTGATGCAGGACAGAATGGACTCTTGAGGTCGTCACGGTCCAAAGGAATGCGGAGGCCTGGTGCCTTGACACCTGAGGCCAAGACATTGAATCACCAGATCAGAACTACATACAACATAGTACTAGGTACTCCGTACTCACTAGGAAGATCTACAAGACAGACAAGAAAAAATAGTTGCCTATAGGCACATTGTTGATCTCAACATATATTATAAACACCAAAGTCACACTCATGTATCATGGGTATCATCGTTTGTGAAACATGCAACAGCTGGACTGGGTATCTCAAAACAAAAGGAGCATCATCGGCTTGGCTCACATCACTGCACATTCCCTATCCAATTTCCTACTCTTCTCCTTGGATTTCTCCTTTGTCTTCCCTTTATTCCTCTCACGATCTTTCGTTCGGCCTCTTCCACGCTTCTCCTTGTTCTCAAGGGCAGCTGGCCCGAGTTTCATATCGTCCACAGTGTCATCAATCTCCAATGCAGACTCACCTTCATTTTCCTCAGTGAATTCGTCGTTGCTAATCTTATCTCGGCTAAGCCGTTCAGCGAAGCGTGAAAAAGTGGCACTAATTCTATTTTCACCCGTTTGGCTGCCAGTACGGCTTCCGGGATTACTTCTTGCTGATCGAGACTCACGGAGCGAAAACGATGCCCCCTTTGTACTTCCTTCTTCCATCGGAGCCAGCCTAGGGGATGAGGATGGAATAGAGCGCGGCTGAAGACCAGTTGGATTGCTGGTTTCTGAGACTGCCGTGCTTGATCGCCTTGCAACACTGGCTAGTGTTTGTGCATTAGTCTCGCATGGCCCCGTGACCTCAACACTTGGTCGGTCAGAAGACAAGTCTTCGGCGCTGAAATCTGTTTGATCGCCTAGTGTACTGCCGTCTGACGCCCGAGAGGATGGTGCATTCGGAATGTTGGGCGCAGATGGATCTTCGCCGATCGGAAGAATTTGGTAGAAGAGAAGATAAGGGGATTCAGTCTTCAATGCTTGGTCAATGTCAACCAGTGTCACTCGTTCTGCAGCGAGATCGTCAAACCGCATCCAGTGTTTTGTTGTCTCCGGGGCTTCCGGGCCGGTGCTGACAGGAGTGCCAGCATTGTGGCAATTAGTGCCTCGAACAATGGAAATGTAATGCCCCGAGTCTACCGACTTTCCCCTGTGGCAAACCAGAGCCTGCAAAGAGAGTTTGAAGCTCCCATAGATGGGAGCATTCGCATCCAAGTTGTCATCTTGGATGAAGTGAGGCAGGCCGATCTCGGTTGGTATATCAATGTGGGTATTGAGTCTGACTGCCCTCCCGTCTGGCAAAAAGGAATAGCGTTTCAGACACATCCCAAGAATCGGCCTTTTTGCGGAAAAGTGTGCTGCAACTTGCGCGTCGTTTGTTGGTGTATTATCGGTATACCACGCTAAGCAAAATCATCTTAGTTCATGCAAAGCTCAAAGAATAGAACAAAGGGAGATGACATACGTATCAAACTGAAAAATTGCCATGCAGGCATCATTACCTCCTTCTTATATGAACCCTTTCGCGGTTGCGTATCTCCACTGGTATCTTGATTTGCACTGGCATCTTTTTCCGGATTCGAATGGCCAGTATTCGTATCGTCACTTGGATCAGGAAAGAATCGCTGTCGCACAATACTACCACGTCGACCGGGTGTCCGAGATGCCTCGAGAGATTCGGTGAACTCACTGAACGATGACCAGGGGGTTGGTTTTTCGGCCCGCGGCGTATTGGTTTGGGAGGGAGACACAGTGTGCGTGCTCTCAATCTCCACTGTTTCAACATGCGAGGTGGATCCCTTAGATATGGAGAGTGAATCCACCGACCGAATCGAGCTAGTGGTGTTGCGTCGTTCCATGTGTCGCTTAACTTCAATGATGTTATTGAAGTAAGCTTCCAGGCAGTCTTCCAGTGTGAGTGATTGTCCATCAGTTGGCTCGGGCGGTATTGCAACCTCGAGAAGTCTCTCATTGATGAACTTGTGGTCGTCACTTTCATCCTCCTTTCCAGTATGATAAATGTCCATCTTCAAAGTCAAAAGTGGCAGTTCTAACTTTTCGGTAATGAAAGTGAATGCTTCTGAAGCATCCTGTTGCTGGAGTTTAGCCGCATCTTCCCAACCACATTCTGCTAGGGCATCCTGCAGGTGTTTTGTCTGAAGCCAACTAGTTAATATGAATATAAAGGATTAGGACAATCACAAGTATCGTAACTAACCATATCCGTGGTGATGAGCTTCCCCGCTCGCAACAGATTCACCCATAGTCTCAGAAGGATTGCAAGCTTTCGACGAGGCTCATCATTAAACGATTTGTATAAAATGGCCTCAAAACAATCGAGACGGGCAAACATGGCGAACAACAACGCGTCCAGGTAGCATGTGACACCTTGACGATTCTCTGCGCCTAGGAGCTTGGTGTTAGGTGTGTAATTCCTAATGACCCCCTCGATGGAGTCTAACAGCAGAAGCAGCAGGCTGAATGCCTTCTCTGTGTCGCCTTGCGTGGATTGCAATGCATAACTCATGTGCGCTTCCTCCAACGCAGTGATTCCAAGTTGTTTAATTCGCTGAGCAAGGGCTTTGACCTATGTGTGAATTTGGAATATTAGACAAGTGCAAGCTGACCGCAAGGCGCTTAGGCCATACCTTCTTCTCATGATCGGAATTATCTGACAGAGTCGTATCGGACTTGAAAATTCCATGGAATAGAGGACGCGAAAGGATATGAGATGCCTGGGAAGTACGGAGCATTAGCCAATGTAAGATCTTGTGTTTAAGCACCATCAAGGTGTCCTATACGCGCTTACCTCTTCTTTGCTTTGCTTGTTCAACTTATTGTGTCGATCGCGACGCGTCAGAAACCGATGGATTCCACTCATTATCGCGGGTAGAAAGAGAAAACACCCTCAAGAGCAGGCTTTCGAGATTGAACCGAAAAATCCCAGGCATCGGAGACATGCGGGGGATTATAAGACCTGTAGACTAGTTCAGAGCTTAGTCAAGGCTGCAGGATTTTTGAGCGCATGTAGGATACATCATAAGTAGAGCTCTTATGACATGAGCACGCGTCGAAAAGAGGTAAGCAACTGAAACCCGTGGACAAGTGATTTGAAGTCGATGAACCTCAAGTCCAGGTGATCTGCGGGGCACGGGGACACCTCAGGTAAGAGCTCGGTCTTTTGCTTCTGCCTTGTCATTTGCCCTAATTCCCACCGCCTGACGGCGGTGACAGGTAAATTCTAGAACACTTCCAAGGTAGAGCCTTGGAATATATAGATGGGTAGTAGGATTCACCATAAGAAACGACAATAACAGATTCAGGATATACTATCGCTTCATCACAGAGAATGAATTGTCTTGATCAGCATGTCCGTCCAATCGTCAGATCTAGGTTGATTCTCATTGTATCCTATAGATTCTTCTGGAACCAAACTATGTAAGTGGCTTAATCGTAGCTGTGTATTAACTTCAGTGGTGTTCCTCCTAGTCCAAGGCTTACCACGAAGGTAGGATATCCATGTTGAAAAGTACACATTGGTAGGTACATAGTAGGGCTACCTACATGTAGGTATCATCTTATATAGAGGCCTATTCCAATTGGGCAAAGACTGCCCACTAGCCCGAGATCATTTTTGAGGTTGAATAAGATATTCTAGCCAAGTAACTTCATCCACCGAGTAATATTTCGCATCAAATGTCTCTTTCTGCCCTAGTAGGTATGGTAAATGACCTTGGGAACGAGCCCCATGTTTAGCCAAGTCTGCAAGGATACCTATAGGTAGCATCTGTCCTCAAAGTGGTAGCATATTTCCTAGGATTGCAAATAGACAGTTTCACCACTACGGAGTGCAATGGACCATCGATCAAGAAACAAGGCCTGAGCCGAGCAATACCGATCAGTTTATCGAGGATCTCGGGATATAGTGCCTGTTTTGTAAGGCGATACTATATGATGGCTCACGTGACGGGATTGTCTGCGCGAACAATTTTTGGTAAGGGCCCGGGATGATCACCAATCCATCACACCCCATTTTTCACAGAATGGCTGCCAGAGAGCCATCCAGGTACCTAACAAGGGCATTGCCCCGCACCTCAGTGCCATCAATTCGCCCTCAAGGCTTTTTATCGCGCCGCAATGTCTCCGATGAAGCCCCGGCGAGGCGTCTGTCGGACCACCTGACCGAGCTGGAATCGGCGTCTTCTCTGTCAACGACTGTCCCAGACAGCGCAGCAGCATCATTCGATCCGCTTGCACGAGCAGCTGCTCGCAAGAACCAGCTTCCCCGAGGCCGGTAAGAGCACTCCGGCTACATCTCCAGTCATGCGCATCTGCGGACATGGAAAACAGCATCGAACCTATTCAATTGAACAATAACTAATCCCGACCCCTTCACTACAGATACCAATTCCGCTCCCCCAAATACAACCGTGGTCCCCTCCACCCTCACCAACCGCCGCCACCATCCCACCCCTCCTCCAGGCTGTTCGTCCCAGGCCCCTTCTCCGCGCCCCGGGCAGAGCAGACCTTCGATTCAACAGTCTCACCCGACATCATGACCCTGTGCTACGTGCACACACCACCAGGCTTCAAGCCTCCCCCCCTAAATCGGCCCGTCTCCGCGAGTGGGACGACAGCTCGCCCTACCACAAGAACCGTGTCCTCCGCGGGCCCCGTGGCGGCGACGTCCTGCGTCTGCTCCGCAAGCCGATCAAGTTCAACAACATTCCGGAAATCGAGCGCATCACAATCCACAGTTACGTCAAGAACGCCGCGGCTGAGAGGAACTCGTCTTGGCTGCATGTCGCTGGTATTGCCGTCCAGGCTATCTCCAATGTTCGCGTTGAGACTTTCAAGTCCAAGTCTAACGTTGCTCCTTGGGGTATTGCGGCGGGCCGTGACTCTGTCGCTGTTAAGGCTGAGCTGTATGGCGAGAATATGTACCACTTCTTTGGCAAGCTGGTTGATGTCGTCTTGCCCGTATCAAGGATTGGGAAGGTGTCAAGGGGTCCAGTGGTGACAGCAGTGGTAACATCACTTTCGGTCTGATTCCGGAGAATGTTGCTCTGTTCCCCGAGCTTGAGATCAACTACGATATGTAAGTCTTCTCCGCGTTCCTATGGTTTGTGTCAAGGCTAACCGTTCTTCATAGGTATCCTCCCAAGATGATCCCCGGTTGCCACATCACTCTCCACACTACCGCCAAAACTGACAAGGATGCACGACTTCTCTTGAGTGCCATGGGTATTCCTTTCTACGGCAAAATTGTGAACTAAGTTGTTTCTACCTGGTGACTACTCTAGGTCTTTCATTATATCTCCTTTTGGATAGTCTTGTGATATCCAGCATGTAACTTTAGAGAAGACCTACATAATGGTCGTTGTGATTATTCGGAATCGTGTACTATCTTTGGCTTAAATTCAATACACATTTACAGCGAACAACAGTACACAGGATGATCGGAAAGTGACAAAAGGAGCCTTTGCTCAGTTGCATCAAGTACTACCGAGAAAGAACCCAAGGCTGATATACTCGTTCAATAGACCCGTGGACGGGCAAGTCACCATCATACGTAAAATCATAGTACATACATGCATCAAAGAGACACAGAAGAGAAGAAAGGGCAAGGAAACCGTGACTACCGCTTATTATGCGATAGGCGCAGACAGGAACTCGCACTGGAGCAGTTCATCAGCACTAGGCCGCTGCTCGTAGTCCAGGTGGAAAGTCATGTCGAGGAAGTCTACAGCCTCCTGGCTCACGTGGTCTGGGGCAGGGGGGCGAGCCTTGTTGCTGCCGATAGCGAAAATGGCTTGCAGCTGGCTGCAGTCCGGGAAGGGGTGGGCACCAATGAACATCTCGACGACGAGACAGCCCAAACTCCATATATCGGCTTTCTTGGTGTGCGCGGTCTGTCGCACGACTTCGGGTGCCATCCAGTACACGCTTCCCTGAAGGGATGTGCGGTGGATATGGGCACCAGCGCCGCCACTTGCGCGGGCACCGAGGAGGTGGGATGCTTCGACACGCTTGGAGATACCGAAATCGGAGATCTTAACACCGCCCTTGTTGTCAACTAGAATGTTGGCACCCTTGATATCACGGTGGATGATATCCCGCCCGTGGAGGTATGACAAACCGGCCAAGATTTGTCGAACGAAGTTCTTGACAAGGGGTTCTTGGAAGGTGTTGTATTGCTTCAGCATTGTAGCAATAGACCCACCAGGCACATACTCCAGGAAAATGTTGAGGTACTGGTCGTCGGCGACGGTGCCAAGATATTGCACAATGTTCGGGTGGGACATGCCTTGCAACAGCTCGATCTCATGCTTAAGAGCATTGACCATGAGGTTCTTCCGCTGGTCAAACTCTGTGCCCTGAGTAGCAGACGGGATTTCAACCTGCTTGACAGCCATAAGCTCTCCAGTAATAGCATGAAGAGCCAGGTAAACGCTTCCGAAAGAACCCTCGCCGATCAGCGACCCCTTCATCCAGTTCTTTGGTGCGAAATTATTTCCAGCCAGGAAATCCACAAGGCCATCATCCTCTTCTTCGCCATCCTCGGCTACTATCATGCTCATCCGATCGTTAAAGGAACCGCCATCTGTGGCTGCGACACTGAGACTCTCAAAGCTTTGGCGCGACTGGCGCGATTGATTTGCTTCGTCGGAGCCACTCTCAAAGGAGACATATGACTTTCGGTTAGGCTCAGTGGGTGATTCTTCCTGAAGTGGCTGAAGGGAACTAGATGCAATAGAATCACGATATGAAGATTGAGGTAGGTTGAACCTGGAAACTGAAATGGGGCGCGGCGCTCGTACTGCCTGTGCTACTCCAGGGCCATGGAGCCATGCATCGGAAATGGTGGGAATCGCAGGTAACTGGGGCAATGGCGGCAGAGGAGGGGCATCTTTCATACTTGATGCAACGCTGTAGTTGCTCACGACACTCATTCGACTTGCGGCACGACTCAAACGTTGAGACCTGCGCATGGTCTTCTCGATGTTTTCTCGGTCATGACTGGGGAAGAATGATTGTAGTTCGTGAATAATCATCTCACTTGGAGGTCTCTGTCCGAAGAACGAGCGGAGTTTAGCCACAGGATTGCGTTCATTGTTCGGACCTTGCGATTCGTCAACACTGGAGTTGGATGGGCGATGTCGAGGGCCCAGCGGAGAAAGCGGCTGCTTAATATTATGCCAAGATTCGCCGGTAAGTTGCTGGATCTTGTGTTTCTGGCGCTGGTTGGAGTTATTCAGAGCGTGCTGGTGGGTGGCCTGACTCTCATCATACGCAAGCTGAGATGCACGACGAAGCTCATCTTCATCGGGTTCCCCAGCATGGATCTTCCGCAGGATCAAACGACCTCGCTCGGACTTGTTGAAGCCATCGCAGATCTCCATGAGCTCCGACTCGGTGAGCTTCCGGCAATTTGACTGTTCTGGGTCCAATCCGTCCAAGACATAGAAACAATAATTTCTGTATTGGTGTTCAGGAAGCTGTAGTTTCTTCAAGACACACAAAATAACTTCATCCGGTGTCCTGCAGTTCCGAACATCCAAGACCTTGGTTTGTCCACCGGTGTGGATAACACGGATGACAGGGGAGTTTGACGGGAGGGGACCCATTGTGAGACCATCAAGACTAGGATTTCGAGGATGGGAGCTCGGTCGACCTTCGTTCGTCGTACCGGTATTTCGGCCAGAACTTGAGCCACCTGAAGATGGATGATTAAGGTAGTCCTTCCGCCATGGGCCTCTTTCGGAGTCCCCAGCGGGTGGCGACGCAGGCTGAGACAGAGATTTGCTGTTCAGATAACCATCATCAGCCAGCTGAGATGTGCGTCGGTATGGTAGGCGGGAATGAGAATGGCGGGAGGAATTTGAAAGCGCCGTGGCTTCGAGCGCAGCTAGGGTATTCTGTGTTGAAGATCAGCATAAAGTGGAAGAGACGACCAATACAATGTCACCACAACGGACCATGTTTTTCTGTCGTGACGTTGTTCCAGATTTGTTTCGGAGTTGCTTGATAGCGATGAAGATGCGAACTCGGTCGCCCACCTTCTTGATGCCCATCTCTTGCAGGATCTTTTGGTCGCACTCAAGCAAATTGTCCCCGTTGAAATTGTTGGCTGTAAGCCATTAGTGATATCCTGGGTGCAAGGTCGGGACGGCCGTGCATATGCGTACCTCTGAATATCGTCTCATATTGCCCGCATTTGATGCTGTGAAGCCAGGCGACCACTCGTCTCTCATCCCAGGACCTGTGGACAGTCAGGATCACTGCAGAATCTCGGGTCATTTCTCAAAAGGCCTTACCGGATCGATGTAAGCTCATCTTGCCCCTCGGAAAGGTCCGACTTTGTTGGGCTGGTAAACCCCATTCCATCCTGGGCTCTTGTAGCCGTCGCGGGTCTTTGGGACGAATTGGTGTGGTATGCGGTCGATGCTTGCGACGCAGATACACTCGTAGGTGCAGAATACTGTTTAGGAGCCAACATGGCTAAATCAGGTCAAGCGAATGACTCGTCGGGTTCACGTGCTGGTCGCTTGCGATTGATCGGCACAGCGTTATTTTCCTCCACACTCTCGGGGGTTCTTCGCGTCAAGCTGAACGGGGGATCCGAAGAAAGATGCGGCGCCGGTCAACACATAACCTCGGTTCCCTGATATTCAGTCAGCCGCATGTTCCAAGTGGTTTTGATTCTCACTCAGCCCCGGCGGGGGACTTGCTGAGAGGGGTCGGGAGAGGGAACGAGACAGTAGAGACAACCACAATGAATATTGAAAGACACTGACCAGGGTAAAACAATGGGTGAATTCTAGCAGAGCGGGCGAAATCGAAATGAGGGACCTCAACGATGCAACTTACCGTCTGAGCTTTTTTGGGGGCGAGATCGGGGCCACTTAGTGATCGAGTTATCGAGATTACAACTCCGCACTTGGGAATGAGAAGGAGATTGGAACAGAAAAATAGGAGGCCAAAGGTTCGAGAGATGGGTAGAGTTTGAGATATGAAACCTCCAGGGCTGGAACATCCATGGATCGGGAGAGTTCTCTCTGACTAAGGTGATACATGTCCAGGTGCACCTGGGCAGCCCTGGGCGTATCAAGGGGGAAGGCTAAACCCGATGTTTTCTCCACGCGTTTCTGTTGAACTGTCTCATACCAGTATAGGTTCTCTCGTTTCATCTATAAAAAAAATCCACTTTTGTTCTATTCTAGTACGAGTTATCGTCAGCATTTAAAGGACTTTCTTATAATAGCTGCTTTTATAAGTTCATCCCTCTGGCATTTTCTCTGCTTTCAAAGTCTACAGGAAATATACGTCTGTACTCAGAGACTTTGATAAGGTTATGAGCTATAGATTGTACATATAGTTCGTCGACCCCCTTGCCTAACACTATGGATTGACAGTCTTTAGAGGTTGTTTTTGCCGATATCCACTCACAATGTACAATATATAGTAGTCGTCTCGCCCGCTTTTATGGTGCGGCTGAGAAGACATCCATGAATATGGAAGAACCCTTAGAATAAATTGAACAGTAATAAGCCAGAAGATACACTGGTAAATATCGGCTCACGGCTTTTACGTTTATTAAATCTTCATGGTCCGAAGATGGAAAACTACAAGTTTCCTATTCTGACACAACAGCGCTAGTGTGCTGTCTAATGAGTTTCTCCGGCTTGTCTAAGCCAGAGTTCACCTAGCATCCTATAGTGAACCAGCGGCACAAACCAGAAGTGTCTTGTATCCTTATGTTCAGTGGTATCAACACTATACTTCCATCATCCTTTCGGCTCTTCCCAGTCAGACAAGGTTTCGGGTAGAGATTGCCTCAACCTTCCAAGGTTAGCATTGGCTGTTTCTTCGATCAGTTCCAGGAATCCACCTTTGAATCCTACCAACCTACCTAGGTAGGTATTTAAACCCTAAACCGGCAAGAAGCCACTAAAACGAAAGGCGAAAAAAAAAAAAAAGGTGCGAGCCCCCCACTAGTGAAACACTGGCTCTATGAGGTGAAACTACCCAAGCGAAGGATATACAGGGTCGTCTTAGGCGGTTCAATTTAGTTCATATGCATTTAATTGCTATGCTGTAGCTGGATCTATGTTGTACGATATATTGAACTCAATTAAGAGTGATGTCTTCTCTTACGGAGTAAAAGAAAGACAGTGTACGAAGTATATATATCTGTTCTATCCGCTTCATACTGGGTGCTACCCATACCACACTAAAAGCTACCACGTTATTGTGAACTACTGCATCTTTCTGTCTTCTAGCTATATAATAATTTATACTTGATAGAACACGAAGCGGAATCCTTATGAAGTATTTGTGGTTTCTCTCTACTACTTACCGATAAAGCTGTAGGGCATTTAGACGGGAGCCCTATAACCTTTACCTGGAGTCTTCCACTACCCAGGTTTCTATGGACATAATATCTACCCCGCCAATGCTTCATACGTACTTTTCAGGCAACCCTATCTATCCTGGACAATGTTCAATCAAATAACGCTCTCCGCACCAGTGGAGACCCGAGCGCATGCATACCCGGCCTGGGGCATCAGCATCAAGCACTAGGCTCGCCTCCAACATGCCATGGGCAATACAGCATGGAGATCAGACCATTTTGCATACGTAGAATGAAAAAAAATAAGAATTGTATGTTGTATACTTGTCGAGCTCTATACAACACGTGACCGTCCCCTCACTGTGGGGGTTTAGGCCAATTTCCCCGCTCAAACAGCCCGCGGCCTCAAATTCTTCCCCTCTCTAGTGCGCTCCCCCATTCCATCCCCAAAACCCCAAAAACGATGGAGGACGAAAAAATCAGCCAAATCTAAAAAGAAAGGTGCTACTCACCGAAAGTCCCTGTCGTGTGAATATTGCAGTCGATCTTTTGCTCGCTTAGAGCATCTCCAACGCCATCTCCGCACCCGTTGAGTAACCCCCTCTTGCTCCCGGCTCCTTGGAATTCGTCTAATGTAGGACAACAGATACAAAGGAGAAACCCTTTTCATGTGACATTTGCTCCAAATCGTTTGCTCGGAGGTAGGCTCCTATTGCGCTTAATTTCCGGAATAGAATGCCAATCGCTTATCAATATAATTTTGCAGTGACCTTCTAGTGCGACATGAGCGATTAGTCCACCCTGCCGAAAGTGCAGCCAGTCGAGAACAACGGGTTCAGAATGGTCACGAAAACAATGAAATACCAATTCAGTCCAACCTCATCCAACCCGCCCATCATGAGTCGCGCATGTTAGAGCTTGCAGATGCCATCCCAGTCCACACCCAAGTGCCCCCACCTGAAGTCCAGGTCCAAACTCCATCGATTATAGACACACCTCATTTTAATCCCTCATGGGGATATGATTTAAATCTTCTATCCCATGCCGCGAGCCATGTGGCTTTGGAGGGTCAACAGGAGAGCCTAGAATCCATGAGAAAGCCATCACACACAGCCGCTCCTACATCACAACCACTTCCTCATGTCCAGGAGAGGGCAATTGCCGATAATTACGGTGTAGAGCCTTCGATTCTTGATCTCACTGATCTTGGGGATCCTGTGCAGGATTTCACGGTTTTCTTGGAGAGTGTGGGTTTGTCGTCTGACTGGGACTCAGGTGTGTTCTCGTCGGTCGAGGAGCCCATGCTACCGCCTGGTATGTCGATCGATTCGAAACCGCCCCGTGAGGCTATATCAACACGACTTGGCGGGGATATCATGAATGACCCGCGGGGCCCCGCCGAAGACCAGCCGTCCTTTTCGAATTTTGGATCCAGGCTGCCATCACTACAGCCGGAATCTCACGAAATGGACGATCGTATCGGCCTTGCTGATGAGAGTACGCGACCAGCATGGGACATCTCTAATTCAGATCGCCAAGCGTTCATTTCAAAGCTTGAAGAGTTTTCATATGTTCTTCCGAAAGGATTTGTTCCGCCATCGCGGCATGCCCTATCTCGGTTCTTCGCCGGATATATCAATGGATTGAACGAACATCTTCCGTTTATACATGTCCCTACGCTATCGGTTGCTAAAACTTCCCCTGAACTTACGCTAGCGCTGGCAGCTGCTGGTTCACACTATCGGTTTGAAAATAGCCGGGGCATCGACCTTTTCCATGCGGCCAAAGCAATTTTATTGGAGCGACTCCGTCGGCGAGACAGCAAGCAAGTGCCTCAGCCGTCATGGAACTATATCTCCCCACCATCTGGGTTTCCTAACTCTCGTGGTTCATCGATGATCTCTAACACGGCGAGCAGCCCTTTCCAACATCATCAACAAATGCCAAACGCACCAGTCAACGCGTCGATATACACGCCAGATGACTCAGATGCTCATATGGAAGTGATTCGGACGTTTTTGCTGCTGACTGTGTTCGCATCCTGGGAGCGACATCCAGAACTCCTGCGGGAGATTCTCTCGCTCCAGAGTACTTTGGCCAGGCTTGTGCGTGAACATGGCTTGTCTGAATTACCTCCCACCTCAGACCCTATCAGCTGGGAGGAGTGGGTGCGGAGAGAAGGCAACAGGCGTACAAAGCTTATTGTGTACTGTTTCTTCAACCTCCACTCAATCATGTATAACATCCCTCCTCTGATTTTGAACGCGGAGTTGAAATTGAACATGCCGTGCTCTCACGAGCTCTGGAAAGCAAGCAATGCGCCACAATGGCGCCGCGTTCATCGCACCAGGCAGGGATCTGACGTGCCTTTCCAAGAGGCCTTTGCCAGACTCTTCCTGAAATCATCCATGTCAATTCCATCGGCACCTATATCTCCCCTTGGGAAACTATATTCTCATCCACGCCATCATCCAACAGATCTTCTTTGCTCGACAGCTCTGTCTTTCTGCGCCGCATATGCAGGGCACTAGTTTGAGACCTGACGACTTGAATGTATTGGACAATTCATTGAGTGCGTGGAAGGCTCTATGGAAGCGCACACCCGAGTCCAGTATCGATCCCCAGAATCCGGCCGGTCCCATTGCATTCACTTCCACAGCTCTGTTGGGACTCGCCTACATTCGTTTACATGTTGACTTGGGTCCTTGTCGCCACCTCATCACACAAGATCCAGCCCAAATTGCAGGCGCTTTGACTGAGTCCCCTGCTATCGCACGTAGCCCACGGCTGATTATGGCATTGCTTCACTCAGCTCATGCTCTTTCAATCCCGGTACGACTGGGAATTGACTTTGTGGCCAGGACACATTCGTTCTTCTGGAGTATTCAGCATTCGCTCTGCAGTCTAGAGTGTGCTTTTCTTCTCAGTCGCTGGCTCCTCGCCATTCCCACAACACAGTCTGAGCAGAGATTGTCGGAGCATGAGCGGAAGTTGCTCTTGTGGATCAAGAGCATGATGGATGAAACCGAAATGGCTGTTGATCCGCCTGGCGCACCAGATATGGATTTCATGGCGAATCCTTACAAAGTGCGGCAGCTAAGTGTTGCGATTGTCCGCGTCTGGGCGCGGACTTTCAAGGGCAATACTAGCTGGGCGATCGTTGATTTGGTCGGCTCAAGCTTGGATGCATATGCGGATCTTCTGGAATTCTAATTTGGGTGTTTCGAGGAATCTCCCTCGGGAGAATGGTATTCGTTCTATTGAGGAGAGAATCTCAAGGTGTGGTGAATATCGGTGCCACCATGATGCACGGAAATTGGGCCTGATGCTTGGTCCATTCAAATTTCGAGGCAAAGATGCAACTAACATCTCTACCAAGGAAAAAGAAAAATTCATGGCCTCCCTGCAATGGCCATACTAATGATCCTATGTTTTCTTTTTTGGATGATGTCTCAGGGAGTTTTTGTATATGGGGGAACTAGGACGTACGGTGATTTGCGTTCAATGTCTGTTTGATCTATATGTATTATGACTTCGTCACTTGCTTAGTGTTGTCTATACCCTACTGGTGTTTGTTGTGGACAATAGCAACTTCTTGTCTTGTTTCATTTGGGCCTCCTTTTGTTTCTCTAGAACTTGCATATAGTGGTGATCTCAAAAGTAAGTCCGTTTTCTATTCTTGAGCTTCTTTTCTTCGAGACTTTGCCTATTCGACTTTGAGTGGTACAACATGGATGAGGATGGCCCCTGCATAGACAAAAGAAGGCCAGTGAAATGTATATTCGTCTCTGTTTATCCGTTTTGATCATTATTTCATCTCTCGTAGGAATGATTGCGTATTTACATCCACACGAACACAACGTCTACAGACAAGAAGACTATTTGCCAGACACCTTGTTGCGGTTTCTAGTAACGCTTGTAGGCACAAACTTCAGAGCAGACATAGACTTTTCCAGCTCATCAATGTCCATATCATTTGATGATTTCGTTTCAGGGATTGCTGTTTCCGGTGGGTTCGACTGAGACGCCGAGCTTCGGCGCCGCAACCTGCCCTCCAGAGCAGATGACGTTGAGATGCGTCGTCTGTGACTATTCATGGGTCGCAGCATAGATGTTTGTTTATCGATACCATCGTTAACAATGTAAAAGTTGTAAGTCTGTAGAATGTGTTAGGGACATAGGGACGCTGTTTCGGTCTGGAACCCTACCTTGGGAAACATGTGCTTGTCGATAAGATGTAGCCTTCGTTTCTGAGGGGTTGAGCATTTTCGCTCGCAGTCTTCGATAAAGCATCCATACTTGTGCTTTCACTTAGTAAACTGGGCATAAACCGACTGATAGGAGGCGAGCTAGGACTTACGGTCTTGTCTCCACGGGCTCGCCGCGCAGCAGCTAGCGGGTCATGGTTCTCCTCGATATGTATGTTGAGAAAATGACCAGTGGGGAAGTTCTTGCTGCACTCGGAACAGCGGTTGACATGGGATTGAAGATAATGGACCTCGTAATCCTCGTAGGATGTGAACGAGGAGCGTCTCGCGGTGAGGCGGTAAGGAGCAATGCATCACCTCGGGGAGGATGTTGGTATCACTGTCGATGAGCTTGTTGCGCTCAGAAGGGGGAGTCGTAGTATTCACTGTGATTGAGGATACTGATATTGAGTCTTGATCGAGAGATGGGGATCTCGAGCGGCTTCGCGGTCGTTTAGACATGATCTAATTCGCCTTGCATATGATTGATGAGGTCTCACGATTGATAGGTCAACTTGGCGAGGATACGGAGGTTTACAGCGACCATGCGAGACTTATTTCTTCCACTCTCCGCCTTCTCTGTATAGAACACATAGGTTCTAATATTTTTGTGCTAGGAGTTTGAACGACCTTGGAAAGCAGTAACGTGTAGATATGTAGTGTTTAATGCCGATTTTCCATTACTTTCCATTCAGCTTACCTATGTATAACTTTTCCTGGTCTCTTACTTTAGGATGTCACGTTAGGGTTCGGGTAAATTTATAGCACGTCAACAATGCTGTAGGTAAAATCCCTTATAAATAATACTTCTGTTGTAGACCACCTGAAAATATCGGCCAAAATACCCCAGTCTCCCCCATGGATGCTACGACCGTATCCGTATGTGGTAATGCGTTGTAAAAGACGGTCTATAACCCAGGTACTTTGAATCACAATCGTATTTATCTTCTTCTTTACTCCGTACTACTAGTACATTCCAACTTGTTTTACCCCGTCAACTGGTGTGTTGATGACCAGATGAAATAAAACGCCGTAATCGGCATACGGCCACGATACCTCCCGCCTTGGCAACACCAATCATCGCGGATACTAAGGACCGCATTTATGCATTTTCATACTCAACCCCGGCTCTCATCCCCATCAGCGTGCGCTTTCATGTCTTTCACATACTGATGGCTCCTCCGCCGCTCATATTCCAAGCCATAGCCATCTGACCGGCGAGGTTGACGCTCGGGATTCCCGGGCTAACTTCCTGATGGCGCCCTCGTTCACGGATGCCTGGAAGTCAGTGCTTTCCCCTCGATTTCGGCTGGATTATGAACATTGACCAGTTGTGTGATACAGGACTGCGATAGAAGCTGAGAAGGAGCTTCTGCAATGTTTCTCGCAAGAACGGCGCACATTCGATGAATTCGAACATTTCCTTTCCGAGTCAGTGATAAGCCCCGCGCGCACGCCGTCTCGAGGCTGACCTCTTTTCACATAGGTTCCGGACCTCTTCTCAAAATGCCATCCTTCTTGACTTCAACGCTGCCCGCAAGGTCGATGTGGAGAGTCGCCTTTGGGATGCGCACTTGAAAGTGAACAATCGGTTTCGCAAGCAGTTGCTTCGCGTGAGTACCCCACCGAAGCTTTTTTGCAAGTGTGGGTTCACTGACTGTGTTCGTGTGTCAATTAGTTTCGCGAAGAGCACGGCAAGAAGAAACCAGTTGAGAGGCGGAAACTCGAACGCCATTACCTCGACTTCATCAAGTCAAGCCAGCGGTTTTACCGAGGATACATCCAGCATCTGTCGTCGCGCTTTGGGGGCATTGTTGAGTTGGAGAGAGTTGCGCGCAAATTCAACTTTGAGAGTAGGTCAAAGACACAAGCTGCGCGCAAGGTTTCTAGACACGCTGACCCCATGTTATCTCCAGATCTGTCCGGCCAACCTCCCATCAAGCCCTCCAATGATCTGCGCAGGCTCATTCTTCAGTCATGCCACGCAACCCTTATCCGGCTAGGAGACCTTTCCCGCTATCGCGAAGCGGAACTCGTCAGCAAAGATCGCAACTGGGGCCCTGCCATCGGCTATTATGATTTGGCATCGGTGATCAACCCTGCATCGGGTGCATCTCAGAACCAATTGGCAATCATCGCTCTCGCAGATGGAAATCATCTTCGTGCTACATACCATCTCTACAGAGCTCTTTCAGCTCAAGAGCCTCATCCTACTGCAAAGGGCAATTTGGAGATTGAACTCCGAAAAATAATGAGCGCCTGGGCTAAACGAGAGCTGATCCGCCCCCGAAGATGCCGGTATCCCTGGAAGGGCCTTGACTCCGTGGTTCCTATATCTCCATGCCAAATGTTACAAGGGAACCGACTTCCCAGAGCACGACGAGTTAGAGAGTGAAGTTCTAAGTCAACTAGCAGTGGAAATTAGAGAACGGTCACTAGAAGGGACACTTCAAAAGTTCTGTCTCATCAATATTGCGGCCGAGGACCTTGCTAAGGTCCGGTCCATCGGTAAGAGTTCGAAACATTATCGTTGCTCATACATTTGCTTACCCATCCCTCAGAGGAGTCGGTCTTGGATGCACGCGTCTTTTTCCAGCGCATCAATGTGAAGACATTCTTCACCTTGCTACAAATACTTTTGGTCGAACTTGAGCGGACTGCTTCTTTTGAAGATCCGAACAGCAAAGACGCAACGCCTATCCCGGACAAGGTGTCTGTGGTTGCTCGCCGAATCTTGCCCGCGCTTCGCCATTACAGCTCCTGGCTACTTACAAATAGCCAGTCCCTAGTTGAGCAGAAAGAGGAAAAGGATTCGGCGCTCTCGATTCAAATCAAAGAGTTCTGGAAAATTTATGCCGGTACGCTGAGCCTGCTCGCATCCTCTTTCGATGTGGTTAGCCTTCCCGAGATCGATTATCTATTGGAAGAAGATGAGGAAAGTCTTGGTTTTGCGCCTCTGGATCAGGATGCCACTTCTCGCCGATACATTGGAGGTGGTGATCAGCCAAAGCCCCGGATGCATGATCTTGGGATTGAAAGAAGCCACCCCAACATGGAAATGCTCTATCGAATTCGTGAATTCGTGATTGATGGACTTGACTTGGTTGTGAGAGGAGTACGTGAAGAGCTCTCAAGATATCATAAACAAACAAGCAGATTGCTAATTTCGTTTAGAAAATCCCGGTGGCTCTTGTGGATAGCGAAGATAAGAAGACATTTATCTATCAGGAAGAGGATCTGCCTTCGCAATTCTATTCTAGCCCCCATGGCCGCCAGCATGCACTTTCCGCTGCCAGCATCGAGCGCGAGGATATCCCCCAGGCCGTTCAAAATCCATACTCTGCGGCAGAAGCCCAAAGTCTGTTTGGCGGTTCCCAGTCTGCATCGGCATCCATGTCCGCCAACATGCATCAGATCGTTGAGGGCGTTGAGCGACTTGTTGACTCGGACACGTATGAAACCCCGCCAAATGACCAATTTGCTTTCATGAGCTCCGGGGAGATATCGACACCTACGCATGTCTCACCCAATATCAATGCTTATCCGTTCCGTGACGAAAACTCTCCACCACTCAGCACCCCAATTGCCCCTCCACCTGGGCTTGGTCCACCTGCCATGAATACAGCTGAGCCCCTCAGGGTGCCATCGACTCAATCATATACCCCACGGCCTGCCATCCCCAGCCTCCCCAGCATTTGGACGCCGCTGAGAGACACTGCCCCTCCACGAACGCCTCCTGGCCTTGGTCCACAACCTGGCCAACGGGCTCCGCTTCACCCCATGGCTGCTGGAAATACCATGCCATCTGAGCGCTCACCGTCGCAAGATCAGATAGCAAATGAACTCATGCTCCGACAGCACCTAATGGCCCAGACCCAGTTTTCAGACTCGCTGGATGTAGGATCAATGCCCACGCCGTGGACATCATCCAACCGTCCCACCGTCAGCGGCTGGGATCATGGCCGAACGACCTTCGGTGCATTTGAACTGCCGAGCCAGACAACGTCCAGCAGCCTGGGACATCCCTCGTGGGCCAATGAAGCTTTCATTGCCAGCAGCCTCGCTGGGGCAACTCCTACAACTCGGGAATTGGAGGGCGCAAGCCTGCAACGCAGCTTGGAGCAGTCGGTCAAACTCCTCCCTGTGGCCAAGGAGGCTGATTCGAACATGCAAGCTCTCAAATTTTAGTTCTTCTATGTGCATATGCATATTACACTACCAGCCGGGCAAACTGTCAGAATCAACAGTGCAACTCGACCTCCAACTATACTGGCGTGTACCGTGTTTGTCTGCGAGCATGACTGCCTATGCACTGCGATGCGACTTGTTGCGTTGAGTCTACAGGTTCAGGCCTGCTCTGACAGTATGCACCTTTACAATGACCAGGCGAGATTGTATTACTACTAGCCAGTTCACAAGTGGCAGGTCCCGCACTAGTCCTCTGGTGACGAGGACGTTTATGGCTTTTTTTTCACAATGCAGGAACTTCTTCGGTCCTCGCTCTCGCATTTTGTCTGGACGGATACGTGCGTTCAACACGCGACATGACCAATACGAGGATATGAACATGGGCAATCTGCCATTGGAGAAGACTTTTGTTTCGTTCTGTTTTCTGCCTTTACTTCGTTTCATGCAACATGGCCTGGAACCGCGTTATCCCATCAACCTTAGCCTTGTCGTCTTTTCTTCCGTTGTTAAAAGAATCGTGCGGCACGAATATACGGTGATCTTTGAAAAAAAGTATGGGCCTGCAGATTGCTTGGGGGCCCATTACTCTCTCGACACCCATCGTGCCGGTTAGGCAGTCGAAATTCAATTTTGCATTTTACGTGCTTCCTTTAATAGTAGTTTATGGGACGGGCTCTTTATATGAATAATAGAAAGATAGATCGCTCGAATATGTTCATTCATCAAGTGGTTGTATAGTGGGGCCTCCGAAATATTGGGCTAAACCTCTAGATATACCGCCCTGTATACCGCCTGCCCATTATATACTCAATAAATACCGCCTCCCTTTTAAACATACTGCTATAAGAATATGTAGTTGGCCGCTTATTTGGCCGCAGTCTCGTTAATGATCTTCTCGGGTAGTGTGGTCCGATAGTCTTTTCATATGTCTTTTCAGTGGCCTTTTTAGCAGTCTCCTTAGGTAAGTAGCCTTGACTGCTGACCCTTCGTGCTGGATCACGTGCCTATACGCTAACTATATTAGGGGTTTTAGACTGGCAGAACCGGCAGAATTTGGATGTTTAGCCCAATATTTCGGAGGTCACACTGTAATAAGAATATAATGATTTGAGAACAATATTCTCAAGAAAGCATGCGCTTTGTTGGATTTTTCAGACAGTACGTTGAAGTCATCAGGTTCTAAGAAAAGGAAAAAATTGGGTATAGAGGGTTGAATCATCCAAAGTCAGGTGGTGCTCATCCGGTTGTTGAACTGGATTATTGCACAAAATCTTCCCAAATTAGGCTGGGAGATGTGTTGAAGGTGTCCTGGTAGTCTATGTCTTTTTCGTAGCCTACATTATAAACGTTTAGGAGCGGGTGTAGGTCTGCTTGGGGAAGGGGTAGCTGTGGGTTGAGAATTGTTAGCGAGTATTCTTAATGCATTGCCTTGGGGAATACTCACGAAGGTCCAAGCTCCTGGATGCTCTTGCTGGCGAGCCACTGGCCCATGTCGATGCTGTCATCGAGGGACTTGCCCGCGACGATACCAGCACAGAAACCACCAGCGAAGGCATCACTATATGGGACAGAGGTTAGTATAGATTAATGTGAGGTTGTTGAGATCAATATCACTCACCCAGCACCGTTGGTGTCGTTGATGGCTTCCTTGGAGATCTCGCGGACCTTGAACTCCTTCACCTCGACGGTACCGGTAGCAGAGCCGATGGCGACAATGGTAGGGAGAGTGCCCTGGGTGACAATGGCAACGCGGGGACGTTGGGTGTTCTTCTTGGGGAGCTGAGCGAGCTTCTTGGCGATCTCGGTGATATCCTCGGTGCCCCACTGGTGGCCCTCGGAGTAGGCAATAGCCTCAGTCTCGTTACAGAAGGTGTAGTCGGTGTAGGGCAGGACGCTATCCAACTGGTCCTTGAAGAACTGGGCAATGAAAGGAGCAGAGATAGAGAGCATGAAGGTCTGATGAAAACAAACAGGTTAGCAAAGAGGTCCAATGTATTAGAATGCACATGACATACCTTGTTCTTAGCGGCAGCCTCCTCACCAAGGGCGATGATGGCGGGCACGCAGACAGTCAGGTGGTAACCACCGACGTAGTAGACCTGGGCCTTCTCAACCAGGGACCAGATCTCGGGCTGCTTGAGGTGCTCAATTTTGTACTCGTTGGCAGCAGCGAGGTGGGTGCACATGCTGCGGTGGTGGCCAGTGATGACAACACCACACTTACCGGTGGGCTGGGCCTCATCGACACGGTACTCGGTGTGGACACCGGCCTCCTCGCAAGTCTTCTTGAGGACCTCACCGTACTTGTCCTTACCGATACAACCGATGTAGACAACGGACTGCTCAGGGAGCATGTACTAGGAACGTTGTCAATATCAACATTGGGGATCATGAGAGCCTCTTGATGCATACCTGAGCACCACGAGCGGTGTTCTGAGCGGCACCACCGGGGATCAGCTTGGCATCACGGGCAAGCAGTTCCTCGTAGATACCCATGTGCTTGTCCTCAGCGAGGATAGCATCATTTGCCTTCAGACCATACTTCTCCAGGAGAGCGTCATCGCTAAAGAATACCATCAGCACGTAGAACAGCATCATTTTACTCCAGTTTTAACCATACCCACGAGCCTGGATGTCTATTACAAGCATGTCAGCATTTTATCAACATGTCCAGATACTAGTTGACATACCGAGGAGAGGGTTCTCCAGACAGAGAAGAGGGTATCCTTGAGGAGCAGCCATTGTGATATGATTAATGAGAATGAGAATGGAATTGAAGCGAAAAAGGTGGGAGAGAAAGAGGATAGGATATGGAGGGGTTGGCAGAAAAGAGCGGACTGCGTATCCCGGGTCCCACCGGTATCAGCCGAACCACCTTGGGAGCTGCTTCTATTCACCCCAAGCTGTGTCTGACTTGATTGCTTCATACCAAAATGGCCGGTCATGCTATGGAAATCCCGCAGATTATCCAATCTGCAAGCATCAATCAAAATCCTGACCCAGCTCATGACATCAACCCAGCCACCGCAGCTTCAGAGAAACAGCCTGTCGCGGTAGGCCCAGACTCCGAAACAAACAGCATCGCCTCCGACATTGTTCATCCAAGCCGAGTAATTCGGCCGGTTCATCGGCGACAGACTCTTCCTCCTCTTCCGGACCTGCGCTTCGAACAGAGCTATCTGGCCAGCATTAAGGATGCTGACACCTGGGGGCGAGTGGCCTGGATTACTATTAGAGATCAGGTATGCAGTGCCGCGATTCTGTTGATCCCTTTGGGGTATCAGGGATAGTATCATTGGTAATATCTGGCTAAAACATCAATCTTTTCCCTTCTAGGTACTTCTCCCTCTGATCCAAGGAACAGTCTGGACACTCGCGCTCTCTGGCTGGCGCTTCTGGAACCGCAATGCCTCAGTCAGCGGGCACACCCTCGGTAGTCGGGTTCGCAGATGGTGGTACGAAGTGAACAACTGGCATCTACCGCAATTGGGCTCAGCCAGGGATCCTAAAGTAGCGTCGCAGGTTGAAGATGTGAGTACCTGCTTCCCCAATCTTCGATTTCTCATCTGATCTCGACCAGAAGTGGAGACGCTGACGCTCGAGGAGTTTCTGCAGTTTTACACAGCCCAGTTCTCCAATGCAGGCTCTGACTGAGGTCATCTCTGCGCTGGATGCGACCTATTAGCATTTTAATTCGGGGGTCTAGTGGGCTGGCTTCTGTGTACACTGTATTGCTTGCATTTTTGGCGTTTGCGCTGTTGGAGGCGCCTGCTGTTGTTGATTCCCATTTGAATTTCTTATATCCTCGACTACTATCTAGTAGATTATTTTATTTTCTTGCCATATATCTGGCGTGACGGACAGATCTCATGGCCCTGCCGTGTCAGAATACAACATTTGCGTTGTCGGTTTGCACACATGGCTATAGATTTCAAGTGCATGCTAGTTGTATGTAGTGTTTTCACCATGTGTTAAATTTATCGAGCAATTGATGCTTTCTCCATTCCATTACTTCGTATGCCGTTTTTGCCAAATACCCACGGCCTGATAGAAGTACAATTGCAATCCAAAAAGATCTATCTAGCAACATTTCGTAGAATATACATTCCTGGTCTCTTTCTAGTCGGACTGGAGGGGAAATACCTATGCTGAAGTGAATCCAAACTTAACAGCCAGATGGTTCAAATCTGATCCACGCCGTTTGAAGAAACCGATGGCGCAGCTACGGCTGCTGCAGATTGGGCCGGCACTTGGGGTATCGGAGCAGAAGGGTGTGAAGGTGCAGTCGTGGTCGGGGCCTGCTGTGTACCGGAGTTTGATTGATGGGGGAGGGTCCTCGGCGGTGCTTGGGCGGAGGAAGCTGCAGCTTCTCCAGCATCCTTCATTTCGACGTCTTCCGCAGGAGGTGGCTTTTCAATCTGGACCTCCGGATTGCTAGATGCATCTCCCTTGCCATATCGAAGTTGCACGACAAGGCTTTCTGGCTCCTCATTTCCAGTTGACTCATCTGCGCTTGCTTCTTCCTCTTCATCGTCGCCTTCGAAGTCGTCCTCCAAATCATCTTCGACACCTCGCCATTCGTTGCCACTTTCATTCCCGCTTGAATGGATTTCAGAAGCATCCTCCAAATCATCGGCGCCGTATCCAGAGTATCCGTTGGGATGGGTCGAAGTTCGAGCCCTCTGCGGTCTGCTTACTTCTTCTTCCTCATCTTCATCGAACTCATCATCATCAGCTCCGTCACGCTGACCAGTCAACAGAGCCTCGCCATAGAGGCCCCCGGCACGAGATCGAATCTGCCTCCCGCTTGCCGTGAATCGAGGACGTCTAGACTCCGTGAAGGCTTCCGTGGGAGCCGCATTTCTAGTGGAGCGACGGGCGGAAGGCTCGTCCTCAGAAAAGTCTTCGTCTTCCGAGTACGTGTATTTCAGTTTCTTGCCGCGTGTACGACCCTCATACATGGATAACCCAGGATCCGGACGAACGAAGGCAGCTTTTCGTGCTAGACGATATTCCCGACGTCTCCGTTTCTAGTTATTTTTTTAGCAAAGTCCAATTTACTCTCGGGGTATAAAATCACCTCTTCCGATGCCTCAAATCGGGGAATAGAAGCGCGAATTTTCTCGCTTAGCTTCTTAGAGTGTATGCCCTTTTCGCTCTCAAGTTTCTCCACGACGGCTTCCAGCTCGGGAATACTCCCCGCGATGCTCCACCAAGTGTTGTGTTTGAGGGCCGGGTTACTTTCACGGTAGAGGCGGAAATTTGTATCATCGTGCCCTTCGATAAGCCAATACCGACGTTTCAGGCTATCCCGGCCCCAGGGTTGGACAGACAATGGTTGATTAAGATCATCATCGTGGCGCGCCTGCTTGTAGGATTCTTTGATCTTCGCCTGGACCGCTTCAGACGACGAAAGTGACCACAGTATCAAGGCCTTCAATAAACGCAGCTAAGACGACGCATGTCAGAATAACAAATCGGGGGCCGTGGCAGGTATTAGAAACATACACGTTCCACGGGGGACATGGTTGCAAAGCTGCCACCCCCATGAAGGGGGTTTTTGCCCTCCCATTCTTTTGGCCACTGCGACTGGTGTGTATGGATTGCTTCTTCGAGGGGACGTGTGAAGTGGTTTCGTCTGTATATTTCACATATTATATTAGCACTCAACTTGACAATCGATAACGTCGGGGTAGAAAGCGCGCATTATTGTGCACTCCGCACGGTATCGGGCGACAGGTGGCGACCATACTCAACTTCCTTCTTGCGGTTCAGAACAAGCCCAAGCAATGCGCATAGAAGTCGTTCGATGTATTCTCCAGGGGGTGACTCCTCGATCCCTTTTTCAATATCCTGCGGGCCGTAGTGTGGCACTCCTTTGGGGAACACTTCATGGAAACGCGCGCGGAACGCGACGATGAACTAAAGATTGCGATAACTCAGCAAGCGTGTCCTATTATTGACCAGACGCGTCATATACATGTCCATAGATTAAGCAATGCGCAAAATCTTCCTATGGAGTAAACTCACCGCAATATCGGGGTTGTCTGCCACGACGTATTCATGCGGAGGTGACGGTTCCCGCTTCGGTGGCGGCGTCTCAGACTCTTTCTTGAAGTACTTTGCGATGCCAGTCGGGCGATCAATCGCCATAGTAGCTTCGTCATCCGTCGGAGGCGCCGATGATAATGATGAAAGTTCTGAATCTGAAGGCATGGTGGAAGTGATGGGGTAGGTGGTGAAGGAAAGAAGTAAGTTGCGCGCAATCGAGCGTCACGTCTGCACCGAGCTTGCGCCCGAAGGGCGAATATTTAAAGGATTCCAGACACAACTGCTCCCTTTGTCTAAAAATTATTTTTACTAAGGCTTCTTGCAGTCTTCCAAGGTTCTAGAAGAGGATAATTCAAACAAATGAGATATTGCAGCTTGGATTTTGTGGATTCCACTATAGAGATAGAGCTCAAAAGAGCTGATGAGGGACTGATGAAGCTCTATGTGGGCTTTTCAAAAATCAATTAAGATAGAGAGTTGCAATAGCCCGTGAGAAATGAATGCGACTGGTCGAGACGACTTCACATAGTTATCAGTTGATTTAATACTTGGAAGTACGCGACAAGCTTTGTCAACCATTTGATATTGACGTCTATAATGTCTGAGCCAAGTATGACCCAGACCTGCTTTGTATATTATTTCATTGACAGTCCCGTCATATCAAAGTCATACACAGAAGCATGGAATATACAGGCATAGCTGTTTCGAGGTCCAAGTAAGAGAGTATCACTTCAAGATGATAAGTCTTGGCAATATCTACCTAGGTAGTCTTGGCCATCACGTGTGCTTGATGACATAACTTGCCCTCCAGGAAACTACAGGGCTTGCACTGAAAGAGCTTTTTCGGGCGTATAATGACATTCTATAGGGATTTTTGAGTCAAGGTATTTCCAAATACTCAATTCAAGCAATTATTATCCATAAATATGATATAAATCCAACGATTAAAGGCCTATTTTGGTAATGCCTGTGTTGTTGTAGTTCAAGCCAATTCAAGTAAGCGACCGTGCGCTATACCCGATTGGGTTAGATTAGCGACCGCACCCTAAAGCCCACACAAGTCCCCATGTCCGATGATTTCTCAACTCGTCAACGACAAGCCTATTTCACTTCGAGGTACGCTTACCACCTTCCTACGACACTTCTGTCCGGCTTCCATACTAACATAGGATCCTCGTCTAGACAGTCGCCATGGGTCGTGTCATCCGCAACCAGAGGAAGGGCCGTGGCTCCATTTTCAGTGAGTGCGACCGCAAACCATTCCAGCACGAAATTCCGAGGCTGCGCACCCCGAGCAGCGAGGAGGAAATCAATAGGACAATTAGGAAACCACACAGATTCGCAACGAGATTGGAGTGCTGATATCGAATTTTTTTTCTCTACTTTACAGCGGCCAACACCCGCCTGAACAAGGCCCCTGCCCAATTCCGGACCCTCGACTTCGCTGAGGCTCACGGTTACACCCGTGGTGTCGTCAAGGAGATCATCCACGATGCCGGCCGTGGTGCTCCCCTCGCCAAGGTCCAGTTCCGCCACCCCTACCGCTACAAGATGATCACCGAGACCTTCATCGCCAACGAGGGCATGTACACCGGCCAGTTCATCTACGCCGGTAAGAACGCTGCCCTGACCGTCGGCAACGTCCTTCCTCTCGCCTCCATGCCCGAGGGTACCGTCATTACCAACGTCGAGGAGAAGTCCGGTGACCGTGGTGCGCTTGGCCGTACCTCCGGTAACTACGTTACCGTCATTGGCCACAACCCCGAGGATGGCAAGACCCGTGTCAAGCTCCCCCCCCGGTGCTAAGAAGGTCATCAAGAACACTGCCCGCGGTATGGTTGGTATCGTTGCCGGTGGTGGCCGTACCGACAAGCCTTTGCTCAAGGCTGGTCGTGCCAAGCACAAGTTCGCCGTCAAGCGCAACTCTTGGCCCAAGACTCGTGGTGTTGCCATGAACCCCGTCGATCACGTAAGTTTCAGTCTATACACAGACCCGACGACATTCAGGACCGCAGTATCTAACATATCTCTCTACAGCCTCACGGTGGTGGTAACCACCAGCACATCGGTAAGGCCTCGACCATCTCCCGCTACGCCACCCAGGGTCAAAAGGCCGGTCTCATTGCCGCCCGCAGAACCGGTCTGCTCCGCGGTACCCAGAAGACCAAGGATTAAGTGTGCTTTTTCTTGGAGTTATTCTTGTGACGGGTTGAAAATGGAATTCTGCTATGAGACAAATGTACTTAGGCGCCTGCGGATGAGCGTCTCATGCGCCCTTAGCGAATTAAGGTTGTGGTGACTATCCCTTTTCTTGTCGAACAAATCAAAGGGTGATGGAAAGAGGTCCGGGGTTGGCCTCTACAGGCAGAAACGAAATCAAAAAGTCCTTCGGGCTGTGGAATGATACACCTTTAAATTTTTACTCGTTCCTGTCCATCACCCTAGTAGATATTACAGTCTGCCATAATTCATCGGCATATATATATACATTGCGCTGTATGATCGTTGTCATCATGGCCTGTTACCGAGACCCAGTGCTTTCTTACGAATAGTTTCGACATCACTTCCGGGATCGTGTAAGGACATCTTATGTATCTGGACACCGCAGTACCTAGGTACAACTCCCAAGAGCCCTTGTGGCCGAGATCAGAGAACAGGCCCGGCAAAGTAGAGGAATCGAGCTACCAGGTAATGCAAAGCAGCTGCTTGGAGCCTGTTCCGGGATCAATGCGAGCCCTGGGAAACAGCTGCTAAGTCTCATGAGTTGAATACCTGGGGCTTACTCGACTACTTTATCGCTGGTACTGAAGAGCCTCACAGACGATCATACACGCCCCTTGCTCACACGACACCTCATCGGACTAGAAATGGAGAAGATGACGGAGTCTTCGTTAGAAAAGCTCAGCGAATCGACTACCTAAAGACCCGTGGGACATCAATACTCTCCAAGGTCCAGGATTCCAGAAAGAACCGCCAAGTTTCTGCGCTAAAAAGAAACCTCCGCTTGTCTGGTTCTTGCCCCTCAACAGGGAGGATACTAGAAAAACTCTCGATGTTCGAGATCTGGAGCCAGCAAAATCATAGCTGCAGTCATCCAGCGATCAGAGCAGCTGCACTTGTTGATCAAATGCAGGCCTACTTAGGTGAGCTAGGCATGCTATTCGAAATGATATATTGGGTAATTCTAGCAGGCCGCATTTGCAGACTGCGCTGGTGGCATTTGTTGATAATGTTGCCATCTGGGGCATATATTCACTGGCAAGACTGTACTTGGCATGGATGATCAGCAGATTCGAGAAATTGCAGCAGAGCCATTGAATCAGAAGGATCGGGAGCGTCTAAGGGAGTGTCCAATATGTTCCGACTTCTTCATTTGGACACTTGGACAATTATAGCTTAGTGATAAACTCAGCTTCTCAAAAAGCAATTATGGTGCTCTCACTTGTTGGTGTCGGGAGATGTATAGTTAGGGGCCAGGGTTGTACTATATATACATATTCAACCTAGGAACCTAAGACTTGAAAGAAAAGAAAAGCAGCCATAAAATCCTGTAACAAAATCCATTAATCCTACATATATACATACTATATATACCTAGGTACTGTATATTGTACCTAGGTAGGTGATGGCCCTGATGTAATGTACACTGTTGTATATTGAGGTTGAGCCACTCTAGACGCTGATTGGTCAATTTGGGATCAAACATCAGGATTCCCGAAGGTTCCCCTCTACCTGGGGTTTGATGCCAGAATGAATACAATACCTTGAAGATATCTACAATTTGAATATCCCGTGAATATGACAGATATACCCAAGCCCCAAGAGATCCCCCGACTTAGCCCGAACTTCACCAACACAGAACGGTGGCAAGCCATCGCAACCCGTGACATAACAGTCAACAGCTTTGTCTACGCCGTCCTCACCACAAAAATCTACTGTCGCCCCTCATGTCCAGCACGGCTAGCCCGCCGTGCCAACGTCCAATTCTACGACACCCCACTGCAAGCAGAGAAAGCAGGCTTCCGACCCTGCAAGCGCTGCCGGCCGCATTCGGGTCAGACGGCGGCTCAAAGCAACCCTCAAACCGCCATGGTTGACAAAGCCTGCGAGACGATCCGGAACATTCTGACGGCGGGAATGAAACCCAAATTAAGAGATCTGGCGATGGAGGCTGGCTTGACACCCAGTCATTTCCATCGTGTGTTTAAGAAACGTGTGGGCGTTACGCCCGGGCAATATGTAGAGAGCCTCGTGCAAAGCAACCTCCACTCGCCGGAATCATCACCATCCGATGCTTTTTCTGGAGTTGAAACACCACGGTCAGCCTCTGGGGATAGGGGTGGTGAGACCTTGGATCTGGACGGGAATAGTGAGAAAGGGGCCGGTCTGTCGGCGGCTAGGAGCGAACTCCCATTTATGAATGGCTGGAATGAGTTCGATGCTCTGCTAGCTTCTGAATCAGAACAAACGTGGTTGCCTGGCTTATCTATTGACCCTCGAATGATTTTGGATGTTTTTGATGAGACCATATGATTTCAATGTTTATGATATGGATATTTGGACTGGAGAACAACGTATATATTTCTACCAATAATATAGTCCAATGCGAACCGGATGAATAGGATCCAATTTCAGGATTTGTGCCGCTTTAGATTTGATTGACATTGGCATTGCGGCGATGCAACCCACAACCCACTGAGAGTCAATGAATCTTAATCTATTCCGTACTCGTATATTGTACTCGGTGCGGAGTACATCAGAGTCCATAGCCGAGAGCCCAGAGTGGTTATGGATCAACTGAAACAGATTTGAAACTCATTTTCCAAGCCATATGCAAGTATTATAATATAGTCATCTAATAGGTTAATGTCATATGTAATTTACATATATGAACTCACAATTCTGTTTAATATTCCAGACCAGACTGGGGTGGCAAAGAGATAATTATAGTAATTAATCGAATTAAATCTGGAAAATCAAAGCTTCCAATGGGATTTAGTCTCCACCAACTGGCCCACTAACGCGTGTCACAGCTTTGAACCTGGTCCCTGGTCTCAGGGCTATTTTAGTATGTCTGGTAAGACAAGTACCACTTAATCCGTAGTGCGAAATACACTGTATCTCCAGTTGTCTTCAGATGTCGCATTGAGGTCTATACAGCTTTTTTTTTCTCTTTTTTTTTTCTTTTTGGGCTCAAGGTAATAATACACTGAGAATACAATTGCCTTCCCCACTGATTGACAAGATCGGCAATTTACTGCATGCATAAAAACGCATTGTCTTTTGTAACTTTGTGAGATGCAAATGTAGCCTATTTCCTTATTTTTCTTATTTTCTTATTTTCCCCATTTCCCATTTTATCATAATTGCGTGCCCCCCCAGGATGATTTAATCTAGCCGTTCCCAACCTCCTTTCCTCCCGTCTTTTCTCCTTTTACTCTTATCCTAGAGCACTCTAGTCGATCATTCCTTTTGTATTTATCTTATTGCTCTCTACACAATCGCTGGTTTCGATTATCCTTCCACATACCATCATCATCCCAACTTCCCACTTCCAACTTCCAACATGCACGTGAACAAGAGGATCGGCAGATTCAAACAATGGGCTGGAGAACGCATGGGCGGAGAGGCCAAGACCTGTCTCTCTGATGATTTCAAGGCAATGGAGACGGAGATGGGTGTGCGACATGAAGGTAGGAAATGACCACACACGCCTGTAGGTTAGCCATACTGATTCAAAGCTCTCTCAATCTCTAGGCGTTGACCGCATTCATAAATCCATGACCTCGTATGTCAAGGCCATCTCGAAACGCAATGAGGGAGACGATAAAGAGAAGACCCTCCCGATTGCCCATTTGGGAACTAGCATGGTGGCCCACGGCGAAGACTTCGATGGGAACTCGGAATACGGGCAGTGCCTGATCAGTGAGTCCTGAAAGACGATATCGGCAATGTGGGGTAGGAATCGCATCGCTAACAATTCGATCAGTGTTTGGACGTACCGAGGAGCGCATTGCACGCATCCAAGAAAGCTACATCGCGCAGGCGACTTCAAGCTGGCTTGAGTCCCTGGAACGATCCCTGACTCAGATGAAAGACTTGCAGGTATGTCCTTCGACTCTCCCGATGGATCAAAGGCTGAAGGTCCTGTATTAACCTGCCTCATAGCATGCTCGCAAGAAGCTTGACAGCCGCCGGTTGGCATACGATACTTCTCTCTCTAAGATGGAGAAGGCCAAGAAGGAGGACTTCCGCGTGGAGGAAGAACTACGCTCACAAAAAGTGAAGTACGAGGAAGCTAGCGACGACGTGCTGCGTCGCATGCAGGACATCAAAGAAGCCGAAGCCGACAATGTTATGGACATGGGGGTGTTTTTGGATGCCCAGCTTGAATACCATGAGCGGTCCCGTGAGGCCCTCCTGCAGCTCAAGAATGAATGGGCTGGGTAAGCATTGGTTCTGGCAACATCTCGTGTAGCATGCTAACACTGCAATAGGTACAGCCAAGTACAGGCCCCTCCCCGTCGCCCGACCCGTCCTCGTTCCAACACCGCCCACTCGTACCAGGAAAGGTATGAGCCATTGCAGGAAGAGTTGATGAACGCCACGGAGACTCGGCCTCCCATCCGATCAAACAGATCTATCACGCCATACTCCGAGTCGCCTCCGCGAGAGACATATGGGAATACCAGTGGGGTCTCACGTCCCGTTCTCAACAGAGTTCCTACCTTCGAAGGCCCGGCTCAGCTGCGACACGAACAGTCGCCAGTTGCATCACAGTGGATTCAGCAGCGAACTACCAGCGAGAATCTAGGCGGATTTGGACATCGAAGCAGCACTCAAGTTGGGAATGGTCGAATCTCTGCTGATCCTTACGCCGACTCCGAAGAGGTCAGCTCGTATGGCCGTTCCAGCCCCGAGCGGATGTTTAGCGGGGGCAGGTCTATATCCCCAGCAACATCTCACGGCAGCGTGCCATCCCGGAGACCTAGCGCAACCAACTTGAACACTATTGGATCGAAGAAAGCTCCTCCTCCACCTCCGCCATCTCGTGCGAAGAAACCCCCTCCACCTCCACCGATGAAGCGGTCCCTTCTTGCGGCACCGAATGCGTAAGGGACTGCTCTGAAAGTGCATCTTACGTCTGTCCTTGATCTTGAGCATGGGGTTTGGGAGTTTGGGAGCTTATGATCGATCATGGCGGCGGTATCTATTCTTATCATTCACTAATCCCTTGAGACTTACATGGGGTTGTTCTGTCCTTTCCTTAATTGTGCTTTCTGGTTTGCTTTGCCATGTCCGTTGATTCCATGGATGTCTGGAGGATTCCCTGGCTACTATTAGTCTCAGTCCAGAATTAGTAGGATGATGAGAAACGTGGTTACATGCGTCTCTTAGCGAATAGGTAGATCCACCCAAGACTTAATTTGGATTTCCGGGATTTGAGTGTGTGATATGTAGGTACATAGGTATGTAATGTAGGGTATGATCTTCGATCGTGTAGATACCCGTCAACAGCAAGGGTGGACCCGGGTGTGTCTAGCTTTACAATGTATTGTCATTTGTATTGTATGAAGACTATTCAATAGAGTCAATGAAGTTGAATGGACCAAACATCCCCGGGTCACAAAGACCTTTAATCAAATCACTCTTCTCTTTTCTCTCACTCCTACACATGATAGTAGCCTTATCCCAAATCGGTACGGTACCAGAGCTGCGCTGCCCTAGGCAACAATTCAGCACGGAGTCACGTGCCTGCTGACTAACGTGCCTTTGCGAAAAACTCCTTGCCAGGCTGTTGTCCGTCCTTTGCTCTGAGCACCCAGATTTCCCCGAGCCTGTCGCGCAACTCCGTTCCCTCCCCATCTCCATTTTCATCCATCCACTTTTTGAACGCGCCATCCCAACGCGCCTTCAACTTTTGAGTTCCCCTCCCACCTTGCCTTACCCTGGGAACTCGCCTCTTTACTCGCTTTCTTTGACTCCCTTGTCTCTGAAAGTACCCGCTCCCCCATTCGCATCGGAAGCTCCGACCACGTCCCCAAACATCACGCTTTTCATCGCCAAGCATCCCATAAAGTCGCTCACCGATCGCATTCACAATAATCAGGCTCACCCTAGACTGTTGTTGCCTATTTATTTCGACCGCGACCGCCCCTTCTCTTGCCATCGCGACTTGGCAATTGAAACCAGGTGGAGACCGTGACTTGCCACAACTCCGCATCGACCTTGACATTGCCCACCCCAAGCTACCTCGCTTGCTCATGAATTGAAAAGAAATATACGCGTCACAATGGCTTCCTTACACCCGGCGCCAAACATGGCGCCTGGCAACGTGAGCTTGCCGCCTAACCTCACGCAGCAAAATGTCCAGGAGATTCTTCAGGTAAGTTTGTCGCATTACGACCAACACAATTCGCGTATATCAATTCTTCAGTCCTTTAACACACCTGCCTATGCCTCGTCTGCCCTTGCTGTCGTCTCTAACTTCGTCGCAGAAATACAAGCAAATGCAAGAACAAGGTGTTCGCCCTGATGACCCGGAATTCCTCAAGGCGCACAACCTACTTGCCGCCATTCAACGGCAGCAGGCTTTCCAAAAACAACAGCGCATGGCTCAGCAGCAGGCTCAACAGCAGCGCCAACAGCAACAGATGAACGGCGCTACTCCTGAAGCTGCCAATGGCTCTCATGGTAAGCTTTGTCCATTGACTCTCCTCGTCCCCTCCAAGCCCAAAGTCTTCTGCAGGGCTGACACGTTTTCACAGGTCGCACACCCTCGGCTTCCTCGACTGCCGCGCCCACTGCCACCAATACTTCGGCAGTTGCTATGAACCAGAAGAATGCGACGGTTGGCAGCGGTAGCTTTTCGCCAGAGCAACTGGCTACTCTTCGAAACCAAATCTTGGCTTTCAAGATGCTGTCGAAGAACCTCGCCATCCCCCCTCGTGTCCAAGAACAACTTTTCCAAAACCAGAAGAAGTCTCAACCACCTACTCCCACGGACAATGTTGCCGCAGCCGAAAAGGTCATTGAAGCTGCCACTGACGGCGCTGGTAGCCAGCCTCCAGAAAGCTCGGATGCTGAAGTCATGACCAGGGAGTGGTATGACAGCTTCCAGTCTCCATATGACTCGCTTTCCAAGTCTATTAGCTACACTGACCACGCCAACCGTGCAAATCGCGTGCGCATCCCCGCTCTTTTGCCACCCGGCATTGACTTGGAGCAGATGCGCGAGGATCGTGAGATCATGCTGTACAATAAAATCACCGCTCGCAAAGCAGAGCTTGCCCATCTCCCCGCCAACCTCGGTGTGTGGGATACCAGCAAGAGTGATGCACCCACCTACGATGACTCCCTCAAGCTGAAGGCCCTGATTGAGTACAAATCGCTTAATCTTTTGCCGAAACAACGACAGTACCGCAAGCAGCTCCAGAGCGAGATGTTCCACTACAGCAACCTCGGAATGACGGCCAACCGCTCGAGTCACCGCCGCATGAAGAAGCAGTCCCTACGTGAGGCTCGTATCACCGAGAAGCTCGAGAAGCAACAACGTGATGCTCGCGAATCCCGAGAGAAGAAGAAGCAATACGACCAGTTGCAGGCCATCCTCAACCACAGCGCTGATCTTGCTAATGCTTCCGTCCAGCAACGTACGCGCTCGCAGAAGCTGGGTCGTATGATGATCTCTCACCACCAACACATGGAACGCGAAGAGCAGAGGCGTGTGGAGCGAACCGCTAAGCAGCGTCTGCAGGCCTTGAAGGCTAACGATGAGGAGACATACCTGAAGCTTTTGGGACAGGCCAAGGATTCACGCATCTCTCATCTGCTCAAGCAGACCGACAACTTCCTTAAGCAGCTTGCCGCATCCGTCAAGGAACAACAGCGCAGTCTGGCAAATCGTTATGGCGAGGCTCACGAGTACGACGAGGAGTCTGACCAAGAGCTCGCGGATAGCGAAAACGAGGACGACAGTACAGCCACCGGAAAGAAGAAGGTCGACTACTACGCTGTCGCTCATCGCATCAATGAAGAAGTCACCTCGCAGCCTGAAATGCTCGTGGGAGGCACTCTCAAGGAGTATCAGATTAAGGGCCTGCAATGGATGATTTCGCTGTACAACAATAACCTGAACGGTATTTTGGCTGATGAGATGGGACTTGGAAAGACCATCCAGACGATCAGTTTGATTACCCACATCATTGAAAAGAAGAAGAAGAACAATGGGCCCTTCTTGGTCATTGTTCCCCTGTCCACACTCACTAATTGGAACAACGAGTTCGATAAGTGGGCGCCCACCGTGAGCAAGGTAGTCTACAAGGGCCCGCCCAATGCGAGAAAGCAGCAACAGCAGCAGATCCGCTGGGGCAACTTCCAGGTTCTTCTCACCACCTACGAGTACATCATCAAGGATCGTCCGATTCTCAGCAAGATCAAGTGGACACACATGATTGTCGACGAAGGTCACCGCATGAAGAACACACAGTCCAAGCTCAGCAGCACTCTCTCCACCTACTACACCAGTCGCTACCGTATCATTTTGACTGGTACCCCCCTGCAAAACAATTTGCCCGAGCTATGGGCTCTTCTTAATTTCGTCCTTCCCAACATTTTCAAGTCTGTCAAGTCATTTGACGAATGGTTTAACACGCCTTTCGCAAATACTGGCGGCCAGGACCGTATGGATTTGAGCGAAGAAGAACAACTCCTCGTTATTCGCCGTCTGCATAAGGTTCTTCGGCCATTCCTTCTCAGGCGTTTGAAGAAGGATGTCGAGAAAGACTTGCCTGATAAGCAGGAGCGCGTCATCAAGTGCCGATTCTCTGCCTTGCAGGCCAAGTTGTACAAGCAACTTGTTACCCACAACAAGATGGCTGTCACTGATGGTAAGGGCGGCAAGACCGGAATGCGTGGTCTCAGCAACATGCTCATGCAGTTGCGAAAGCTCTGCAACCATCCTTTCGTCTTTGAGCCCGTTGAAGACCAGATGAACCCCACTCGTATGTCCAACGACCTTCTTTGGCGTACGGCAGGAAAATTTGAGCTGCTTGATCGTATTCTTCCCAAGTTCCGTGCTACGGGCCACAGAGTCTTGATGTTCTTCCAGATGACTCAGATCATGAACATCATGGAAGATTTCCTTCGCCTTCGTGGAATGAAGTACCTCCGTCTGGATGGATCCACCAAGTCCGATGACCGATCGGACCTCTTGAGGCAGTTCAACGCTCCTGATTCTGAATACTTCTGCTTTTTGCTTTCCACCCGTGCAGGTGGTCTTGGTCTCAATCTGCAGACTGCAGACACCGTTATTATCTACGATTCGGATTGGAACCCTCACCAGGATTTGCAAGCCCAGGATCGTGCTCATCGTATTGGTCAGAAGAACGAGGTCCGTATTTTGCGGCTTATCAGCTCCAACTCGGTCGAAGAGAAGATTCTCGAGCGTGCCCAGTTCAAGTTGGACATGGATGGCAAGGTTATCCAGGCCGGAAAGTTCGATAACAAGTCCACTAATGAAGAGCGAGATGCACTTCTTCGAACTCTCCTGGACTCGGCAGAGGCTGCGGAACAGATCGGTGATCACGACGAAATGGATGATGATGAACTCAATGAAATCATGGCACGATCCGAAGAAGAAATTCCTGTTTTCCAGGAGATCGACAGGCAGCGAATCGCCCACGACGCATATGGTCCTGGCCACCGCTACCCTCGACTGATGTCCGAACAAGAGCTGCCCGACATATATATGCAGGAGGATAACCCTGTCACCGAAGAAGTCGAGATGGAGGTCACTGGCCGTGGTGCTCGTGAGCGCAAGGTGACCAAGTACGATGATGGTCTCACCGAAGAGCAGTGGTTGATGGCAGTTGATGCCGATGATGATTCTATTGAAGCGGCGATTGCACGCAAGGAAGCTCGTGTTGAGCGTCGCAAGGCTAACAGGGCTGGACGTGATGACGATGAGTCTTCACCTGAGCCATCGATTATTGATGATGACGAGACCCCTCAAAAACAGAAGCGCCGTCGTGGTCCTCCTCCCAAGCGCAAGGCTGAGGAAGTTGTGGAAGAAACCCCACAACCTAAGCGCAAGAGAGGTCGCCAGCCTAAGGTTCCGGATACTCTCAACCCCACTGACCGTGCCAACTTGACTCGCATCCTTGACACTGTGGTCCAGTCGTTGATGGACATGGAGGCTGAGGTACAACCGGAGGGCTCTGATAGTGAAGAGGGCCCCATGGTTCGTTCAATCATCGAGCCATTCATGAAGCCCCCGCCGCGTTCTTATTATCCCGACTACTACATGATCATTCAAAATCCCATTGCGATGGAAGCGATACAGAAGAAGATCAAGCGGGCCGATTACCAGAGTTTGAAGGAATTCCGCAATGACATCCACTTGCTTTGCCAGAATGCCCGCACTTACAACGAGGACGGCAGTGTGCTATTTCAGGATGCCAATGATATCGAGGTAAGTTTGACTTTTTATTGATGACGATTTCTCATACTAATGGTACAACAGACCAAGTGCTTGGTGGAATTGCGACGGCTGACCGAGGACCATCCCGAGCTCGCCAACTTTGAAGATCGGTTCGCCGGTGATGCCTCGGGCGCTGACACACCGCTTACTGCTGGCACCCCAGGCCAGCCGAAGTTGAAGCTCACCTTCAACAATCCCAACCGGGATAGCCCCAGCACTTCAATAGGTGCTGACTACGGCCTTGGAGAGTGAATTGTTCGACATTGTGGTGCCTGAAAACGTCGTTAAATCACCGCACGCTTCATATTGAGCCTGCGACTTCCCTTTATGTTGCTTGTGCTTTCTTCTTATGTGTAATCCGAAAATACCTTTTCCCCCCTCCCGCTTCTGTGCCATCTAGGAAAGGCGTTTTTTCCATGAATGTTTTGTTTTGAAATCGGGAATGGACTTCCGGAGGATGGCGCTGTATTATTCTAAGCGATTGATTTCGGGTGCGTTGTCTTGACTGCATCAACAAGATTCATTTTGTGCAAGACCACCCTTTGTATTTGATGAGTATGTACCTGCAAGTTAGGAACAATTCGGATCGATTTGAACCATGTACTTTGTAAAGTTATTTATCCCGAGTCTTGCAATTCGAAGATATCATCTGGTTTCAAAAATCCGAAATCGGGTTGTACGCGTGGGCTCCCGAAACGCATGCTGTTGATATGCAGATGCACTTTCCCACAGTCACCTCACGACCATGTCTACAAAGATCTAGCCGGCAAAGTCGCAATAAACAAGGCCCCGGGCCACGCCCCAACTTTCAAAACCAACACACTAATAGAAAACAATAGTCACAGGCTCCAACCGCGGCATCGGCAGTAGCCCTCGAACTTCCCCAACGTGGAGCAGACATAGTCATAACCTACGTTTCCAATGCCACGGCAGCCGAGTCCGTCGTTGAGCAGATTCGTGCCCTAGGCGCACGCGCCATCGCCCTCAAAGCCGACGTATCACAGGAAGAAGAGGTGAAACCCATGTTCGAGACGTTGCACCGCGAATTCGGCCGTCTCGACATCGCAGTCAGTAACTCAGGTATCGAGCATTTTGGAGTTCTCTCCGAGGTTAGGGGCAGCGACATCGATGCTATCTTTGCGGTGAATGTCAAGAATCAATATCTCGTCGCTTAATGGGCTCTTGGTAGGTCTCTAGTGGCGCTTATATGGTGTAGATGGGATTGAGAATGTGACTGACCCAACCTCTAACCTCTCAACAACATAAACTAGCCCGGGATATCATGATCAGCCTAAACTTCTTTCCTGGCCTCTCAATAGTCACGAATGCCAGTATCCATCCATACCTATTTAAGTTACTTGGACCTCGTCTTATTATTGCTTATAACGGCACTACAGATGATCCGGTCCCGTAGGGGGAATATGTCCTTCCTTATAAAACTGAAAGGGAACTTTGATGTGAGGAGGTGTTCGAATTCCTAACAATACCTATGTGTCTGTAGGTATGAAAGGTGCATGTCTGGTATGTCCTTCTTTAACGTCCTGAAGAGCTCTACTTTCATCTGCCCGAGTACCAAGTAAATAAGTTAATTAAAGGTAGGTCCAGCTATGGAGCCATAGAGTTGCCAAATTCCCGGACTAAACCGCGTTGGTAGTGGACACCTTCCTTCTTTCAAGAATTCTTGATCTGATACGGAGTAATGTCCGATGACTCGGTGTTATTCATGGCGGGTCACTACAAAGCCCTACCCCTTAACTCAGATAGTGGCAAGGCTATGGTTGTGGGCCATATAAATAATAGAATGGCCGGACGTCAATGTTTCCGAAGAAGTGCCAAAGCCAAGGGACTAGTGGAAATTATTGAAGCGAATAATCCAACAGTCTAGCCTTTCTCGATTGAACATTCATATCCTGAAGCCAATTATAGCTTCCTTCTATAGAGATTGATTAGATTTGCCTAGGCCGAAGTTTAACCGTGGACTATAAACTGACACCACACCCTAGATCAGACCTATGGGCTTTGAGAATGGCCACGCGTACGGAGTACGTCTCTGGGAATGACGTGGTCGCCGGGACTATGGACCATGGATGGGGTTTAGAGTTATATAAGGGAAGAAACCTTACCCGGCCATATCAAACTTTAAATAAGCTAGTGCAATTTACTGGTGAACAAGTCCCTGAGGAAAATAATTACTCCCTAATTCCGAAGGTTAAACGGAGCTAGATACACATTAGGCTACGAGGACCGACCCCCTTCCCTTAATTCCGAAGATTGAATTGAACTAAATACGCGTTAGGCTATGAAGACCGATCCGTTTCCCTTCAAGTTCTACTTATTCCGAACCTAGTTTTTGGGATAAGTGTTAGATGATGACGATTCAGTATAGAATCGATGCGGAAAGAGCGTGATCCGTGCTTCTAGGTATGGTTTCATAGTTTGATTGCAGGCAACGCACGCAGCGGGTTAACGCATGATCTACACATTGGTTGCCAGAAACTGGAAGCAAAATAATATGGAGTACTGCAAATCTTATAAGTATAGCTTGCCTCTAACGTTCCTGTCGATCCTTTAGTTCTTCACACTCGTTACAGTTTCTTCTTGACACTCATTTGTTACATTTTATATCGCTTCATTTGATATACTTCAACATGCGTCTCTCCCGGAGCGCGTCTGCTGCAGCCCTGGCAGCATCGGCAAGTGCTGCTTCGCTTGCTGATGTCTGCACCGTCTCGAATGTGCAATCTATCCTGCCCTCCAATGGCACTCTGCTGGGTATCAACATGATCCCCTCTGCTGTGACTGCTAGTCCTGTCTACAATGCCAGCACTGGCACGGGGAGCACAGAGACCTACACCTACTGCAATGTGACCGTCACCTACGAGCACACTGGCAAGGGAGACTCCGTCGTCATCAAGTATGCCTTCCCCAAGCCCTCTGACTTTAAGAAGCGCTTCTATGTTGCCGGTGGTGGTGGCTTCTCTCTGTCTAGCGATGCAACCGGTGGTCTCGAGTACGGTGCTGTTGGCGGTGCCACTAGCGCAGGATATGATGCATTCAACAACAGCTACGACGAGGTGGTCCTCTACGGAAACGGAACTATCAACTGGGACGCAACCTACATGTTCGCCTACCAAGCTCTGGGTGAAATGACCAAGATCGGAAAGGTTCTTACCAAGGGCTTCTATGGCATGGCTTCTTCCGCCAAGGTCTATACCTACTACGAAGGCTGCTCTGATGGCGGCCGTGAGGGTATGAGCCAAATCCAGCGCTACGGCGAGGAGTACGATGGAGCGATCACCGGAGCCCCGGCTTTCCGCTTCGCCCAACAGCAAGTCCACCACGTCTTCTCAGCTGCAGCCGAGCAGACCCTCGACTACTACCCCCCTCCCTGCGAGCTGGCGAAGATAGTCAACGCCACTATCGCCGCCTGCGATCCCCTCGATGGCCGAACCGACGGCGTCATCTCCCGCACCGACCTCTGCAAGCTCAAGTTCAATCTGACCTCGATCATCGGCGAGAAATACCACTGTGCAGCAGAAACCAGCACCTCCTTAGGTTTCGGCTTCAGCAAGCGTGCCGACGGCAGCAGCACCTCCACTAAACCCGAACAGAGCGGCAAAGTCACTGCCAAGGGTGTGCAAGTCGCACAAGCCATCTACGACGGCCTACACAACTCGAAGGGCGAGCGCGCCTACCTCTCCTGGCAAGTCGGCTCTGAGCTTAGCGACGGCGACACGACTTGGAACAACGCGACCAGCAAGTGGGAAATGAATATCCCCTCGACGGGCGGCGAGTACGTGACCAAGTTCATCCAGCTCCTTGATCTCGACAACCTCTCCGACCTCGACAACGTCACCTACGACACCCTCGTTGACTGGATGAATACCGGCATGGTCCGTTACATGGACAGTCTGCAAACCACCCTGCCGGACCTAACCCCATTCCAATCCTCTGGCGGAAAACTCCTGCACTACCACGGTGAATCCGACCCCAGGTATTCCCGCTGCGTCTTCCGTGCACTACTGGCAGTCCGTCCGCTCGATCATGTACCCGCATCTGTCTTCCCAGGAGAGTCTCAAGGAACTCGCCGATTGGTACCAGTTCTACCTCGTCCCCGGTGCTGCGCACTGCGGCGCAAATAAACTGCAGCCTGGCCCGTTCCCCCAGAATAACATGCAGACTATGATCGACTGGGTGGAGAATGATGTCAAGCCTTCTCGTTTGAATGCGACTGTCTCGTCTGGTACTTATAAGGGTGAGACGCAGATGCTTTGCCAGTGGCCTACTCGTCCGCTCTGGAAGAGTAACAGCACCTTCCAGTGCGTTGATGATAAGGCTTCCATTGAGAGCTGGACTTACTCTTTCCCTGCTTTCAAGGTGCCTGTGTACTAGGTTGTATATTTCCTGTACCAGGCGCTCTGGGCATGCCAAGGATGTCTCTCGCTTGAGTTATTTTTGGATTGAAGACTGGAGATTAGATTGCTGATCAACCCTAGTTTAGCCCTAGAAAGGTCTCATTTTGCGACCAAGTTGGGATTCTACTGTAATTATATTCTGCTCAATAGATATTTCATCATCTGCTTTATCTTACAAGGTGGACGTGGCGTTGGTCACTTTGCAAATGTAGTATGTGCGTGTCCGTCGCCGTTGGGCGATTACCCCTCATTGGGGGGTCAATGACTTGGGATGAATCATTAGGCCCTCAAGTCATTGTAAAACCCATCCATTGTAGGCCTAATAACTTTTCGCATGTGACGACAGGTGAATGTATTGAATTAGGCGATGAAAGGTATGTGGTAAGGCTACAGTCTACAATGCTCTTCTATAATCCCCATGATATGGGCATCCGACATGTTTGAGAATTTTCTAATTTTCGTTTTTAACTCTATAAACAACGGTATATCTAAAATGAAATCTGATTTGTGCTTCGTAAATTTGTACTTTGCAATTTGATCAGCATGAAAACTCCCCCCCATAACCAAAAGGTATATCCAACTAAACACCTAGAACCAGAACCCAAGTAACACTCTAACCCAGAGTCAGAGTGTAAGCGTTATCGATACCGCAAGCCAGGGTATTGACATCATCGGGTTTCTGGTAGGACTGGGTGCAGTAGGCATCACCAGGGGCGCAGGTCGAAGTGGGGCAAGACTCGTCGCTGATGGTGACAGCGAATCCGGCGCTGACGAAGGGCGAGTTCTTGAGCATGTTGATGGAAGACATATCCCAGAAGAGGACGTCACCGGACTGGGTGTACTCGAACTGCAGCACGCTGTCGCAGACCTCGGTGGTCGACATCTTGATGGAGATACCGCCGCCGTTGGAGTTCGTGAGCCAAGTGTCGTGGAAGGTCTCGCCGGAGGGCAGGGTCTGCATTTCACCGGCGGTCTCGGTCACGACCCACAGGTAGACGGTGTCAGGGAGGTTGTTGACGATGGAGACACCGCTGCCGGTGGCGGCGGGGCTGCTGCTGGTGCTGGATGGGGCGCTAGTGGTGCTTGAGGGAGCGCTGGTGGTAGTTGGGACAATGGTGGGGACACTGGTGCTGGGAATGCTCAGAGTCGGGACAGCGGGAGTCCAAGTCGAGGAAATGACAGACGAGGTGCTGGAAGGAAGGGCGACCTCCTGGATGGGGAGGTTGGTGGGCGCACTGATGGGAGTGGCGGTCTCGTAGACGGTTTCATAGACGGTCTCCCAGACGGTCTCCTCGACATACTTGACATCGGGGACGGCGACGGGGCGCGCAGAGGCAGTCGCTGCCAGAAGGGCCGAGAGGGTGAGAACGTTGAAGCGCATATTGGCTGAATGAATCCGATATTGAAGGAAGGTGTTTGAAGACAAGTGATATCCTTTGAAGGAGGGACAGTAGTCTGATCTACAGACTGTTAAGGAGAGTGTTGTACTGAGGCTCAGCCCCAAGGGAAGAATCTAAATGAGTGTGATTCGAAAGATCGTGATGTCAAAGGAGAGAAAGAAAGAGGAGAAGGAGGAGGGTAAAGCGGCATTTTATTCTTTGGGGTGGAGTACGTAGGCATAGGGCATTGGGTGTGTCAGATTTTGGGGTGGCAGGCGTTTGATAGGCCGTCGAACCCATTGAACCATAAAATTGGATTGACCATGTGTATCCATGTGGTCGGTGCCTGATTAGATGGGGTTTATTACAATGATCCCATTGGTAACCATTGTCAGGGCCAGGAACAGAGATCTGGTGCGGCCAACCCGAGTGGACTGGTCAACGACTTTCCATGGGTCGTGTCGTTCCTGAGCCACGAAATTAAGTTTTTCATTGTTTTTCTTTTCGATTTCTCTTGTTCGTTGTGACTTGTTCGCCAGCGCTAATTTCTACGGTGGAGATGGGCGCCCGGTCTAGATCGAATCAGAACCCACAAAGAACTCGGACAAAAAGTTTTCAATGCTCTGTCATTAATTATTATTATTATACTTATTGGGCTTGTGGAATTGCGCCACCTGTCTGACATCCGAACCATGCCCCTGAATATCATCTTTTGTGCCTGTTCACAATATAAAAATCAATATAAGAGATCTCCTCGAGTTCTCCAGACCGAAATCGACTTAATCAAAGCTTATTCTTAGGTTCCAACGGGTTAGGAAGGAGGATAGATCGTCACTTTTGCCCTAGTGCCTATTTTGTACTCCGTATCGTGCCCAGCAAGTCTAGACTGTGGATACGAGAGTTGGGTCACATACATACCTAGGTAAGTTTGATTAACGATGCTCTACGGAGTAGTCAGGTACTCTACGGAGTTGTAGTACGTAGGTACGGAGTGAATAATCAGGCACAGACTCCGGGACTTCCCCTTCTCGACGCCACTTCGGTGGATTTAGGCAGCGGGTTCCTAGAAAACTCTGTCGGCATTTATCGTGCCAAGCCCTGGCTAGGTGGCAATCCGTACACACAAGACACATCTGTTTATGAATGGGTACCATACAAATGTATCCTATTATCCCCTCACACCCGTGGACGGATGTGGCGAGCGACCCGCCACGCAATGACCCCGCTCAAAAAGTCCACAGGAAATTTTGTATGTTGTACATTTAAAAGTAACGATGTTCAGGAGTAGCCCCGTAGGCTACATCATTGGGGAAGACATGGGCTTTCCGGGCAACCGATGTATTGGAAACAGGGCCGTCGGTTAAAAATCCGTGTTTCTCAGACCCCGTACAGCTGGCAGCCAACGGGCCACCCCGGCTATAGGTCTCAAGCGCATTGAACACATAACCGAAGACTTGGCGGTCAACGTCGGAGGCCCACAAAAAGTCTAGATGCTCGTAGGTTGGAATCGCCTGGGCGACAGTATCATGTGGCAATCCTTTCAGCATCACTCCAATATCAACGAGACTATCGCTGTCGCCGTACAGGAGGACAATGGGAGTTTTGATGTTGCGAGTAGGGTATTTGACCGGCTTGTAAAACCGCTCGCTAGCAGCTACGCTGAATGGAGCATAGACTTCATCATCGTAGAACTGGAAGTTCTTATTCCGAATGATTTGGAACCAATGCACGACGGATTTAGTGCTGGTGAAGGAATATAGATGCAAATAGGCGGCAAGCTTTTGGGTTTGTTTGATGTTGCGACACTTCCAGTTGAAGAGGGCTTGGAGGGCTGTGTCGATGATACGCACAAATATTGGCGGGTACAGTATCGTTTGCCACATGGTTGTCGAGGATAGGATGCTGCGTCGACCAAATAACAGGAACAAAAAGTCCGGAGAGGCTTTCATTAGTGAATCAACAATGCGGTTGCGGAGACCCGAAGGAGCCATGGCCGGTGCAAGTGCCACGAACACATCAATCTTCTGGTTGAGCAATGGATGAATAGCAAGGGTAGCGAATGCCTGTGCTGTTCCCTGGGAGAATCCAATGTAAGACAACGACGGCTGATTTGTCACTTCGAGGATGTACTCGATGCTGTTGGGGACATCATAAAAGGCGAACTGGTCGATAGAGAAATCCCAAAATTCATTGGAACCAGGCGAGAATCGAATCGACTTCTTGGAGTATTTATTTCCACGGTTGTTCCCCAACCATACATCGTACCCCCTTTCCACCAGCTGAAAGGGCAGGCACCGCTGTTCGTCTGTCAAGGCTACCCACACCTCACTTGACATGAGCAGGCCGTGGTGGAGGTAGACGACCTTTTTCCGAATCCCATTTGGACCTTGATTGACGCGCATGCCTTCTTCCCCTTTTCGATATGCCAGCCGATGAAGTCCAAGGAGGTAACCATCGCTTGTTTGTACGATGTGCTCCTCCGCTTGATACCCAAAGAGGGCACATATCTCGGTGAAATCGGATGCATCTGCAACAGAACATGCAAATGTTTCCTCTTTTGTGCGCTTGGGGCGGGATTCATTAGGAATTAAAAGATTGAAAAGTGCCTTGGACTGGCCATAGCAAAACTTGATGATAGGGCTTGCTGGTTAGGGGTTAATAATGGCATCATCCATTGTTCGGTGATTTTCACTAACGTAGGCACCAAGTAATCAAGTGAATGATTGTCTCCAGCAGAACAAGGATCAAAGACCCAAAGAGCGCTAGGTACTCATACCTAGAGACGTGAATGTCAATTGCTGCGTTCTTTGTGGAAGCTTGGAGTTCTTACCAGAACAGTCTCCCGATGAACGGAACTCGCGACATAATCAACAACAATTGCTATGCATATGTGCAGGTACTCTTGAAGATTCTATGCAAGCGACAGAGATGCTGCAAATGTTTAAAAGCGCAAAACAAGCGATGAATATCCCCCGACGTCATTACCAACATGTGATAGCGATGCTTATCTCATCCGGGGGATTCTCGACATCCGCCAATCAGCGTCGAGATATCTGACAGCCCGAATTTGCCGTGGCCTCGATCTTTTGGTCTCTTGCTGCTTGTGGTTGCGCATTCGTCCACAAGGTCGCGTCAACATGCCCAGCTCATGCAATGATATCCGTACGTTACACCCCCCGAGTCGCACAACAGTCTAAGGGAGGGTCATGTTCCTGACCCAGCTGGACCATCTACCGACGGAAACTGACCACAAATCGATTATCTCAGGGGAGGCTTTAGCCCAATGCCTCCAGGAGTCGGACTGTATCATGGTCCAGCGCCATACGCCACGTGAATGTCTCAGCTCTCCTCTCGCCGAGGAGTTACCCACGAAATGTCAGCAGCTGCGGAAAGGATTCAGCGAGTGCAAGTGAGTCGGAAACTGAGCCTCGACTAGGCCGACTATTATGGACAAAAGGAACATCCGCTAATTATTGCGCCTTCTCTCGGTACAGACGTGGTATGATCGATATGCGCAAGCGCTTCCGTGGCAACCAACCCATCTCGCTATCCAAGGAGATGGACGGGAAATCTGGTAACTCGTCTGGAGGGCAGCTATATGCTGGACAACCGGCATACCAGACGGTCAAGGAAATCAACGGAAACGAAGTACAGATGGATCCAGAGAAGACAAGGGGCCTGTAAAAAGGGTATTTGGATTCGCTGATTACATGCTGGCATGGCCCGGAGTTCGGTTACGCTCAAAAACATACATTTCTTCTCTGATACTCACTTCTCTCGAGACCGACTGAGATTCTTCATACCCAAGTCCGATAATACATATTATACCTTCACTATCTCTTCCAGAACACCCACCAGGCGGTCAGGCATACTCAAGAACGGCGAATGCGAGCTCGGAAGACGGTGGGTAGTGTCAGGCCCGCCCATTTTTGAGGCAAAGAACTCCTGGATAGCTGGCGGCAGGGCCAGATCCTGCTCGCAGATGATGTAGGAGCAGGGGATATCGCGCCACGGCTCATATGTGGTTTCACCCGAAAAGACCGCACGCGAGGTGTGCATTGTCGTGCGATTCCATTTTTCTTGCTGCTCGACGGTCAGGTCCTGCCAGCCGACGGCCCCGGTGCCGTCGGCGCGAGCGTAGTCGCCCTTTTTCTTGGTCAGCTGGATCTTGGACAATGATACCGATCATATGATGCTGGATGGACTAACCTCGACCTTCATCCAGGGTAAATAATTTCCTCCCAGCATTCCCAGCAAGCTCTGGTCTTTGTCTAACGCAAAGGCAGCTAAGATAGATAACCTTCACAACACCTCCTGATTTTCCACTCTCCGCACGAACATGCTTCACCAGCCCCTCGCTAGCTGTGGAGGCTACGACTCCGCCATAGGAGTGTGCCACAAGGACAATGTCCTTTCCCTCATCTGCTAGAATCGTCAATACCCCTACGCAGAGAGGCAACGTCGTCTTCCAATGTCAGGGAAGGGGGCTCAGCGCCGATAGAGGGGTGCGCGGGGCACTCAGAAGGATAACCGAGGGTATTCAGACGGTCACGCACGGCATCGAAGACGATGGGAGTGAGCCAAGCACCGAGGGAGAAGACGAAAGTCGGTTTATCCATTTCCGAAAGATTCAATTGCGTAACGGGTATATACAGGAGGGCAACGTTCGAAAGAACGGAACATATTAGAATCGAGGCTAATCTTTCTCACCTATCATTGAAGCCACGTCCAGAAGCGACGAGTCCAGTTGCTGCTTCGGGCAAGTGTGAGTGCTAGTAATCATTGTTAGACCAATTTAGGATGAACTAAATGGCCCGCTGTGGATATTTGGGACCAACGGCAGTCAATTTCATCCTTTGCGGATTTTTTAGTTTAATTCACATCCTATCAGACTTCTGCCCTCTTTTCGTGTAAAGGCTATTGCGCTTAATATAGTGCCGTCTTCGCGAACATCTGCCGCTTCAGTACCATTCTCATCACTGGGGTTGATATACCCTTGGACCGTAGACGCAGAGTTAGACAGGCTGCAGGCTGACGATTACGGATGAAACATGCCAATCCGAACTCAAATTCCAATAGATATAGATCGGGAATTAACAGCCAATACCAATGCGGATGGTACTACGTTCCTTAATTTCGGTTTCAGTCCATCAAACCCCGGACAAGTCACTCAAGTGTATTAGCGAACCAAGTCATTCTTTAGATCCCTCCTGGCAATAATCAAAGCAAACAGAAGGAGCAGGAGAATATCATATCATTGAGAATTGGTCATCTTTGGACCTAATGTGTTCATTTGGAGATCAAGAATCATGCAACAAAATTGAAAATCATGGACAGACAGTCCAATGCATACAGAATATAGATTTACTGAGTCTTCTTAAGCTTATCAGTCACAGGGGCAGAGTAGAGCCAGACAATGACGAAAGCCAAAAATCCTCCAATCACCGACCAAAGACCGGCAATCCATACCCAGCCGCCAGTAATAGCCCAGCTGCGAGGGTACTCGTCGTGTGCAAAGTGGCGGTTGGTGACCTCATGCTTCTCCTCGATGGAGGTCAAGAAGGGACGCTTGTAGTTGACGCGGAAGGAGAAGATACCGTGCTGATCGGGGGTCACAAACTGAGTGCTGAACACAGTGCTGGTATCGGTGCGGTGAGTGGGTTGGAGGGTGAGACGGTGGAAGGGCGAGAGCATGGTGAACTCGAGCTGGAGAGCGTCGTCGCCGGGGACTTCGAAGGGAACCCACTTGTCATAGACGTACTCGGAAATCTCAATGCTGTAGATCTGCAGGCAAATAAAGATAGATGGTTAGTTTGGAAGACAAGGACAATATATGGATGTTTCACGCACAGTCTCGTTCTTGATCCGGTAGATCGAGGGGTTCAATTCGGCGCCCTCAGTGGCAAGGCGATGCTCGACCTTGTCAACCTTAAGGACACCAGTCTCCTTGAAAGCCCAAGCAGTCAACTGCTTAGCGAACTCGCGGTTCACGGTGGAAGTCTTCTTGCCGCTGGGTGTCTTGACGGAGGCAGAGAACCACTTGTCCTCCAACGACTCCACTGATCCGAGAACAGTGAAGCGGGCAGAGTTGCGGGCCTGCATAGCGGAAACGATGTTCAGCTGCGAACCGGTAGCCAGGATATCCTCCGCCGCGGGCATGCCCTCCTTGGGGTTGTAGCTGTAGGCTGTGGCGGGGGCCCTGAGAATCGGAGAGAGGAGGGCGCTGTCACCGAGAGTCTGGGGAGCAACTCGGGGGAGGGCAAGAACACCTTCACCATCAAAGAAGGCCTTGACGTCAGAACGGAGAGGTCCAGGGCGCTGGAGAACAAGGACGTCATGTTTCTCAGCGGCCGAGAGGGTGTCGTAGTTGAAGTGGTCGACAACGACTTGTGAGCGATCGGTGGAGAGGTGAATGTCGAGTTCAAGGAGAAGGGAGCTGATGGCGCTGGAGGTGGCAGTCTTGCCAGAAAGGGCGAGGAGGATGTTGCCATCCTTGTTCATGAAGTCGAGGATGTGTTTTGGGGTCAAGGAGGGGCCGAGGCCTGTATTCTTGGGTCAATTGACTAAACATTGAACCAATTAAATCGGGGGTTCCCACCTTTGGACTTGGGAGGGAGGATCAGGAGGTGATCGTAAGCTCTTTCGCCGTGCTTGAACAGGGCAAGCTGTTCACTCTTGGAAGATTCGATTGAGACATCATATCCCCGTGCTGGAATCCGAGAGTTAGCAAATAATTCCGTAGACTAAGGAAAAGTAAATTACCCTCTAGGTCTGCCCACAACGTGGAGTATAGGTCCTTCTGTTCTGTGTCTTCCAGAATGGCCAACAGGCGACTGCCGGAGCTACTCAGCGCATTTACCACAGCCAAGAAGCAACAAATGAGCAACGCAAGACACCACCTCATTTTGAACAAATTCCGCACAGCGGAGCGGAAGGATCAAAAAGAAGTAAGTAAAGAAAGGTGGTTGAGGATCCAAGTTGTATAGATAGCCAGAAAGGGCGACGTGTTTAATGGGCGAGTGCCAAGACCTGAGAGCGCTGGGTCCGCATCTCCGAACTTCGACTTCACCTCGTCCCTCCGGCTTCAATTTTGCTTCTCTGATTCCTGCCACTCAACAACCACTAAGTGGGACCGGTGAATCTGTTCATTTGTGCGCGCTTGAACAGTACTATTCTATTACTCAAGCATTGACCTCCTACCTATATCGGAAAAACCTCGTCGTCAACGACCTCTTGCTACAACATGTCTACCCCTCAGTTCTGGTCGACCCCCTTCCGCTACATCCGCTGGGCTGCGCACGAGAAGCCAGCTATCCTCGCTTCTCTGTGCATCGGCTTCATGGGTCCCGTTTCGCTGGCCACGATTCCCCCCATCCGCCGCGCCCTCGGTGACGTCGACCCCGAGCCCGTTCCTCTGACATATCCCAGTATGAACCCATTCAATTCCCTACAAATTGGTGCACGAGCATCAAAACTATATATAAGTAATTTTGAATCTGACCAATGTTTTCAATACGCACAGTTCCGCAGGGTCCGCGGGTGATCCCCAAGGGCTACGATGACGAATAAATTGGTTCAGAACTACGAAAACGTCAAGTTATCGGAAGTTAGAGAGAATCTCGTGTATTGTCCGAGCCTGGGAAGAATAAATTCAGCGGATGGCAGGAGATGAGTTGGCTGTGCCACTGGACTGATGAACAAGCCTCATCGCATCAGTGTGGGCAACCGAAAAAGACTTGTTCCGGGGCAACTTCTCCTGGCCATCAACATGCTTTGATACCAATATTTGTTTCGCATACGCCGAATGTCGAGCCCGGCGCTACAGTGTATGTACTACGTTTTGCGCAATATAATCGACATCAGCTCGCTTTTCTATGTTCGAGTCTTGGCTATGTTAGGAATAATTGCATTTTTGCGCACCAACGGTCCGATATGACCTTCCTACAATAGAGACAGGCTACCCTCATATTTAGTGCTACCTATAAAATCCGATCCATTATAGAATTTGCATTACACTCCGAAGCCGCAGCCTCAGGTCTGGACAAAAAGTCAGTGATTTAGTAATGATATGATATGTTGATTCATCCAAGGTAAGAAATTATGCAGAGTAAGAGATTCATTAGAATCATGGAGTCCACGATCTTGCATATCAAAACGTCAATCACAGAAGACGGACCAACGCCGCAAATGCTCGTATCTACATGTAGGTCACCAGCCTTAGTTTATCGAAGCACAACGCTCTCGCAAACCAAAGTATAAAAAAAAAAAAGTAGAACAATAAATCCCTCCTTTCAAGGGAAAGACGAAACCAAAAAAAAAGAAGTTGCTAAGAACACACAAATCCTGTACACCGTTAAACCAACGAAAAGGATCACATTATTGTGGGGGGTGAGTATGCCCGGAATCCTGAGACCAGAAAACAAACAAAACGCTCAAGTCCGGACCACCTTTTCGTAAACTCAATCAAGCAAATCACTCCTACTCCTGGCTGGCCAGTCGCACAAAAGCATGGGAGAGAAATCAAAATAAAGACGGATGTCCACGGGAAGTCCAAGCTCCTGCTACAGAGCAATTGGGTTCAATTCCAGTGGGAGTCCATGGGCAAAAATAGAAGTGGGATTCATGTCCAATGAGAAGTGGAAAGTTCCCTTGACTAGGCCATTTGAAGTGGGATGTAAAACATTGAACATCTCTGGCTTGGTCTGGATTTCCTGGACTGGAGACGAATTGGGAATTTGAGAATTGTGGCCGAGAAGAGGAAAGAAAGGCGTAAAGATTGTCCAGGAAGACTTTCGTAGACATCAACATTATTCCTAGGAGTATTGTGGAGATATTCCAGGAAGAAAGCATCAAGTGGACCGCAATGTGGATGGAGAGAGAGAGAAAAGGAATCATAAATGCAGGAAAACCCTTGAGGCGGTCATTCTTGTTTACCGCCGACGGTGGGGGTTATCTCTGGTTGCTTGTGGCCTGCGCTCATACTCTGGAGTGTATCTGGGTTCCATTCCTATCCGGGGATCCGGGGCAGTAGTGGTAGGATAGGACATCCCGGAAGTTACAGTAGAGTACTCCTGTTCGGCATCATATCCAGGTCCGGGGTATCGGGGAGCATTGCTTCGGCCAGTGTCGTAACCATAGCCCGTGGGGGCATATGTGTACGATTGTGGGTGCATGTCCGCAGACGTCACAATGGGCTGGTTGGAACCAGAGTAGGAAACCTGGGGTGGAGGGTACGGAGCTGTACCTGATGCATATGGCGAGTGAGTGGTGGATGTGTATGAGGAAGGATTTGTGTAGGGGGCATTCTGGGATCCACTGTAGGAACCCTGGGAGTAGGGATCCATGTATGACTGAGCGGGCGCTGCAGTGAATGGCGTAGGGGATGGGCCCTGTGACTGGCGAACCTCATGAACGGGCGCAGGGGCATAGGTCGCTGGAGCGGTGTTAGGTGGATGAGATACGTTCGTATCTTGAATATAATTCCCACGCGGGTAGCCTAGGTCAGCCCGGCGTGAGACGTCCGCCTCCCAACGAGCGGAGTCAGCCTTCAGATCAGTAATCATCTCCTGTATCCAATGTGTGGTTAGAATGCCATCTTGACTTATCCCGCTTGTTGTCGCTTGTCCATAGTCACTTACAGATGTGAGATTCCGATAGGCACGGATAAAGAATCCTGAGCGGCCCTGTTCATTGTCAGTCAAAATGGCCTGTTTCGAGTCATCGGGTCAAGAGCGGAAGACGCACATTGTGGTTGCCAGGTCTCACGAGGGCATCGTTTCCAAGGTAGCGACAAATATCTGCTTGAATCACTTCTCGGCTGATTCCTTCACCAGGGATGAAATATTCATTCTGACGCTCCGGGCGTGCATCATAGCGGCCTGTCATAATGTATTCCGAGGGAGGAAAATATCCGGTTTAAAAATTAAAGTCCTCGGATCCAAATGGCCAGAAATGAAGAAGTCCGGAGTTATGGTAGATGATTTGAGAGTCCTGGGAAAGTTGATGGACGGTGGTGAGTCCGTTTTTATTGTAGGATGTACAGATTCTATCAGGCGACGAGCAGGTTCCAAAGCCGACAATCAACGACTTGAATGATTTGGTTCCTCGATTCCAGGGCAAGCAGAAAACGAGATACGATCCTTGGGAAGTGGCCAGAAAGAAATTGATCCTGGTCGCGAATAGTAAAATGTCCTTAGTGGGAAAAGTCCGGGTAATCCTGGGAAGAAATCCTGGCTGGTTGTCCACTGGGGCAATTATCCTGGGGAAATTGAGAAGGCCTCAAAGAATGGTGATTGAATAGCGACAAGAGGTTGACAGGGTGCTCAAGAGAGAATGAGTTGTCAGGATTAGGAGAAAGAGAAACACGGGTGAGGGGTCCTGTGGGCTGTCTGTAATCTGTTCGGGATGAACTAGATATTTGCCTGGGGGGGAAAGAGGAAGAGTAGAAGTGCTGGCAAGAGAAGCCAGAGGAATATGGAAAGGAAAAGAAAGAAAGACGAGAGAGAAGAAGAGGAAGAAGAGGGGGGGGAAGGGTAAAGTGGACATACAAAGAGGGCGGTTGGGCCGTCTTGGGCTGGTGCCACGACTCCCCACTGAGATCAAGGCAAAAGCATGCATGTTCAAATGTGGATTAGACTGATGTGCAACCCTATGCCTGTAGCCGCTTGAGAATTTTTCATTTTCTATTTGTATTATTATAGAGGACTATATGCCCAGTACGGTGTACATACATATATTGTACTCATATGTCAATATAACGGAGTATGCATATACTCCCCTCCTGACACTTCCAATGTTGGAAAAAGTAAATGGTAAGCAATTGTAGCCAGCTGTACTCCGTACAGAGTGGATACTTCGAGATGTACTTTGTACCCTAAAACTAGACCTTAAAAGGGTTGCTCTTTGTTTCCTACTAGATTTTAGTCGGGACAAAAAAAAAAAATAAGGGCCGATCCCCCATATTCAACCAGCTTGGATTGCTCCTTAGTCTGTGCCCCTGGACTGGATTAATATCGAAACTCAACATGACTCCACCGGTGGATCTTCAGCAGCGGTCAAGAACTGTTGAGGAAACAAGATAAAAGCCGTCAGATGTTCATCTGTATGGTGTAAGAGGGCAATGTCGAGGGGGCAAATCATAGGACCCATTGTGATTGATCCCTCACACACCATCTGCGAAACGAGCATGACAGCCAAGGGCCAATCTGTTGACAGAAAGGACCGGTGGCGACCTGCGAACTTGCCACCTGGAAAGCTGGCAGCCGATGTCCACACGAGATGACCGTTGGGCAGGAATGCGTGGCTTTGGGCACCTGCGCGAAGCCTCCGAGCCTCTGGTCCACTCATAGCCCGCCTGTGTCAGCTGGATCGCACAGATCGGAGATCACCCTGTCTCGTTTCTTTTTTTCATGTTCGAGACCTCTGCAGTGGGCGAGTTACAATGTCGAAAAATCCTGCATGAGAACACAACATCTGACTGTGCAGGGGTGGGTTGAAGAAAAAATAAGCAGGCACTAAGTGATGGGTCATTTGGATATCCCTGGTCCATAACTCTGGGGAATATGTGAAAAAAATAAATTGTGGCTGTCTCTGGACTTGTATAGTCATTGTACAAGAACATATAATATTGTATTAATTCTTGATATGTAAAGTGTAATGGAAATTCCAATGTTGAATTGAAGACCTAGATGAGGAACAACACGAACCTCAGGCTGAAGCTAACACGTGCCCGCACTAGTCCATTTTGGGTTCTCGTCCCAAGGTTGAGAGCATCAGATTCCAAGCTCTGATCTGACCGACCCCAATGGTTTGGTGTTCACCGTCATGACGCGTGTACGAGCATGTCCGAACCTACCGAGACGTCCGATCCCTTGAAGGTCTCCCGTTTTACCTATCGACAATTGCAAGGCTTGCGACATGGATCCACGGCAACCCCGCTACGTGTGATTGCGCATATCGATCTCGATGCCTTCTATGCGCAATGTGAGATGGTCCGCCTGGGAATTCCGCGGGAGACACCATTGGCAGTGCGGCAATGGGACTCTTTGATTGCCATCAATTACGCTGCGCGACCCTTCGGAATCAGCAGATTGATCAATGTTGCGGAGGCCAGGAAACTTTGTCCAGACCTCGTCTTACAGCATGTCGCGACTTTTCGAGAGGGGGAAGGAGGACGGTGGGCATATCGGGATGATTCATTCAAGAACATCAGCACGGACAAGGTGTCGTTGGATCCGTACCGAGCACAATCGCGAAAGATCCTCCAAACGATGAAGGAGGCTCTGGCTACATGGGGTGCCGATAATACGGAAGTCGAAAACCAGAATTCGAGGCAAGAGCTTTCGGCTGTGTTAGAGAAAGCCAGTATTGATGAAGTATTCATTGATTTGTCCCCGTTGATATATAGGGCGCTTCTTCAGCGATACCCAGAACTTCTGATTGGAACACAAGACGAGACCCGGGATGCAGAACTGCCTACACCGCCGACCACGGCCTTGCGGTGGGACACCGACTGCTTGGTGGATTTGGATCAACATGAAACGGAGGAAGATGATCCAGACTGGGACGACATTGTCATGCTGATAGGATCCGAGATTGTACGATCGGTGCGGAACACAGTTTGGGAGAAGCTCGGCTATACATGTTCCGCTGGGCTTGGCCGCAATAAGATGATCGCAAAACTAGGAAGTGCTTGCAATAAGCCCAATCTACAAACTGTAGTGCGGAATCGGGCGGTGCAGAATTTCCTAGGTGGTTATAAATTTACTCAGATCAGAATGCTGGGTGGTAAACTCGGCGAGCAAATAACTGCCGCCTTTGGGACAGAGAAAGTCAGCGATCTTCTTAATGTACCGCTTGAGCAATTGCGCACCAAGCTGGCTGACCATACGGCATCCTGGCTTTACGGAATCATCCGTGGTGATGACCGCAGCGAGGTCAATCCCCGAACACAAATTAAATCTATGCTATCCGCGAAGTCTTTCAGACCGAGCATCAACTCACTTGACCAAGCTGAGAAATGGCTCCGTATCTTCGCAGCTGATATATATGGCCGGCTTGTGGAAGACGGCGTGCTTGAAAATAGACGTCGTCCGAAGGTGATCACGATGCACTATCGAACGGCGCAATCTCATTCTCGCCAAATTCCAATCCCAGGCTCCAATGCAATTGACGAGAACCTTCTCTACGATCTGGCCAATACTTTGCTTCGTCAAGTTGTGGCTGACGGACAAGCATGGCCCTGTTCCAACTTGTCGTTGAGCGTGTCAAGCTTTGAAGACGGCGTGAGCAACAATAAGGCTATTGAGGGATTCTTGATTCGCGGTGATCAAGCGAAAGCTCTGAGTCATTCGTCAAGACTTCGAGATGCCGGTAGTTCCCCCAGTGAACAAGCCCAAACCGAGAAAAGACGGAAGCTTGACGGAGAAGGGGGTGGGATAAAAAGTTTCTTTGGAAATCCATCACGTCTTGAAGATACTGCTACAGATGAGCCCGATGGCCCCGAAGAACCTGTTGAAAAGGACCCTGGATTGAGCGGAATTCCCCGTTTCGTATGTCCACGGTGCTCTAAATCGATGTTCGAGTATGAAAAGGAAGAACATGATGATTGGCACTTTGCCAAGGACCTTGCAAGCCAGGACAGAGAGGAGGCTATGGCTTCACAGGCGCCACCGCCTACGAAAAGCAGTGCACGTGGTGCAACTGCTCGTGGAAAAGGTGGCCGAGGTGGAGGGAGTCGGGGTAAGCCTAAGCCCGAAAAGGGACAGATGCGACTTGCTTTCCAGTGACCTACGAGCCCTATATATGATCTGCTTTCACTTGGCTTTTAGCTACTATATACCCAATGCCTTGAATAAAACTATGCTATTGTCTGATTGGGCGAACTGATATCAATTGCTTCATACTCCGTATACGATTTAATCTATACGTGGCGAATCAACCAACAATGCACAATTAGGCTCGAATGTTCAAGGAGTTATGTTGTTGTTGTATACTATGCGGCTTTGGCTGGCTACAAGGACTCTGACGCCAAGCACTATAGACCCCACACTTGTCAACCCCAAATCGGCCGTTTTTGAAAAGAGAACCAAGGTTCCCGAGGTCCAGTGGCAAGATTAGCTAAGATTCCGGGGTAGAACATCCATGGATTGGAACTATAGGCGTTGGGAGTAAACAAACATGAAGATGTTGAACGGAATGGTTGTTCAGCTCCTAGATCTGCAGTGTTCTAAGAGAGCCAGTGACATCAGCCGCGGGGTCGGATCACTTTGCTTTTCGCCAGCCCTTCAAGGTCACACGGGCTGCGTTTTCGTTTCCATATCTTGTATGGGCCAGTGCTCTTAGTCGAATCACTATCTGCTTATTTATGTTGTTTGTCGTACTATGATTAGCTGCCCAACTGTGATGATCGTGACTAGAGCACAGTCCACCTTCCTCGCAAACCCCACCATTCACCAACTATCTCGCTTCCAAGATTGACCGTTGCCTTGAACTGAACCCTTAACAGATTCCTGCGCTAAAGCTCTGAATCTCAGAGTCTTCTCATCGCGGTCGAGATATATTTCCGACCGTAAAAATCCAATGCGGTGGTCGCTAGCACAGTCCCACAATGTCCCGCCGAGCACCACCCCGCGACTACGACGAGCAAGATGAATTCTACGAAATGGAACGGGAGCGCGAGCGAGACTATAGGCCGCGCCGACGACATCGCGACTATGAGGATGATGTTGAGTATCGTCGGCGAAGGTCAGAGCCCCTAGCCGAGGATATGGAGCGTATGCACATCCGAGAACGATCCAGGCGAGACTTTATGGAAGAAAGCTTTGCGCCGCCGCGAACACGGGATGACGTGGTTCTCATGCGGTCAAGGGAGGAGGTAGATATGGCCTCGCCTGAGCGATATATGCCTTTAGACCACGATGATGCCTACAGGCGGCCGTCCGGGTCCCGGCGTGAGACCTCGTCCTCGTGAAATAGACGAGGAGGATATTATTTTTGAGGAACGGGAGAGACGTCGGGGCACAGGACGCCGTCCGCGAGGCATCGAGGAGGATTTAATTTTCATGGAGAGAGAAAGACGTGAAGATGGGAGGCGTCGTCCTGAACGAGAGCGAGAAGACGAAGACGATCCTTTCATTGATGAAAGGGAAAGGCATCGAGATAGGAGGTATCGCCGGGAGCGAGCATCCCAAGAGGATCTTCTGTTTGAGGAAAGAGCAAGGGAAAGAGACAGCGGCAGGAGGCGTCGTCTAGAGCCCAAATTCGAGAAGGACGATGAACTCATCCTCGAACGGGAAAGACGCCGAGGAAGTAGACGCCATCCTCGGGAATTTAAAGAGGAGGTTTTCATTATTGAAGACAGAGAACTACACAGAGGGAGCAGGCGTCACCCAGAACGAAGATCTGAGGACGATCTTCTCTTTGAGGACAGAGAAAAACGTCACCGCAGGCGACGTCCAGAACGGGAATCTGATGAGGACCTATTAGCTGAGGGGCGAGCGAAACATGGAGGAAGAAGACACCGCCCAGGGCGCGAATTCGAGGAAGAGGAAATGGTAGTCCGACGGAAAGAAAGAGAAGAGCCTCCTTTACGTCGCGGATGGGATAGTGAACTCGATATTCGATCGCGTGATAGGAGATTGGAGTTCGAGGAAGAGCCATACCATCGACCACGGCCACGGCCTCCACCTCCCCAAAGGGTCGAGGTGGAAGAGGTCCTCCTTGACGATGCGCCAGGGCGACACCGAGGCCCGATCGATTCTCCAGATCCAGAATCTGAAGAGGATGACGTGGTCATTCGGCGGAAGGATAAAGGGCCACGACCGGCAGACCGTGTTGATGAAGAGGAGATAGTCATACGCGGACGTGAAAAACGACGCAGTGTACCTTCGGAGGATCTCCAACGTGAATTAAGAGGTCTTCGGCGAGAGGATAGGGAACAGATTCCACTGGACGAAGAGCCTAGCGTGCGCCCGCAGCTGGACTCCAAGTCACGCTCCCGAGACCTTGAAGAGGTTAAGGAAGAGACCAGTATCCGGAAAACAAAGGACAAGCTCCCATCTCGCCAGCCATCGCCTTCTTTGGATTCCATACATGCACCCCCAATCCGCCAAGAAGACGTGTTTACCCACGATAGGAACATTGACCATGGTAAGACTGGTCTTGATAGCCCAACAACAAGATTCTTCTAACCAAGTGCAGACTATAAAGACGCCCGTACACCTCGTGTGCGCAGTCCGGAACCGCGGTCCCGGAGAGGTAGTTTTGATGAAATCGATATTCACCATCGGTGTGTAAATCAATCCTCATCTCAGCCTCGCGCTAACATCTGGTCTCAGAAAAATGCGAGGTGGACGAATGTCGGATGAAAGCATAGTCCTCGATCACAGTGACAGTGAAGACTCTCTCGCTCCAGAAGACTCAATATCTCCAACTAGCGGTCCAGCTGTTGATTTCAACGACCCGTGGGAGCGGGAAACAATAACCGCAACTCGTCGTCGGCCCAAGCCGCTAGAAGACGAGAGCGAGTTAGCTTACAGCCGCGAAATTAGAGATGCCCCTTCCATGCATGACGTTGAAAAGGATATAATGATTGAGAGCGCCAGGCTTGTAAACAAGGCCCCAAGAGGTACGGACGACTGGTCTGTGGTGCATACTCCATCCCCGGACGAACCCATTGAGATGACCGGAGCTTTGGACGTTGTTGAGGTCAAACCTCGACATTCGTCAGTGGCTGAAGCAAAAATTGGACGAATTGCCCAGCAGGTCACGGACCCGGAGGAGACACGAAACGATCGGTGGACCGAAATAGCGAAGAGATTGGTAGTGAGGGAAGCTATTGAACACATGGGATTCGAGTACGAAGAGACGAGGACGTGCTACTACATCTTCTCGTACCTCAAGTCGGTACGTATTGTCCGGGTAGACTGCTTCCTTGGATTCTGACTCGTTCCGGCCACAGGATGACATAGATGAGCTTGTCGAATTGTCCGACGAGATTCGAAGTGCTCGTCGTAGACGCATCCGTGACATTCAGCGGGAGCGGGCCTCTGTGCCAGATCTCGAACCCCGAAATAGACCTCATGTGGCAATGCCTCCAAGGGCACGGATGATAGAGAAACGCATGCAAGATATTCGAGACCGAGAATGGTTTCCTCGGCGGTGATGCTGCCTACTGAATGTGATGTTTATGGCCCATGCTATGATAGCCTTTTACGCCGAATTTGGAAAGTGCCGTCGACGCTCTGGTGTATATATTCAAGGTGGAATATCCTCAATTTGAATGAACTCGTCGGTTCCTTCCTCGACTTGGGCGAAAACGCGCGGGTCCCCGTTCGAACGTATAAAGAGCTCCAGATCAAAACGAACCTTCCAGTTTCCTTCACACGCCGACCACGTGCCTGTCGCGGCAATCATCGGATTTCCGCAGCATTCACCGTCTTTTCTGATGGATCTAGAACTGGCCCACGTGATCAATATGTCAAACGCATCTGCGAGTACAGTTCCCTCTGGAAGTTCTTCGGAACTAGGCCGCTCCCCCACCGTGGTTCGTGTGAGTGATGAGCGCTTCAATATCCAGTCGCCCCAGCGTAGGATTCTCATTCGCCAATTCAAGAAAGCTGTTCTTGATCAGGAGATACCTACCCCATTGTGGGCCGTTCTCCAGTTGTGCGACCTTGAGAAGCTTGAGTACATGGTACAGCTTGCCCGCTTCTCACTGAGAATCATAGACCCCTTTGCTGAACTCATTTGTGCTCTTCCATTCAAATGGTCGGTGACACCATCTCCCTCTCAACAGCGAGGAGCAGCATTCTGGTCTCCTACTTTCAGCCCGCGGCGACATGTTCCACCCGTTGCAATCTATGCCGCCAGAGAACGAGATGGACAGAAGTGTGTCATCACAGGCACCCGCAAGATCTACCAAACTACTCCAATCTTCCCAGCTAGTGCAGTCAACGCCTTCTTGCAAAACGATCCGAAGACTCCTAACATTTGGGCATTCGCGGATGTGTTCTGGGGAACGAGCACGACTTCAAGATGGAAAAGGGCTTTTTTCAATGACCCAACCAGCCCCAACAGTCCCGTCAATGATTGTTCCAATCTGATCTGCCTTCGGAGAGACCTTCGGACTGCATGGTCAAGTGGTTTGTTCGCCCTGCGTCCCGCCTGGATTTCTGACGATATGACCGCAATGGAAATTGAATTCTATTGGCAGCCAAAGCCAGACCACACGCTTTTTAACACCGTTGATGTGGCCAAGCTGCCTCCCTCCACCAAGAACGTCCACAGCGTGGATCAACTGATCTTGGCGGTAGGAAATCGAGGAGAAGCAACACATCGTGCCATTGAATCCGGCTACCGCTTCAGAATGACAACCGACGACCCGATCCTTCGACCCCTTCCAAGTTTCGACTTGCTGGACATGCAGTGGCATTTCACTCGATTGACCGCCTTATGCGCTGCGACCAGCTTCTTTGATGAGGAGGAGGACGAAGACGACGCCGGATCAGACAAGACTACCCAACCGGATCACCCTCTGTCTTCCAACCCTCCAGACGACGACATTCTGGCTTGGGTTAGATCTTCTTCCGTTTCATCTGATGATGAGCCCGAGTCAGACTTCGTGGAGGACATTGATGCATCGATGACTGGCCCTCTGCCAGGGTCCGACACCAATCGTTCGCGCGCTGTTAGTGAGTCTTCCAAGAGCTCCGAGAAGTCGGCGGCTTCGGCGGCTTCGGCGGCTTCCGAAAGTACAGAGGAGTCAGAGGTGGTTGATGTGATCTCCGGAACTGGCCGACTATCCGTTGACTTCGTACGCGAGAGTTAAACGATGGGTGCAAGTCCAGCACATGTCATGTACAACAGCACAGACTAGTTCACTTCCTGCGCATATTCTTATGTCGCAGATGTATTCCTGAAACCCCTTTAATATGAAACCATTTTCATTGAATCTTGAATGGCCACGAAACTGACTTGACCTCTAGAAATAAAAAGTAAGCACAAATGTATAGACTTTCAACTCCGACATCTGGTTCGCGGATGTCTCATGCAGGCTGCAACAGTGATCGCCACTGTAGGCTTGTTTCAGAGTCGGGACGCCACCTGCAAGCCACCAGGTACGATAACAATAATTAAATAATCGGAGCTCCCTTGACTTTGCCACATCGTGAGTCGAGACCTTGCAAGAAGACAAAAGAGGGAAAACCTCGATCGGCTAACCCTACGCAGCTGAAGGCCCCCTGCGGGAGATTACGTCGTACTGGGCTAATACCGCATTTGCAGTGGGTTTGTCTCAGCCATAATAGCGGCCACAACATCATCACTCCAGGACACTAGACTTGGCATTGTGTAAGGATCGGTCAGCACATTTGTATTGATGTTGGTATCGCAGAATGTACTAGACCAATGATCCTCGGTATTATTAAAAAGCTATTGGATTGTATCGCTTATGAAAGTTCTGTACTCGGCTCCGAGAACACTAAAATGTCTATGTACGGAGTACTAACCAGTTATATTATACATATGGAACACGAAGTCTTTATCCTTCAGTCTGTTATAAGAGAAATCGTAATCTGTGCAATTTCAAGATCAAAGGCCATTAGCGTATCGCTTTTACGTTTTTACCTACGTACGAGTGGAGAATTCCCCACTTGGGAGATGAGCTCAGATTTCGATAAGTCGAGAAAGGAAATAACCTTTGAAAAGGGGAAATCATGACGATGTACTCCGTATACCTACCTAGGTACAGTGTTGTCCTACTCTGTGTGTTAATATGTGGTACCAGACCGTATTATGATATGCAAGCTATCAGTTCATACGTTCTATATTGTAGAGAAAAAAAACGCGGCAGTTGCACCTAATAGCCGGTAAATCACGGTGTTTCATCATCCCCAACTCGCTTCGATCCGGCAAATCACAGCGATCTCTCGAGTCGATCGTTACTGGAGCCTGGGCATGGGGGGTCGAGAGGGAGCATACGGTGTACTCCGTACAGTATACAATCCTCAGGGTGATATAATTCCCTGTGTTACCTCAGGGCGTACACTGTACAAGGGGATTGGGAAGGTGACAGGTGTCCATTTCATGATACAACCTTGGAAGACTCTAATGACCACTTGGTCCAGTTCCTATACATATGTAACTGCATTGAGGCTAAGGTGAACAGTGGAGTGGAGGACTTTATTGTCACCAAGTTGGTTTTAGGAAGGTTCTTAGGGAGCTTTCTTTATCCATCCCCGCGTACTTATAAATAATTCAAAATTAATATACAAAGGCCAAATTCGGAACATTCTTGTTCTGGGAAGTTTTCTCTCCACTCAATTACGTATGTCCACAAATATAACATACGCTATAACCCCGGTCAGAATGCACTGGCGATCTCTTGGGCAACTGTTTCAAATATAAAGAAAATGATACATAAATAGAAGCACACTATCCGTACTCCGTACTGCGTACATATTGTTTAAAGAGTACAGAGTCTACCTAGGTAGAGGTAATAATAGAGATCGAAAAAGGGAAAAAAAGAAAAGAAAAGGTATGAAGGGCGGAATGTTTCCTTGGTGTAGCGATCTTTGGTCTTCCAGTCAGGCCACCCCAGTGGAGAAAAGCGCATTAGGAAAAAAGTCAATAACCTTGGAAAATACTGTGTTATACTTGTACGTTATACTCCGTACCTTCCAAGGTTATCCCCTCGAGGGTGTTATGTCTTATAAGATTATATGGCTTTTTATAGGCTCTTATTTTGTACATATGTACGAAGTACCTCACAGAGATAACAACATTGTAGATAGCATATAAAGGGTCCGTGTCTGCAGAGTAAAAAAAAGAGAAAAGAAAACGAACCAAGATCGAGAACTGTAAATAAACTACTAATATCTCTGGAGATCCCAATTAATAATTCAAATCTCATAGATAAAGGAAATAAGGAAATAAGGAAATTCAGTCTCCACCGGGTATGTCGGGAGGCTCGACATACTCCGGTGAGGAAGTAGGATTATGGGCATAGCCCGTGACTGTGGAGATCCCCCTTCTCTTCTCTCTCTTCCTCTTCCTCTCTCCTACACTCGACTTTTGCGATCTTCGTTCTTCGTTCTTCGTTCGGTTTCCTTTCCTTTCTTTCTTTTCTTGTTATTTTTTTGTTAGCCCTTTAGCCCTCGGAGACACCCATCGGGACAATGTGTCTTTGACACGGGACAACCTACGACTTTTTCAGTGTTTAGTGGGGGATCAACAAGTAACAATTGGGACCTTTTTGATCGACTGCCATCGACATACGGAGTACTCCATAATAGATTCTTCGTTCAGACATCCGACTCTGGTCCATAAGTGATCGACAATTCACATCGGTCGGCCCACAGCCAATTTCGATCTTCCCTCTGCGCCTACGAACTTCTTACCGTCATTACCCTCACGGCGGGATCTGGGTGGAAAATAAAGAATATTACAAATATTGAGGACAGGCGATCGGGTCTGATAAAAAAGTTATCGAGCACACCCACTATGAAGGTCGCGGTGGTGGTCTCAGCTTTTGCTCTCCTGGCTCAGCCATTCGCGTCGGCCGAGTCCAGCCTCGCATACTGTGCTTCAGACAACACAGGGTCTTCCTTCAAAGCAGGCAAGTGATCGCAAACTTATATAGGTTTGGTTATATCGCTGACTTTTCACAGTTTCCGACACATTTCAATCAAATGGAGCATGTCAAACTACTTGCGCCAATTACGCCCTAGGTATTATACAAGGGAAGAAATGCTGGTGCTCAAATGTTGCTCCCTCCAAGGGATCGCAATCCGACACCTCCGACTGTGATAGTTCATGCCCGGGTTACCCCTCAGACAGTTGTGGAAGTGCATCCAAAGGTGTATTCGCCTACGTGAGCATTGTCGGCAATGACGTGACTAGCACAGCCGGCGGTTCAACCTCAACCACTTCGTCAACATCAACGTCGACCTCGGTAAGCCTCCCCTCCTTTTTTGTTTTTCTTTTGGACAACGTTCCTTTTTCCCTTTCTTTGGTTTTCTATTTTGGACCGATAAACTTTCCTACCAGCTATGCAGCTTGATTGGGTGTCCTACTCTTTCTTGGCTTGTGGCTCTAATATCGGGGATAGGAGAGTACTAGCGTCCAGCCTACAACTGTCACTGTCACTGCCTCCGTCTCTTCCATCTCGACTTCACAAACTGTACCTTCAGCATGACCGGTTTGATCAAATGGGACACTTGGCTAACTTTCGATCCTGAGACAACCTCGTCGGATGATAAGACAACCACTACCTCATCTTCTGTCTCGTTGGAGACCAACTCTGGTGGCCAAGTCAAGACAGTCACCGTTGCTGCTACGAGTGAGACTGCTGGCGCTGATTCCGCATCGGCAACTACTGGTGCCGTCGGGACGAAATTGAGTGGAGGTTCCATCGCAGGCATTGTAATTGGTGTCCTTGGAGGAATCGCCCTGATCGGTGCTCTCATCTTCTTGATCTTCTTCTATCGCAAACGCGCTCGCGCTGCCAGCCCTATTCCAAGCCAGGACATGACGGAGGACAGAACCAGCAGGGGATCGAGTTTCATGGGAGGTTTCTTCCCGCGGGGCAATGGAGAAGGTGGTGCTGGTGGACCTATTCCCGCACGTTCGGGCACAACATTCACCGATCGGCGAATGAAGACCAACACGGTCCTCTACCCGAATGGTCCTCGGGACAGCAGTGTTTCGCTGCAAGACAACGAAGATTACTCGCGTCCTGTTCTTCGGGTCAGTTGAACACTGCATTTTAGATCCTGGCCAAACGTTCTTGCTAATTGCGTGATTTCTAGCTTACCAACCCCGACTAAATGTGGAATGACAATTTTACTCAACCACCTTTTCTTTCTCTTCCATCGTCCGGCGCCTTTCGACTTCCATTAATCTCGAGCCATTCCAAAACAGCCCCATTATGATACCCAGTTGTCGCTCGATCCCTTTCTCCGTCTTCCCTTCTATTCTTATGAGTGCAGCTGTGGAGAGCACGCGGAACAGCAGCACGTGAATCTGGGCGGCCCTACTCCACCGCCTTGGAGCAGTTCTGAGGGTGCATGCATTGGTATTGGCCCATCAGAACACACTAGACTGATACAGAAAATACCCTGAATTGAAATCTATGGTTCATCCCCGGCCACTTGAGACGCCTTCACGAGCAACACATACATTATCCTGCATACATACCCGCCATATCGGTGACGATGCCAGCCCATGCCGACATGTTCTGGAAGTATACATACATCGCCGTCTTTCGGTGCGTCTGACATCGCCAGCCTCTGGGCTCGTCGCTTTCTTGGCCTTTTATCTTTCTTGCTATTATTTGTTCCAATATGCTTATTAGCTTTGCTTGTCTTCTCTTCATCTGCCATGTACTACTCAGCCTGTTCTGTCGCTGCCCCCGCCTTAATTGTTTGTGCATTTGCTATGGCTTCGATCTGAGGGGGATACGTCCCCGGCGCTGTGCTTAGACTGACCGACTCAATGAAACTACTCTACGCTTGGGATAAAGATTGTTGACCACTTGCATCTGCTGTGTGGGTTTGTCTGTTTGTAAATTGACTTCGTGTTGTGTCTTTAATGTGGGACTTAGGGGTGCGTCGTGGCCGTGCAGTAAAACATGCTTCCTTCGCAAGCAGAGTACGTACATTGCTATGTTGCTTCCGGGTCTTATTGCCAGTATAATACTGGCAGACATTTCTCTATCAATGGCCAAGGAGAAATACCTACAGGATTCAAGCATGGCAGTCTATAATATGTTCCCAGTCTTGCGGAATTTCAAGTGTTACAGTGATTTAATTCCCACATTCCCTTGCTAATGACAATCTTATCTCTGTGCGCCTTGATGTTGTAGAAAGCGAAATGATACCATATAGAACAAACAAGTAAACAAAATCTAACAGAATCAACATAGCAGTTTTGAAAATACGGACCTTAAACAGAATAATGCCATGTGAGGAGTTCACCTTATCTCCACCGAATATAAAAAGCCTTAGCATCGAAGAAGACGCAAGAAGACCATAATGAGCCGGCCGATCTCATCATTATAAATGTTCTCCCTTGCCACGCCACAAAGACGTCTCAAGGTTTCTTTAAGCTGGCGTGCCCTATCATTCATTCCAGGGGGCAGTAGTAGCGCTCCAAGTAGTTTCGAATCAGCGCACATCTGACTCTTTGCCTGTACCGTTATATGATCAATAAAAACCTCCTCCAAGGTCTCCAGGAAAAGGGTCCTTCTTTCAGGGCCCACCTCTTTCCTGATAACGCCCAAGAGACGTGGTAAGGCCTTGCATAATAGGCCTGCATTGTCAGGACCATCACATTCTCCTTCTCCTGCTTCTTCCCCTGGCAGCTCAAGATCTTTAATAGCCTCCTCAAGAGCGTACATTGAATGGTACGAAACCTGCTTGCTGGGACATATATGTTGAGCTTTTTGGACGAGATCACAAATTCGACCAGAATCAAAATCTGCCCCTGCCAAGGGAAGAATATGTAACGCGATATGATTGACGAGGTGGGCCTTGGACTGAACTGCATTGGGCTGGACTTCATCACCAAACATACACTCATCCCAATGATGAAGATATGACATAATCTCCATGATCTTGCGCGCCATATTGGCATGGGAATCACTCTCCGGTGTACACGGCATTTGAGGGTCGCTGCTGTCGCGCTCTATGCAACCCTCCAGGTAATCCACAATCTCGGGTTTCCCTAGGGCGAGTGCTGTAGCGTATGCTGAAGGTGAAAACAGTCTTCCGGGGTTATATCTCAAGGAGGGATGCTTGGGTCCTTCCTCGTAGACTGACTTCACCACGTCCAAGCTTCCCGTCCTGACAGCGCAGATAAGTGGCGAAGTATAGTCGTTTCCATCTTGTTCTTTGCTCACGCCACGGTCGATGAGCGGACGGATAACGCCAACAGCGCAAGATGAGACTGCTGTCGGAAGCTCACTCCCTATATATTTCTTCAAGGGAAGGTTGGTGTTCCTCTTAAGCATCAGGCGTGCAGCTTCAAAATGGCCGTTTTCGACAGCGAGAGCAATGAACGGAGTAGTATCTATCGATTTGTCAAGGGAATCAGTATAGGCATCAGCCTCAATAAGTTCCATGGCGACATCCGGGGTTGGTTGCTTCAGTGCGACATGCAGGGGCGTCTGGTGCCTTTGAAAAACCATCGTCATAGTTTCTTTTGTAAGATATTGTGCCATATCCCGGAACAACACTTGATCATTGCGCTTGGCCAAAGCATGTGCCACAGTCTCCCCTCAGAAGACGGTTGATTGAGATCCATGCCTGCGGCTATACAATCCTGTATTGTTTCATAGCTACAATAACGAACAACAAAATTGGCGAATCCGTCGACCTTGCCACTCCTGGCGAACGTACTAACCATCCAATCACCGTCATAGGTGAGAGTGTAGAAAAAGGGTTCAGGACCAAGGGAGAAAGCCCAAGAATCGGGATCGTGGCTGTAGTTGAAGTGCAAGCAGGAAGGATCAGCATCGTAATCCAGGAGCAATGATATCATACTAGGTTGACGGGCAGCAACCGCCACATGCAGCATGAATCCGCCAGTAAGGCTATATACGTTGGGGTCGACGCCCGAACGCAAGTACTCCAGTACGATCTTGAAATCCCCGCGCTCAATGGCACAAGCAAAGACCTCACCTTTTGCTGGCTTACTCAAAAACCTGCAACCATCTTCTTGAGGAGAAGTATCTGGCATGTCGATTCCAGCAATTGCATGAGGAGAATTCCATCTCCAGCCACGCTTCTCGTATTTTTGCTTGGGAGCTAGAACTCGGGCAGTCAGCTGCCTCTCCTCCATAATGCCATGCGCGAGGAGTAAGTACATAGACTTGCAGGTTTGATGAAGCCTACAGCGGTCCCGGATAGTCACCATACTCGAAATGAGTAAAACTAACTCATGAGGCAAATCACCCAGCTTGAAACTGCCCAAGGGTTGGGCGGAGGTTGGTTGCTGAGACATGGTGGAATTTGGCGTTGGACTTGGTGGCAATAACCGCTGACTTTTGAATGTAGAAGCAGGGGGATTTGCGATGATGGCAGTGTGATTTAGATCTAGTAACAGAACCGTATATTTTGGAAATAGTTTTAACAAGAGGGAAGTTCCCATTTATAGATGATTCAGAATTATGTTACGCTTCTCCATGCTGATAATGGCTTAATGGGCTCCAAGAGATGCCACAAAGACCTAAGACGACCTGTGTTTTAATTATCCGGGCTTCCCTTTATTGCTTTTGTCGTGGCATCAACGGATATATGCATCGTTTGGCTCTTTCATCCATGGCTTGTTTCACAATGGGGACAAAGCCCAGCCATCTAACCTAAGAATAATTCCAAAGAAAACGAAAAATAGGGTGCATCATCGGTTTAGATTTAGAGCCCAGGAGTAATATTCGGAGCTGGTCAAAATACGCAGGTAATTTCCAATGATTGAACTAGTCAATCTTTCAACCCAAGGCGAAGTCGTGTGGTAACCTCAGAGCCACTCGTACATTCCTATATTGATATTGTTATAGATGTCTGGAATATATATCTCGAGGTCACACAGTCTATGGAATAGCAAGCCGAGCTATTCTTGGGAAAATTTCCCTCAACCTGAATACTTCACTGGCAGATAGTTGGGGTTAACTCCATCCACGACACATCATGCCAACTCTCATCTCTACCCATATGCCCTAAAATAAAGAATTTCCATGGGAGAAGTATAGCGCGCTATTATTATCTGATGTTTTACTATATATTCGGCTGGTAGTGACCCGAATACACTGATAAATAAACAAGGGTATTTAAGAACCCTGTACTCCGTAGTCTAGTGTCTTTTGAAACTCCAAAGTACAGGAAGCGGCACACCCGCTGTCAAATGGACGGGTTGTGGGGCCCCGGTGACCCGCACAATTGACAGGACGTTATTCGATCGTTAGGTCGTCGCATTTAGGACTCTTGCCCGAGTCTAGTCCAGGATTAGTCCAGGATGTATGTATTTTTTCAAGGATACGGAGTACGCCCCCATACACCACACACTGTACACCGACATACATGTATATTGACCTCTCAATTCCATTTAATTATTACGAGGGCATCTTGAATAGATCAGTACCAAAACCCCTGAAAGTAGCCTGCACTACAACATAAATAATTGCCTTAACTTCTGAATAATCAAAATACATATCAAGTGGTCCATCCGGACTCCGGACTGCCAATTTATATATCTTTGGACCTGCGGAGTTGTGTTCCTTTGTGATTCCCTTTCATCTACCGCAGGACCGCCGAAATGCCCAGTGTCACTGCTACAGGTGACTTTGGCCCAGCGCCGCCTGGCGTAGACCTGGTCCAAAACCAGACGGGCAACCTGTTGGGATCAGTTATTCCTGTAGCGGTGTTGGGGACCACTGCAGTCATATTGCGATTAGTTGCACCAATGAAGACCAAGGAGAACAGAAAATTAGCCATGGATGACTACCTGATCATTGCAGCTCTTCTATTCTCTTGGGGCACAGCAGTATCCTGCTTTATAAGTGAGTCAAAAATGAGTCGTGACGTGACATAGTCAATGAATGGGCACAGCACTTACACCAGTCTCCCTAGGTATTCCGTATGGCAACGGTTATCATTTGCAATCCTTGACCGAGGCAGAGTTTATTACTGTCTGGAAAGTAAGGGAAATATTGAATGCGATGCTCGGGACAGACTTTGACAAAACATTTAGATACTTTTTGCCTATGTCATGATTTACGCCACAGCTGTCACCTTCACCAAATCCTCTATCGTGTTTTTTTACGGCCGCATATTCAACTTCCGCTGGTCACTATGCATCTGCATGTTTTTGGTTATTGGATATTGGGTCACCATCATCGTCACGGTGGCAGTGGCCTGTCGACCACTGCCATATTTCTGGCTGCTCTATACCGATCCAACAGCCACTGGTGTATGCATTGATGTGCCCAAATTCTTTTTTGGCAATGGCATTGCTGCTATGTTGATTGATGTGATAATACTGTGTATGCCGATGCCAACAATTTACAAGTTGCAGATGCGATCGTCGCAGAAGGTAGCGGTCGTGGGAATCCTGCTCTTAGGAAGTTTGTATGTTCCTCACCCCTCTCCGACTACTATAAAATTGATTCTGGCTAATAGCTAATTGACCTCAGTGTCTGCGTGGCGAGTATCTGCCGGATCATCGCGCTTCACAAAAACACCCACGGTACAGATGCTACGTGGACTATGGCACCTGTCTTTATCTGGTCGTGCGTGGAACCTTTTGTTGGTATCATCTGCGCGTGCCTCCCTACGTTTGGGCCTTTCTTTCGTCGGTGGTGGTCTAAAGCTCGGACAGGGCGCTCATCAAACAGTCGCAGCACTAATCCCAGCGCTGAACATCCACCTGCTACAACGACCTGGCTCCGGAAATCCCGAGCAAAAAAGCCACTCAAGGACTCATTATTCAGCACCAATGGATTTAGCTGCGTAGATGAAGTCGAATTAATGAACGATATAAATGCCACTCGGTCGCTGAGGGACGAGGCTGTGAGTGACCATCATGATGTAGAGCGAGGAGACTCTAGCTGTGCTATTACAGTCCGACAAGATGTGGACGTGACATGGGACAAGTATAAAACAGGCAAAAAATGCTGATCTGACTTTCAATTATTACATAGGGCTCTAAAGAGACGCAGATTCCCTCAGATTTGTTGATTCCGAATATCGTGTATTGCAGTTTGAGATGCATTAAAATTTGCATTTCTTGGTATACGATATGACATGAAACATGCCGTTAGACTGGCAATTTGCCATTGAGATAGTCAGAATTAAATATTTAAGGGGAAACAATTAGGGAAGCATAACCATGGCCGTAGTAACGTATACGCAGCACGGGTACGGAATACTCGTACATTGGAGCAGCGGCTGGGCACTAGTACATTGGGGGCGGTTTATTATTGTCCGTTCATATCTACCTCATGTAGCGAGACCGGACGATCCTTCTAGCGCAGGTATGTTGTTTTGCTGCTTTTTGCGTATATTTTGATTTTCACTTCGCTTGGAAACCTGGTTTGATAGGCGGCACTATGTGCCGTCGCGACCTGTCATACCAGTTGACAGGGATAAGAATTGTGGAGAAAGCCTGTACAAAGTACATATGCGTGTGCATACGGAATAGGTCCGACGCGACTAGCCTTTCCTGGGGTGCTGGTGTGGAGATGAGCTGCCCAGGGGATTTGCTAGCAGCCAACTACTCCTCAATTGACGCTATATGTTGTAAACTGTCCCGTGTCAATCAAAAACCTATACAAAGTACAGAGCAACGGCGGCCTAGGACCTTAGCCCTTTCCCCCTAAAAGATGAAAAATAAAATAACATTGTCACTTTGTATGCCCCCTGATTTTTATTTTTGCTCTTTCTATAATAGTTTCTGCGGGATCTATCATAGTATTATCAAAGGAACTCACCAGCAATTTACTGCCTCACTTCCAAATCCCTCGACATGTCTCACCACCCCATTTCTAATGGCTTGCAAAACGGTTTCGCCTCTCCCCCCAACATCTGCTACTCGAGTTGCTAATGGCGAGACCCCTCCCAACTGGATCCCTTGCGCCGAGCAACCTGTCTATGCGCGACGAAAACTAAGGTTAATCTGCATCGGCGCGGGTTACTCGGGTTTGACACTTGCCCACAAGATAGACCATGAACTGAAGCTCGGTGACTTTGTGGAATTGAAAATCTACGAAAAGAATCCCGAGGTCGGCGGAACGTGGTTTGAGAATACCTATCCCGGTGTCGCTTGGTGAGTAGTTTGTGTCTACATCTAATAAACATGACCGTATTATCTGACATATCCAGTGACATCCCGGCCCGTAAGCTCCTTCAGCGGCTCTTTGGCCACCGGAATTTAACATCCACTTAGATGCATACACATTTTTATTCGAGCCTAATCCAAACTGGTCCCACTTCTATGCACCCGGTCCCGAGATTGAGGAGTACATCAAACGAACGACGAGGAAGTGGAAATTGGACAAAGACATCCAGTTTAACGCCCGTGTTACCGAGACTGTGTGGGATGATGAGCTGGGAAAGTGGAAAGTGGAGGTAGACCAAGCTGGCACAATCATACATGACGAGGCCGATATTCTGGTCAATGCGTCCGGCTTTTTGAAGTGAGAACCAGTTATCCTCTACATTTGTTTCTCTTTAGTAACGTGATTTTCGGTTAGCAAAACTAGCTGGCCTGATATCGAGGGCCTATCGAGTTTCAAGGGCAAGTTGCTTCACACTTCGACCTGGTGAGTAGATGCTGTTCATGAACTGACGAAACAAAGATTATTAACAAGTGATACATAGGGATAACACCTACGACTGGTCGAACAAACGTGTTGCAGTTATCGGTAACGGCTCCTCCGGAATACAATGCGTGGCCGCAATGCAGCCGAAGGTCGCCCAGCTCGTCAACTTTGTACGCACTCCCACCTGGGTCTCTGTCAACTTCTGTGCAGAGAAGACACGAGACGGGGGTAATTTCTCCTACACAGAAGAGGAGAAAGCACACTTCGCGGAAGATACCAAGGCTCATTTTAGGTACCGAAGAGAGTTGGAGGGCAGGTAAGTTCCAAGTTCATGCATGGCTGCCCCCTCCTAGCACCCAAGAGGAACTAATCAAATTGGAGTAAAGTGTCAACGCATTCTTTTATGGTATGTATAGAGATCACCCGATGCAATTGGGGTTGACGCAGGCTTCCCGGGAACAGATGAAGGAGCGAATGAAAGGGATATCTGATCCTGAAATTGTGTCGAAAATGCTTTCTCATAAGTTCCGTCCTGGATGCCGTCGCTTGACACCTGGAGATGGGTATCTGGAGGCCTTTTCCAATGACAATGCAACTCTCACTTTCGATCCCATTGAGCGTATCACAGAACTTGGTATCAAAACGCTCACAGGTGATGAGCAACAATTCGACGTGATAGTCTGTGCCACAGGGTTTGACACGTCATTTATTCCATCTTGGAAGATGATTGGTCCCCATGGAGCTACATTGGAAGAGCGATGGAAAGTTAACCCTGAGGCATTCTTTTCCATCCAAGTGGACACGATGCCGAACTATTTCATCTTCAACGGGCCCAATTGCCCCGTCTCCCATGGCTCGCTTCTGACGCAGGTCTCTTGGACATGCGATTACATTCTCCGCTGGGCTAACAAAATTGCAGCAGAGGATATCAAGTGAGTCATTTTGACCTTTCTCGGTCCTAGTGTTTGACTAACATACACCCCACAGGTCAATTTATGTCAAAAAAGAAGCCATGGAAGACTACAATGTTTACTGTCAGGAGTTCCTCAAGCGTATGGTCTGGTCGGATGAGTGTCCGAGCTGGTACAAGAATGGGAAAAGTACAGGTCATGTCACCGGGGATATCCAGGCTCGATTTTGCACTTTAAAGACTGTCTTGAAAACATCGGTGGGGAGCACTTCCATATCGAGTACCGCTCTAAGAACCGATTCCGCTTTCTAGGTAACGGTGAAAGTGTGCGTGATCAGCATGGAGCAGGTGATTTGGCGTGGTATATGGATGATATGAAAGCCCCCATGCCGCCACTCTAAATCAACAGTACGGTCTTGTTCCGCCCGCAATAAATTTTGTACATATGCTTGTGTAATTCTATGCGGAGAACCTGTGTACTGGATTGATAGTTGCCCTGAGAAATTGATCCGTAAGATATATGATTACCTGAACACATCACTCAGGTTCTGGCTTCATTGGCCGATGACACAGCTGGGGGTGGGTTGGTGAGATATATTCGCTACCTTATCAATAATTCAGGAATAGGAAGTCAGAAATCGATAGGACACCAAAATAATATGAATATCAAAATCTATAAATCATGCAAAGTGTATTAAGTTCTCATAAAGTGTATATCTAGGTATTCCGTGGATTCTAAGGTCCTACTACGTTACTAGCATGTCTGCAGAGGTGAGGTGATCAGAATAAATTGCGATTTTCCTTTGTCGGGAGAACCAGAGCAAGTTTATATAAAAAAGCGAAAAATCAGGAAAATAGCACTTACCTCATATTCGATCTCAATTTCCAAATCGGTAGTATGTGTCTACCACCTCATCCTTCGAGTCGTGTCGAGCCACACTCTGTTTAGCCAACCTACGGTCAATCTGTGTATCTACAGAGTTCGACGGCGCTAGCGGCGACATATCGAGCACTACATCAAATTGATCAGGCAAAGAGGACTGGTGTTCAGTGGCAAACCGCAGAAGCCCCCAGACAGCATGGCGAGACATACTAGTTACCTTAGGAATAAGATAGGATGGGCGAGCCTCCGGGCAAACTGTGAATGTCTCTGCAGGGCCAGTCTCGGGGTGGTGGATGACCACAGCCCTCAAGATTGGGGGTATCGGAATGGGTATACCGAACCTATACGGCCCATCGATCTCCTGGACTCTAGCCTGGATCTCATCCCAGGTCTTCCGATAGTGGGTCTCGAAGGTATTCGTCCATTCTTCGTCGGAGCGATAGTCGGCGAGACCAGCGCACAAAGACCATAAGAAATAGTTAGTATTGATCCATGTAGAAATACGAACTGCCCAGGATCTACAAGGGAGGTTGTGCCTCTGACGAACGTCGCAGCGGATTACAGGCTGCTCGGTGGCTTGCACGACGGAAAGTGGTACTCCGTAGACCGGGTGGATAGCCTGCCAATTGTAGTTAGCCGCCATGATTCTCAAAATCGTTCTGTGTATCGAGGAGGAAAGGTAGAATTGTAAGCTTTACTTGACCACTGGGCTCAGGTGTCACAGAACCTAGAGCCAGAAGACTGGAATAGAGAGGGAGTGGCGGAGAATTTGATGCATATCTACTTCAGCGGAATGGGGGTATTATATAGCTTTTGCAGACCAGGTACTCCCTCTTGGAAATTGGGACTGTATGAGTGACAAAGAAAGCAAGGGAAGTGGTCTTTGCTCTCACCCAAGACTAGAATTAAAACATCCAAGCACAATGCACATTGTTAACGGATCTTTGTCCCCTTGTTCGCAGATGTGGCTCGGATTCGAAAGCACATAGATCACTTGAAATGACAGAGGTTCTTTGTATTAGCTGGATCCTTAATTTGGATATGGGGATGGCACCTTTGTTCTCTTTTGGGTGTAGAGAAGCATACATCTCTCCATTAATACGCTGGTGGTGTGGGGCAACAAAGACAGATCCCTGCCCGTAGATGACGATCGGAAACGTATACTAAGGTGTAGTGAAATTTCTTTGTCACATTGATGACCTTTCTGGTGTAGATCAAAACGTAAACAGTGTTAGGAGGGTACTCCGTACGGAGGGAACAATGCCACGATACGGTTTCAGCTGCAACAGCTGTCCATCACGATCGGTACCGCCATTTTTTTCTGGCTGACTATGGTATGCAGTTCGTCGGCGGCAGCACCTGCAACCCAGAGGGTATCTCGAACCCTTACCTGGGGCTCAGAACAACGGACACACCTGCTTGGGTCAGAAGACAATCTCTTGGAGACTTCCTTCAGCTTTGCAGATCCTCCCAGCTTGGATTCTGTTCTTCGGTCACTTCTTCTTCCCCTTCTCGCTGCGTTAGTTGATATGAAGCACCGCGATGAGGAAGCCACGGAGGCCATCTCTAAGCTGCCTCGCCTGCCTGTGAACGATCCACTTGTTTGCGCGGAGTATCTTGAGATCAAAGCTGCTGTTACGTTTGATGAAGAGACTGAGAGTGAGGTTGTTGGATCCGGAGGTGTAATGGCTCCCTGGAAAGCTTTGTTTGCCCCCAACATGTTCAAGCGCCTGGTGCTTGGTTGGGGCATGATGATCTTCCAGCAGTTCACCGGTATCAACGCCGTTCTCTACTATGCACCCCAGATTTTCTCTTCGGTAAGTGACTCGCTCTTTCCCACATCATATTCTTACTGTCCAATGAATGGCTGCTAATTTCATTTTCCTTATTTAAGTTGGGCTTCTCATCCACCAAGACGACCCTTCTCGCCACTGGTGTGACTGGCATCCTGCAGATTATCTTCACCCTTCCCACCGTCCTTTACCTCGACAAATTCAGCCGCAAGACCTTCCTCATCGCCGGCGCTACGGGCATGTTCCTTTGCCATATGGTTGTCGCTGTTGTCCAAGGCACATACAAGCCCAAGTGGGACTTAACGAGGGACTCGCCAGAGCCCAGCGCTGGGTTGCCATTGCGTTCATCTGGCTCTTCGCTGTCAACTTTGCTTACTCTTGGGGTACGTCACCATACCACCAGCTCATGTGTCCACCGCTTTATTGAATAGGACCCGTCTCTTGGGTATTGGCTCAGGAAATCTTCCCCAACAGTCAGCGCTCCCGCGGTGTCTCGATCGTCGCCTCAACCAACTGGATGTTCAACTTCGTTATCGGCCTTACCACCAAGGATATGCTGGGCAAAATGAAGTATGGTACCTATATCTTCTTCGCCATATTCGGTGCTCTGGGTGGGCTGTTCATATGGAAGTTTGCCCCTGAGACCAAGGACAAGACAGTTGAGTCTACCACGGCTTGAGTGCCAGTGTGAAGATATGCATGGAGGTTGAGTGGCAGACCTCAAGTGGTCTATATAACAACAAATATACATTGACATAATTTGAGTGACAGAGATATAGTACAATCAAGGCACAATATATCCAATCGATATGCTAGATAGTTCCGACCAGATGATTCGACTGCAGGTCTAGCTACATTAAAATCCAAACAAATTTACATCCTCCTTGTATCCAATGTCCTGAAGCGCTGGAAGCACAGCCTTCTTAATCATAGCCGGGGGACCACAAAGGAGCGCCAGATTCCCTTTCTCAGGTCCAAATGCATATTTCCGCAGAATCTCCTTTGTCACATGGCCTTTCTCTTCTGTCCATTTATCATTTGGATGTGAAAGCACATGAGTGATCTGGAACTGATTCGGGTGGTCCTCTGCAAGTCTATCGAACTCATCCCTCAATAGTATATCGTCTTCAGTCTTATTCGCATCGACGACCTTGATATTGGTCTTGTCTTCTTCCAAACCTTGTTCCTTGGCACGTAGAATACGTGAGATAAGCTGGTATCCGGGTGTGATACCGGATCCTCCTAGGACAAGACTGACATTGCGGAAATGATATTCTTTGTCGTCGATCATGAACTTGCCTTGGCCGATGTACCTAATCTCACCGGAAGGCCCTTTGACTTCAATTTCCTCACCATCACGCAGACAGTCGAGGATGTTGCTCATCGTTCCACCCGGTTGGGATTGATCCGGGGGGTATGTTTTGACGACAAGGTCGAACGTGCCATCTTCTTCTTTCTCAAAAATTGGCCTCGTGGGCGTGTATGGCCTGATAACGAGCCGATCCTTGAAATGAAATCCCAGCTGCAGATGCTGACAGGTGCCGAGACCGAGCTTCTTCGTATCGGATGGGACCGAGAAAGTGTATCGACGAGTGTCCTCGGAAATCTGTTCCTTTCCTTCAAAGCGAACGGCATTCCACCGGTGGCGGTCAAAGGCAGTCTGAAAAGCCTGTGAGGGTTTGGCTTTCTCTTTAGCCACATCTTCGACCTGCTTCTTGATATACCCAAGTGTCTTTTCGGTAACCACGCCGAGGACGCATTCTGTGTCAAGTCAGTCAATATTTCAACGAACTGGAGAATCGTTAGATAATACCACTCAGCTTCTGCTCCGCGTAGTCGTCATGAACGCTTTCGAATTCAGTTGTGGTATCGGCATGTGCCCGACCTGCATGCGCCATGATAGGTGCTTTGCCGCCAGGATGCCAGTCAAGCACACTAGTTGCATCGTAGACTTTACCATTGATGACAATCCAGCAGTCATTCTCCTTGTTGTGCTTTTCAATTTCCTCGCGTGTGAATTGCTTTTGCGGTGATGCCGCCTCATGCTTGATATTCTCGATACGATTCTCCCATGAGGGTTGCATCCAGCCTCCTGTCCCCGAGCCAGGCTCGCAGGGATGTCGGAAGTACAGCACAGATGAGTCATTGTCGTTGTTGTTAACCTCGATCCGGACGGTGTACCAGCAATTGTTCATCATTCTATACAGAATCAGCAAACAGCCACTCAAACGGTAGTGGCGGAGGCTTACCCCATGATGTTCCATGTGGGGTCCTTCGGCTGCGTGTTCTTGAAAACATTGAAGCAGCGTACGATAATACTCTCAGCTCGAACAAGATGCGGCAATCCGACATCTACATACCAATGGAGCCACGTCCAAAATTTATTTCCATGGCGGATAGGGTACTCAGGGAACTGATTGCAATAATTTAATAACTCGCGTGATACTGGAATGGGTCAATTGACAGGCTCACCTTGCGGATACAGTACAGCCAAGTTTGACCACCGTCGAGACTAACTTCCACCCTCTCGACTTCATGACCACCACCATCGTATGCAAAGCCTGCTATACGATAAGTCCGATCTTTATTCACATCAGACAAAGGAATCGCCTCGCCATGCCCGGGTTTCGCGATAATCGAATTCAGGTTCTGCTCGTTGCAGGCCGTGCTTGGGTGACGGAACATGATGTGTGAGAACTCCGAGTCTTTATCCAGAATAAAGCTAGGCAGAACCCTGTTGTCCCAGATATGATAATGGCTATCATTCTCCTTGTCAGAGACCCAGACCCTATGGAGCCATTTAACACAACGACCGCCGACGTAGCCGGGGACGATTAGGCGGACGGGATAGCCGTGGTCTGGTGGCAGTCGCGCATTGTTCATTTCGTATGCCAAAATGACGTCGTTTTCATAGTCCATAACATATGCCAATGGAATAGATGTCGCGTATTTGCCCTCACTAAGCTCATCGGCGCCTTCAAAATGGACCCAACGTGGAGGCTTCCCATGGTGTGGATCAGGGACCTGGATGCCAGCATCGAGAAGTATGTCCCGCAGAGGGGACCTTTCCAGAACGCGCAGCTAATGCCCCCAGCACCCCAGTTGAAACCTTTGGACCGTCTTATCATATTTAGCTCTTTTCTCCGGTTGCCGTCGCATGCCAATGCTACTGCAATGTTGATAGATTCGTAATTGTGGAGGAGATCGTCCATCGATAAGACCAGCTTTCCGCCTTCAACCTCAAGTTGGTGGGTTTCCCACAGCAGATGAGGCACAGCGCCATGGCTGCGAACATAATGTAGTGAGTTCGGGGTGATGAGACCTGCTCCGTACAGGGCTTCCAGATCTGGCTCGCCGTTGAGCGGATGCTTACCGGTTAGGCGGATGAGGTGGGGAGATCGGGGGATCCAGTTGTCGGGGTGAATTGGTCATCCTCGTTAATGGAAAAGTCCTTCTCTTTTGCCCACTTGGCGGGTGACTCGACTGCACCATCGTTCTGTTTCAGTGTCTTCATGTAATTGCTCTCTGCCTCTAGCAGGCGCAGCAAGGACAGCTCCTGAGGCGAATACTTTTCCTGTGGGCCTTTTCCTTGATCTTTGTCCCTCCCCTCGCGGTCATAATCAGGGCATTGTTGGCTTGTGGCATGTGCCTCGTTGTGAGTCACATTCTCACCGCGACCCCGTCGCCATTCATGTTCGTTCTGTGGTTCCTGGTTGTCATTTTCTTTCAGTTTCTCGTTCTTCCTCTTCTGTTCTTCCTCCTGCTGACGCCTCCTAACGTTGACAGGCCAATCCTGCTGGTACTTTATGAAGTCTTCCGTAGTATCAAGGACGTAGCGCCAGCCTCGCGGGTGATGTTGAGGTAACCTCAAATGATAGTCCTAGAAAGAGAAAGGTCAGGGACAAGGGCGATTGAAACGGCATCTGAGAAACATTAGTGCACACCTCTTGCTTGTCCATGTAATCGCGGACGGTAATCAGATCGTGTTCCACCAGCTTTTTGTTGAGCTCGTCTGCTTCTTTCTTTGCTTGAGCTAGAAATTCTTGCTCCTGCTCCGGACCCCAGTCATCTCCAACATGTGTGTAAGCTGGATGCCGATTATCGCGATCGCGAAACCCGATTCGGTGGTTATGGGTTATAACCCAGTCTGGTTCATTTAGCACGTCCTCCTCAGAAGCACCAGCATGGCTCCGCATTGGACGTGTGTAGTGTGGTGTTGCTGCCATGGTGGAACTCAGCACACTCGCTGTGTGTAGCTTCGAAATCGTAGATGGTATGCAACGGACTCTGGGGTAATTTCAAGCGAACCCGGGTAGTCCGTGCTAGTTAGGTATGGATGAGAGACAACATTTCTCCAAGAAGGTTCAATGTTGCTTCTAGTCAAATTACGTCATGATATCCTTACGTAGAATCTTCCAAGAATTCATGATTTGCCCGTTTCCACGACGATATCCGTGTATTTGAGGTTATGTCGGCATCTTCTTTTCGACCGATGAAGGTCACGTAACTTGTGGTGTTTTGAGTAAGGAATACTTCACTTCCACTTTCTTCCCTGCATATATTGCATTTGGTAAATTCTGGAGGCTCACTAGTTGCCATGCAAACGGACGATGGGTGGGTCCAACGGTAAGGATTATGATTGGCCAATGGGAGACCATGAAGATCATTGCCAAGCCTAGGGCTGTCAACAATGTATGCATACATCATCGCCTTGTTTGCTATAGCTTCATCAATAGTGGTGTTTCTGTGTTGCTCATCATTTCTAAGGCATCTGCAAGGAAGGTGCAGGAAATGAAAGGAAAAAGAGAATAAATTGTCTCACGTTTGCATGCCTCAGGCACTGATATGAAGTGAAGCATAACATTTATCTTCTCGAGATAAAAAGAAGAGGGAAATGAAGGGGGGAAAAAGACAAATTCGAGAACAACCGGAGTTGAACCGGAACAGTCAGGTAGTGGAAGATCTTCGGCACTTCCCTCGTGGTACACATGGCGAAGCATGTTACCACTAGGCCACCTGCTGTTGGGTCCCTACCTAGTGTTTAGGTTTGTCTTCCTTTTCACTCGCACTTTCCTAAGGTTTCTTTGTTTTGAGCATTAGAGGTATTATAGTATCTGTGTATGTATGAGGGGATGTGATAAGATTCGTTTAACCTTTGAATCCCTAGGGAAGTGTGAGATAGGTAAACAATACATATGTTAGAAAAAAAAAAGATGACAATTCGAGAACGACCGGAGTCGAACCGGAACAGTCCAGGTAGTGGAAGATCTTAGGCACTTCCCTCGTGGTACACATGTGACATGTTACCACTAGGCCACCTGCTGTTAGGTCCCTAGTACTCAGGTTTGTCTTCCTTTTCACTCGCGCTTTCCCAAGGTATCTTTGTTTTGAGCATTAGAGGTATTTTATACACTCACTTATTGTCTATTCATGTAATTATCCCACACATATTGTGTGTCAAATAAATAGGATGAGCATGTAGCTTTCAATATTTTGATTGCATTCCCAAAATAGTCATTGCTAGGTATAGCTAAAGTCCAGTTGGAAGAAGGATAATGACGAGGGTAGAGCCTACTGCCATGTGATGTCACCACTGAGATGTTCATTATTTAAAGGAAGTTTAGAAACAATGAAGCTACTAGTAGCAATGAACCTTGGAACTTGAGCCCTCAAGTAAAATAAGCCCATATCTGTACAACTTAGCGTCCCTTCAATTCTACACCTGCCACTTCTTCAGTGGCTATCTCCTGATTTGGCACTATGTGTCTTGGTAGAGTCCCTGGATACCAAATACCCCAGATTACCATACATATTATCATCAACACAGAGTCAAACACATATAGCATCCACTCGTGGGTAATTGGATATCCATCATTCCCAGCGGCATACTCCACAACCCTGAAGATACTCCGAATCAGGATAAGGGCGCTGACAGCATAAAGCGTGCGCACTCGACTAATCCAGTTAATCCGGTTATCGAAAGCCTCCGTTGGGGGTGATCGACGCATGCGGACCTCAAAGACAGCCGATGTGACAATGAACAGACCGAACATGATAACCTGGATAACGAGACCAGCGACCACAATGTTTGAGCCCAGCTTCGCGTTATCCCCCGTGACCATAAGGCCTGACGCACTACCTTGCACAACGAATGACACGACATCACCCATCACGAATGTCTTGGTGAGCCAGTTGATCCGAACAAGCGAGTGTTTCTCGGCGTGGACGCTGCGGATGATTCGCCCGAGAGTCATGTATACGGAGGCCGCGAAAAGGGCAGGGCCGAGGAGGAGGAAGACATTTTGGATCGCGTAAACTATCACCGAATCTGTCGCGTTGTATGCAGCAGCTCGACCGATGTACCCGATCACTTCGACTTCATGCGAAAACAAGTCAGCAATTTTCGAATAAATCAGGGTTTTAATATACGTACAGAGGCCCCCTAGAGAGAATGCGAGGCAGAACCAAGCTCTTGTTTGGTGGAGCTTCCAAAAGTGGAATGTTGTGGCAGCGACGAAAAGTATCAAGAAGATGATTGCTGCTGGGAGCGAGGGGACGTATTCCCAGAGATAATATCCCCCTTTATAAGGCTTCAGCTGGGCCATATCGTGTAAAGCAAAGCAAAATTATCACAAAATGCGGAATAATCGAACTTTGGGGTTTTTATTTGTTGTGGGCTCAAGAGAGTGGTAAGAACGAACGTGACGGGGTGCCTTGGTGAGATTTAAATATAACAGGTATCAAAAAAAGCTAGAACGCTATATGGGTTAAGTGTATATACGCTCACACAAAAGAAAGTCGATATTATATAATTAGATCCAGATGTCCTTCAATAGGCAAGGCCGATGCATTTTGTATGATACGAGATACCAAAATGGGCGGATCTGCCGAACGCCAAGGCTTTTAACCTTAACCAAAGTGGAGACATGGTCTGTGCATACGCGTATCCTCACATTTTTCCAACCTCACCAGTCAACCTCGTGAGTGATTCAAGAAATTTCAAGTGAATTTGCGGTTAGTATATGTGGGCCCAGAGATTGGGTTTATTGGGACTGTCTAGGCTGCACTATTGACGCCTAGGGTCTCAAATATACTACTGGCTTATCGAAACCAAGAGTTCCGGCCCTAGCCGTATATTTTCTATATCACAGCGTGGCAAAAATGGTCCGAAGAACGCACAAAAAATCTCGAAATGGCTGCATTGAATGTAAGCGCCGTCATATGAAGGTTTGTCACTCCATGATCAGCTATGTGCAGCCGCTGACTCCGTTCAGTGTGATGAGAAAAGACCCATATGCTCCAACTGTATTAGTTCGCAGCGGCACTGCGAGTTTTTGCAGCCTGTTCCTAGTGGACAGTCCTCTCGCAGCGTTAGAAGTGAAAATGCTACTGGGTCACCCGCCGTTGCATCACCGGCCGTGACCTCTTCACCCGCCCAAGAACCCAGCAATAATCCCGAAGATGCTCCCGTTAATATGCTCCACGTGGAGCTTGCCCATAATATTTCTTCAGGGTTTATGAGCGGATTCACTTATCCAGACAATTCCCCTAGTATCCCATTCGAGGATATCTTGCGGTACGGCCTTAATGCGCCGTATCTTATGAACGAGGTTCTATCTCTAAGTGCTTTGCATCTTAGCATTGTCAGACCAGGGCAGCGGGATTTCTACCGACACCATTCTACTCAACTGCAGAATTATGCACTGAACTCATTCAACAATTCATCATCACAAATCAACGATGAAAATTACGTCTCAATATTTCTATTCGCTGGTATTCTGGGGTTGCACATGCTGTGCGAGACACTGGTCTATCGAGAAAACGACTTCGAGAACTTTCTTGACCAATTCGTTCAATACACCGTGCTGCACCGCGGGGTACGCACTGTCATAGGCGGAGGTAGATGGCAACTTTTGCAAAAGACATCATTGAGACCGCTCTTGGAGTTCGGAGAAAGGATGCCCTCGGTGGATGCAAGTCTGGGTCCACTTTGCCAGACGCTTTTGGATCGTATCAAAGGTCTTGGTCACGACAAAAATACCACGACGACATACCAACAGGCTATCCAGGCTTTGCAATCCGCCATGACTGCGACGGAAAATCAAATTCCAGGGGCCAACGGCGTACATGTTCTCACTGCATGGCCGGTACTTGTCCCTGGCGAATACATTGATCTGGTTGCACAGAGGAAGGGTGAGGCTTTGGTTATCTTGGCGCATTTTGGTGCCCTTGTTGATACACACAAACACTCGTGGGTATTTTGTGATGGTGGCAAGTATTTGATTGATTCAATCAGTCAGTATCTTTGGGCCCAGTGGGCAGAATGGCTTCATTGGCCACGACAATCCCTGATGGTGTCAAATGCTGTACAGTAGTAATAGTGCGGTTATTGGGGAATTGTGAACATGTAAATATAATCTTAAGTTAAGGGTCTGATATCCTCTGACTGAGCTTTAGCCACTCGGAGGCTGCTGCAGGAATCTCTGGTCTGATCAAAGCCATCCTCGCAGTTGAACGGGGGATGATTCCAGGCAATCCGACCTTTGTGAACCCAAATCCTAATATCGATTTTGATGCGCTACGCGTGCGGGTAACTCGACACATGATAAAGTGGCCGGCCACGAAAAGGCCAGTGTCAACTCCTTTGGATTTTGGGGGGGGGAAGGGGGTGTGCAATGCTCATGTCGTCCTGGAGTCAGCTGAGCACTCGCCTCATGTTTCGTCGTACTTGGAGAAGATTGGTCTCGACTTCTTTGACCAGGAGGACGCGTCGCCAGAACAGGGTAACGACCCGAAGCTTCTGGTATTCTCCGCCAACGATGAGCCATCCCTTAAAGAAAACATCCAGGCACTCTCCGCACATTTGATGAGCCTGGGGGCATCGCTAGATATGGGTGATTTATCGTATACTCTTTCCGAAAGGCGCACCCGGCATTATCAGCGGGCTTTTGTCGTGACACAGAGTAAGGAAATACTGAACGAACGCATTATCCTTGGCAAGAAAAAGGCCATCCCACCGAAGGTCGGGTTCTTGTTCACAGGCCAGGGAGCACAATGGTCTCAGATGGGACTGGAACTGTTGAATGCCTTCCCAGTCGCAAGGAATATTGTTAAAGGTCATGTGACCTTGTTTGCTCCCACACACATTTAGTTAGTCTCAGTATGTAGATAGTTTCTTCTCTTCTTCACGCATCTACACATTTTCCAGAGTGTCCTATTTCTTTATAGTAGCAACTCTCTCAGGTTATAAGCGCCTATCTCCGAGGCTCTTATTTCACAGCAATCCTCGAATCCCTATTTTCCGGGCGTTACGTCCGCCAAGCCCGAGATCCCGCAGATCTCTCTATTTCTCCTACATCTAGATTATATTAAAAAAGTATCTATTTATTTCTTATTAGTATCGACTACGACTATCTAACATTCGCATGCTTCCAATGCCCTAAGACATACTCCGACTATAATGGAGTGAAAAGGCATTTTAGGACATCACATCTGACGGACCGAAAATGTAATTTTTGCGACTTGTCCGTCCTGCACGAGATGCACTTGCGGCGGCATGCTTCTGACACTCATGGTCTTCGAATATGAGCGTCAGATACTACATTTTCCATCTTGGAGACCCCTGCGCCATTCCTTTGTTCTCTATCTGGCCACAATTGGCGCCGTGGTTGGGTTGGTGACTATTTCATTAAGGCGTACCAGATTTGTCGCGATTATTTAGAGCTACCGGAACAGAATTTCATCGTAGTTATCTCGACCTTTTGATTGATGGGTCATAATCAATTCGAGTGCACTTTCTTTTACTCATCTCTGTATAATGTACTTCCGGGAACGGTGTCACCGCCTACACTGCAGTGTTTCTCGAGCATGGACCCTAAAGGAGTAATATCAGGCCAATCATAAAAGGCTGATTGAAGATGCCGAATTTCATTAAATTTTTTGCTACTTTTCCCTCACCATGACTAACTAGCCTTTGGTTAGGAAAGTGCAGCTCAATCCAGCGCCTCCTCCTCCCACATTTTTGTCGCTGGTATTCACCCCACTTGTGAGCATCGTGGATGCAGGCTTGTGGGGAGTAAAGGATTCGGTTAAAATCCCCGATCAATGGATTTCATCGGTACCAAAATCTTTCAGGGGGGTTGTAAAGGATACAAACGAAGCGGGCTCTGCGGCCTTATTAGATAAGGGTCCACATGCTCCATGAACCGACCACCGTTCCATCGACCCCACTTGCACCTGTTGGGATTCCGTCGCCTCATCATTGTCGTTCAGGGCCACGATGGCGGCTCCTAGAAGACCCTCACGCCCGGAGGCGTCTGAGTAGAAGACGATGTCTGACGTGTCCTTTGCGGACACCGCCCTTTCTCTCGCTGTCTCTCGGTCCGGTTCAAGCTCAATCTCTGTGAAGGCGTCCTTTCGCCACGGTGGTAGCGGGCGTGGGTCAATCATCTCCAGTTCGTTGAGCCTGTCAACGTCCATGGTCTTCAGCGCTTCTGCTAATGGGAAGCGGGCGTTTGATCCGACATTGTTCCTACGGTTCTGGGGTCTTGACAGAGCACTCCAAATGGGATGGTCGCGGGGTAGAGTGTGCAGTCTCGCAATCGTGCGCTGCGCTCGGTGGCGAAGGCGAAGGTGTGTGGGAAGTATATAGGCTTCCACCTCTAGGGTCGCGGTTGCTACCGTCCTGAACGCCGACAGGATTCTGATCAGCACGTTCCTCTAAACTGTGTTCAAATGTCGGATGTGAACTTTGTCCCTAAGCGGGTCATGCCAGACCGTCGATGCGTAGTCCACTATAGGCGCGACACATGCTTGGTAGAGCTGTCGCATCTGCTCTGGGCGCAAGTGTCGTAGTCCACTTAAGGCGATTGCCGTTTTGGTGGCGCGCTTGATAGCCTGCTGGACATGCTCTTTCCAGCGAAGTCGCTGGTCGAACACCACCCCCAGTAATTTGGCTGTAGGTAATGGCCTGACGTCGGTCCCATCGAAGATGATTCGTCCTTCTCTATGCTCTCCCTTCTTTCTAGTGAGGTGGATAAGCTCGGTTTTCTCCGCTGCGAAGCAGGATCCAGTTCTCCGTGCCCACTCTTCGATACGAGGGACATCCTCGGACTGTATCTTGGTCAAATTTTCCTCAACTGAACTCCCCACTCTCCATCGGAAGTAGTCGTCAATGAATGCCGATGCACCTTCCTGGGAGTCGACGGGCTGGTCGACTAGGTCGGCGTTGAAGAATGCAAACAAGATGGGGGAAAGTGGTGATCCTTGAGCTAGCCCAGCGTTCACCAGCGGAGCAGTCTCAGTGCGGAAGTCGTCAAACCCAATGTTGGCGTGCCGGTCGCTCATGAAACTTGCAATCCATTTTCTGGCCACAATCGGGGGAAAGTCCAAAAGCTTGGCAAGGTCTTGGCATGATGGCCTCAGCCGCGTTCCGCTCTTCCCTCACAGCATCTCTGCACTGCACGAGATCGGTAAAACCTGCTTTTAGATGACGTGGGACAATTTGCGGATACAAGACATCGTATCCAGACTTGATATCTTGACTGCATCGCTCAATTCTTGGCAATCGCTGCCTCAGATGGCAGGCAACAACAACAACCTCGGAACAACAACAATAGCCGATTGGAGTGAATAACTGACCATTTCAACTTTGTTATTTGTGCAGAACTATCACATCGACCCCTTCGTCGCGGTATTACGAGCGAGTCAGCAGAAAGTGACCCTGCGTGGTTCCACAGAGCTGTTCACCTGGACGGACGCATCCTTGATCCGTTCTTATGACTAAAGTAGCTTCATTGATTTGTATTCGTTATTGCATGAAGCTTGAATCAGTTGTAAGTAGCCACAGGATCCCCGAGAACAGCCATCCGAGGAGTGACACCCAAGCCGGGCACGGTAGGGGCATTAAGAGCTCCATTCACTACATCGAAAGGCCCATCTGCGGTTTTCCCGACACACATATCCCGGTATTCCAGAATACAACGTAGGCTACGAGAGGGGATAGTTTGCGCCAAGTGTACAATCGCTGCAAAAGCAATATCCGATCCACTGGTGTCCTGGACAGTCATCGTATGACCCGCTGCCAGACAAATATCTCGCACGCGACGGCCTCTAGTCAATCCTCTGCACATTGCCACGAAGGCCAGAACGGCAAGAGTCTATCCTCGATAACTAGGTGTCATTTGCATGTTTGCCGTGGTGATCAGTTGCTGCAAGGGGAACAGCGATTGGCCAGCAATTTTGAGACCGACGATCTCTGAGGCTTAGCTTATGGTCTATTCTGGCTGATCAAAGTTAAGTTGCCAGTTGAAACCAACACAGATAAGTATGAGGTCTCTACATTCTGGAATTAGATTAAGTAGTTAAGATATGCCAATCCTGTTCGGGAACTCACTAACAGGTCTCTTAGCCAAGGCCAGCCCCTCATTTGCTGGCTTTTTCTCTTTTTTATATCCCCCCCTCCAGCTGCTCGAAGAATACAATTGCTATGCCGGGATACACGACTCTCTACTCCAGAACCCCTCGCTCTTTCCTTTTCGCCGTGGTGGCCAATGTCGGTCCCGGCGGCACCAGCCGCTGCCTGGCCGTGGCCTACCGCCAACACCACGACGAATATAACTCACAGATATCCTGGGATCGAGTGCAATGTATGGTGACCGACACTCTTGCGCTGACCGAAGTCCTCTCGGATCCCACGAACCGTGCGCCGCTGGAGGCTGAGAGGGCGCTCGCGGAGGACTGGTATCGTCGGTCTCAGGGCCGGGAGCCTCCGATTCATGAGCGGCCCAGCGTACCCGACACCGTGCAACCCCCGTTCGTGCCCTGGTACAAGCGGCGTGAGCCAGGGCAACAACAGCCCCCGCTGCCGTGGCGGGATGATGCGCCTAGCAAGTTTCCCTTCACTGCGACGTGTGTTTTGCTGGCGTTGTTGCGCGATACTCGCGACAACCGCACCCGCCCCAGCGACGTTCAGTTTCAGCCACTATCGACGCTGTTCCGGGCCGACTGCATTGAGTATGGCCTGGTTATTCTCGACATCTCTGACCTCGACAGCGGCGTCAAGTACGGCATCGTTGCGTTCCCCATGAACTACATGGCTGAGGTTGAATACGGCGGCGAGATGATCGGCTGGGATCCCGTCGAAGACCCCCGAACCGGAAAAGGAGCCCGATGTTGTACTCGCAGACCCGCGGCCTCGAGAGCTGTTGTCAATCTCGCAGTGGGTATCGAAGCATTACTACTGGTCGGGCCTGGAGAAGGCGTCTTGCATCCTCAAACTAGAGGAGAGGCCGCTGGCTGATGCGGTAGCCTTGGATTGTACGTCTGTTCACCCGAATGATTTTGCAGGTGCTGACAGGGGGAATAATGGTAGATATCTGGCCACCAGAGCTGGATGATCCGACTCGAACATCTTCAGAAGGTGATCTCTGGCGCTATTCCATGTTAACCCATATCGATCACATTTGCTAATCTCTCCAACAGACTTCAGACATTCAATGATCGCCACCCAATCCCCGCCTGATATGGAAGGTTACACCATAGTAGACCAACCGCCGCAAAATGACCCCGTAGGCATAGTCCGCACCATTGATTATCTGCTTGTTCTCACCCAGGAGCCCGCCTCCGGTCCCCTCGAGAAGGAAGCGCTCGCCAACCTTCAAGTACTTGCTCAGTTCCGCGAGCAGCTGCGGCAGCGGCTCGAAGAGGCGCCAGAGAGGCTCGGCTCCTCCCAGATCTCCAGTCATGTGCTGCGCGTGGCATACGCTGGATGCCGTCACCTCAACTGGGTGGTGTTTGGAAACCTGCCGCCTCGCGTGATCGCGGCCGCCATTGCATCGGATGAACTTCAAGGTGCGTCTGCGCTCAGCCTCTGCCTCAATCCGTTCCAGCTGGTGGGAGGTGAGGAAGATGGAGAATCAGACCTTGGTGACCTCGCCGCGGCCCTGGCACAGTCCACGGCCCTTCAACAGCTCTGCTTCTTGCAGCAGCCGGACCGGAACAGCGACGATGGCTCCGCTCATCCCTTTTCGGTGCTGTCTTGGCTGTGGTCGAGGGCATCAAGTGAAGACTCGGAGTCGCTCCGGCTGAGAACCATCCATTCGACCTCCGCTTTGTTAAACGGTTTACGCGGCCGCGAAGTTCGAGCAATATCCTCGCCGAGGAATTTGGGTTCTAGCTTCACCTCGGGCGCTCAAGTCGTTCCCATGATCCATCTGTTCACATTTGTCAGCCCCCAGCGCGAAGATGTCCGGGACGCAGCTGCAGACCACCACGTCGTCCACCCTGCTCGTCCCGGGTACAGTGGCCACTACTCCATGGATAATACTGGGTTAAACGCCGAGAGCTTCGCTGTCCGATTCTTGGTATACCTCCGATCCTTAGGTCCGGATTCGGATCCCGACCAGGCCATCTTGCGATTTGCATATCATGGGGCGTTCTCGTCACTCGCTTCCATCGACGAGGACAACAAGAACAACGACGACGACGAGCCCGCGTCGCCGCCCCGGGGGCCACCGCCGCGCCCACCGCCGCTCCAGTCATGGCCAGATCAATTGGGTGTCAGGCCAATCCCCGCTGGATTTTTCGATGAGCTAGCCCCCGACCACCCGTCCCGAGACCGACTCAGGGATATCTCCCCTGGGAGCTGGGTGGTTCTTATAGATAGACAAGACCGACGTGATCGATTCAGCGACGACCGCGCCTTCTTACAATACTCTTTTATCAGAATCCGTCGCTCTCCAGCCCCGAAGCAACAACAACAACAACAAAGATCGGCCCCCGTCTCTAGTTCAGTTGAGGTAGTCGGCGGGCTGACCGACTTCCTGCGCGAAACCGTACCAGAAACTGATATTACCACGTGGGAGAAACGGCTCGAGGAGGTAGAGATGGACTTGGTTTCAGCGTTGACTAGACCGAGCCCACCCAGTACCCCGTCATCGATGGAATGGTCACCGGGGGTGAACCCGATTGACGATGTGCTGAGGCGCTTGACTTCACCTACAACTGAGAGCGCAGACAACGCCCCGCCAGAGACTGATCTTCCCACTGAGGAGGGACTGGTCGTGGAGGGAGAGAGGGAACGCTGCATCGGCGTTCGCGTCATGGCTGAGAGCCGGGTCCACACTTTACTGGACCAGTTACTATGATTTTACCCTATCTCTAAGCTATCATCGAGGCCTATATATCCATAAAAGCCCCTCTCTTTAGGCTATAGATCCCTCAAGATCCCGTCACAACTACCCTCTCAAGCTTACCATTTAAAGACCCGCCTCCTTCAGTCTAGCTCCGAAACGGAGAAAAGGAAGGAGCGGGGACTATTGGAATCCAGACACTTATATCCGAGTATTATATTATTTACAAGATAGGGCGATTAATAGAAGTAAATTGTCTAGATAACAAGCTGGGCAACGAGAAGTAGAAAAGTGCATTAGCCTGATATTTGGTTCTGAGCAGGCTGAGCAGCCTAATCTAGGCTTCTGACAAAATACGGCTAGCCTAGGCCTAGCGGGAAGTAATAGGGCCAAGCGAGAGCGTCTTTGACTTCTTTTTTCAGCTTCTAGTTCTTCTTTTGAGATTCAACACTAAAGAATGACATGGTATATTATTCACTCCTCTTCAATCCCATCTATTTGCAACACGTGATTATCCTATGACGTTTGTCTTCAAAAGCGAGGGTGGAGATGTCTTAAGTATTTGTAGAAACAAGATGTGAATTGTTTTATATAAAACCTCTCAAAAACTAATTGCATGCAGGCATACCCTCGAATAACAATATTCCTTGAACCGATACAACGTCAGGACAGGTGCCGGAGCACGGGTTATCAGTATCCATAGGGTCTAGTTGTCGAGGCGTATACTTTTTGCCATTGAGGGAGAGTTGGAATCCGCATTCGGAAAAGAATTCCGGGCCTTCATTCACAAATTTGGCATCGCCGTTTTTTGCAGAAGTCAAAGGAGAACTCGTCCTTAAAGATGTCGCAGATTGGCGGAGACGATCCAATATTGGCGTCGCTGGCAAACATCCCATTGCAGTGTGAACCTGGATTGTTGTTGTTAGCGGGCAGTACTCTTTCGGTTATTATGTAGTAATTGCACTTACCAGGCGCATAAATGCTATAGGCATAGATCGGAAATTGCGATGAAGGGGTTGTTGATGTACCAAGGCACAATGGGAGAGTTTCAACAGGCGGCGATGATGTAGTCGTCGGTGATGTACCAGTAGTTGTCGATGTCGACGTCGGTTTCTGGGGCGGCAGGCCATGAGGGTTCTGTGGATCCTTGGGGTCATAATAGTCCGGAGGATGGCTGATCTCCGGGTGCGGGTCACAGTAGTATCCCTTGCAAAGCTCTCCGCCGCAGTTATTCTCGCTAGTACATTTGCGTCCGGACGGACCCTCGTTCCAGTTGATGTTCTGTCCGGGCCCACTATTGTCCCCAGGGATAAGGGGGCAACTATCACTACCACCGCCGGATTGCCGGCGCCCAAGTTGTCTTCGAGCTGTCGGGGGGTTGGTTTTTTGGGTGGGGAAGCAGGGCTTCACGTCCTCTCCCGGGTTGGGGGCTTCGTTCTCGAGATTGTCCTTGATGGTCGGGCACACCTTGGCCCAGTCTTCCGTCGACCCGTGCTCGCGGAGACAGCTGTGCTCGCCAACCTGACCGTTCCAGATGACCGGCCGTCGGGCGGGAGCAAGGACTGGGCTGTTGTGTACCACGAAGCGGCGCGCAAAGAGCTGGATGAGCTTCTTCACGTTGCTGGGCTTGTCCAACTGGGACTGCCAAGGAGAGGGCACCGAGCGGAAGTAATTGGCCAGGGCAGCGACTTGAGGGGAGGCTGCAGGAGACCCATGTTAGTTAGTCACAAGTGGTGGGGTGGGGTACAATCTTGGGGGTGAACGTACCAAATGATGTGCTACCGCAGTCCCTCATGGGGGAGGCAGAGCCCGGGGCCGCGGGGCAGTTGATCCCCCCCCCCCCGGGGGGCAAACGTCGTGATAAAGCCGGCGTAGTTGGAATCGTCCCACTTCCTGCCTTTTATTTCGGATGCTGCAACCACGATCATATTGGGAAGGCCACCAAACTGATCGTTAGGGTCCGCGAACTTGGGGGGATATCTTTGTATAGGGACGCCTTCCGGCCCCCTCGCGTGGTTGCCGGCCGCCGCGACGATGACGACGTTTTGCTGCTCCAGCTTCTGCAAGAGGGCTCCTAATATCGTTGATCAGCACCTTAATTCGCTTCGCCTGCTATCGTCGTCACCTAGGTCGACCGGTCTGTGCTGTCGATCTCGGTGTTATTGAAGATGTGAGTTATATTCACGAACGAGATGGCATGCAACAGAAGCTGGACACCAGCATCTGGGTGGGTATCAACGAGGGCCTCCTGCGTCGCATCCTCTGCTTTTCAATTCTGCAGCAACGACCCGATGCGCTATCGACACTCTCCGCCACGCAGATAATCACCGGTATCCCGGTACCTCAGCCTGAGAACTCGCAGTTGTTACACGACGCCCGATTTGCCAGTCTCTTTACCACCACTGGGCGTACAGCAACCGGCGGTGGGGGGGGCAGAGCTCGGCTGGTTCCAAGGAGATTCAGACATTGTTGCTGCTGCTTCGATCCAAATCCCCGGATAACGCAGCCCAGCTTGCAGCGACTGTGAAGATGGTGAATAAGTGCTTTGTGAGAGTCCTTCGGCTCTCGGAGCCCATCGATACCGGACGGCCTCTCTCGGTTTACGGCATTGATTCCCTGGCGGCTGTGGAAGTCCGAAACTGGCTTCGAGTTGAACTTGGGGCTTTAGTAACTACATTGGATATTCTGAACGGTTCGTCGCTAATCGCTCTTTGCGAGAAGGTTGTAGCGAAAGTGACCACTCCATAGAGCGAAAGGGGAGGGGAGATGGGGGTTCGTCAATAGTCAGTGCGTTAGAGATAGAAATTGCGTAGGGCAAATGCAGAACAATCAAAGTTTTGTCAGGTTCCATACGTATAGTGGTATAAAGCGATATTTTCTTCCAAACGTTCATGGTAACTAGTGCGTTTTTGCTAAGCAAAAAAGCGACTCGAAAATTTCCCGACTTGGAGAAAAGAGAGAAAGGAAAAAGGGTGGAAACAGCTGTGTACCTGGTCGGGCGGTCGTCCGGTGGTCGCCCGATTGGAGGTCTCACCTCCGAATTATCCCTGGAAGTGGAAGCCTGGAAGCCACAGGCTGATTTTGCGGGCGCATGCAGCGTCAGCAGGCTGAGGGTGCAGGGGAAACAAAGAACAAACCCCACATGGGAAGCTACATAAACCGTTGGGAAGGACATATAGGTCAAAGTCTTCTTTTATGGAGCCATATCAAATTAGCATTCAACCTCCTATCCGACCATGTCGCTTACCTCCCTCCGGAATCTGCGCACCCAGTGGTTCCCGCCCAAAGCGGCATTCACTGAGAAAGAGCTTCCCTCGCAGAAGGGTCGGGTTTTCATCGTGACAGGCGGCAATGCCGGCGTCGGCTTTGAATTATGCAAGATCCTGTACGGCTCCGGTGCCACCATCTACATGGCATCAAGATCGAAGGCAAGTCCCCCAAACTAATTTGGACTCATGACCTCATCGGTGGGCTAACACTGTTCTCCCAGGAGCGTGCCGAGAACGCGATTCAATCCATCGTGAAAGTTCAACCCGCGCCGAAGTCGCCCGGCAAGATCAAGTTCCTCCATCTTGACCTCAACGACTTGGAAACAGTCAAGGGGGCGGCGGCTAGCTTCGCACAACAAGAATCGAGGCTCGATGTCCTCTGGAATAATGCGGGAACTGGAGCGAACCTGGTAGAAGCCGGCGGCAAAACCGCCCAGGGATTTGAGGCTATGGTGGGGATGCACTGTATCGCGACTTTGCTATTCACCGAGCTCGTGCGACCGCAGCTACGGGCGGCCGCAGCAGCGCCCGAGACAGCTCGTGGATCTGTTAGGGTAGTGTGGACATCCAGCTTTTTGGCGGAGGGCGCCTCGCCGGCGAATGGGATTGATTTCACTGTGTTAGATAAGGGAACCAAAGATCGCACTCGCAACTATGCTGTCTCAAAGGTGGGAACCTGGATGCTGGGACTGGAGTTGGCACGACGATCCAATCTCGACCAGGAGAACATTGTGAGCGTGGTGCAGAATCCAGGCAATCTAAATGCGGGCTCCTATGCAGGGACTCCGGCGGTTGCGATGTTTTTCATTAGCCCCTTGCTCCATGAGGCCAAGTTTGGGGCCTATACCGAGCTATACGCCGGTTTATCACCCGAGATAACACTTGAGAAGAATGGCGCCTATATCATTCCCTGGGGAAGGATTCGACCGGATAAGGACTGTCCACGGCGAGATATTGTTGCGGCGATGACTTCGGCCGAGGATGGGGGACTTGGATATCCAACACGGTTTTGGGAGTGGTGTGAACTGCAGTGGAAGCCCTTTGTGTAAGGCCCAAGTTTCAGTGCTGCGTGTCTCGAGGTTCACCATACTTAGGTGATGCCGGGTCTATTATAGCCCCAATGATATGTACTGTGATCTCGATGAGACCCAGAGAGCAAGCTGTATTTCCTTGTTGGTGCAAGACCGAACTTGTCTTTAGCATGATCCTATTTAAAGGTTTATTAATTAAAATATATAATATTTACATTCACACCAAGGCTAATTTAAAACTAGTCTGTAATATATCGGCATAGAAAGCCGCCAATGCTCGATTTTACTCAACTCATGCGGGAACAACATCTCGACAGGCCCAGTCTCTCGTGCCAATAAGAACATGGAGTTCATGAGAAATGACTGAGGTACTCGACACGTCACATAGTCGATTCGGAGAACATCGGCCAATAAAAACACGTCAACAACCCTAGATACAGCAGGTGCTTCCATCCAAGGTTGGTATGATCGCTCCGTGATCTTTATCCCCATGGACTTGCAACATATCAATCTGTAGCGAGATTATCCCAACCCCGAAGGGTAAGAATAATATAAAAAGAATCAAGGTAAACACAGTCCTCATTCTCGCAGGTCTCAAACATGCGAAAGTTCAAGGTGTATCATCCCATGTCTCAGTGAGAGGAACAAAGACCTGACAGGCGGGAAATCAAACTTTTCGGATCTCAGCCTTACGTTACATACGGCTGCAGCGGCCTCCAGTTCGGGGGGAAACGATGTATCATCTATGATCCTGTGGCTTCCATTTCGGTCCCTTGTTTCCTGTCATCATGCGTGTCGAGATGCACGATCGTGGACGATTCATTGCTATCACACTGGTTATATAAGGATAGTACATTTTATGCAGCCTTTCCTTCTCAATTCTACGGACACTGACGGGGGTATATGTTTCATCCCGAGTATATAACAGGATACGAAGGAGCCCACCTAGGCAGCAACTTCATGCTGCACCCACCGGCCGGGTAACCTTGCCTTTTCTTTAATCTTCGCTGCCATCAAGATCCCTTCGCAGATATATGGCCTCCAATAGTCCCCACGACGCTGGTATTCCGCTCGCCACTTACTGCTCAGGAACGTTCCCTCCTCGGTCCAGCATGTTCTATCCTTTAACTGCGACTCTGTCAGATCCGATGCACATTCGACCATCGCCTCGCGGGTGGCAGCCTCCCATCGTGTCCGGGCCTCCCCGGGTTCCAGGATCGGATCGATGGCTTTGAGTGCCGCCGGGGAAAACTGGGGAGAGTAGTCCTCCTGTAACTCCTTGCGTTCGAGAAAGATATCCGGATTCAGCGCCAGGAATGTATTCAGTAGAGCCCTGCGAGAGCTGAGCTGGGTGCGATATCGCTCGATGCGGATCCCCGCGGAACACCACATCCACTGACGGATCTCAGACTTCAATGGGATAAAGTACGCATGCGCTACGATGCCGAAAACGATCCAGAAGGAGAAGTAGTAGGCGTTCCAGTCCTTCGTTGCCGCGATGCCGATTGCAAGAGCCCACTGCACCAGGACGAGCCCCCGGAGTATCATGCGCATCGCCCAGTGCGAGGGTGCTTGGTGCTGGCGTGGTTGGAGGGGCCGGTTCAGAAGCGAGTTGAGGACAGTACTTTCCCCGTAGAAGGCCATCCAACTGCTGGTATTCATGTTCTCCGCCACGATAATTAGGCGATTGTAGTCGGAGTGTTTGCTCACCAGCAGCTTGCGCGGTCCGTTGCCATGCATCAGAGAGACCACGACTCCCGATATCACAACAACGCCGAGGGATGCGACGGCGAGGTAACAGTGGGACATGATTCCGAGAAGGACCAATCCCGCAAAAGCCACCCAACCGAGCAGGCTGGTCGCGATATAACGAGGAGAATACGTGCGGAGCCACGCAGCCACGGTGTCCACACGACGAAGACTGAACCAGGCGACCGGGGGCCATTTGGTTGTCTCGGCGGACTGGCGCAGGACGTGTATCAGCTCCAAACTCTGCAGCCGGAGATCATTTGGGCACATGTTCGAGTGCTGATTGTCAATCATCTTGGGGGCCTGCGAGCTGATGCAAATCCGCACCGTTTCCGGGCTGGGCAGGAGGTATTCATCCCCGTATCGACCGTCCAATCCCGTCAAGGCGATGCTATTCCCATACTGATCCAGATAGCAGGACTTGGTCGCGGACGCATCCGACAGCAGGAGACGGCTCCCCAGCGGAGTGATTGCCCACGACCAGAGCGGACACCCACCCGTGAGCTGGAGGGTGTGAAGCTTGACGGGGATATCAATAAAATCAATCAGCGCAGAGAGAGGTAAGATGCTCGCAACTTCGGAGACCCATGGATTGGCCGCTAGTATCTCCGCAAGCCCGTTTATCACGTTCGAAACCATGGTGTTGTTGGAACTTCACACCATCCTAAGAGCTCAACGACTACACAGCCCCTCTTTTCTCGAGGAATCCAAAAAGAAAGATAGGAAAGAACGAAGGCGATGCAGGAAAGAGGAGAAAAAGCCGCTAAAACAGAAAATACGACACATCGCCAAGATCAGCGGCGGATTGGAGAGGCGCTCCTCAGCTTGTCAGCTGGAGATCAATACTTTCATGCATTGCCAGCCTGGCTGATGCAGCTCTGTCCCGCTGTCCTCCATAATCATGGGCGAGTGGAGCGACAAACTGTCCGCTTGGACATGCGAAGCGGAAAGTCAACCTTGCAGGGGCCCTCGAGGAGCTGATCTTCCAATCAGATCACGTATGTCACCATCTGAAGGAGGGGGAAAAAGCAAAAAGAAACAACAAAGACAAAACGAAAAATAAAAAATAAAAAGACAGGCGGCAGGAGGAATACTGCGACACTAGCCTTGTCCACGGCTTGGCGCGATTTTCTGCCCAAAAAGGTTGTAGATCTCCGCTGATGTATCAAGTATGCAACCGATTTGGAACGTGTTCACTGGGAGACAGCATGGTTTAACTCCCCTGACGGGCCGATTGGGACTTGCAGGCGTCGTAATCATGGCCAATTGCCGAGAATCATTGGATCGTGTCATCCAGAGGTGCGGGATACACATCTTGTTCTTGCAGATTAGACCAGGGTGCTACAGTGTTGCGAAATTTGCAATGTGCACTGTGTCTACTCCGTACTGGGGACTCATTCCCTTCCCACAGTATATACGTGGAGGAGATACCGAGATACATATACATACCCCACCCCCCCAGATACACCTGGGAGCACGAGTTGCTAAACCACCCCTAGTTTGTATTCGAAATCCTACACTCACATTCTGTTACCAATTTTCGCCATGACCATTGAGTCTCTCTCCCCTGGTGCTTTGACTGGCGAGGAGCCCGAGATAGTCATGCAAGCTTTCGCCTACCATCACATGGTAGCCAAGGTCAGGGGCGAGCATAAACGGAACAAGGTACTGCCTTTGCCAACACCCGGCTTGCACACGGAGCTGGTAACGGACAGTCTGGGCGGGAACTTGTGCTCCAATGCTCATCGGCGAGACGGGATCCTCACGCCCGACCCTGACCTCGAGGCCGAAGCCAAGGACTTTCTCTGGCAGCGGCTGGCAAAGTTCAGCCTTGAGTGCAATATCCGGCGGTGCGAACACGCGGACTGTCTCATCGCAAAGGGTGTCATGACGAAGGCTGCACCTCCCTGCAACTGGACCGCATTCCGAGAGTGGGCGTTGACCGTCGTGTCCTGCCAAGCCAGCTTTACACCAAAGCAGAAGATATCTGCTGCACATATGCAAATGGCACGAGCCGCGTCTGGGTGTTCCCTGATCCTGAAGTCGTGGGCCAATGCCACGAACTTGGGAGTCCGGTCCTTTGCACAGCCGAGCCTGAACGGACAGGTGATCGATATGGCTGGCGTCTGTAGTCTGATCTATTGGATGCTCAGCATCCAGGCCGACCTGGGCGTTGGACCGAGAGATTTTGGGCAGTGGGATCGGTCCCTGGTGCCGCCCGCGGCGACCTTGCCGGCCATTGTGACGGCTCACCAGCAACTCTCGCAGTTCAACATTTGCAGGCGGCGTCTCTGGGCTATCGTCAATCAGAGCGATCGCAGAGACGGCGATCTTCCGGACCTCGTCGTGGCTATAAAGCGGCACGCACGGGCGCTCTCACAAAAGGACCATGGGCTTTGCACCTCTAGCAAGTGCCAACAGGCGCATATGAATACGACGCGAACGAGTCAAATGCACAAATGCCCTAGCACCAGATGCCGAGATCGGACCATCCCAACGGAACGAGTTCCAGCCGCTGTGGAGTTAGGCCATCGCACGGCATGGGATACGGCGGGGAAACAACTCTGCGGCGCGGATGATGAGTACATTGCCATCTCCCACGTCTGGTCGGATGGGACCGGCGCAGGGGGGAAGAACCCAGGGACGGTCAACGAATGTCTCTTCAACTTTTTCCGTGACCTTGCCATACACTACGACTGCAAGGCGTTCTGGTGGGACGTGATATGTGTGCCCTTTGAACGCAGGGCCCGTGATCGAGCCCTTGGAGTGATGCATACCAACTATCGCGATGCAAAATGCACTGTCGTGCACGACAATTATCTACTCAGCTTCCCCTGGTCCGACGACGGAGGCCCATGCCTGGCGCTCGTCCTGTCTCCCTGGTTCTCCCGGGGCTGGACGGCGCTGGAGCTGGCCGTTTCGCGCAAAGTGGAGGTTTTGTTCGGCGATGGAAAAGGGGGCTGGGTCTATAAGGACCTTGACGACGAGATCCTGGCCAAGTCGCCGGGCACATCCTCCCGTGCACATTGGCTGGCATCCGTCTTGATTCGTCGGGTTCGTAGGCGTATCGAGAACATCGGGGACCTGATCGCCATCCTACGCCCACGCAGCACCGCCTACACGCGTGATCGCACCGGTATTGCTGCTCTCTTGGCCAACGTGCCTGACTGTGACCTGTCTCGCAGGGAAAGTGAGATCACTGAGCGCATCCTCCAGCATGTTGGCCGGATCCCATACGGATGTTTGCTCCATGGAGCCTCGACGATCCGTGACAGTGGAGCTTTCTCCTGGGCGCCGGCCACGCTGGATGAGATGCCCATGGACCTTTCGGCTGACCTTCAAGTGGATACCACTGCCAAAGACCGACACCAGTTGAAGATTACTGAGGAGGGCGCCATCGAGGGGTTCTGGTGGTATCGGGCCGTTAATGGGGAGGATATGGAAACGAAACGGATTGTGCCACTTGGCGACAACCTCGAATCCATAGTCAAGGTACATTCGTCCCTGACTGATTGGGATAAATGCATTCTGCTGCGGTTCAAGCAGAACATGGATACTGCCGTTCTGGCAACGACGGTCGTCGGGGCGGGGGGAGCAGGCTGAACTGTCGCTATATCGGAGCGGTTCGGCTGCGAAAGAAAACCGACCGATCAGAAGCCGGGGTCACAGGGGCGCAAACCCGTTGGACCTGGGGCCAGGTCACCTTGGGGGATGACGTCGTCGATTGGGATAATAACGTCGATTGGGATGACGTCGTCGATTGGTATAACGTCGAATGGGGTAACCGCAAATGGGAGGGCAAACAGGCCAACGGCGATGTCGAGGGAGGCACTGTCGCTGATGCAGATGGCGAATCAGACGAAGGATCTGGCGCTGACGTCGACCAGGTGGCTCCTGCTAAGTTGCCGCTGGTTCTCGCTTCAGAGGCCATTGAAGCGATTGAGCATGAGCAAGGTAGGGATGCAGGGAAAACTGGATACACAGTAGGAGGGCTGATAAATGCCGTCGCAAGTCAGCTTGCAAGCAATGACGAAGGCGGCAAAGTGAGCGCGACGGGGCCCGATCACCCCTTCCAGGGGGCACCTTTGGATTTGTTCAGCATCAAATGGATTCTTCAACGAGTAAAGAACCTAGACCGTCGCGAGCAGCACCTTCTAGTCGCCATTGCGGAAAGAGATGAAAATGCAATGCAATATCTCATCCGAGACGGCGTGCGGCTCGAGAGTAGCGTGGTCGTGGATCTGGCGGCGGAGATTGGAACAAAAACCAGAAGTATCTATGAGAACTTGCTGGTGCTCGGCCAGGTCTACCGACGGAATAGCGTCTGGGAGAAAGCAGAGGATATTCTTCAAGTCGTCATCGGCCGATTCGAGGAGCTCAAGGAAGAGGACGTCCGATACCACAGCTTCAGCCACATCGCTAAAAGCGCCCTGGCCAGCATTCTAGAGGCCCGCGGAGAGCCGGACAAGGCCATTGATCTGTACCGGCAGGTCCTGAACTATTACCGCGATGCCATCGACTTGCTCGAAGTCCTCATGGGTGCCCTGCCCGAGCTCGAAGGCGACCTGATATACGGTGCCGAAGAGAGCCACATCGACTATTCTATGCCATTTATCGGCAGTTTAACCAACAGCTCGTGGAATGACGATATCAAACTCAAAACCATCACGGATCTGACTGTTCTGTATGCAGAGCAGGGCAGACTGACAGAGGCAGAAAGCGTCTTCAAAAAGGCCATCGCAACGGTTGGCTCCGACTTTCATGTGCCTTGCTTTGCCTTGGACTGGACAGACAAGTACCTCAAGAATTTCGCCTGCCGAAAGAGAGTGTATGCTCGCCATGAAAAGACGTATAAGCGTGCACTCTGGCAATTCAAGCGACTCCTCGGCGACCACCACCCTTGGTGATTCTGACGGCCTGGAACCTGAACCTTATCCCTTCGCGGATCCAACAAGAGCCGGCTGATGTGAAGCTTGGATACGAACAGGTAATAAGGAGGCTGTCAGCTCTCGCGAATGCCCCGAAGAATCTCATCCGCTATGCCCGGTATTTCTACGGGAAATTCCTCGTCGCGCAGAACCGAATACAGGCGGCGCAGGGCCAGTTCAGCCTCGTCCTGTCTGGTTTCCCGGACGAGCTTAGAGATGCTGAGAGCTTCCGGTTTGCTGCTTTGATGCAGAAGGGGATCTGCCTTTTGTACCAGACGAAGTATCAGAATTCACTTCCTCTTTTTGACGCTGCGTTGGATGGCTTTCAGCGATGCAACATGGACAAGGGAGTATTCAATATCGTGAAGAGCACAACTCGTCAGTCCCAGGCATGGGCAATGTTCAGGCTAGCGCGCTCTGAAGAAGAGAGGATAGAAGCCATCAGTCTGTGCCAGGGTGTTCTTGAGGACCAAGAGGAGAGCTGGGAAAAGTCACGTTCTGCGAATCCCGCAGAACGGGAAAATATACCCACGAGCCACGAAGGGATCGCTGAAAGCCAACTATGCCTTGGGATTATGTACACCCTCAAAGGTGAATTTGTCAAGGCTCGTGAAATACTGGGCAAGGCTCTTCATGCCTTTGAGCAAGTAGTTGGTAACTCCGATATCAGAACACTTGCCACGGCCTATCGCCTCGGGCTTGCCTACAAGGAGCAAAGTTTAGTGGAAACCGATCGAGAAGCTGGCGTCGACCTGCACACCCTTGCTATTAAGCAGTTGGAGACAGTCATGATGGGTTCCTTTAAGGTCCTGGGTCCGTTTCACACTCCGACTCTGAAACCTGCCATGGCTTTGGGACAAATCTACATGGCATTGGCTGGATTCGCTACAATCCCACGTAGTTTTGATGATGTGAAGGAGCATTTTGGAAAAGCACAGGAGTATTTTGAAACGGCACTGGCCAGATTCGAGACAACGCATGCTGCAGACTATCCCGTGACATTCGAGCTGGAGCAAGCGCTAGGCAACGCGCTCCGAATGCAGGGGATGCTCAGTGAAGCAGAAGGAAAACTTCGGTACGCCGTTGTGAACTTCCACCATAGGGGCGAGACCTACAAGATATCGGAGGCACATGCCCTATCCGATTTGGGGCATGTTTACCTGGATCGCGAAAATTGGGATAAAGCCAGAGACAGCTACGACAAAGCTTTGAAGATATGTCAAGACCACGCAGACGACCATCTCGCCACCATGCAGCAGGTTTATCTCGGCGAGGTACGGCGGCGACAGGGAGACGTAGGAGATGCCAGAAGGCTCCTTGGGTAGCATACAATTCCTTCAGGACTCGTGGTCTGATCACTGACGGGCCAGTATTCCATGACCAAAACGCATGCGTTGCTGCCTTACACCTGTGGCAACTGGAGTCGGAGCATGGGCCTAACACCGACGGCGCCTACAACGGCTTACAGCAATTGGCGAAGGAGCCAAGGGCAACCGTAGTCACCCGGCTCGATGCTGCAGCGTGGCTGGGCGATATGTACCAGCGGAAACCGGATAATGCGACTGCACGTCGGTGGCTCGAGCAGGCTTTCGAGGGATACCTGACGCACTTGTATCCAGACCACTCGTCTACTATCCGAGTCTATCAACGACTGGGCCAGCTATACCAGGCGCTTCATTTAAAGCTCGAGGGGAAGACCCTGATTCGGAAATATAACTTGGCCACGAGGGGCCCAGGCTGGAGGGGAACAAAGCCACAGTGAGGATGGTGTATCGGAGAGACATCGATACGACGCGGTCTTTTTGTTTCATTGTAATATGTCTCCAGGGTATCTCTATGTACATGGTCACCATTTCGTGGTTTTTGAACCACCGAGCCATATAGTGTTCAACACATCACATCGCTAGAGTGATTTCATATAATTCAACGCAACCTCATGCAGGACTAGGATCAGGGTAAGATATCCAACCAGTTACTCGTCATTGATAAACATGGTGCCAAAGACGTTAGGTTGAAGGCGGACAGGGATACATTGTATATATGCCATATACTATTAGACTTTCAACATTTATTCCTATGAATATCACTACGCGACTCAATCAAACAGTACTGGTAAACGATAATCATGAAGCTATTCAATTAAAAGAACAATGCCAGTGAACATATCCACCACCTAGAACCCCTGCTGCCGATGCCACTTCTCTTGCCAACCCTTGAACCATGGGCTATCGTCCAAAGTAGATGCTTCCCAATCTTTAGGAACTAACCCATTCTCCTTCTGCTCTTCCGCCCATTCCTTCAGCTTAGGGAGTACCACATGCTGTACATGCCAAACACTCTTGTAATCCATGAGGTTCTTCTTTCCGTCTGTAACAACCTTCATCACCAGACCCGGTACGCCAGGCTCATCACGGAATTCCGTGATTGGAGTAAAAAGTCCCTTGAAATTGAAAACCACCGCACCAGACAAGGGCAGACGCCTGAGAGTCTGCCAGTCTACCCGAAGGTGACACTCGTCGATGGTCAAATCATCCCGCTGAGATAGCCGGTGCAGCTCGTGGGGATCCCCGGGTGGCATATACAATGGCTGTCCAATTTCCAGGCCCCACGAGCCTCGCTGAATTGGTTTCTCGGTCGGCATCTTAGTGAAAAATCTAAACCAGACGTATAAGCACTTCGACATCCCGTGTCTCCTAGGGACAGCACCAAACATACCGGTCCATAGAGAACTGCATCTTCTCCTTATAATCTGGAATCGGCTCGTGGATCTCATGCAGCTGCTTCCCGATCTTCGACGCCACATTCCACCCCAGCGCGGAGCAGATCACTGCAGCACGCAGGAAATAGAATCCTGTCGTCTCGTCACGAAGCATAATTGCAAAGTCTTCTGGTACGTTGTCCAAAAGGATCTCGAGAGGGGGCTTGGCTGTGACGTCCTGCTCGGTACCGAGGATCTTGTTCTGTAGTACGCGCTTGTTCCTTAACGTGAAGTACTGCGGATATCGCGCACATATAAATTGCAAGACCATCTCCATCAACTCTTTGCATGCAAGTTCGGAGCCTGGCATGACATCGAGAACTTCTTTGCCATTTTTGGCATAGAGCTCTTTGCGCTGGGAGATGCGGCTCTTATACGTGCTTTCGAGCTCGATCCACCAGTCTGTTTCGAGTTTGGTCAAGGCTATTTTTGGGCAGAGCAGATTAGTGCCACTTCATGGTTGTTCCGGTTTCTATGAGACATACACATCGTTTGGTGATACGCCCACCGGAATGGACGATATGGCCGAGGTAGTGCCTCCTCGATATTGAATTCGGGATACGGGCTGGGTAGTGGAACTCCACTTAGAGTCGCATAGTCCGGAAAGTCTCCAAGTCCTTTGATCTCTGCGACTGAGAATCCCATCGGTGTGTACTTGTCGCACGGGCTGGTTATATAGTCGGCGCTCATGGGTAGAATATTCCGACGTACTACATCTTCGTGCACGTCGGGTCCGGGTGAAGCACCACTAAGATCTGCAAGGGTATGTCTGCGTTGGGGCGGGAGAACATTGTCATAGCTAGATGGGGCAGTTGGGCTTGTTGTTGCTTTCTTGTCTGGAGAGAAAGACCGCGGTGGAGTTCGGGCAGTTGAAGGTCTTCGATCACGCAGCGTTACTCTAGCCAAGATGGATGTGCCAAATGCCCGACTAACGCAGGCGTAAACTCCAGTAGCAGCTAGTAGGATAAATCCAACTCGCCAGAGATTCTCCGGGATTGAAAGGAAGTCCATAGCGGCTCAATCCATACGAGTTAGGGCAAGCTGTAGGTGGATGGTGATTCAATATGCAGGGATTATAACAGCGCAGTGGCACGGGGTGACTTTACAAAAGTAAGTACCTAGCCGTGGGCAGACGAGGGGACAAGCGAATAAGTACTCTCCGGGATAACTGTGCGCAAAGCATGTTCGGATCGTGTTGCACTTGGATGATGGATGTCCGGAGCGGGGGTGAGATTTACATCCATTGAAAGTAACAAGAGGCACGCGTCAAATAGCCGCTTTTGTTATGGCTCGATTCGATTTCCCCTGTTGGGAGAGGAAATACCGGTGATCTATGCTGGTTTTTGCTGTGTCGACGTCACAGTCGGTTTAACGAAAGCAGGGATATCGTTATCATGTTACTCTTTCTAGATGTCCTTATCATATGGTCCCACCTCTGCGCCGATGTATATAGGGCAGGGAAGGTACACAAGATGCATATAAATTAGTTACGCAGATTTGTCAAGTTTACGACACCTATCAGTACATACTAGAGACGTATCATTTGCCATTGTTCGGAGGTGATAGTTTAGCTGTTCAATATAGATAGAATGCGAGAAGCCATGTCTTGTGTGAATTGATTCTGCAAACAGACCAGAACAGATAAGAACTGGGAACAAGTATACCGAAGAGGAACCCCTTCGATTACCCAAAAGGGTAAAAATGTCCCGAGGCTTGGCGGCAGATGACTTGTTTTGATTATGGGGGATGCACCCGTGGACAGTGCACAGCACCAGCCACTTAGACAAAACTCACTATCACCCGACGTGTTAGTCTTGTCTTTCTGGTAACCTCGACCCCTTCTTCGGAGTTATGTTTTTGTATCTGACAAGCATGTTAGACTCATCAGTCTTCTGGCTCACAGGGACTGATTCGCTCGTCCAGCAAATCCAAGTCTTCCAGTTGTGTTCGCGGTGGCAGCTTCCAGAGACTAGTACCGCAGACACGGTCTTTGGTAAGAAGATCGTCGACGAACTGATCCATATATGTAAGGGTGAAAGTGTCGCGCACCCGCCGCTTCAGTTTCCGGTAATCGAGCAGTAGTGGTTCCAGGGTTTTGTAGACATCGACCGGGTCGAAGGTGAGTCGAACGTAGAACGCCGCAAGAGCGCGCAGATATTTGAAGTCGCCTCGGTCCTTGACGAGAGCACTATCTGGATCTTCTGCCTCATCGCCACTGCCGGGGTCGGTGTAATTGAGTAGTTCGAGGATGACGTCGCGGTCGGGCCCGAGCTGGAGGAGCTTGAATGCGAGGCAAAGGAAAGGTGTTGGTTTCTCAGAGACACCGTATGTTCCACCGATGGATGTCAATTCGACTGCACGATCACACAGAGTCGCTGCGTTCAAACCGAAGCACTGTTCCTTCCAGTAGTATGAGTCGGTGATGCGGTCGCGCACAGCTTTCTCGAAGAGCGTGGCGGGATTGACGCCACGGACCAGGGGGCCCTTGTAGCCGCGGTTATCGAGGAACGAGCTGGCATCGGCACGATGGGCTGCCATTTTGGAAGTGATGACGGACGTGGAGGTGTCAAGGCATCGAAGTGAAAACGGGCTACGGCAGTTTTTTTGAGAGCATAGAGATAATGCGGATTTGGGGGATACCGCCTTTATGACCGCCTTAATATCGTTCGACGTCCGTACAAAAAGCCCTGTGGCATATACGGCATGTCTTCTCGCCTATTAATTTACATTTAATAGCATCAACCTTGGAATCATGTATATCTATTTAATAATTCATCAACATGGGCGACCTCGGGATGGTCCATGTCCGGCTAAAAATAACCCAACCTGGTCAACCAACCACTGCGAAGTAACATCGCCAAGACTGGCCTTATCGATAGTCGCGCGGACAACGTAAACAACTTGATGTCATGAAACAAGCCTAACAGGCCTATAAGACATCCTTGGAGAACAATAGTACAAGGCTGTTATATCTTAAGTGTCATCCCGGGTGTCATGCATATCTAGAATTTTAACTTCGCCTTATCACGTTCCCGCTATTCATCCCATGCAGCCTCCCTTGTGGCCATGGTTCTTCTCACGTCCTCCACAGTTTCGGCGATCGTGTCGATGGGAGTGATCTGCATATTTACCGCATTGTTATTTCTGTCCGGATATGTCCTACAGCAACAATCTGTCAAGAACATTCAGCATGCTTTAAAGCCCCAGGAAGCCGCCCAACTGGCCAAACACAGGTCGGCCCCAGCATTCCAGAAGCCACTTAAACGAGGTCTATCAGATACCGGCTTTGGGCCTGATGAAGATACGCCAGTTATTGGGAGTCAACCCAACTACGACGCGTTTGGAAACTATGCCTATCTCCAAATGCTATCTGAACCAGATCCATCAGACATATGCTCCGCAATTCTCTTTTTCAGACAACTCCACACAAACGGAACAGCCGTCCAGGACCGCCTGTTCATGTACCCAGCGCAATGGGACCGAATGTCAGCTCAGAAACTAGGCTCATCCGCCACTAAAGCTTTATCAATATTACGCGCTGCCAGCGCCAAATACAATATATGGCTCCTTCCCATCGACATGTCGGCAGCCACAGCGGCAGGCTACTCAACAACAAACAGCAAGCTGCTCCACCTGGGCCAGATCCAGTTCATGCAGTATGACAGCGTCCTCTATGTTCAAACACCAGGTCTACTTTTAGACACAGGCAAACTGGATGACATGCTCTTGGATCGGCCGCTGCCCCTCCGACATGACAAGAACCGCCCAGAATCCTACAATAATGAGGCATGGATTCCCATGCCGCTTCGCGCAAACCGTGAGGCTGGTATCCCGCCTGTTTATCTCATTACTGTCAATAATATCGAAAATGGGAATATTGAGGCAAGGACTCATGTTCCCAATGTTGCGTTGCCTGGGTTTGGGGGTCTTGTGGTTGGCCCTCGGGGAGCTGCCAAAGCAGCGAAATCAGCAAAGGCCGACCAGCCTGGCTATGTCTATTTCGATAGCGATCGTGATGGACATGTTAAGTGGGCTGATAATCCCTACTTTGGGACTTGGCGATCTCAGCAAGCTGAAGTTTGTGAGGGGTTGGACTTGGACGAAATCATTCATGATGAGCAATGATCTTTCGGTTTTTTTATGTGACGTGGTCTTGTGCATGTTGTAAATAACGGAGGGGAATTGGCGTTGGTGGCATCCATATATGATATTTTTATATGGCAATTGTTTCAATTTCAGAGTTTGGGCTTTAGGCAACAAATGTTTCCTGTCTGTTCCAGTCCAATTGTATGAATTTCTCGCACCTTCGGGTTTCAAGTCATGATATTCGTTCATTATGTGTCACTATGCTCCATTATGCTTCTTACATGTCCATCAATCATAGCTTTCCCTACTGCGGCACACCGATCTCGTAACCTAGGAGGACTTCAGTGGTATTTCCTTCCCAGCCACGGTTACCGCTGGTGGAGATCATGTAACGGCATGCATTGTCGATATACAGCTGAGAGATAGTTCCAGTCCGATGGCCAGGAATGATCAGGAACGGAACTGGCGAATGACGAGAAGCCTGGTCGCCTTGCTCGTTTTGTAGATCGTAGAGACGGAGGATATCGTGAGACGCACTGTAATTAACAAAGGTTAGAAAAACAGTTCTGCTTTCGGTGGTAATAGTTACTCACCAGACAAGATGACGCCCGTTCGGCATGGCCTTGAGTGCTGTCACCGGCCCACTGCCCTGTGGGAATTTGAATGTTCGTTCGGCATTTCGCAAACCCTTGTGGAGACTGTATTCTTCAACAGTGCCATTGCGGCGTCCGGCGTAGATGTAATTTCCATCAGGGGACCAACAAGCATTCATACACCACGGAGGAGAATTGTAGGGGGTGATGCGAGCAACAGGATCAGGCTGTCGCCGGTCCCAAACTCGGATTGTTCCATCTATCGAGGCAGCCAGGAACGTGTTATCGCTCGTCACACCTTGTTCTTGTTGGGTATTCTGCGAGAAGTCTGGGGCCGATGAGGGTGTCTCGAGATCCTCCGCTTTGGGGATTCCATTGACAACCGGCTGCACTGGGCCAGTTGGGATGCCCGCATCGTTCATTTCGATCTTCTGGACCGGTGCATCTGTATCAGTATTTGTTTGCTTCGACAATGGATTGTGCGTGCTTTGTTCATGTCCCACATCTGGTTGGGCAGGCATTTCATCATCGACTTCTCCTGGTGCATCGGCATCTGGCATAGCACCATTGGCTACGGCGCGGCCAAACTCGTCGTCCTCGTCTACTCCAAATACTCCTCCGGATGGCTCACCACCATCCGCAGCTCCGCCATCTGCATCACCGAATAATGAGTCCGCTCCGCCAAAGAGTGAGTCTGCCGGGGAGCCCGCCTGCGGGTTCTCGATCTGGCCCGACTGTCCATTATTGTGGGAGGCATCCATGAAGTTGAAGCTGTCTGTACCAGGAGCAGCATAGTTTGATGCATATGTGCCATTGGTCTGCAGCGGTTCGATTGTGTCCTTAGGGACAGAAAGGCTGGACTCTGGTCGAATCTGCAGAGCAGATATTTGACCGCTGCTGCCACCGAAAGCCCGTCTAGCTTGACCGGTATGCAGATCCCAGTCAAAGACCCGTTTATCCCAGCTCCCGGAGAGCAATGATTCTTCATCTGATGTGAGGTTCATGGAGGACACTGCCGAGGTATGTTGTCGCAGAAGAGCGATTTCTTTGCCCTCATCGTGGCGCAGTGTTTGGAGACGAATCACCCCGGATTCTAATCCGGAAAGTAGCCATAATCCTTCGCTATGGCTGGCCAAAGAGTACACAGGTGACAAGTGGCTGCCATCCATGTTCTCCCAGTATGTCATCAGAACTCCGGCTTTGACCACACTATCCACGAAGGGATGCCTTTGTGCCACGGTCAACATCAGCTTGCTGTTTATTGAGTCCGCCCAGTTGAACTTGCGCACGAATCCATCCGATCCACCGGTGAAAACCCAACGCATATCCGCTGTCGCTGTGATGGCATTGATCGAGGTGGCATGCGGCGCGGCGGTGGTTGGGACCACGTCGTAGGTTCGTGCTGTGAGGCATTCGGGACGCACACTTGGGTGGTAAATGGAGAACGGTTCAAATACGGAGTTGTCGCCGGTGCCATTGGTGTTTTGTTGCATGCCAGGGCCCTCCGACGCCTGGCTCGCATTCGAGGGGCTATCAGCATCTTGATCCCCATCGCCGTCTTGATCCTGATCGTTATCGTTATCGCCCTCGCCATCATCGACGTCGCGCATTGTGTCGTCCATATCGTTCTCGTTCTCGTTATCGGAGCTACCGTCCTGGGAGCCTAGGGAATCGCAGTAATTAGCAAGGTTGGGATCGATCGGCAGATAATTGGAACAAAGAATTGTCGTACCTCCCATGTCACGGTCCTCCTCTTCCTCCAGTGAACCCATGATTACCGCGGCTGTCGACAGTCCGACTTGTGGGGTAGCTATCGTTTGCGCGGAGCAATGGAAGCAGGGGGTTTTCAAACGAAGACCTCCGGCGCAAACAGAAATAATGTAAACGACAGTGAGATCGGAATTATGCTCCACCTCCGGAGAACAAGACAAAGGAGAGAGTCGCGAGTTAAGTCGCGGCTTAAAATGCACCTTGGGGATGGATCCGGTCGATGCTTGGCGGACCAATGAGCGTCAAGGGCTCCTTCTGAGTACCAGGCAGGGATACTACGATATACAATCTATCACATTAATTTACTATATCTACATGTATTAATGCCCTAATAGACATCTCAATTCTCTCATATAGAGCCTTGGAGGGCAGTACAGATATTAGGGCTATGTTACTATATTATGTAAGTAGATTTGGCGCGGGCCCTCCCTGGGGAGTACCTAGGTAAACCTTGGAAGATGAGGTTGAAGACATCTACTAGTAAGTACTTCAGAGAGGAAATCATGGACAGATTCCAGATTTGCTTGATACGTGGATATTATACATTTGATACATGTAAACCATATGGTAATAGTAATTTTATACAAATTAGTAGTATAGAAGATTCGTGGCATGGAAGTTTTACTCCATGTATATCTATGGCCACTATCATCTTATACAGAATATCTGATGAACATCGTTAAGTACACGTGAGGAATCCATTCCTTGGAATATAATACTATTAGAATATCTACAATATCTTCAATATGTCAGATATAGCAAACAGTTTCTCGACCGCTTTGATCTACTTTTGTCCTTCCAAAGTTCTTCCAGACAACATTAGTCACTTCTCACTTAATTCTCACTTTATTCCATACAGAGCTTATCGTATTTCGTCTTAGCTTATCTTCGTACACCTGGCATATATTCTACATTGGAGTTGACTTCGACGGTTTATGCCATTTCTCTTTCTTCTACCTTGTCATCTCCCACGCACTTTCCACCTTCCATAACAAATTCACTAAGTTCATAGGCTCACTTTCCAGAGGATACAATATCGACTGGTGGCTTTTCAAAGGATAAAATCCATCTTAAAGGTGGAGTCACTGGTTGCGGGAAAATCTCTTGGTAAGGTCGAAGATCTACTGGAATATATATATTGGCTAACCGCACACATTCTTTAGACAACCATGTCCCATTTTCGCTATGGATATGGACAACGACCCAATGAGCAGGTCAGGCCCGTTAATCCTGAAATCCGTCAGTACTTCGATCCCGACCTACCAGTCTATGGCCCTTGGAAACTTTGGCAAACCAAGCCAGAGCTTCCTTCGACCGAAGAAATCCTCGGGACAGATATACCGGGAGACTTCGTTGCCCTTACCCCGAATTGCATCTCGGAGCCTTGGGGTTCCAAGGAGGAATACCTAGAGGCCCATTACGCATTGATCCGAGAAGACTCGATTGCACCACTTCGAAATGCCGTGGCCAGGGTTCGCGCTGATCCTTTTATGAAAGATACTCCAGACATTTCTATCTACGAAAAGGTGAGTACTCCTTTCTAATTTTATTTTCATCATTTTGGAAAATTACAGATTCGATCCTAATACTCTTTTACATGGAAGGTCTTCGTTGTCGGTGTTACCCTAGCCCGCGCGGGTTTGGCGCTGCACATCCAATTCTCTACTCGCCGCGCGGGCAAAAACATTGCCTGGACATACTCTAACCGCCTTAATCCTGGGACAATTGTTGCTCTAACCCCTAAGCATAATGCATTCTTGAGCAAGTGTGTTGTCGCCGTCGTGGCTTGTCGCCTGCTGGAAGCGGTTGAGAAAGACCCCCCCAGAGGTCGATCTCTTTTTGGCCTCGCCCAACGATATCGAGGTTGATCCACAGTGAGTAATACTAAGCCCGTGTAACTCCACATGATGTAATAACACTAACTATTATGTTTTACTAGGCAAGAATGGATCATGGTTGAGTCTCGAGCGGGATATTTTGAGGCCAATCGACATACCCTGACAGCACTGCAAAAGTTATCAAAGGAAAGGTTAGGGAACAAGTCAGTGCGGCTCTTAATGAAAGCATTATCTAACCTTATCTAGTTTTCCCTTGAACGAACAAATCTGCAGCTTGGCAGGAGACATTGATGCACCGGGATACATTAACACAGAGCCATGCATGGACTTCACGCCATTATCTGAAGCCTCTGTACTCGATATCACCACAAAATACGACATCCTCAAGCGATGGCCCTCTCAGCCAATGGGAAAGCTAGATGCATCCCAATGGTCAGCCCTAAACCGAATGTTGACAAAAAAGCTGGCCATCATTCAGGGCCCTCCTGGAACAGGAAAGACCTTTACCTCCATCGCTGCTCTAAGGATGATGCTCTCAAACAAAGGGCCAAAGGATCCTCCGATCATTATAGCTGCTCAAACTAACCATGCCCTCGATCAACTGATCAAGCATATCTCCGTATTTGAGAAGAACTATGTCCGGCTGGGTGGAAGGACTTCCGATCCTGAAATTCGCAAGCGCACCCTTTATGAGATCAGACAGAACCAAGGTCTATTGACAATTGAGGGAGGTTTAATGACTCCAATGAGGAAGAAACAGAACAAGCTCGCGGCCGAGCTCGATAAGCTGCTACAACCACTTGCGCCATCAAACAACAACAAGCCTCTTGCAGCATCTCTATTTCTGGAGCATGGTCTTTTGAGCCAAGGGCAGGTTGAATCTTTGCAAGAAACAGCACATAAATGGCAGCAATCCAATCTCCCCGCAAATGCTGACCCTTTGGCGGCTTGGCTTTCAGACTGCGTGAGGGAGTTCGACTCCGAATACGCCGGTGACTTTGGCCTCGCTGATGATGATATCGACCTGGAGTACGAGCAACTAAAGGAGATCGAAGTCGAACACGGAAGATATGAAGATGACTGGTCGGCTTTCAAAACCCGTTTTTTCCCACTGTCTCCTGGTCTTTGCAGCTCCAACAGTGCCAAGGTCTCTCGGATGACGCTTGAACATCTGCTTAAAGAGAAAGACTTTTACAAAATTCACAAGAGGTACCGCGGTGCTGTCTATGACTACCTACGTGAGCAGCTGGTCATTATCATGGGGCAACAGGTGCAACGCATCGCTCAAACTTACAAAGACTGCTCCACCAATTTTCAGATTGGTAGATTTGAACGGGACTACTGTATTCTCCAGGAGGCGAAGATTATCGGCATGACCACCACTGGTCTGAGCAAATACAGAGGACTAGTCTCCAGTTTGAATCCCCGAGTAATCTTGATTGAGGAGGCCGCAGAAGTACTCGAGGCCCCAGTTGCAGTCGCTTGCCTTCCATCACTTCAGCATCTGATTCTTGTTGGTGATCACCAGCAGCTTAAGGGTCAATGTGCCGACTATGAACTGTGCGGTCACCCTTTCTACCTCGACGTCTCCATGTTTGAGCGTCTCATGATAAATGAGATGCCATACGCCATGCTTCAAGAGCAAAGACGAATGGTACCAGAAATCAGAAAGCTTGTGGCGCCCATTTATGGGGATCTTCTTCGAGACCATCCGTCTGTCGGAAACCACCCTTTGGTTCCTGGTATGGGGGATAAGAGATCCTTCTTTTTCGACCACACCGCGCATGAAAGCAACGACAGTCTGTTATCCAAGGTGAATGACTTCGAGGCATCCATGGTGGTTAACTTCCTTGCCTACCTTGTGATGAACAAAGTCCCGGCACCCAGTATCACTGTACTGACTTTCTACAATGGCCAACGGAAATTAATCATGCGAAAGAAGTCACAGAACCACAATGTCTCCAATTCATACGTCAATATACTGACCGTCGACTCATACCAAGGAGAAGAGAATGATATTATCATTCTCTCGCTAGTTCGATCCAATGATCATCGAGGTATCGGCTTTCTCGCACAGGACAACAGAGTGTGTGTTGCCTTGTCACGCGCTAAATACGGTCTTTACATATTCGGCAACGCACAATGTGTTAGCAAACACAGCAATTTCTGGTATTCAGTTACCAATGTGATGTCCGAAAATCCAGGAGACCCCCGTATTGGCCCAGCTCTGCCTCTGTATTGCACAAGGCACAATCAAGAAACCCTCATTGAAAGTGAGTCCCCATGATCTCTGGAAATACTAATGAGAAAAGGAAAGATCTAATTGCTTCTTCTAGCTCTCAAGGACTGGAACACTATCACCGACGGTTGCAACAAGCCTTGTGGCAAGGATTTGCCATGTGGACATCCATGTCCTCGCAAATGCCACGGGTAAGTCTACAGAATAATCACAGTTTCCACGCATCCAAATACTGATATCTTGCCTTTTTAGTTCTGAACATGACTGGGTGTCTTGCAAACAGCGCTGCCCTGAAATTCGCGAGTGCTGTAACTCGCCTTGCATTTGTGTGTGCTCTCCACCACACATTCATGATTGCTTCTGCGGTATGGGCAAGGACAAGAAAACCCAGGTCTTCGACGCTGGATCCGACTGGGATGATTTTGATGGCGACGACGATGATCGCGAGCCAAAAATCGGTCCCATCAGTCGGCCCCGAGCCCCAACCCGCACACCTACCTCCGGCGCAGACGACGATGCAATGCGGCGTGCCGAGGGTGTGCGCCGGTGGCAGGCGTTTGCGCAGGGTGGCGCCGTGTTAGATGATTATCGTCGAGCTGGGATCGTAATCAGAGGGGAACGTCCTCAGAAAGATGCCACGCCAGTTAAACAGAACGTGGTTGGTCCGGTCCAGGGAACCCTAATCAACTTCGACGACGATGATGGCCAGGCCGATGTTTTGGGGGCAGACGACGACCAGCCTGCTGCCTCAGCCAAAGGGTGGATGGTTACATATGATGGGGCTCGTGATCGTTCGGCTAAAGCTCTGGTCCTCGGGGAACATGGTCCGCGCCGAGTTGGAGCTGAGAGACCAAAGGAATATCTGCTTCCTGAACTAGCCAACGATTACGATCATTTGCCCGGTGGTTGGAGCACTCCCATGGAGGGGCAGCTGATCGAGCTGTCCTAGGTCGGCAGCAAATGTCACTTTCCTACAGCCTTTGCCTTTGCTGGGCTTGCCGATGAGGGTAAGCTCAGTAGTGGGACCGGGAAACCAAGAGATAACGTGAACAGGAGAAAGAAAGGAACATTCGGGGATGAGAGCTGAATTGCCAGAAAGGGAAATAGAAAAGGACAAAAGACGGCGATGAGCCATATTCAACAGTAGGTAGGTAGAGAAGTTAAAGTCATCCACCACGATCGTGAAAACATTATCGTGCAAAAATTCCAATATATACAAACGCCAGACATAATATCGACATCAAATCATAGTAATATACTCTTGCAAGCTCTGTCCAAGAATATTAATAAAGGGCCACTGAGTATTTGTCCCAAATAACCTCGCCCACAGCTTGAGGACAGCCAATCCCAAAGAAGCCGGTTCAAGATCTGGCGGCGCCTCGCCATCATCCGTATCAATAGATGAATACGCCTCTTCGATAATACAGCGAGTCCACCGTAGAATGCGGGTTTCATTCTCTACATCCGAATTATTAGCCAATAAGCCACGCAACAGACATGAATATAGACATACCACTCAAGGACTGATCCGGACCCGCCTCAGCAATGGTGAACAGCCATTTGCTTAGCAAAACTGCACATTCAATACTAGCGAGCGAGTGCCGCACGCTCCAGAAGAAGGCTTGACTGCGGGCAATGTGGTCTATGCCCAGACGCACGGGGATGCTGAGGGCATGGGCAGCGTATATAAGTGCCGGGATGAGACGGTAGCTGCGTTCTGGGCGTGGAGAGCGCCGGAGCGCAGTGGCTATTATTGTCGGGTCGCGGGTCTCGAGGCGGCGATGAGGTCCGAGATTTAGAGATAGGCGGACGTAAGCGAGTCCCAGGAATGCACTGGAGGTGAATGGGATTGGTCCGTTTGCGTTGTGTGGATCTAGACTGGATTCCGGAGCTTGTTGCCACACGGAGGTCCAGGAACGGAGAGCTCGTCTATGGTTTGAATGAGTTGGAATTGGATCCGGGGAAGGTTTTTGGGTGGTGGACTTACTCTAGTTTATTCAGTTCCTCTGTTGGGAGGGTTGTGGAGTGGTTTCCATTCGGCAAGGATAGCTCGCTCACGAGATGGATTCGTTGCAGGAGTCCGTGCAAGAGGATATAGTTTCCCAATGGAGCCGGGATGGGGTCTCAGTGGTTTGGCTGATCGGGACTTTTGCAGGAGGAGGGTCAACGCGTCTTGGAAGAACAACTGCTGGGGACCTCGTTCTCGCTGGGCTACTTCCCATTCCGCAGCTGTGCTAGCGGTCCACTCCCTGGTAGAACATGGAAGACGCAGGTGTATCTCATTGCTGCGCAAAGATGGATAAGCATTGTATGCGATACTGTGAACATGGATAAAGCAGAACGCAATCAACTTTGTGCGCCGCGCGGATTCTTGGTCCGCCCATTCGTACCAGTCAAGGGGTGTGCGTGGGTCAGAACGCGCCGTATCCTCTGTCAAGCCAGCCTCGCGGAGATGTCGAACCAACAAGCCCTGGAGATGGAATGCTTCTTGTACCAGTCTGGCGTTTTCCCACGTGGCGTAGCCCATCAGAATAAGCAGACAGCGAGTGATTTCGATCTGCCTCCAAGCAGCAGTTCTTTCCGCTGTTACCTGTGGTTGCGTGAGGGACTGATCACCAAAATTGGAATAGGGAGATATTCCCAGTGGTACTTGAGAGCCTGAATTGTAGGTTGGCCTAGCCGGGAAACGGGGCTCTCTGGACATCCGTTCAAATAGAACAGCCTTGGAAACGTGGAATATTCTTTCCGCATTGCGGTGCTCAAATCTATACTGGGCTCCGATTGTCATGATAGCAAGAACCACCTCAGGGGCACGTTCGTTGATATGAAAAGTCGGGATGTGCATAAACGGAAGATGTGGCTGGAACCCTTCAAAATAGGAAGTAAGGTACCGAGTCAGTGTGTGGCGCGACGGCAAGACGAAATCCGGAATGACATTGCGAAATTCTTCGAGAGATGCCGCAAGACGAAAGCGCTGGTCCTCGGTGACATTGAATCGGGACGACCTCTTCGCATTTTGGGGTGGTTCTGGAATATTGTCAGTGACCTATAGAATTATAGCAATATAAGTGTTGCATACCAGAATCAGACAGGGTTCCAAGGCTTTGGTCGCCCCTCGGGACAGATGGAAGCCAGGATCTGAATGGTGAGTCTCCCCGAGAACCTTCTCCACTTCGTCGTGACCGCTCATAGTGCTCTTGGGTCTGTCGACCTGTCTCTTTCACATCTTCCAGGCTGACATCTTGTGTCTGAGATTTTTCGCCTTCGCTAGGAACCCATTCCCCGGCAAGCCAATTGAATCCAAGAAATGTGTGAATTCCTGGAAATGATTCAGATCTTCGGGCAAGGCATCGGTTGTCGTTGTCCTATTTTTGTGTCAGATCAATACCTAGGTAGGTTTCCGATAATAACAGGCAAGCAACTATAAAATACAAACGTACCTGTAGGTCGGTAATCGCCAGGAAGAAGCAGCTGGGCAGCCTGAAGCATATCCGGATCATGCACCATACCCGTATGGGGATCAATGGCTGGGTTCGGGCCCCCTGCAGTAGCAGCAGGAAGCATGCCGGCGTTGTGATTCGGTTCTAAATAATGCGTGTTCTGTGCGCCAGCCCATTGGTGCACAGCCGATGATCCTGTAAGGGATTCGACGGGTACGGACCTAGTTGGTGTATCATATTGCGGGATGGATGCATGATGATGCGTTGGCGGGAAATCCGGCTTGATCGTTGGCTCGGGCGGCGTCGGCGAGGTCAGTCCATCTTGATGTGAGATGCGCGTGTGACGCTTTAACAGATCTCTTCTAGTAAAGGCCGCCCCACAGAAGCAAATAAACGGCTTCTCCTTGGTGTCTAGTTTACCGAGTTAGCATTAGCGGGGATCTCCCCGGAAATTGGCTTACGGGTGCGAATGTGCCGCTCCAAATGCTCTGTCCGTCGGAAACTCCGACCGCAGTGTATGCAGATACGTGCCCTTGCTCCACGGGCACCCCGGTGCGGCTGGGGTGATGGGGACATTGAAACATGGGGGATATGGAGAACTGGTTTGGAGAAGGAAAAGGCCAGTGGATGTTGAGGTGGGAGATCCGACCCCAACTCCCCCAACTCGGGACTTTCGGCCCGCGATAAGCGATAAAGGTGGGGACATTTGGAGATCGGGAGATGGTTCACGTATTGAACTGGCTTCACATTCAGACCTTTGATATATGATCCTTCCGGTTTATGGCTGCTTTATCCTTTTTAAATGGTCTCCTAACCAAATTCCCTGATGTTGTGGTAGTGGCGCAGGTGGAAATGGTAAGCCAAGCACCCGCAATAGTACCGCTTATTACCTCGTCATCCTACCTCGGTAATTCCTGCACCTTCCATTTACTGCACTTTCCCGGGGGACCCAGGGATTTCGAGGGAAGGCGCTACCTAGGCATAGCCCCCTATATAAAAGCACTATATGGCCATGTCCATACCTACGTGTAGGGAAGGTTGATGCCACATTAATAGAGGGGTATATATTTTACTTCAGCGTTGAAAATAACTAAGCATTGTCAAATTTGGCCCATTCTGGCCAAAGTCAGTTCTTATCTGTAGAGTAATGCATGGTTTTCCAGTCGAAATGAGTCTCCCAGGCATGACCAGCCCTCAGGATCTTCTCTTCCTGCCATAATCCACCAACAATCTGCATCCCAACTGGCAGCATGACCTGGTTATCTTCCTTTGCTGGAGCAAACCCGACAGGTATGGATAGTGCAGGATGACCCGTCACATTGAACACGGCAGTATTGATTGTAAGACCCATGCTAGGCCTAAGCGAATCCAGCGGGAGTTCTCGCTTTCCATGTCGAGGGGCAACGACCGGCGTTGTAGGCATTACCAGGATATCATACTTCTCAAACAGTGCTTCATACTTGTCACTAACGAGTCGTCCGATATTGGCAGTCTTGCCGTAGAGACCAGGGAATTGCTGCATTAGATAGAGACCGTTGATTATGACGTTCTTTGTAGACGGGAACGCTCTCTGGAAGCCATCATCAGTCCATGGTAGTCGGGCATGTTCCATCTCAGTCATGTAAAGCCCTCTTCGGCCAGTGTTCTGGCCAAGGAGAGTCTGTGCACCGGCAATTCGCTGCTGAATAGTCCAGATCGCCGGCCCGTGTAGATGCTCGGGAAGAGATACTTCCTCGATTGTTGCGCCCAGCTCTTTAAATTTCTGGACAGCAGTCATGACTGCGCCTTTGACACATGGCTCTACGGCGCTGTGATCGAATCCTTCAACAACAATGCCGACCTTGAACCCGTCAAGTAGGTTCTGGTCCTGCTGAAGAGCTGCCGCGAACCTGGTAGAGCCTGGCTTCGAGCTACCGAGAGCGCGATCATCGATGCCATCATATCCGCTGATAATATCCAGACATGTTGCAGCCTCAAGTGTCGTTCGGGCTAGCGGCCCAGCGTGGTCAGTCATGGCGTCGCCGCTAGAAATCCCAGTGAAGGGAACGCGCCCATGGGTGGGTTTGAGGCCGACGCCTAGAAGCAAGTCAGTTCACAGCACATACGCACATCGTCAAGGGAGAATGAAATCTTACATCCGCAAAATGAAGCAGGAACGCGTATACTACCGCCCTGGTCACCTCCAATCGTAATGTCCACTATACCAGCAGCGACCAGCGCTGCACCGCCAGAGGTACTGCCGCCCGCCGAGTAACCCGTCGCAGTTGGATTCTCCACCGTACCCTGAGCACTGGTATATGAAGAAGTAGAGTTGCACATATTTTCACACGTCGAAGTCCCGTGAATGTCAGCGCCCGCCTCGAGCAACCGGGTTACAATCGTCGCGTCCGTAGTCGGTGTCCAGGAAGGAATGATATCGCTTCCGAGGAGCTGCGGCACGCCCGCAACCGCAATGACATCTTTCAAACTGACAGATTTACCTGCCAGCACCCCGCCTTGGGAATTACCCCGGATGAGAAATCGGTGTGCCCAGGCTTGACCAAAAGCCTGTTCTTTTTCACTTGGTCGGCGCACATTCTCCCGTGGGTACTTGGTCTGGTCGGGGACTGGCTGATAGTCTGGCAATGCGGCTATACCTTCGGCGCAGTCGTGGACTGCTGCGAGAAGGGTGCTGGAAATCTTGGGCCTCGGCTGGGTCGATGGTTAGACCGAGCGGTTTCAGGAGGGCCTCTGCATCGCCCGGTTTGACTGGGTTGCTCCTAAGATAACTGTCATTATATGTTGCAATAACCGAATGTTGAAATACTCACTCCGAAATACTTGTGAAAAGTACCGACATAGTCACTGTTTGACCCCCCCTCGGATATGTCCTGGATAGTATCTTCCTGGGGGAAGTCACGCTTTATGAGGAATCCCTCCTGGTGTACTTTTTTTTCGACTCCATCGGCATTCTCCAACGGTATATAGCTTGGAGTTCATTTAACTGGGTCTCACTTCCTGCCTGGAGACAATGACTGCCTACCCCAACACAGCGGACCCCAATTCTGTTGGAGACATTTCGGCGTTGTGGATGGAGTCCACACATGGGCAGAGATAACCGCAATGTTATCAGTTGACAAGAAATGGTAAAACACATAGGTGAGCGAATCAGTAAATGAGGTTGGATGTGTCTGGGGAGATGTGCGACCCCGACGGATGAGGATGAGGGGCTTATCTTCCCCGCATTCACTCGGTTTAAAAGCCAAACCTCCCCTGGCGATTTCCCAAGTTTGAGCACTCAGCACTTATTGATCATTCAGCAATGGCACCAAAGCGAGTTCTCATTACTTATGGCGTGGATGTTGACGCTGTAGCCGGTTGGCTGGGCTCGTATGGTGGGGAGGATTCCACAAACGATATCAGCAGGGGTAGGATTCAGTGTTCTTTCTCTGGGTTTTTGTTCTCTAACGATCATATAGGATACTGGGCAGGGACAATTGGGACCCAACGATTATTGAAGTTGTTTAAGAAATATGACATCAAGTCAACATGGTTCATTCCCGGCCACTCTCTCGAGACCTTCCCGGAAGACATGGCCGCAGTCCGCGATGCGGGCCACGAGATCGGCCTACACGGGTATTCCCACGAGAACCCGACAGACATGTCTATAGAGCAGCAGCGTGATGTCCTCGACAAAACATATCGAATGTTGACTGAATTCACTGGAAAGCCTCCCCGAGGAAGCGTGGCACCCTGGTACGACTTTCTTAGATTTGGAATTGATCAATTGTGCTAATCAAATTAAAATAGGTGGGAAACTAGCAAAGAAGGAGCCCAACTCCTCCTCGACTATGGCATAGAATACGACCACAGCATGAGCCATGAGGACTGCCAGGCTTACTACCTCCGCACAGGCGATAGCTGGACTAAGATTGATTACAAGCAAAAGGCTGAGACTTGGATGAAGCCCCTTCAGCATGGATCCCAAACAGGACTTGTTGAAATTCCGTCTAACTGGTATATTGATGATCTACCACCGATGATGTTCATTAAGAACGCGCCTAACAGTCATGGGTTTGTCAACCCGCGGGACGTGGAGGATATCTGGCGCGACCATTTTGACTATTTCTATCGTGAGTATGATGAGTTTATCTTCCCGATTACTATCCACCCGGATGTTTCGGGAAGACCTCATGTGCTGCTGATGCATGAAAGGTACGCTCTACCCAGGTAGTGATGGCGTTGTGCGGAGTATCACTGACGTTTAATAGGCTTATTGAACACTTCAAAAAGCACGAGGGTGTTGAATTTGTGACGATGGAACAGATTTGCGATGAGTTCAGGAATAAGAACCCTCCTCCGCCTGGGGCTTTAATGCCCGCAAAGGCTGGTGCGATGTTAGAGAAGTGAACAGATCTGATATGGGTGTTAACAGTATATTATGGTACCTTCTTAATAGGGTGGATTTCATTTTATCTCGTTATCTATCCATGGATGATATATTTGCTTTGTCTTGTGGATGGGACTTGCCTACATCAATCATTTATATCTTCTATGGTCAACTGCAACCATCCTCATCCATCTCCAAGATGACCCTTACCCACAATATCTTGGAGTTATCAGTGCGAAGAGACGCGCCTGAATTTTGGACATATTTGAAGATCTATCTCCACGTCTCCATTAGCAGGTTAGCAGAGATGTCTACCCCAACACAAGGAACAACATTATACATACTCCAACTATATACCCAAATCAAATACTATCCAGCCATCCACTTATACTCTTAGCAGACAATGTGCAGGTCATCAGCAAGCCAGCCGATAAGAGATTATAACTGTTCTGTTCGTGGTCAGCTACATGATTGTTGCATGTCAGCTAACTCATGTAGCTTGGCTTGGGAGTGCGCGTATAGGTGTGCGCCCAGGATAAACGAATTCAAGTCAGCAGTGAGACACAAAGCAACATACGGCATCAGGCTGCCAGGCCTGCCAGGCCTGCCCTAGTCATCATTAGCTGTATGTTGCAGGCTGCCTGCAGGTTACTACAACATATAGCCAGCCCTGGAGTGGTTGGTCTTGGCCATCGTGCACGGGGATCCTGCCCAGGCTTGGCGTGTTTCGTTATCTTGGCAATGGAAAGCTGCTTTCCACTGGCGCTTAGGTTAGCCAGGAGGTAACTAACTCCGTGCACTTTATATTGTGGATGATTGGAGGCGATTAGGAAGTCTCGGTGGGTCGGTAAAAGTTGCAGAATTTTGGGAAGTCCACGGGTGCATCAGATTATTATCCATTGGCCAATCACCCTGGCTATATCAGGCTGAATAGACCAAGAGAAAGATAAGGGACTTCTATAGTGCTAAACACGCTAAAATAACGCTAAATAATCATATACCCCGTACTCCGTACTAAGAAATCGTAAAGTGTCTGTCTTTACTCCGTTTCCGAAACTCCACGTGCACTTCCTCTTTCTTGGTTCCTGCCCAGGTGGTATCTTTTATCTTTTCTTTTCTTTTCTTTTCCTTTTCCCTTCTCTTCTCTCTTGTTATTCTATATATATCATATCCTCTTTGAAAAAACCGTGTCGATCTTATCAAATCCCCACCGTCAACGGGTCTGTTATCACCATATCGCCGTATCACGGCATATCAAAAGATGGCCCGCAAATTGGCTCTGCTCTTGATATTAATGCAATCGACTCAAATCCTCGCCCTTCCTACGCCCTCGGAAAACCCAATCGCATCCAAATCCCTTGCGTCATCCAACCCGCACAGTAAGCGTTACTACTTCCCGGAAACCATCCCCGATCAAGATGAGGTCGCAGCCATGTTGAAGGAGACAGCCATGCGCGAAGCAGGCTTCGTACCCTCGTCCATCGGGTCACCTTCAAAACCAGAGCCGGAATCAAAGGAACATAACACGGAGACGGAGCTACGAATTTCACTTCCGGATCCGCATGCAGCGATCGGCACGGATGCCCCGGCAATCCCACAACCGGATAGCTACACACACCAAGACACCGAGCTGAGCCAGTCCCAGTCGCAGTCCCGTCTGGAAGAGTCGGTCGTGGTCATGTTAGGATCCGACATTTACCCGATTTACTGGCCGCCGTTTGGATTCTTTGTTGTCTCGGCTGCGATCGTGTGTTTCTTTACCGTGCTGCGGGGGATGCGCGCTAAGAAGTGAGAATGGGCCATGTGGCTGTTGGATTAATTTTCATATTGAGAAATTTGTCTCAATTTTTTATGCGCTTCTCTACGAAGAGAAGCCAGGGATCTACGAGGGCTTTGCAATTTCCCATCGAACATTCCTTGAGGAGCTCCCTTTCTCCACTCGGTCGGGGGCTTGTTTTATTACTGTGGGACTCCAGCCCCGTTTCATCGAATCAACCCCATCCCCAATATTTCTTCGATTTGGTGGACATCGAGAACGATGGGGGGATACGAGCTCCGGGATCATCGCCCGGGTGTATATCCTGAATGACTCGGCCAATCCTCCGAATGCGTGATCCGAGCATCGCCCGAGAATCACCCCGCCCCGACTCGCGACAAACAATGAGAATGTCAATTGGGTGGAGAACATATCGAAGATCGCATTTACGGCGGAATGAAATGCTAGGCGCTTCGCGTTACATGTTTGGAAGTTGAAGAAGGAGCGCCGGAATTGAAGATATTCCATTCTGCTCTCTGGGAATATCTTTGCATACGTGTGATCGATGAGAGTGTTCTCCAGTGCCGAAGGGCTACTGTAAGCTTATTTGGTCTTCACTGACTGCCACACTAAAAGGAAGCACCACTAGCCTACCTAGCAGACAGCACATAGCGCATCAAGCTAATGGTATATTTGCAAGAAATCTACGCGATCTCAAGTAATATCGCAAGCATTCCCATTCTCTATCAGAAACCTGGATCCAGAAATGTGCCAATGATGGAATAGACGTAAGATTACAGATAGCAGGCGCATGTTAAATGTAGCAGATAAGAAGATACCAAAGCAATCGAAGCCACAGGGATGCAAGTCAGTAGAGTCGGGAATAAGCCATGAGCAGAACAGTGATAGCATTGAAATAGATGATATTGATAAAGCCTCTAGGCCAGAAAATGATGATTACATTGAAGTCTCTCTCGCTCTCTCTTTTTTGCATCCCCGCCCCGAGGAATGAGCGGGGGAGAAACCAATAAAAGGTAATAGACAAAGTAGGTAACAATGGATATGTACGCGGGAGATTCTATAAGATAGGAGAAATAAAGAAAAGAACAGCGCCGTTTAAGAGTCATCGACGAGACGCTTCTGGGTCCAGGCGCGCTGAGCTCCATCCAGGAGAACATCCATGTTCCCGCTGTTATCGCACATGCTGCGGAAGAGGCCGTCTTCTTTGTTAATGAGGGTCCAGGGGTGGTCGTACTCGATGACGCGGCCGTGGTCGAGAACAAGAACCTTGTCGTAGTCGATGATGGTCTGCAGACGGTGCGCGATCGTGATGATTGTGCTATTGCCCAGTTCGCGGAGGGTCTCTTGGATCTTGGCGTCGGTGGCGTAGTCGATGGATGCGGTTGCTTCATCCATCATCAAGACCCGGGGGTTCTTGAGCAGGGCGCGGGCGAGGCAGAGGAGCTGGCGCTGGCCTTGGGAGAGGTTGGAGCCGGACTCCGAGACTTGGCTGTCGAGGTTGTGGAAGACGTTTTTATTGTCGACTACTGTCACTGCGCTGCTGCTCACACCATTGGCGTTGCCGTTGACGTTGGCGTTGTTTTCAGTCGCGGTGACGGTGCTTGAGGTTGTGGGGGTTGCGGTGCCTGAGGTGCTGGATCCGATTAGGTGTACGCGACGGAGAGCTGTGAAGATCTGATCGTCGCTGAACAGACCGAATGGATCGAGGTTGCTGCGGAGCGTTCCTGTGAACAGAGTCGGATCCTGGGGGACAATGGTGATTGCCTCGCGCAGGTCCCGCAGTCCGATTGACCCGATGTCAACGCCATCAATGATGATCTGACCCTTCTCGGCCTCGAGACCGCGGAAGAGAGCTAGCGCGAGAGAACTCTTGCCAGCGCCTGTACGACCCACAATGCCGACCTTTTCGCCGGCCTTTACAGAGAAAGAGACCTCCTTGAGAACCGGGTCCAGATCGGGTCGGTACCGGGTACTGTACTTCTTGAACTCAACTGCACCTTGGCTGGGCCAATCAGGCGCAGGTCGTGATTCTTCGATAACAGAGGCTGCTTCCTGGTCGACGTCAAGATATTCTCTTACACGCTCAACCGAGTTCATGTTTTGCTGGACCTCGGAGTACAGACGCACAAGCCAGAGGACGTTCTCTGTGAATGTAACGGCGTACGTCAGTGAAAGACCAGCGGCACCTGCATCGATCGTTCCAACGTTCAACAACACAAAGGTAGCCGAGAAGAACGATACCAGAGCACCGGTCCAGTCAACACGAAGGGCGAGCCAGCGGTTGCTAGCCCAGAGGTAGATGTGTGGCCGGTTGTAGGCATTGATGCGGCGGTGGTTGTCGACCATGAAGCGAGGGCCATCACCATAAGCACGAATGGTGACGATACCATTCAGGGTCTCACCGAACTGCTGGTACAGCGGACTGCGCTGCACAGATTCCAGACGCTTGAGGTCTCGGGAAGAGTTCAAATAGACGGCACCGAGGGCAGTGTACACCAGAGTGATAAACACACCAGCAATTAAGAATCCTGGCGTGATCCACGAGATCAGAATGACAATCATAACCACAGATGCCAGACTGTGGAGCATGCCGATAGCGACAGGAGCAACCTCCTGATCGACAGACTCAACATCCTTGGAAAACCGGTTCATCAGCTGTCCAAGAGGCGTGGAGTCGAAGAATCGGAACTTGGCGTGCATGACCGCATTGAGAAGGCGATCATGAATCTTCCATGATGCATGGAGCGAACCCCAGAACAGAACAGCTTCCCTAGACAGAGAGATTGCGATATAGAGGAATCCTAGGAGCGCATAGACGCCCAGGTAATAAGCCACGTTCACCTGACCATCCGGCTCGCTGGTAGAGCTTGAGCCAAGCTGAGGCAGACTCCAGCTGCTCACGCGCCCAACACTTCCAACATTGAAAGTGGGGGCCTTGAGGTGGGCCACTGCGGCGTACTGCCCGGCATCTTCGGCCCCAACCTTGGAGGTGTGGTAAGAGTTTGCCCACTGTCTAATCCAGAGGTTGGTAGAAACAGAACCCAATTGTTGCAAGCAGAACACAAGAACAGCACCGATCCAATAGTACCATGGGCCCATGGCACGGAGGTACATGCTGACAGTCGACCACTTGATACTACCAGTAGCCTTGGATTCAGAGAGCTTGGCCTTGTCTTCTGGCTTTCCATTCGGAGAGCCGTTCAAATCTTCATCCTCTGATTCATGGTCCGATGGTGCACGGGAGACTCCACGGGAGCCGGGCCGTGAATCAGGTCGAGACTTGAGGAACTCATCGCCCAATGCACCAGTAGCGGCAACATCGTTGGGGCGACCCTGGGCGGCAATTCTGCCGTTCTCGAGTACCACAACGTGATCGGATTGGGGAACAGTCAAAGCAACATTATGTGTTACCAAAATGCATGTGCGGTTCAGCATCAGAGGTCCAGTAAGAGCCTGGCGGAAGATGTGTTTAGCGGTGTGAGAGTCAACAGCAGAGAGACAGTCATCTAGCAGCAAGTGGCGGCCACTGCTGTAGACAGCGCGGGCAAGAGAGATTCGCTGCTTCTGGCCACCAGACAAACTGATGCCCTTCTCACCAACAAGAGTTTGGTCACCAGCATCAAGGATAGCAAGGTCACGTTCCAGAGCACATGCCTTTAGCACTGCGCGATAGCGACGCTCATCATAGGGAGAGGCGAAGATGATATTTTCCTTTACGGTGTCGTTGACCAACCACGCTTCCTGGGCACAGTAAGCAATGCTGTCAACCAGACCAGTTTCAGGATCCACTGGGAGGTCTGCCCTGTTGGACATGCCACCAGGGAGATGAACACGACCCTCGAGGAGTTTCATTTCTCCAAGCAAAGCCATGAGCAGGGACGTCTTTCCAGACCCAGTGGGACCAACAATGATGTTAAGCTTGCCAACAAGGAATTCGACGTCGACGTTGATCAAACGGAAAGCATCCAGGTCGCCATTGTTGGATCCGGTATCTTTGGGGTCAGCATTGGAGCTGTTCCAAGATAATGTTGCGTTTTCAAGACCAATCTTGGCAGGTGTTCCTGCGGTAGCACTATCACGGAGTTGATCGTATTTGCCCGTTTCCTCCTCGTTCAGGTACTTGTCCACACGGTCCAGAGAGACCTTACATTCCTGAACGTGGGCTACCATGTCCGCGAGCTGGTCCAAGGGCACACGCAGCAAAGAGAACATGGACAAGGCAGGGAACGCGATCGAAGGGGTCAATTGTTTTTTCTCGACCACAGTGTACAGGAAGAAGGACATGAACGTGATGAGAATAGGTGTGCCGTACCAGACAGTTGCGGCGGAGGACCAGAGGATGTATCGCCTCCGCAGGGCTTTTAGTTCGGTCTTGCGCTTTTCGCCAACGATGTCTTGGAATCGCTGCTCCCAGGCAAAGTATTTGATGATACGGATGTTTTGGAGGACTTCGTTAGTGGCGTGAATACGGGCATCGGTACCCTTCAGGATCTGGTTCTGGACCTTGTTGAACTGACGGGCGATGAACAGGTTGATAGGCAGCATGAGGGCCATCAGGGCAATGCCAGCAAATGAGCTGAAACCCATGATGTGATAGAGCAGAGTGATCGCCACTATGATCTGCACTGGCACACTAGCCCACAAGAAGTGGAGATAGGCGCCAACCTCGCTTACCTTGAACGAGTCGATCGCCATCAAGTTGATAATTGTGCCAACATTGGCTTGGAGGGGTTCCTCCGCTGGCGTATCTGGTTTGTTGCCAGCCTCGGTATCATTTCCATTCGCGGCCTTCTTCTTTCGTCCAAAGGAAAAGAGCTTTTTCTTCTTATCCTTGGGCAAGATCGGATCTTCCGCGGCTTTCTTAGTAGCCTCCAGTGAAGCGCCTGCCTTGCGGCGAAGAGCTTTGGCATAGATTTCACCAATAATGATGGCACGGACTTTCACACCCATCTTGCGACCAATGAATAAGGCTTGTCCATCTGCCACACCCTGAACCGCAGCGCAACAGAAAAGCAGAATGGCGAACAACCAAGCCGCATTAGGCGTAGTCGACCGAGGATCTTCGACGTACTCGAGGATAGCCTTGAGCAGTAGACTAGGCATGAAAACGAACAAATTGGCGAAAACCGTCCAGGCACCCTGCTTTAGAAGTGTTCCCATGAAGAACCGTAGCAATTTCCATGCCAACGAGCCCTTCATTTGTCTCTTGCGGAAGTCTGTAAGGACGTTCGCAGCCTTCTGGGACGGGGTCAGGTTCCAAACATCCTCAAGCTCCAGGGGTTGGCGATAGCCCTTCAGGACCAATGGGTCGAGCCAGGCAAATGTTGCGAGAGACAACAAACTGGCCATGGGATGCGTCGGAGGCTCCAATCCATCTTCGCGCTCAACCAGAACAGGCTTGTTGCCTCGTCGAGTGGTGAGTGCAATGAGCAGCAGCACCGTACTGAGGGCGAACTGAATGCTACTGATAATCAGGGCATTCTTGGACAAGGGGTGGATAATGGCGGATCGGAAGACCATGACGTTGAACAACCACTGGAAGCCGTATAGGATTGCGGTATGGGTCCATAGCCTGGGCGCGGAGAAAAGATCCATGGTCGATAGGAGGAACCGGACCAGCACCAAGAAAAGGATATAGCCCCACGATACAAGTCCAGCCACAGCGGGAAGGCTTCCATGTCGGCCCCAGGCATGAGTCGACAAAATGACAATATATAGTGCAATTTGTCCAATCAAAGCTGTGATTTCGAGTAATACAACGGTGATCTCTCCACGCGGGCGGTTGACCTCGATTTGGGATTGTTCGTGTTGTACAGCTTGGGATAGCATCGTATCGTCGTTTTCTTGCGTCGCACTGGGGACCTCATCTTCGGAGTCATTGTTTGGGAGGACCTTGTAAGCAACACCTTGCCGGGTGAGGACATATCGATGAGCGAGGCGAATTAGGATCAGCAGCAGCGAAGCGCCGCAGACTGTGAGGGGAAGTAAGACCTGAAGAATGCTATTTGGAATATCCCATGATCAGCATTAAATTTTAACGGTCGGAATTGCCATTGGTGTAGACTCACTTGCGCTGGAAGCAACGAGACAGGTCGTCAATGGCCCAGACGGGGCCTTGACATTGCGGCAGCATGTTCCGCGGAGCTCGCAGAAACCGAAGCTCTCGGACCTCGCGGTTCGATCACGCAGCTTTGCAGCTGGCGACAGTAATAGACGGGTAATGCGACCGGGTTTGATTATTGTGAACTACCCCTTTAGCAACAATATTTCACTGGTTTGCCGGACAAGCCTAGCATCGCAAAGTCGAGATGAGCTGTGACGCTGGGGTGAGTGGTTCCGGGACCGAGGGCCGTTGAGGCAGAAGAGTAGGCGGGAGGAGCTACTCAGACTCTGCAAAGCAAGAATCACCGAATATATTCAAAGTGTTGAGAATATTGGATTGGTGGGGAAGAATGAGAGAGAGAGAGAGAAGATGGCAAATGTTCCAAAACCGGCGGTGGACGGACTCCGGGTAGAGGGTGACATCGGTCGCCACCAAATTTTGGTGGTGGAGCGAGGTACCATATACAACAGTCCCTTAATAATATTTTCTGCAGTCCACGGGTATTACCATATTCTCGACTTAAACTCCTTTAGGAGCCCAAGGGGTAAATTCCTGCAATGTTTCAGTTCAGATGACCTGTCTCAATCTTCTTATCGTTCCGTCTTAGCGTCTTATCGTCTTTGATATGTTACAACTACCATGCATCCCATGGTTATGCTGTATGTATACATATGTAGGCATCGGACATGACTAATTCGATACTCTAGTATAGCAGGTATTCAATCATGAACAACGTACAATCCAGCATACATATCAGTAGTTCATCCACTCTTCCTCGTGATCAGAGAATGCTTCATGGTAGGGGTTCATATCAAGCCAAGCGTCTGGATTGAAAACGCGTCCAAAATCAAGATAAAACTGACTCAGAGTCTTGTTTAGAGCTTTACTGTATGTCAGCTTCTTCTTCTCCTACATTTAGGGACTTCCAAATCTTGAGCATACTATCCAGTGACATGGGATGCGCAGGTTGTAGGGAAAACCGAGAAGTATGCTCACGGTAAAGAATCAACGATTTTGGGATAACGGTGCCTTATAATATAGAGAATTAGTTTTGCACCTTTCAACAAGGGCGTCAAATCACCTTTGGGTATGCATAAATAATGAGCTTCAGCGGCGGGCTTACCACTTTCTACGTCTTCCAAGTAATAATCATTCGACCTCCGTGTGACCTCCTGCATGTTGTGCGTATTCGGCATAAATATTGCGCCATTAGAAACTGGATACGTTAGCAGGCCAATGATATGAAGCTTGTATTCGCATACAATCGGCAGTTATATTAGGGTGCACCAAGCCGTCCGCACTGACTTCTACTCCATCCTCGTATTCCCAGTCATCTTGTTTATAAGCTCTGTCATAGAGCCTTGAGTCGCGGTGTATCTGAAACTGATACATGCTTGCTGGAAAATCGGAGTGCCTTGATACATATGAGAAACGGCGGTTTCGGACACGTGAGATGCTAAGGCCAGGGCCCTGCACATGACGAAGGATATTTTGGAACATCGCTATACAGACGATATAATTGAAGCTCAAACCCTCTAAAGGAGATATACATACCTAGGTATGTACCTGGTGCTAAGAGAGAGGTTGGAACCTTGGAAGGAGAGTTCGATGACGAATCAATCACATCACTCCAACTTCCAGGTATACCTAGCACATAAGGTACTGTATACATCCATCGATATATAGTGTACTGATTCTTCCAACAGCCATCATACAGTTCGTATTTTCAGGCTTAGGGTTAGCGTTGACGAAAGACAGCTTTAGGTGCTCAGAAGGTAGTGTAGTCTCTTTTAGTTTATAATTCATTGCCCATTATGTATACAGCTAACAGAGGAGAGGAGGTGGATAGACTAGTTAGTCAGTGACTCCTTTCATAATAAAGGAGCACAACCTTGGAAGCTTTCAGACGGATCACTCGGTCGCCCGAGGGTATTGCTGCAGCCATTCATCCCTGGTGAATCTCTGCCCCTTCGTAGCCAGAAGCGCTTCAATTTTCGCATTCAATTCTATATGCCATTGTGAGCCAGTTGCCCCATTTTTGTTTGTACTGGAAGAGCATATCACTTATACCTTCTACAGTCATCTCCTTCCGGGCTTGTAGCGAGTAATGGTCGCGAAACTCGTGGACAAGGATGAGATCATCAGGGAGAACGGTGCCTGTAAAGCCTTAGTAGAGAAAGAGTCCTGGAGGGTTTAAGTGCTTAGAGGAACAAACCAGCCATAATAGCGTATACGTAAATAGCGTGACCACCCCAGGGTTGGCAGTGCGGACGAGATTCTGCTGTGTCCTTGAGTTGGGGCGCATGGAAGCACCATCGGGGACTGAGATATATTAGCGACGTGAGGTGATTTCTTTGATTACCGTAGATTTACAGTAATAGGTAGCTGGGTCGAGAGCCTTCGGTTGTACTTTTCCTGCAGTTGTGAGGAGGTCGAACACGCCGTGTGGTCGCCTAGGACCTGGCCAAGCCCGTAGACGGATGGAGATACCCGAGTTCACGCGGAAAATATCTTTGGGAATCTGAGTGAATGATTGAATGAATCTGTTATGCGACATCTTTGATACTGCAGGGAAAGAATTGTATTGGAAAGGAGACAACCTTGGGAAAGCTCCCGACTAATTACAGAAAGTAGCTACCTGAGGCACCCAATTAATGACCTCAGGCATACACTCCAAGAATGCATATTTACATATAATGGAGACAACATACTACAGCTCCTCCTCAATCTCGCCATTCTGCTGGCCGAGCTGAATAGACCAAGTGAAGGCCTTCAGATCCAATATGTCATCGGAACTGGCAGCCTTGCCGGAACCGAAGGTCTTCAGGTCCCACTTCTCAACACCCTCGAAACCCTTCAGCTCATCGCCAAACTCCACATAGAGACTGTCATTGAGAGCCTTGTACTCGCTGTATTCCTTGGGCCAGTCACCTAGTCGCTGAACGGAGAGCTTGAGCAGGTTGAGGTGGGCTCGGACATGCTCGCCGCTAGTCAGCGAGTATCCGCTGTCGGAGCCCTGCTCATGCATGTTCAGGTCATAGGTGGAGCCATCCATGCTGAAGCTGCCGTCGAGGGCACCTTCGAACTCGGCAAGCGAGGGGTCGACCAAAACGCGGAGGAGGCTCTCGTGCACACCGGCACTCTTCTTGTAGTACTTGTTGGCCATGTGCTGGCCGTTCTTTTCGGACTGGTAGCGCTGCGCGATCGCGGTGTACAGCTGCGAGAGCAGGGTGGACATCTCGAGGGTGCTCGTGTGGCGAGCGCCGTTGACGCGGCGGCAGTTGTACACGATGTCCTCAGCCAGGCGGGTGGCCTTAATGGAATCACCAACCAGGAAACGGGCCAGGATATACCGGCGGGCTAGGTCGAGGGTGATGGAGGCGGTCCAGTTCGCTTGCTTGTTGCGGCTGTTCCAGAGATCGCCGAGCAGCCAGACGAGGTTCTTGTAGTCTTGCTGCTCACCGAGGAGGCCGATGAGGGTGTTGAGGTAGTCCAAGTTGAGCTGGGCCAGGTTGATCTTTAGGTCAACGATGACGCGAATGACCTCCTGAATGATGATCATGGACACGCCACGCAGCTGCTTCTGGACAGCCGCTGCCGGCTGGGGCGTAAGGCTGTGGCCAGAGATCAGCAGACCCAGGGTGAAGACGAACTTGACAACATCAGGGGTGCGGTAGACATCGTGAGCTGAAATGTAGCGGAAGGAAGCCAGGGCAAGGTTAGTAGCACCATCGTAGTTCTTAGCCTCAAGCAGCTCGAGCACCTTGGCATTGGAGGCAATACCGACCGAGCGGACGAAGTTCGAGGACTGGTGCTGAGTGAGGTAGCCGATGATGGTCTGGAGGAAGACAGTCACCTGAGCAGTCTCAGTCAACTTGATACGTGCTCCTTCGCTGGAGACGAAATAAGTGACAAAGTCGTTGAAGACGCTATTAGCAGCAACGTGGCGCTTGTTGGCGAGCAGGAAGTTGTAGAGTCGGGTAGCAGAAACCGAGACTGTGTAGAGAGAGTTCCTATTGGACTTGATATGGCTTCGGAACTCCTCGAAGTAGACATACTCGGTGGTCAAAGAGGCGAAAATTTCAGTGACGCTGGTGGTACCCTGGCGCAGGCTGTGCTCAAGCTGGGCTAAGAAGACAAGGCTCTGGCGGCCCTTGGATGAGACATCGATCTGGAGCTCCTTTGAGTTGGAGGTGTCCTTCATGACGATCTGGCGATAGAGCTCCTGGGACAGCTCAACGGCCTTCTGAGCCTGGCTGGTAGAGATGTAGCCGGCAGCAATGGTGGTGGCTGCGGCAACAAGGCGCTCCGAAGAGGTCTCAGAGGACAGTATCTGCTTCGTTGACTCGTGGAGCTCCTTGGACACAATCTGGGTGTTATTGTGGCTGGAGTGGAATGAAATTACCTCCTGAAGTCTAGTGAGGGTCTCCTCGTGAGCCCAGCCGTATGTCTCGCGAGCGGACTCAATACGCTTGTGCAAGATCTTAGTGACACGCTTCGTCTGCTCGGAAGAAACGGACTGAGACTGGGAGGTAGCGCTAGCGATCTGCTCCTCAAAGATACCGTCAAGGGTGGCCTCAATCTCTTCAAGGTTAACGCCGGCAGGCTTGAGGTTGAGCAGCTCCTCGTAGAGAGTGATGGCGTTACTCTCGTAGGTCTTGCTCTCCTGGCTCACCTTGGCAAGGGTCAGGATAGTCTGGATGGTTATCGTGGCAGTGGCTCCGAATACTGTTTTGACCTTGTTGTAGAACTCGGTGGTGACCTTGTGGATGAAGGTGAATTCAGTGCGATTGTTGCGCAAGCAGTGAGTGTAACGTTCGAAGACACTCTGCACAAACGTTGCATCCTGGAACTTAGGACTCTGCTTGGACGGGTTCAAGAAAGTGGTGAAGAGCAGAGTGAAGTAGGGAACGGCATCAGTGTAGCGAGTTTGGGCCCACAGCTCAGTTGCAACGATGACGATGGGCTCCAATGCCTCGGGCTTGATGACCGGTGAGTCCTTGTTCAAGGCGCGAACGATGCGTTGGTAGTAGTCCACGAACACGGGGCGAGGACGAGTAAGCTCAGCCAAAGTGAACAGGGTCTTGATCACAGTGGGGTGTTCAGGGCTGTAGTGCTCGGTGTAGTCGTCCAAAAGCTCTTGGTAGGTGGTTATCACCTTGTCGGGCTGGGAAGACCGCTCGAAGAAGATGATCAGCTGATCCTTGATAGTCTCCCTCAGCTTGTCACCCACTGGCCGGGCGGCACGGACCGCGCGATGCACGCGGCCGCGAATACCTTCCTCGCGGGCGAAGCGACGGCGGTAGTGGTAGCACTGGCTCAAACGCTCAGCAAGCTCCACGGCCTTGTCAGTGTGCTCCTGTGGGAGAACAACATCCTGGATGGAAGGAGCGAACAGGGAAGGCCAAATACCATGGAGGACCTTCTTGAGGAGACGGCTGGCATCCTTCCAGCGGTGCTCCTTGGTGTACATCTCCAGCAAAGTACTGGTAGCAGTGAACGAGCTTTGGTCGAGCTTGGAGGAACTGGAAGCCTCGTAGACAATCTCCTCTAGGGTGGTCTCGGAGAAGTACGACGACGAAGAGCTGGCTTGTTCCTTGACATGTTGCGAGGTGGATACAATGTGCTTCTGAACCTCGGAGTAGGATGATGTACGGTTGGTACGCTGGTAGAACGAGGCACAGTACTTGAAGACATTCAAGGCTGTGACGGTGAGACCAACGGTGATCATCACTTTGGCAATCTGCTCGAAGTGCGAAGTCGACGTCTCGGAAAGAGTGTGAGTACTATTCTTAAGCTCTTCCCAGACGCTGGATAGGATGGAAGAAACCTCATGCTCTCTTTTCTGGGCCGTCAAGAACTTCGAGTAAGCAAGAATAGACTGCAGCTTGTGTTCCTGGGTCTTAGCCTGCTGCCAAAGCTCAACATACACGCGTTCGGCTAGGTCAAGGAGGCCTTGGGCAGTGTACCTCTCGGCCATAGTGATCTGGCCCTCGAACGATTCGGACTTTTCGTGGAGCTCGTCGTACTCGGCGTCCAGGCGGAAGCGAGCACTTGTGTCACCTGTGTCCTGCTTATGGCCGTTCAGACGAACACTGAGATCACGAATATCATCGCCGTCGTACTTGGTGGTGGTAAGACTCTGGATCTTGAGAGTCCAAGTCTGGATCTTTTCCTCTTGTTTGGTCACGCGGTAGTGCTCAATCAGAGTCTTCATGATGTTGATGGTTTTCTCGGACTTCTCGCCGTAGTGAGTCTGATAGCACTCGACAATGATGATGAGAAGTTCCTCACGCCTTGTCATGACATCCGACTTAGTAGTAGTGACCATATCAACAGTCAGGTCAAGGAACAGGAGAGCCATCTGCATCGTGATGGTGTGGGTGGTACCGAGCAAAGTGCGACTGGTGGTGGTAATCTGGTAGATAAGAGGGATAGCCTCTTGGGGTTGGTTGAGCTCACGGTACAACAGAGCCAATGAGATCATGGACTGGAGGGTTGCAGGATGATTTATCCCCAAGATCTCGCGGAACAGGTCGGTAACAGTGGTATGGTATGATAGCAGGGTCGGCATGGAGAAGTTGTTCCAGAGCGTGTTCTGGAGCAGCAAGAGGGTAACGCTGGTTGGAAGTACCTCGCCAAACTCCTTAGCGGTGGGAGCATTGCCACCGGTAGTGAAGACCGTGGTCTGTCTCAAGTGACGAGGCCAGTAGCGAATGGCAAAGTCAAGGAGAGGGTGGGTTTTCACACGAGGGCTGATATCACGACCATCAAGGGGGTTGAGGGAAGGCTCATGTTGTTCAGGAACAGTGTGCTTGATGTAGACCAAGAGGCGGGTGACAAGGTCAGCGTGAAGGTCCTTGACCGTGGGGATCAGTTTGCCCTTGGAGAAGACATGCAACACGGCGGTTCTGATCAGACCGTGACGAAGATAAACCTGGCCATCCTGCATGAAGATGATGGAGTTCAAAGGCTTCAAGACTTGGCGGATATTGACCTTGCGATCAGTAACAACCTGATTCTCCGGCTCGATAGAAGCCAAGCTGGTGAGCTCACTTGTCAGCAGAGGACGGTCAGCTGTGGCGAGCCAAAGCAACATAAGCTTGGCCTCTTCGGTGACCTCGGGAGCCTGGATGCTGTGGAGAACAAAATCGGCAATGGTGGGCTTGCCCTTGACAATAGTGTCGACGACCTTGCGGAGGGCATCGGGGGTATGTCCAAGGCGAGCGCGCTCGGTGCACAGCTTCGCCCATAAGAAGGAACCGCGAGAGGCCTCGCTAATTTGGTCAACGAGGGTCTCCTGCTCCATCTCATCCATAGCCAAGAAGACCTTGGTGCCAGGCAACTTGGCGGCGGTGAAGTTGCTTCGGACGACGGTGGAAATGTCATCAGCAATGCGGTCACCGCCAATGGGGACATGCATCAGGCTGGCAGAAGTCTGGGGCTTCTCGGCACCAAGGGTGATCAGCTTGACATTCACTCCGTTGGAGGTGGCAGCAATCAGCTTCTGGAGCAAGGGTGCCTCGCCGCAAGAAGCCTCATCAACGCCATCAACAACGATAACAAGGTGTTTAGCGCGGGCAAGAGCTGCGCTCAAGGCATTCTCCAGAGCATTCCAGAGAATGTTCTCGTATTCTGTCTCGTTGGTGGCCTTCTTGCTGGCGTCGTAGGCCTCGTGCAGAATTTGCAGTAGCTGGACGTTACCAATACGCTTTTCAAAGAGCTGGAATAGAATTGTCTTCACAATGGCGACGGGGGTAGTCTCTGCTGGGATTCTGGAATTGATCGGAATAAACAATGACTTGTATGTAACACCGCCGATGTGGTCCTGCAGACGGTCGACAATAACGGAGGCGAGGACAGTCTTTCCAGATCCAAGGGCACCAGTAAAGGCGAGAACGTGGTTGTCACTCTTGAGGAAGTGGGTCAGGTATGGGTTCATCCAGAGGCAGGTCATCTCATCCCGCTCGTGCGCAAGGTGGGAGGTGTTCTCGGCCAGGCGGGCGAGGATGCGGTCCTCCGGGGACAGCCATGTTTGGACGGACTTGACAACGGCCACTAAAAGGGTAGTTGAAAGTAATTAGTATCGTTCTCATCCTCCAATGCTAAAGTGATGCCAAAGGTTCTTACCGTTCTCGGGGTCCTTGTTGTCCTGCGCGAGCTGGTGTCTCCACATGGAGTCTGAGATCTTCGCGCAGCGCTCACGGAAAGACTCAATCTGATCAGTGAAGGTGTCATAGATGTTGATGGAGATTGAGCCCTCAGAAAGTGCGTAGATGGACTGGTGGAAGTGAGTGGAAACACGGGCGACCAAAGAAACAAGGTCAGCCAGTGCCTCAACCAGCTGGTCCTTGATCGTCTGGGAAACAGTGAAGAGCTCAGTGCGCTCAAGCAGGTTCACCAGAGCTGAAGAAGTGCTGTAGAAAAACCCGAACGAAGCCATCAGAGCTGGCGCATTTTCTTTGCCAAGCTATACCGGAATCAGTATTCAAGAACCATGAGACTTAGTAGATCTGCACATACCTTGAGGAGCATTGCACAGTATCCGTAAGAGAGCTGAGCAGCGAGCCAGCTATTTCCCTCAAAGTCGCCAATAGCCTCGTCAAAGGAGTGTAGGCGCTCAACGAAGAGCTGGGCCCAAGCGAGCACCTTATCATAGCTGCTTCCTTCGGGAGGCAGATGGCTCATGCGCTCGGTGGCGATCCATTCTAAAATGGTAGCGTGGCTGGTATTAAAAAGCGTATAAGACGCATTTACACCCAATTCAGTGCCGCTCTGGTGCCGAAGACCTTGGACCACACTAGAGAGTTTTGCGCTGACAGCGGAGTGGAACTTCCGGGGCATCAAGGAGCGCGACATACCACTGTTAGAGTGGTTGTCATTGTCGAACTTACTAGACATACCAGAGACATGTCTAGAGTTACCGGGCAGCTTGCTGTAGAAAGGGGATGTGACATTGCCCGGGACGGGGGCTATGATACCAGGAGCCATCGTGCTTGTGATAGACTCGGTTGAGCTTGGAGAGGATCCTTTCTTGACAATTAAAGCGGTACGGACAGTAACACTTTCAATGCACTGTTTGGAGGTAGAGATGGCAATAGGGGTATGTCGGGGAGGATTGGAGTCCGATATAGCTTCTTTGGAGCAGTAGTTCTTAGAACAACAAAATATTTGGCGCAAACCGGCCAGCTGATTTGAGAGAAGAATATAAAAAGAGTGTGCTGTTACCACACACAAGTCATGAGTATTAAGATGGAAAAGGAAAAGTCGTCCAGCTTCGTGGAGAAAGCCACGCTTTTGTAGCAGTACTCAAGATATCACCCGCGTCAAAAAATTTGGAGTCTCCCATGCGCTATAGTGACCAATTCGGTAAGGAATTACGGTTTCTCAGAGATGTACTCCTTAGTTGCTGCCATGTCTTCCCTCTTTGGAATGATCCAGAGTTCCACCTCGCATGAAATGGGCCCGGACCACTCAACTTGTGAGGCATAATAGTCCAATGACAGGGACTACAACAGGGGTGGATGGCATATGTAGGTTGCGAGTGTGATCCGGGAGCCAGCTCAGTCGATGCGAACGCAAATCATTATCAAACAACCTGCAGGATAATGGGGATGGCGGGTATGAGCTCCTTCCTCTTGCCATGAAAGGCCCTTTTTTTCAGCAGCGCCAGATATATCTGAATCCACCTCAGCTGGTAGAGAAGCTATCCATACCTAGATCTCGGAGCTACAACTAGCGTAGACAATAGTTACCTCGGACTGCAGGATTGGTTTCACTATACGGACTACTCCGTACTTAGTCCAAGGGTAGGATTATCAGGCCATCTCCGTGGATGTGGCTGGCTGAACGCCGTGCACGGCTATAATTTCCCGCTGTCAATAGACGGTGTGGGCCCTAGACGGGTCCTCAATCCATTGTGTCGGCACAACGCACGCCGTACCCACCTGGGTAGATAGCCAAAATGGAGACTAATTCATAGTTTGAAAAGTGGCCCTGCGATTCAGACGAACTGTTGGTCGATCGGCATGGAAACCGAGCCGTCCTGAAGAGTACCGCCAAGAGGTCCACTTGGGTTCAGCATCTCATAATCATGGGTATCATACTCCGTACTCGCGATGTGCCAGAAGGACTAACTCAATATCAGTTCTTTGGTACGAGTATCATCTCCCGGTGGGTCCTCAAGTGTTCATTGGAATGCTAATTCTAATTCTGTGGTCTGGTTTAGTGGGTGAAAATGATGTACCGAGTCAGCTGCGACCAATCCCTTCTGGCGAAATCCGTGGGGAAAAAGGAAATGAAAAGGGGTGGTCATACCCAAGCCTCCAGGACTCCAGGGCTATTTCAGGTAATTAGTAACCATTTGATATATCCACAACCGCGGGGGAACCGTAAATCATTAATAAATGCATGTATATTCCGAAGTACTCCGAATAATATAAATATAAAAACATTATAATTGGGATCTTGATTGGATCTAAACACAGGACCCACTTTTTCATTCCAAATCATGCATTGATATCATTATTGGGTTGTGATGTACGGAGTAGATCGTGCAAGATGTGCAAGGTACCCCGTACCCCTTCCGGAGTTCCTCGGGCACCAGCTGCACCGCGCGAGCGGCCCACGATACCCGATACCCGGTACCCCGCTCCAAAACTCAAATTCTTCACCAATGGGAGGATCTTATATGGCCCACTACACGAGTCACTGCCGCAGTTGTACCATCAAACTGTGATGGCAATCTACCTAGGTACCTAGGTAGATACCTAGGTAGGTCATTGAATACTGATGGCGAAGCTCATGGGAGAAGATATATAGATAACTATGGAGGGAATAGAAAGAGAGATCTATCTAACAAAGAAGCAGGTCCTGATAAACGAGGGAGGGGACTCAGACAGCCACATCTTCGCAACAAATACAATCATGACATTCGAAGCGTAAAACAGCCATTGACTCTCGGCGGCCGCGTCCAAATTCCTAAAATAACCTGTCAGACCCAGATTTGTAAGATGCATATGCAACCATTATCATATGACACTAGCGCGACGAAGGTATGAAGCACCAGAACCAACGTGATACATACCATAACCATGAAGCCCACTTCTAAAATCCAATATGACTACAGCAGTCCAATGACAATGTCCCCGTAGATCTGGGCGTCCAGCTCGAGCTTGACCTTTGCGTGCAAGTTGAGGTGAATCTTGATCTGGAGGCTGCCCTTGTCATCCTCGCCATTCTTCTTTCCAGTATCGGTGACGCCGGGAACTGACAGACCACCGGTGCTCGGTAGGGCGCTCTGGGCGGTCTCGCCGACACCACCAACGGTGTCGTCAGGTGAGTTGCCCTTGCGACCGCCCAGCGTTGGGACGGTTTCGGCGGTGGGACTATTTGGGAGCGGGGGAAAGTCAGTCTCACTTAAGCCCTCAGTTGTATCGTTTGGAAGAGGAACATTGTGGGGGTTTTCCGGTAGCATTCTGTGGCTTTGTCCCGGGCCTGGGGGTGGGTTCGATTTGGCTTTTTGGGGCTTGGTTTTCTTTGTCATTGTCGGGGATAATGGGGGCCAATGGGAAGCAATTGGATATTATGAAAGTGATCCAAGTAAAGAAGTGGTCATTGAGGACGGGAATACGGTGTTGAAGGAGATGGTTTAGGTATACCTGAGGGACATTGTATTGCTTAGTGAAGGTTAGGGTTGAGATGAGGGTATAAGGGTCTGAGCAGAGAACCACAGGCTGAACAGGGAATAACTAAGTACTTCTAGGATTCATAGGTGAAAAGCAAAAGGATATATAGGCTGCTGGGGGTGGGAGAGATTGTTGATTCGACAAAGATCTATTCTAGCTCCACGCCAGGGCTTAGCTGAGCTACGAAAAAAGTTGAATGAGCTCCCTCAAAGATCTGCACATACATCTCGGTCCCATCCCTGCGCTCACGCTCGGGGTATCCAATCTGGTCTATCTATTTGGCTTGCCTGCAAGATGACGTAGTTCATGGAGACAAAGTGGATTGGTCTATCCCTAGTGCCATCTCCATATTCCATACTGGGGGGGGACCTGAAAACCTGAAAAGCTCTGCATTTAGCTGTTATACGCCTACGTCCCTTTCCAACCTTATACACACACGCGCGACAAGTCTCGAGATTTTGACGGGTCCTTACGCTAATTCTTCGGCGATGGTGCTAGGGATAGTCATGATGACGGCCATGGTGCCGACCATTATCGGACTAAATGAGGCCACTAAAGGCACTCGTGATCAAGAGAACAACCGGAAGGATACAGCGCGCAAGCAGAGATGTCACCTAGTGGCTATGTGCGAACTCAACAAGGGAACTCAGACCCAGCGTGAACAGGTTCACAATGCTCGTGTATATGTGGGGCGAGACGGGAATGTAAGTACCGTCACGCAGCTGAACGAGAAAGGGATAAAAATAAGAATAAAAACCTAACCTATCATATTCCTTTCTCAGCTTTATATCACCAAACAACCCAGCTCCGCCATGTCTCTCTTCAATGGCGGCTTCTACAAACACCCGGATTTCCCCCCGGATAATACATCCGGCATGGTGACTATCACTGGCGAACAACCACCCACTTTGCGCTGGGTGTTCCTAGATGTTAACACGTATCAGATGCGATGGGGTGGGCGTCCGGACAGTGAGGGCCACGTGTGTGGGCCCTTTGACTGGACGAAAGACGAACAGTGTATAACGCTTGACGGGTGGGAGGGATGGCTGGCTGTCAGGTTACCTGAAGATGAAATGCGGGATCAAGCGGAGGCAGAACTCGAGATCGGCGATGGTCGCGAGATTTGGCGCCTGTATTTTGACCAGAATGATGACGGGGCCGATCTGCCGCCCGGTTCCCAGGGTATAGAAATCCGTCTCAAGCGAGTTACGGCAGAGTCATGAATTTGTATAATTTTTATTTGAAGTTTACTTGACTTGTGGAAGGAGGAGATGATCGCGGTAGGGAAGACCGGACGAACAGTTGGGTCATTTGCGAGTAATGATCTCTGCCGATATATATCTGAGGAGTTTCCGTAATTTCCCCAGCTCCAGCCTTTGTTTATTTACTTCGTCCCGATTCCACCTGTAGAACCCATTTTGGCCCAGTACGGTGGAATGATCAACTATATCAACTCGTGGTGCACAGGTGTGTAACCCATGTCTGAACGCATAGGCGCGTAGCATAATTTTGACAGAATGGCATTCAAACAGCATCCCGATTTTAACGCCCTCTTCGACGCGAATCAAAGATCCACAGCCACCACTCAAACAAATACGGCCAAATTGACACTTGGACTTATTTGTCGCCCCGGACCCCGAATTCCGCCCACATGATTATATTCCACCGCTACCTGACGCCGAGCGATTGTACAACATCTTCCTCGACGGGGTGGACCCAGTGGTGCGCATCATTCATAAGCCGACATTCTTGGAGGAGATGCAAGAGTACTATCTACAAGTTGGACAGGATAATGGGGTTGAGAAAATATCAACAGCAGCATTCGAGGCGCTTCTCTTTGTAGTGTTATTCAGCGCTCTCACCAGCTTATCCGAGCAGGAGCACTGGGACCCGTCACCTCCAGGTCGGGACACTGCCCCTGGGCAGCTCAAGCAGGGCTGCTTACAAGCCCTTCGGTTTGCCATCGAACAGAGTCTGGTCCGATCTGAGCTCCATGAAAGGCCTAGCCTCCACTCAATCTCGGCTTGCTGTCTCTTTTTGGTACGAGAATCGATACCCAAAGTCCCCTCAGGTCCTCTCGGTGTGTACTGACGCGCAGTATTTCAGTTCGTCACATGTGACGAAACCGATGTCCCATACCATTATTGCTTAACTGGTCTGTTACTACGTGTGGCGCGATCATACTCTCTCCATGTAGACCCAGAGGCATTGGCAGGCCGGAGGCGAATACAAAAACCAGCACGAGCTTCACTCAGTGCTGTCGTTAACGAAGTTCGCCGACGACTTTGGCACGTCATTGTACAGTAAGCATCGTGTGCGAACGCTAAGCAGAGACTCGGTCTAACAACTCTGAAAGTCTCGACTTCATGTCTAGCGAAGCACGTGGCGTATATCCTGAACCCGTTGGAATCCAAACTTGGCCTGCCACGCTTGCCACTGCGTTACCGGGGAACATGAATGACGAGGATATCGTTCGAAGCGCACGGGAAGATAACAATAACGAGGGTTTCACCGATATGACAATGTCTCTCGTTCGCTACCAACTTTCCCTCGGCCTGAGACAGCTAGTGACAAACCCCGTTCCCCCAGCTGGCTCTGACACGATCCAGGAGTGTCTCGATAGAACAGTGGAGATAGTCGAGAGACAGTACCTACAGTTCTGTCATACTAGCGATCATATCCAGAAAGTCACGCTGGAGGTTGGTCGCCTTGGTGAGTATAAACTCCGGCTGATTGTGTATCATTGGTTCCTGAAAGGGCGTGATGGCACAACCAATAATAGTTACTGGAGCCCGTCTCGAAAGAGGTATGTCATAAACCCATGCCCTAATGCTAATCCAACCGATTTTCCCTCGATTCTGATCTTAACAGGGCTATGGAAAATGCCAAAAACCTGATTTCCTCATATCAAAACCTATTAGCCGACCCTAATATCAGACGATTCCATTGGCACATTCGCCGGCACTCCCAACTGCATGGAATGCTCCATATAATCAACGAGCTATCAACGATAGATACGTTGAATCTGCCGGGTGATATTCAGGTTCTTTGCAAACAAGCTTGGGAAACCATTGCCGACGTGGAGATAGAATACAGGGATTCAGAAGACAATAGCAAAGAAGAACGACTGCGGGCCTTTCTCCACAATCTACGGGAGCAAGTGAGGCTTCGCTTATATACACAGAAGTTCATCAGTCGAAGATTTAGTACTAATTTGGCCTGACTATAGCTCCCCTATGAGTGGTGTCCATGGTACAGACGTGCTAGAGTCACTGTTTGGTGGTCAACTTGCCTCGTTTGGAGTCAGTGGGAATGCTGGCACGGATCTTTCATAAGCACTAGGGGCAGCCATGGAGAACCCTGGAGCTAACCACACTTCCCGGGTCTGGCCTAAGGATGGCAAAATAATTGGCGCGGTATATATATAACGTATGGGACTTGGGCATAATGAATACGTAGATATCCCGAATTCTTTTTCCTGCGTTCCAAATATTTCGTTCTGATAGGATTTACTTTTAGCCATCGATGGTGCCTCCCATTCATTCGTGTAGAGAATAGAACTATAGAAGATTGAACTACAACATAGAGACATTGAATTTAGTTGTCAATTTAGGGTTCGGAAACTTTAAGTTAATGTACTGGCATTAAGAATTCAATTGAGAATGCAACATTTGAAGTATTAAGCATACTAATATTCGACCTATCGAGAATGAATACGATATAACTAAGTGTATTCAAAAGTCTAGATAGAATTACTCCATTTACTCCATTACTCCATTGTATCGGCAAAATCGGAGGTGGCGCCTCCTCGGAAATCGACGCCCCTTAGTCAGGGTTGCCACCGAATTCTCAGGCATCCGCCTCAATAGGCCTAGCCGATCGCGCCCCCCATGATCCCGACATTGCCTTGTTAATGCCGGATTTTAAAATTAATTTATGCCGCTTTGGCTTCAATTTGGATAGGCAACCGTGCTGCCTCGCCGCTTCTTACCTATATAAGATAGATTTCCCCCACACAATCGCCAGCGACTTCTTCCCTGGTGTAGCGTCTTGAAGTTTCCCGGATCGTCACCATGGCGGAACGCATCCTCATGAACGAATTCAAAGCCCTCCTCAAAGAGAAGTGGGTTCACGTCCAGGTGAGCTCACCATTTTATTATAATCGTCTTTCGATTTCCACACTTGCAGATTACTGATGTACTTTACATAGTTGCACGATGACGACATTTTCAACTGGGACGTCGCCCTGATCGTGATTAACCCGGACTCCATGTACTACGGCGGCTACTTCAAAGCCTCCATGACGTTCCCGCCCAACTACCCCTATTCCCCGCCCAGTATGACATCTTCTCTCCTTCGTCTCATGGTTCAATATGACTGACGATACTTTTTATTCAGAGTTCCGCTTCTTGAAGCCTCTCCACCACCCGAACATCTACACCAACGGCAAACTATGCATCTCGATCCTTCACGCGCCCGGCGAAGATGAGATGTCCGGCGAGCTTGCCTCGGAGCGCTGGTCCCCTGCCCAACGCGTCGAGTCGGTTCTGATCTCCATAATCTCTCTCCTCGACGATGCCGAGCCTTCCTCCCCTGCGAATGTCGACGCTGCCGTTTTGCTTCGCAAGGAACCAGAAATCTACCGGCAGCTTGTGAAGGCCGATGTTGAGAAGTCTAAACTCGATATTCCCCCCCGACTTCGAGATGCCCACCCACGATACTCCCGTCCGCGAGCCCGTCGAGAAGGAAGACCCTGACTTCTGGGCTGATAGCGATGCCGACAGCGATGTGTTCGGTGGTAGTGACTCTGATGATGATCTCGATATGGACCAGTCCAGCGGCAGTGATATGGAGGAGGTGGATGAGTCGGCCGACGATGGTTCTGCGGAGACGAAGGAGTAAGGACGATTTTCAGCGTCTTTGAGCGAGTTGTTGCATGATCAAACGTTTCGTGTCAGCTTCTCTAAGCATATTTAGCATTCTCGGCGTACCCTTGTGGTCTTTCATATGAGCGGCGTTTAGCGGGATCATTTTCAAGCATTATGGGTTACGGTTTATGAAAACATGCAATACCCTGATGTTACACAGATATTTCAACGAAATGAAATCAAATTCAAACATTCCTTTTTGAATCTGAATCGGACTTTCACCTTTGCCTTACCTCTCTACACTCTCTATACCATTCAGCTCACTTCAGCGATAAATCCTCATTGCCGATAAATCCTCCTTGCCGAGCAAAAGTGGACTTCCCCCCCCACACTATCCCCACCTTTAAACCCGAAGTATTCATAGCTATATCCGACCCCCAATCCATCTCAACATCACAACTATATTTACCAAATCAACAAGGCTTGCATTGGAGCAGCAACCAACCACCAATCCCAGGATGACAACCCAAGCCATCGCCGCATGGACAGTCTCTGCCCCATCCCGACCTCCTTGAAGAAAAGTAATCCACGCCGTAGCACGAAGCTTCTACAACATATCTGGGGATTATGAGGAACACATTTAGTGGTTTCCTTGTGTGATTAGTGTTCATCCTTTTATTTATGGCTGTGTTTGGGCGCATGGGGAGTCGGAGAGGGTTAGGGTTGATGTTGTGGATGCTGAAGACGTGGCGGATATGCATCCACTTGTTCTGGAATTGAGAGGCACGACGGCACGGAGGAATGCGCTAGATGGTGAGTTTAGTGTCTATCATGGTGATGCGGTTTGTTGTTAGGCAAGGCTGTGCCAGCTCAGCATAGAGATGACGTTGTACCTCATAGGCGGGTTGTGGCTCGGTTTAAGGCCATTCCTGACGGGATTTTTGCAGGCCAATTCGTCTCATCTTAGGGGGGTAGTGTTGAAAATATATCGATTATGCCATGGGTAACTTGGAGCGCTCCATCATGAATGAACAGTTGACAGCAAAACCAGCAAAACCCGTTGACCGGTGTGTTGGGATTTTAGGAGAAGAGCAGACCGACAAGGCGAGTCAGTGGTGTTGGGGATTAGGGAACAGGCCGACGTGGGTCGAATCAAGAACGTGTTGCAGCGCATACCTCCGGAAATCTCCGGGTTGGACGCCTAATCCATTCTCGATTTCAATGTTGCCAGGAAACTTTGATAAGAATAGAAATGATATGTCGACAAACGGTATGATATCGAACCTAAAAACTCAATATTGCAACCCTATTGGTGGCAATCTTGGAAGGTTTAGAGCCGCCTGGGCACCTTTACATGAAAAGCCTTTCAGCTTCTAAGATTTATTTATAGGGTAACTTCCATTCTATGGAATTTGGAGTGCAGCTGTGGACAAAAAAACATGTAGATCATTGATAGAAAGATCATTTGCTCCTTGAATACCACAGCTATAGACCCAGCAAGAGGTAGAGTAACATACGTGGTATCTAGGTCGTTGAAAACCCTATCCAAATTTGTGCTATCATAGAGAGTATAGTAGTGTACCTTTTCCATGTGTGCCTTGCGTCGGTCGCCCCGGTCTCGAGAATCGATTTGTCATGTAATGATATAGCTGAATCAAGGGCATACGGATTTATAAATAGGAATTTGATCTCCCTCGTATTTTGTTTCCCTCCAGATCCAGAGCTATCCTCTCCTGGTCTAATTATATGCTTTCCAAAAATGTGTAGAATATTGCCTACCCTCCTCTGCCTGGCTATAGGGTTGGCGACGGCGACTCAAGGGCTCGTCTCTCGTCATGACAACTCCTTCCAGCCCGACTATATTCTCCGAGTGACAGCCCAAAGCTATAGTCAAGCATGCATGGAGCGATACTCAGTGCTGGTTAACGGGTCCTCTCCCGGCCCCGAATTGCGTCTCCAGGAAGGGAGAGTGAGCTGGATCCGAGTTTACAACGACATGGAGGGTTTGAATACCACAATGGTACCTAGCGGTCTTTCCCTCCCAGGCTATACAATAACGCTCACGATGATAAAAGCATTGGCATGGTCTTTCTGCTTTTACCGCACCCTTCTCCGATGGTACCCCCATGGCCAGCCAATGGCCTATCGCCCCTGGCCACTTCTTCGACTACGAAGTCCGTCCTGAGGTCGGTTATGCTGGCACGTACTTCTACCATTCACACGTCGGCTTCCAGGCAGTCACTGCTGGGGGCGCACTTATTGTGGAATCGGCCCAACCCTCGCCATACGAGTACGACGAAGAGCGCATCATTGCTCTGACGGATTTTTTCGCGAAGACGGATGAGGAGATCGAGGACGGCCTCAGCTCAGCCAATTTCACATGGAGTGGAGAGACTGGCGCCGTTTTGGTGAACGGCCACGGCCGACTGGCCACCAATGCTTCTGGGTCGTGCAAACTGGCTGCTATTAGCGTCGATCCCGGGAAGACTTATCGTCTGCGATTCATTGGGGCAACAGCCCTGTCTTTTGTCTCTTTGGCTATCGAAAGCCACGACCTATTCGAGATTATTGAAGCAGATGGCCATTACACCAAGCCAGTGAAGACGAGCTACTTGCAGATTTCCAGCGGCCAACGGTATAGTGTGCTTTTGAAGGCCAAGACCGAGGCCGAGTTGCAAGAAGCGAGATCCCGGCAATTCTACTTCCAGCTCACCACACTGGGCCGACCAACTGTCCTGACAACTTTTGCCGTTTTGGAATACCCTTCTCCCATCGCGACTGATTTGACGACCGTTCCCGTCACTCCTCCCCTCCCGGTGGCGGACATCATTCATGGCTGGATGGACTACGCCTTAGAGCCGTACTACCCGGATCCTGACTTCCCAACTGCCGAGGAAGTAACCCGGCGTATTATCATCAACGTTCACCAGAACGTCAGTTCGCATGTCATCTGGCTCCAGAGCGGGTACGACTGGATGGAGACATTCCCCATGTCACCATACCTGGTCGACGTATATAATGGTAAACTGGACCTCGACGACTCGTACGAGCGGGCAATTGCCAGTGGCTACGGGTTTGACAATCAAACCCGCCTCTTCCCCGCGAAGATGGAAGAAGTCCTCGAGATCGTCTGGCAGAACCAAGGTGCTGTTAATACCGGTAGCGTTGAGACCCACCCTTTCCATGGACACGGGAGACATTTCTATGACGTTGGTGGCGGCGATGGGTTATACAACCCGGAGGAGAACGAGAAGCGCTTGAACGGAAATCATCCGGTGACTCGGGACACGAGCGTGCTATATGCATACAGAAGAGAAACGGAGGCTCTTACGCCGTCAGGATGGAGAGCTTGGCGGATTCGGGTTACGGATGCCGGCGTGTGGATGATGCATTGTCATATTCTTCAGCATATGGTGATGGGGATGCAGACGGTTTTTGCTTTCGGTGACGAGGCGGATATCAGGGCACAATCAGGTCCTGTTGATCAGGGCTATCTGACATATGGTGGTTCGGTGTATGGGAATGCCACTCATTACCCACTTGTACAGCACTACTATGATATGTGAGCAAACAGTTTGTTGCTAAACCTACTTGAATCTACATCCCTATTTTAGTGTGCAATGCTGGAGAAATCATTGGTTTGATAAATCAAAACGTATTCTAAATCAGTCTGAACTTATAGTTGTAGACGGATATGCTACGTGAAGCAACGAAATAGCGAAATAGCAAAAGCAATCTGTGTATAGGAGCGTAGTGGCGGGATGAACCCGCGGATTCGTGTTGGAGAACCCAAAAGACCGAGATAAAACCAAAAGAAAAAAAATGATGTGCGCCTGTGAATCCGTTCATGCCCAAGTTGTTGGGTTTGTCACTGACAGAACCCTAGCAATCCTCTAATCTATGCAGAGACAGCATCCTTGATCTCGCTGTAGATAGCGCCGAGCTCCTTGTGGAAGGCCTTCTCAGCGCTGTCGATGATGCCGCCAATGCGATCCTCGACAGTGGTCTCAGCATTGTGAGCCTTGTAACCACCCTCGGCAAGGATCTTAGTGTAATTGGCGGAGCCACCACCGTTCCAAGCCAGAAGCTAAGATGAAAAGGTTAGCACAATTCATGGTTATCTGAATAGGAGGGAAAGCTTACGTTGGGGGTGTCGGAGGGAATGTCAGTAAGTGTTCCCTCGGTGGCGACGCTGATGAGAGCAGCCTTGAGCTGCTTAGGGGTGACATCGGCAACGGCATAGGCCGAGTCCTTGGCGGGCGCCAGGGAGACGTAGTAGGCCAGCAAACCGGCGATGTGAGGAGAGGCCATGGAGGTGCCAGAAATGGTGTTGGTGGCATGGTCGCTACCAACCCAGGTAGAGAGGATGTTCAGACCGGGGGCGAAGATGTCAGTGCACTTTCCATAGTTGGAGAAGTAAGCACGCTCGTCAGCCAGGGTGGAGGCGCCAACAGTGACGGCCTTCTCGGCAGCAGCGGGGGAGTAGTTGCATGCGTCAGCGTTGTCATTGCCCGCAGCAACAGCGAAGTGAATACCAGCATCAACAGCAGCATTCACGGCGAGATCCAGGGTACGAGAGCTACCGCCACCGAGAGACATGTTGGCAACGCTACCCTTGAACTTCTTATCGCCCTTCTTGGACTTCTTGATGTGAGCCTCGGCCGCCCATTCAACACCCTTGACGACATCGGACATGGTACCCGAGCCATTAGAGCGAAGAACCTTGACAGCGTAGACGTTGGCCTTCTTGGCGACACCGAACTTCTTGCCAGCAATAGTACCAGAGCAGTGAGTTCCGTGACCGTTTCCATCCTCATCGGCATCACCCTGGGGGATAGTCTTGCCCCAGTTGGCACGGCCCTCGAAGTCAACGTGCTTGACGTTGGTGCCAGTATCAATAACGTAGGCATCGACACCCTCGCCACCTTCCTCGGCATACAAATACTTGTTGAAGTTACCGAACGAGAGGCTTTCACGGTGAGAGATACGGGCAAGACCCCAAGGGGCGTTCTTCTCAACACTACCTTCGGACATAGTACGGACCTCGGAGTCCCTCTCGATGTAATCAACCTGTTTTGGGTCACATTAGCCGTTGATCTCGGGAACTCCCGCAAGGAGGGAATGGGATTACTCACATCAGGATGACGGCGGATCTGCTCGATGACGTCCTCGTGGAAGTGACCAGCATATCCGAGGAGTGATCCAGCAATGTGGAAAGTGTGCTTCAGGCCCATGAAAGCCTCAAAGTCGAAATCGAACAGGGAGCGCTTCTTCAACTCCATCCGACCGGTATGGGCGGTGTGCACCTCCTGCAACCAGCTCTGGTGAGCGGAGGCAGAGCTTGGGTCAACATGCTTCTTGAATACAACGATGTAGGAATCCGGAATATCTTTTGAGGTCATGGAGGAGAGGATAGGAGCAGCGTCATTGTGGATGGAGCCTACTGCCACGGGCGAGGCAGCTACGAACAACGGGAGCAGTGTTAGGCTAAGGAAGCCTTTCATACTGGGCGAAATGAAAAAGTAAACACGGCAGAAGAAACAGAAGATAGATAAACGATAATTGTAGGTTGTAAACGATGGGGGAAGGATAGGTTGGATGGAGAGGAGAAGGGGAAAGATGAGGAGAAGGGCAGGCTTATCTAGGGAGAAGACGGGGATCGATGATGCAAGCGGGCATTACATACGGTTACGCCGCCGGATGACCTGGCGATGCCGATCCTAGTGGAGAACTGTTTGAGAATGGGGTAATACCGTATGGTATGGTCATTTTAGTCTCGGGAACCACATAAAGAGCATCCACTTGACTTGCCATGATATGTATAGTCATGGATATATTGGGATTATTAGAATTATCATCATATGAAGTATGATTTAAGTTGTATGAATATCTACCGCGCATAGATAATAGATAAAAACAAAGTACCTATGGCAAGGTAGTGCATGTGGTCACCTTCCCCCCGGGTACCTGGCAGTCTAATCTTACCATAGGCTATAGGCAAACCCCCTCGCACGGCCCGGCTCCTCCAAGGCAACTCTTCCTCCGAAGTCGCGTGCTTTGTGCTCGGGTGACTCAGATGTTGGTCCAGTGCCCCTTGTCTTGCATGAGGGTGCCATTATTGGATAGAAACTATGCCAATCTGCGGAGAAGCCCATCACATCATAGGATCAATTCCAAGCTTCTCCACATTGCTCAGAGCTGCGTCTTATCGCGCTTATCATGCCCTATCAGTGATCGCCCGTAATTTTCAATTTTACCGTTTTTACAATACAACAACAGGGCTGTGTGCATGTGTCCAGCCCCCTCAAGACCTGAGTCACCTGATATCCAACTTTCCCCTCCCCCCCGATAGCGAATTACAAAGGTGGCTGAATATTTGACATGGGGTTCTGCGGATGACGAGTACTGCAAATTTTCCTAACCGCCAGATTTCCTATCTTGGCACTAGTACTGTCACACACCAATGCAGACCGTTGTACCCGCCCTTGAACATTCACGGTCTCTGATGGTCATACGCCATCGGAGCGGACGTGGATAAGATTTAGCTATGGCTCCGTCGGCACCCCTCCCTCCCTCCCCCTCCGGATCGACCGAACGATTGGCCGAAGAGCTAGCCCCAACCATTGACCAGCTCAAGAACGCCGGTGCAGGCACCGCGATCACTCTGTCCCAGGCTCTATCGACGACCGAATCTCTTCTCCGCCTGCGCCACACCTTCATAGATGATGCACGTCCACGCACCGCCAAAGATGCATTCCGATATCTCCAGGGCTTTCAAACTCTGCTGACGCTAGCGGACCAGGTAGCTGAGCTCTACGACCCGGTACACAAATCCAAGGAGGAAAGAAAAGACCTATTGGGTATCTTCAAAGATATCCTCGGTGTATTGGCAGAGTGCCTGAAGGATCATTTTGGCAACAAGCGATATTTTGCTCGGAAGATACCAGGGGGAGGCATTGCTGCGCTGGAACGAATTCTGACTGCACTGGTCAAGAAGATAGACACAACTGAAGATGACGCGCACCATATTTACGGCGCCATTTTGGCAGCAGCTCTATGCCAGGAGACTGTGTCGGGTATTTTCGTAACACTGAGCACAAATTTTTCCCAGAATAGGGACTCTTCTTCTCCGAAAGACGTCCAGGATGCTGTGGATCATTGCATTGGGTCAGCAGAGACGGTGGAAGTGCCGGAACTACTTGGACCGTTCCTTCGTGTGTGGTTGATGCACTCCTCTTTGTCATCTGGATATGACATATTACGCCTGGCCTTGCCCGCATGTCTCTGCCAATTGGCCTCGCAGTCTCGGAGGAACGTCGTAGCCTTGCATGCAACTGAGATGCTCACCTCAATCCTACCCCTCTTATTCGATGGTGGACGGTCAGACAGAGAGAAAGCAATTTACCAAAATCTCGCCCAATTTCTCAGCGTCCAGGGCATGAGTAGCTTGGACGATGCTGTCGCCTTATACCGCGGGGCGCATGATAACCCGCAAGTTCTAAAAGTCCTATTGTCTGCTCTCAAATCCTCTAAGGAGCCTCCGTCAATACAGTTTGATATGTCCCGCCATGGATACTGTTCAGTCGAGTTCGCAACACTTGGTCGACCATTCCCTCCTATCAATTCCTCCGGCTACACTCTGGCAGCCTGGGCCCGTTTTGACGAGTTCGATCCCAACACGCATACTACTATATTTGGAGCTTTTGATGCAACCCAAACATGTTTCATTCTTGCCTACCTCGAAAAGGACACTCGAAACTTTATACTTCAAACTTCGATTCGAGGTTCCCGTCCTAGTGTTCGGTTCAAGTCTAAAAAATTCGAGCCGAATCGCTGGTACCATATTTGTGTTGTTCAAAAGAGACCCAAGCCAATGTCTTCTTCCCGTGCATCTCTTTTCATAGACGGCGAGTTTGTTGAACAACTGAAGATCGAATACCCATCCGTTCCTATAAGCCATCATTCAAGCAAGCCATCGCGCGTGCAGGCATTCTTTGGCACCCCTCAAGACCTGGCAATGCGTCTCGGAAAAGGCGTGTCCACTTCCCGGTGGTCACTTGCCAATGGAATGCTTTTCGACGAGGCTTATAGCGACGACATGGTAGCTGTTTTCTACAACCTTGGGCCTCGGTATTATGGGAACTTCCAGGATTGCTTGGGCTCCTTCCAGACATACAAGGCATCTGCGACTCTAAACCTGCGGAATGAACATCTTCATCCGGGTAAGGAGGAAGCCTCGGATATTGTCACTGCCATCCGTAGACGGGCGAGTACATTAATCCGTGAAAGCTCGATTTTGATCAATGTCTCTTCCGTCGCCGTTCTTGACGACGACGATAGCAATAATGTCGACGAGTCACAGTTGATAAAATGTCTCTCACGGCAGGCAGCGAAGAGTCTGCATCAGCTAACAAAGTCGGGTGGCAATGCAGTTGCTGTCAACGGTGCCGCCCCGGCTATCAATGACGGCTTAACTCAGCCTCAGGGGGGTCGGCATCCTGACAGGTGATCCTGTCGTTGCCGTGCCTAGGGCCATGGATGATGCTAGTTGGTGTCTAGGTGGCTGCGCCGCCGCCCATCTCAGCTTGATCAAAGCAGCAAGAACTCCCGAGAGCACCCGCATGGCCGTGGAAGCTCTCTACGAAGCAGTCCAGGACAACTGGAGAAACAGCGAAGCCATGGAAAGAGAGAATGGCTATGGTATTCTTGCGGCCTTGTTGCGAGAAAAGCTTGGATTCTCGATGGGCAATTCCTCGACCGCGTCCAAAATCCCTGTGGTCACTTCTGATCCCCACGAGCTGGGTTCCATAATGCTTGATCTGTTGCGTTTGACTCTCGGGTTTGTTGGCTACGACTTCGAAACGCCCAATCGCTCCATTATCACAAACCCGCTCGCCTACCGTGTCCTGCTGGTGGACATGGACGTCTGGCGATTCGGAGAATCTCAGGTGATTGGGTTGTATTACTCTCAATTCCGCACGTTTGCCGCCGATAGCAACTATCGCCGATTTAACGCCAGGCGTCTTAGTCGTATGCGTAAGTGTGCTTCCTGGTGACACTGCCATTCTTGTTATTCAGGCTGACCAAACCAGGTGTCAACAAAAAGTTACTGGAAACTTTGAAGGGTGGAGAGCTGACCGAAGAGTCTCTCCAACCTTGCTTATCCGCATTCCGCTCATTGATGGAGAGCAGTCCCTCTCCAGACCTTCTCCGATCACTAGCTTTGTCCATCACATATGCACTCCACAAGCCGAAGACTCCGGCAACTCTTCAGAAAAAGAAGAGCCTTCGGTACATCGCTACATCGCCTCGACCTGCGTCGGCGAAATCAGAAAGCAAATATCTTCCCAGCGTGACTTTGGGCATTGAAATGCTACGGCTCTATTCTTCCGTGTTGTGTAACCCACATGATCCTACGCCATTGAGAAAATTTGCCAAGGCCGTTACAAACAAGGTATGTGAATGATCATTTGCCTCGGAAACTCTAAGAGTTCTGTTTAACCATCTGTGCAGTGGCTTCTTTATCTCATGTGTGAGGATGAGCCGGAGGTTGTGATACTTGCAACACAGATTTTGGCCCGCTTAGTCGTGGTCATTGGCAGTGGATACAGCAAGAAGTTCGCGGAGAAGAGTGGTGGATACATCATTCTTGAACATCGTCTGAAGAGATGGTGGGATGTTCCCGCATTATGGCCTATTTGCCTTTCTATCTTTTTCGGTGTCGATCATGCTTTGCTGAATCTCGACAAACCCCTCGACCCGTCCGAGCTGCTCAGGGCTTTTCTGATTGAAGGCGATGTAAAGGTCGTCTTCCCAGATATGCTGCCCGTCATTGTGAATATGTTGAAAAGCGGGGTGCGTAATTTGACCATGGCAAATGATGCCCAAGAAGACACTCAAGGCTCTTTGGAAGAGCGTGCCACCAAATGCGACAAACCAAGAATGAACTCTCTCAAGCTTCCTGGTATGCTCTCATCAGCACACGACTATTTATGGCCCGGTCTTTCTCTGACTGACACCCTTTTCTACCGTTAGATTCTACTCCCTCAGACCAAAACATCCATGGCGTTGCTCTTATCAATTCGGTTGTTCGATTTTTAGAAGAAGCACGCACTAGATCACCAAGCTTCAGGGATTTCACTGCACAATCTACTTACGTGCAGGAACTACTCTCTGTGGTCTATCCTGTTGTTGTTGGTGCTGATACCGTCAGCCCAAACACAGAACTGAATTTCCGACACAGCGGACTCAGCTTCGATGACAGCAACCTAGTACTACGACCGCGCTCGAGTACTAATAATGCGTCGACAGCTTTGCAGACGTCCATGGTTGACTCCTTGGGCAGTGCTGAGGAAAGCACTGGTTCTTTGAAACGTGGTTCATCCTTTATTCTGGTCTCCCCTGATAAATGCAAGCACCAGGCCTCTTCTGCACGGATACGGCGGTTTATGAACCCATCTTTTATTGGGAACAAAGCTGCCATTGGTCATCCCGTCGTCAAGGCAGTCTTCAGGCTTGTTCTGGCCGTTTTCGAGGATCAGCTTTTAGAGCGCAAAGACTTTTCGGGCCTTGGTCTCTACCTGAAGACCCCGCCCGGCTTTCTGGAACACCAGGCATATTTCAATTCTTGGGTTCTTGGCTGTGTGCTTTCGGCATTGCAAGATCTTCCTCTGGTCCGACCAGGTCTGCTTCATGAAACCCGGACACTTACGAACCTCGGCCGCTTCGCAACACATTTGACGGAGGCAGTATACGAAGGCTGGTTTATTAATGGGGCATCGTCCACACTTGAATTCATTGGTACAATTTTGGAGTATCTCCAGCGCCCGGACATATCTCAGTTGAAGAGCATTCGTTTATGTAGCCAGGCTACCGGAACGATTCGCTCGACTCTGTACAAAGTTATCTTAATTCAGTTGTCAGAGGCAGACGACACTGAAACCGTGACATTGCTAAACCGATTGAACTACTGGCAGGTGGTCCTTTTCTCGGCGGCTGAAACCCAATCAAAACATTTACACCTGCTATGCTACCTGCTGTACACCAAACTAATCAGCACAAATGGCGATGTCCGCTTGGCTGCTACCCGCTTATGGAGAATCATATTGGTACAGGCGCCGGGTGGAATAACAACACTTCTCAGCCATGGCTCTGTCTCTCTCCAGCGGCGGTTGGCTGACGGATTTGATGCTCTTTCCGGAATGGACGACGAAGCTTTCCTGCTATGGATCGATGAACAGCGCGACGATCTGGATGCCTTGTTCTTCGGTGTATTTTCTCGATCGTGGGACACCTTCGTCTACGAGGAGAATACAAGCATCGAGGAGTCCGTCAAGTCCCGAGTATCGAAACGTAAAGACAAACTCAGACAATGGGCTCAGATCGAGAAATTCGATGAAGACATGACACGAAAACACGAGGCTACCTTGCCACATTGGATCTCGAATATCGCAGCATCCGAATTTTTGAAGTCTCAAAGATTCTTGCAAGATCTTCAGGATAGTTCTACTTTTATGTGGTCAGCTTTTTCCGACTTGCTGCTTGACCTGCGACGACCAGGTGGTCTTCTCGCAGAAGAAAAGAGAGGAGATGGTGGCTAGACCAGACAGAAGGTCGCAGCCGTATGCGACTACGTCTGGTTCCAGATGAGTCAGGTGAGCGACAGGACTATCAGCCCAAGCGTAAAGCCTCCGAGCCTCCAGCAATCAAAATCGACACCCGCATACGTGCACTCTCAGAGGGTGAGACTCTAACGGCGCCTCATGCTCTCCCAGGGGAACCTGAGAATGAGAGAAGCGGGTCACCGAACGGTGATGCCGACAACCGCAGCCTTATGGAGGATAACTTCGAGATGATTGACGATCCTAAAATTGAGCTCGAAGACTATGAAGATAGAAACCGGAAGGTGATGCGATCTCTCCAACGTGGTGACCAGGTACAAAGCGTGTGTAATCTGTCTCGAATCATTGGTCTAGAAGCTGTGGAAGGTATCTCGATCCTCGGCAAGGACTGCATCTATATCCTCGACAATTTCTTCCAGAGAGCAGATGGTGAGATTGTGAACGTCTGGCAAGCCCCCAATGAGGAACGAGATCCGTATGTGCGCATGATTTCTGGTCGCGAATCAAATGACATCCGCTCGCAGGAGCATCAGACAAGGAGCTGGAAATGGTCTGATTTGGTCAGCGTTTCCAAGCGTCGCTTCCTCTTCCGTGATGTTGCTCTTGAGATATTCTTTACCGATGGCACCAGCTATCTGCTGACATTGCTGTCGGCACGAGCTCGAGACGATCTGTGCAACCAGCTGGCTACCAAGGCACCACAGGTCACGGGAAGCGCCGGACACTCACGACCAGAAGACATCTGGCGATTTGAAACGCTTCGCAGTCAAGATGATGCACCACAGTCCCTCGGGTCTAAATTTGCTAGTGTCTTCGGTCACCTTCCGGCAAATCCAGCAACCCGAAAATGGGTCAAGGGTGAAATTTCCAACTTCCATTATCTGATGTTGATCAACACCTTTGCTGGGCGTACGTTCAACGACTTGACTCAATACCCCGTTTTCCCATGGGTTTTGGCAGACTATACAAGCGAGGAACTTGACCTTACCAACCCGGCCACATTCCGAGACCTATCAAAGCCTATGGGCTGCCAAACGCTAGACCGAGAAATGGGCTTCCGTGAGCGATACAATGCTTTTGCTGAGATGGGTGACGATGATTCTCCCCCTTTCCATTATGGAACACATTACTCTTCCGCCATGATTGTCAGCTCCTACCTCATTCGGCTGCAACCATTCGTCAAGTCATATCTTTTACTCCAGGGGGGGCTCCTTTGATCATGCCGATCGCCTCTTCTATTCAATCCGCAAGGCATGGGAATCAGCATCGCGAGGAAACATGACCGATGTTCGTGAACTTACCCCTGAGTTCTTCTATCTTCCGGAATTCCTGGTGAACTCGAATCATTATGACTTTGGTCTTCTTCAAAACATGACCACTGCCATCGACTCGGTTGAGTTGCCACCTTGGGCAAAAGGCGATCCCAAGATCTTCATTGCAAAGCACCGGGAGGCACTTGAGAGTCCCTATGTGTCCGAGAACCTCCATCGCTGGATTGATCTTGTTTTTGGTAGTAAGCAAAAGGGCGAGGCAGCTGTCGAGTCTGTCAATGTCTTCCACCACCTCTCATACAAAGGTGCCAAAGACTTGGATGCCATTGATGACCCAATGGAACGGTTAGCCACCATCGGCATTATTCACAACTTTGGGCAAACTCCTCACCAAATCTTCCAACGACCTCATGCGCAGAGGGAAGACCAACGGCACCGCATACCCCGGTTGGATACTCTTGCTGAATCCCTGACACAAATGCCTTTGTCTCTTCTCGACATTGAAGAACGAGTGGTCACTCTATCAATGAAACAAGACCGTCTACTGTGTACCGCGGCCCTGAGGCTCAACGTGCCGCCAGCCTACGATTACTACATGGAATGGGGATTCTTCGATGGCAGTGTTCGATTCTACGCCGCCGATACTCGCAAGCTGCTGGGCCACTTTGAGCACCTTCATGTTGGCCAATTGTCTCATGCCAGCTTTGCGGATTCACGCACGCTGGTCACCTGCGGTACGGACTGTACTATCTCGTTATGGACGGTCACTGCAACCTCAAAGTCTGTTGATTTGCAGCCCATTGGGTCGCTCTTTGGCCACCGAGCCCCAGTGGCTACCCTCGCCGTTTCGCGCTCCTTCAGTACTTTGTTGTCTGCCTCCAATGACGGACAGGTTATGCTATGGGATCTCAATCGACGATCTTTCGTGCGACTCCTTCCCGGCGACGGTGCGGTCGATGTATGTTTCCCTTTTTCCTACTATCTGCTATCCTTTGCTGACAAATCAGTGTGCTCGAATCAACGATGTGTCCGGAGACATTATGGTTTGTCGCGGTAATCGCTTGACATTATATACCCTCAATGGCGTATTGTTGGTTGACCAACCAATCTGCGAGTCGGGCGACGATCGCGTTTTGTCCTGCGTCTTCTACGAGGGTGTGCAGAATGAATGGCTGGAGCGTGAATTGGTATTGACAGGTCATACTCGTGGTGTGGTCAATATCTGGAGCAAGACTATTCGCGGTGACCGCTTTGAGCTGGAGTTGATCCGACAGTTGCATCATACCGACAACAGTCGCGACAATGGTGCCAATATCAGTGCCGGTATCAGTTGTATTTTGGCTCTTCCCCACGTGGTCTATACGGGGGATGAGGCCGGCCGAGTGGTGAGTTTTACACCGATTCGTGTTCCATTGACGAAACTAACATGATGGTAGTATGAATGGAACTGCATCCAGCGCCGCTAATTTCCTTGGTGTTATTCAAACACCCTCCATTTGTCCTTGATATCATGTTCATAGCCAAAAAGCATATTCGCTAGACAATTTCTAGCACTCAATCCGTTCCTTTTTCGATTGTACTATGCGCCTCTTACCTGTTGCCGTTCTGGCAGTAGAATCCAATGAATTCCCCTCAAAAGATACTTCTGGGGGTGGACTACCAGCTACAGTTGTGTGCAACGCATAACCCTGGGTCGACCATGAAAATCCTCGGGTCTTGTGTCAACGAACAAATAAGTATGACTAGTGGCCACCCGGCGGTCGAGCCCATGGACTAAAGCACGATGCCGCGCGAGGACATTGGCAATCGCACTAACTGAAGGATGTTGGTGGAATGATACGGAAGACATTGTAGAGAAAGCCCTCGCTCCAACAAGACATTCTGTAGCCCCAGGGGAAATGATATATACAGACGAATATGTACGTATGTACCGGGGTTTGTAAAAGCATGTTACTGTAGACTATGTACATGTATACATACGCAGTGGCGTTTGCGATTTCCTTTTCAGGCAACATCCATTTGGAAATTATTGCAGTCCCGAGCCAAGGTCTTCGGAAACCATATTTCTCCATAACGACAAAGTAGCCGTTGATATTTAGCCGGGCCCCCGGTGAACATTGCGAAGACCGCTGCAGTAGTGGGCCGTTGTCCGGTCTACCATCCTCCGGTTGAGGGGGGAAGACGGAGCACTCTGCGCCGGATTTGGGATTGTAGCACAACTGCTCAAGCAGCTCAAGCAGAGTAGATATGATGTTATATTGAAATTGATGTATAATAGAAAGACCACAAAGATTGAAACAGAAGAATAAAGAACCTAAGACGCAATGGCAAAAACCAAAAACAAGAAGAGAAGTTGTACCTGCGAAGGGCACAGCTTTCTGATTTCATCGTGCAGCGTCATTTGCCCCACCATCCCACCTGGGAAACGGGACACAGGCCAGATACTTCCATTTATTATGGTAATTCCCTACTAAATGTAAGTACCTGCCAATTGCTCTGGTTCGGGTCCATGACACCACCCCTCCTTCTTAAACACCTCGTCCGCCACCCTTCTTCTCTCTTCTTCATCCTTTCTCCATCTCACTTTCAATACATAAAAAATGTCTTCTTCTCTCGAACAGCTTAAGGCTTCCGGCACCACCGTCGTTTGCGACTCTGGTAAGCTATCAACCTCATCTGCTACTCATTGAAAAAAACACGCTAACACTAAACTTCTAGGTGACTTTGCCAGTATGTATTCCAGATTGACATGACATCGGTCTCAGCATTGGATGGCCAGCTAACATAAACCACAGCTATTGGCAAGTACAAGCCCCAGGATGCCACCACCAACCCCTCTTTGATCCTCGCTGCTTCCAAGAAGCCCGAGTATGCCGCTCTCATCGACACTGCCGTTGCCTACGGCAAGCAGAACGGAAAGACCCTCGATGAGCAGGTTGAGGCCACCCTTGACCGTCTCCTCGTTGAGTTCGGAAAGGAGATTCTTAAGATCATTCCCGGCAAGGTCTCCACCGAGGTTGACGCCAAGCTGTCCTTCGATACTCAGGGTTCCGTCAACAAGGCTCTTGAGATCATCAAGGTACGTTTACAAGTGCACCCGCACTGACTTGCGAGAATCCCAAGCTGACCCTTCTACCTAGCTTTACGCCGACAACGGTATCTCCAAGGACCGTGTCCTGATCAAGATTGCCTCCACCTACGAGGGCATCAAGGCCGCTCACATCCTCCAGACCCAGCACGGCATCAACTGCAACCTGACCCTTATGTTCTCTCTGGTTCAGGCCATTGCCGCCGCCGAGGCCGGTGCCTACCTCATCTCTCCCTTCGTTGGTCGCATTCTTGACTGGTACAAGGCTGCCCACAAGCGCGACTACACCCCTCAGGAGGACCCCGGTGTCAAGTCCGTCCAGGACATCTACAACTACTACAAGAAGTTCGGCTACAACACCATTGTCATGGGTGCCTCTTTCCGTAACGTCGGCGAGATCACTGAGCTGGCTGGTTGTGACTACCTGACCATCTCCCCCAACCTCCTGGAGGACCTCTTCAACTCCACCGATGCCGTGCCCCAGAAGCTCAACCCCGCTGGTGCTGCCAGCCTCGAGATCAAGAAGCGCGAGTACCTCAACAACGAGGCTGACTTCCGCTTCGACTTCAATGAGGAGGCCATGGGTGTTGAGAAGCTCCGTGAGGGTATCTCCAAGTTCGCTGCTGATGCCGTTACCCTCAAGCAGCTTCTTGCCCAGAAGATCCAGGCTTAGATTGAGTTCTGATCTTTCTTTTAATTGTTTAATTGTAAATTGGCGATCTCCCAAAAACTGGAATCGGTAGATACGAATTGATGAATTTGTCCCAAGTGCTATTAATTTCCCAGCCTGTAGAAAATTAATATGTACATAGTATGTAGACATGAGGGGTAAACCGCGGAATCCGGCCGGGTTGGCTTATTCACAACCCCCGCACTAGTGTTTTCCAGCTATGGTGTCATTTCATGCCGGGACATTGCAATTGATACACTGCAAGGTTATATATTACCCGAGCTGGTGTCAATTGCTGATAGGACGGTTTAGAGCTTTGGATGTCAGACAGCTGTGCAACGGTAATACAAACTACATAATACTGCTCCACAGAGTAGAGACGATCCAGCACAAGAAGTACATACATATAGTGGTTGGAGCATATAGCAGCAGTGATGTGGCAATTGTTTACGAGGAAGAGGTATGCAATTGAAAATTGAAGTGTTCACGGGTTCACGATCTGATTAATAATTATGTCATTCCCCCTCTCTCTGCCCACTTGGGAAGGTGGGGGATGTTTTGTTATGGTATTAAGTACCAAGTACTGCTGAGCACAGCCATTTTAATACTGCAATACATGTACCAGGTACCTCTATGATACAAGTGTAGAGTCACGTCAACATCATCCGCCTTATTATCTTCATCCGCCCACTTCCACTCCTCTTCCTTCAAAATACCCATCTTCTTCAATCTTCAATCTAAAACATTTTAAGATAATCAAAATGGTTAAGGCTGGTAAGTAATTTCCATTATTGGTTCTATCTGGGCCATACATAAGGCCCTCAGCCTCCAAGTTCCCCACGATCTGTGGCAAGGGGACCTTGGGTGTGAGCAGATTTGAGCACCTTGTGATCCAGATCCCAAATCCGAGCCTATCGGCTTGCATCCTCCCCCCCTAGCTCTCCACTGCTGTCTGGAAATCTGGCAATGCCCCTGGGACAAAGCAGGGGATCATCGCTGCTCATTTGCTGAAGCCTGGCATTCTTCCTGGGCCAGTGCGGCACCAGCCGTTGCTGAGGCTGAGACCAGACTCCAGAGGCCCTGGAGATCCAAAGGCCGGCATGCCGGGCAGCCTTCGATAAGCTTTCTAGAACAATTTGTTGACCCCTTTCCTTTCCTTGCAGTTGCTGTCCTCCGTGGTGACGCTAAGGTCGCCGGCACCGTTACCTTCGAGCAGGCTAACGAGAGTGCCCCCCACCACCATCTCCTGGAACATTACCGGCCACGACGCCAACGCTGAGCGTGCTTTCCACGTTCACCAGTTCGGTGACAACACCAACGGCTGCACCTCCGCTGGTCCCCACTGTATGTGATTCAGAATGAGCCGAAGATGAAGATGAAGGCTCGAGTTCTGATCGCTTTTAGTCAACCCCTTCGGCAAGACCCACGGTGCTCCCACTGACTCCGAGCGTCACGTTGGTGACCTTGGCAACTTCAAGACCGATGCCGAGGGTAACTCCAACGGCTCCACGCAGGATCAGCTTATCAAGCTGATTGGTGCCGAGTCCGTTCTGGGCGTGAGTTTATCACTGGTACTCGAATTACCGAAACAGATTGCTAACCTATCTGCTTAGCGCACTCTGGTCGTCCACGCCGGTACTGATGACCTTGGCAAGGGTGGTAACGAGGAGTCCAAGAAGACCGGTAACGCTGGTCCCCGCCCTGCTTGCGGTAAGTTCATTAAGGCGTGATGTGATGTAAATGGAGATGAATGCTAATGAAATGTTATAGGTGTCATCGGTATTGCCGCATAAATGTGCAGCTCTATCCCTTTTTTGAAACCTGGATTTTGATATCTCTGCCGTAATTGGTGGAGGAAAAGTACAGGATACTCCGTCTAGGATACATGAATGAATGCCAATTTGACATGAGTATATTTGGAGATCTGTCATCGATTGTATAGCTTCGATGCTTCGTAGACTTCCCGTACAACTAGAAGCTCGGATCGCCTGACCGCTTTCCCCCACAAGTCTAAACACCGGCCACGTTTCCCCTCAGGACATTCCCCTTGCTCTCAACTTCTTTTTCTCCTCCTTGTGTTTATTTTATTCTGGTTCTGTCTTCAATCTCATTGCAATTGTGCATGTGGTAGTGGAGACTGTTTCATTCAGTATGCCTTTCGAAGCCCGTGTCAAGTCCGTCCTGTCCGGTGACACGGTGGTGCTGTCGAATGTCACCAACCCTTCACAAGAACGTGTCCTGAGTTTGGCTTATGTCTCTGCTCCGAGATTAAGGAGAGAGGGTGACGAGGTGGGTGCATTGTTGAGATTGATTGCCCGTTGATTGCACCATTGGAAGACCAGATTGTTCCTTTCTGTCATGTCCAATTGGTCTTTCTGGTCACTTGAGCTACGGACAGCAGTCGGTAAAACAAGGATGACTGAAGGAAAAGAGAGAAAAAGAGACAAGGCTAATTTAAAGAACCTAATTCTAGGCATACGCCTTCCAATCCCGCGAATTCCTCCGTGAGCTCCTTGTCGGCAAAGTCGTCCAGTTCCACGTTATATACACCATCCCCACTGGTGCCAAGCGTGACTATGGCACCATCAAGCTGCCCGGTTTTGACGCCTCATTGCCCGATATCAGTGTGCAGGAGGGCTGGACAAGAGTCCGTGAAGAAGCAGGCAAGCGCGGAGATGAATCTGAGGAGACTGTTGGACTCCTGGAACGCCTACGGGCATTGGAAGCCCTTGCCCAGGATGAAGGAAAGGGAACATGGGCCGGCGGCAATGATGGCCAGATCGATACTACCTACGAGTTGACTGGCGCTCGGGATCTGGTCAAGCGTAACTTGGGCCACCAGTTGGAGGGTATTATCGAGAAGGTCCTGAACGGTGACCGTGTTGTGCTGCGTTTGCTTCTCCAGCCACAGGAGCACATTCAGACTGTCATTGCCATTGCTGGTATCCGGGCACCATCTGCTAAGCGCACGACTGCTGAGGGCAAAGAGACCGCGGCCGAGCCATTTGGTGATGAGGCGCAACAGTTTGTTGAGGAAAGATTGTTGCAGCGTAAGGTCAAGGTTTCTCTGCTTGGTGTTACGCCGCAGGGACAGATTGTTGCCACTCTGCTTCACCCCAACGGAAATATCTCTCGATTCCTTCTTGAGGCTGGTCTCGCCCGTTGCCAGGATCATCACTCGACGCTTCTGGGTCCGGACATGGCTCTCCTCCGCCAGGCGGAACTTACAGCGAAGGCTGACCGCAAGGGATTGTGGGTTAGCCACACGGGACCCACAACTGCTGGTGCCGCGGCTGTGGACTACGTTGTCACTCGTGTTTTGAATGCGGATACCCTCTTCATCCGCAACAAGGCTGGACAGGAGAAGAAGATCAGTCTCGCTAGTATCCGTCAGCCAAAGCCTTCCGACCCCAAACAGGCTCCCTTTGCTGCTGAGGCGAAGGAGTACCTCCGCAAGCGGGTTATCGCCAAGCATGTCATGGTCACTGTGAACGGCAAGAAGCCTGCAAGTGAGGGCTACGAGGAGCGCGAAGTCGCTACTGTTGTGCAGGGCAACACCAACGTTGCTGTGGCTCTTGTGGAGGCTGGTTACTCCTCTGTCATTCGTCACCGTATGGATGACGCTGACCGCTCTCCCGACTACGATGCGCTGCTCGCTGCTGAGGCTGATGCCCAGAAGGAGGGCCGTGGAATGTGGACTTCCAAGGCTCCCAAGGCGAAGCAGGTCGTAGACTACTCAGAGAGCGTACAAAAGGCCAAGCTGGAGCTTGGTATCTTGCAACGTCAAAAGCGTGTTCCGGCTGTTGTCGACTTTGTCAAGTCTGGCTCTCGCTTCACTGTCCTACTGCCCCGCGATAACGCCAAATTGACTCTCGTTCTTTCCGGTATCCGCGCCCCTCGCTCTTCCCGCGGACCCAGCGACGCCGGCGAGCCTTTCGGCCAGGAGGCCCACGACCTTGCCAACCGCCGTTGCATGCAGCGCGACGTTGAGATTGACGTTGAGACCATTGACAAGGTTGGCGGGTTCATCGGCAGCCTTTACATCAACAAGGAGAACTTCACGACCGTTCTGCTGGAGGAGGGTCTCGCCACCGTCCATGCATACTCGGCTGAGCAGTCTGGTCACGCCAACGAGTATTTCGCTGCTGAACAACGGGCCAAGGACGCCCGCAAGGGACTCTGGCATGACTGGGACCCCGCCAAGGAGGCTGCTGAGGCTGAGGAAGCCGAGGCTGTCAATGGCGCCGGAACTGGCACTGAGAGCGATGCCGCACCCGTACAGCGTCGCAAGGACTACCGCGACGTTATGGTTACCTACATTGACCCCGCCTCTGCAAAGCTCAAGCTGCAACAGATCGGCACCGGTACCAACGCGCTCACCGAGCTGATGAGCGCTTTCCGCAAGTTCCACATTAACAAGGCCAACGACACCCCGCTGCCCGGCCCTCCCAAGGCCGGCGACTGGGTTGCCGCCCAATTCACCGAAGATGGTGACTGGTACCGCGCCAAGGTGCGCCGCAACGACCGCGAGAAGGAGCAGGCTGAGGTGGTCTACGTCGACTTCGGTAACTCCGAGACTCTGCCATGGGCATCACTCCGCCCTCTCACCCAACCCCAATTCTCCGGTCAGACCCTCCGTCCCCAGGCCGTTGATGCAGTCCTCTCTCTCCTGCAGTTCCCCACCTCCGAAGATTACCTCGAGGACGCCGTCGGCTTCGTTGGCGACCAGACCTTCGACCGCCAACTCGTCGCAAACGTTGACCACGTCGACCAGGACGGCACCCTGCACGTCACTCTACTCGACCCCTCTGCTTCCAAGAGCTTGGATAACAGCATTAACGCTGACATCATTCACGAGGGTCTGGCCATGGTACCCCGCAAGCTGAAGGCATGGGAGCGCGCCTCCGTCGATACCCTCTCCAACCTGCGCGCGCTCGAGGACGAGGCTAAGGCTGAGCGCCGCGGTATGTGGGAGTATGGTGATCTGACCGAGGACTAACTTGTATCTATTTGAATTTTGCGCTGTATGAGGGCGATCTGTACAGATATGGTTGGGATTGGCCCTATGATTAGCATTTGGCTGTGCCGTGTACACTGAGATATGGTGCTTGGTTTAATTTAGGCCGGAATTTTATTGCATTTCTGTTTCATGCTATCTTCCAAAACACTAGCAGGTCTAGTTTCAGGGTCTAGTTTCAGGGCTGGCTACCTTGTTTAACGTTGGAATCCTGCCGATTAGCTTGGTGAGTCGATCTGCGATGTACTTCGCAGATGAAAGATGTTTTGACCCCAGGACATTCAACATTCTCAAAGAGAGCTAAACCCCACCCAAACTGTGAGATAGAGAGGAATTCGCGATGTATCACAAAATATAGTCAACCCCAGGAAGCACCCGACCTCGGGACAAAACACCGTCAGTTTTATTTCACCGCCTCTTTCCCTCCGCCACCTCCGAGATCTGCTTTAGAAGGTCGATCTCTCCTTCAAAATAGTAAAACATAAGAGATAGAAGCTCACCATGTTTTGGGGCAACAAGACTCCGCAGGACTCCGAACAGGACCTGGCGCGCACCGATTCAGCCTCAAAGAACGATCCCGCCGCTTCCGCCTCACAAGCTTCGGGCACCGCATGGCTCGCCGGACACTTGCACCACCTTACTCCGGAGCAGGAGGAGAAGCTGCAGGAGTTCAAGAAATTGTGCGCCGAGCGGGAATACTACACTCCTGCTGTGGAACAAGCAGATGGCGTCGAGGCGAAGCCCGCCAGCCACGATGATGCGACTTTATTGTATGTGGCGCGTCCCCGCTAGACCCCAACGCAGCTAGAAATGGACGCATTGAATAAGATGATCGAGTGCTGACTCTGATTTCTTTGTGCAGGCGATTCCTCCGAGCTCGCAGATTTGACGTCGAGGGCGCGTGGGCTCAGTTCAAGGACACCGAAGACTGGCGCAAAGACAATGCCATCGAGAAGCTATATGAGAATATCAGCGTCGACTCATACGAGGCCGCTCGACGGATGGTTCGTCCTATAATATATTGCGAACGAAAACGGATCTCCCTGCTGACGTCTACCGTCTCTACAGTATCCCCAATGGACAGGCCGTCGCGATCGCCGCGGAATTCCTATCTACGTCTTCCAGATCCGCCACTTGGATAACAAGGCTGTCGCCGCTTACAACTCCACCATGACTACCGGTACACCCGAAACCCACAAATCATCCACAGTCCCTGCACGCTTGTTGAACCTGTTCGCTTTGTATGAGAGCCTCCTCCGGTTCGTGATGCCGCTCGCTTCCGCGCTGCCACGTCCGAACCCGGAGACGCCTATTGTCACATCGACCAATATCGTGGATGTCAGCGGTGTTGGCCTGAAGCAGTTCTGGAACCTGAAGAGTCATATGCAGGATGCCAGTGTTTTGGCCACGGCGCATTACCCCGAGACGTTGGATCGAATCTTTGTATGTTGTTCCCCTATCTAATCCGTCCGGATATATTTGCCGTTGAAGATGAGATCGTGGAACTAACTCACTGTTAGATTATCGGAGCGCCCTCATTCTTCCCCACCGTCTGGGGCTGGATCAAGCGCTGGTTCGACCCAGGCACCACCTCGAAGATCTTCATTCTCTCCGCCGCAGAGGTCGAACCCACTCTCACCTCCTTCATGGAACCATCCAGCATTCCCAAGCAATACGGCGGCGAGCTGGACTGGGCTTGGGGCGATATGCCCAACCTGGACGAGCCCAGCCGCGAACTGCTCCGCGGAATCGAGCAGCCACTCGCCGAAGGACGAACACGAAAGGACATCCTCAAGGGCCCTATTTTGTTCAACGGCGATCACCTTCAGGTGCTGGGCACTGTGGATGGAACGAATCGGAGGGAAATCGTTCCCGTCCCGAAGACACAGGCTTCGGTTGAGTCAGAGGCTAACACCCCTGGCTCTGCTGAAAGAGCGGCGTCCAGCAGCGAAGAGACTAAAGTAGACGACGATGAGAAGATGATTGACAACGTGGCTGTCAAGGTTAACCAGTTATGTGTGGATGGGAGTCATGTTGCCGTATAGAGCACATAGAAAGGCAGCAGGGATAATCGTGTTGGGGTTTGTGTTTGGACATACCATTACTGATGTGACATAGCACAAGATAGCGCAGATCTCAATACCGAGGCATATTTTTCTTCTATCCGTTTTTTGTCCTTGGGTATCTGTCTGCCTGGTTTATACTTTGAAGCGGGAAATTTCATGTGCTTTCACACGCATCTATAGGGGTACGTGGTTTCTGATGTCATCTTCCCAACATTTCTTATACACTTTCTCGTTTGTGAGTGTGCTCTGACTTGTTCATATGAATTGACTCATCCTCAAACTGTTCATGGGCCTGGAGACACGATTGTTTGATCATCTATACGTATCAGACCATTAAATTGATATATAATCAATAAGGATAGTCGGCCGGCGACCTCAGGGTTTCATATATTAGATTATTCGTATGATTTATTGGCTTCCAAGGATAAGATGGGTATTAGAGACATTATATTGGAACGCTACCCTGTCTTTCTATGTCCTCCTCCGTTCTCGGTATTATAACTACAACTATAGAAATGATTAGCCATAAGTGCGGAACACCGTGAAAGCTCAACCTCATAGAACGTCTTTCCTATATAATCTATAAGATGTATCAGGATAGTGGATGTAAATTCCCCAGACGATCAGATATATAACCCTGCACCTTTGATTGTGTCTATGTCTATACCGTAGCCGAGCCCCTGAGAAGATCTACAAGAAAAATTAAGAATAGATCATCCCCGAGCATCAGATAATGAATCATACGGAAAATCTTGAAACACCCAGAAACCTCGTTCGGATGTTCATTGACCAATTAGGAATAAGGGCTTCGATTGGCCACATGACTCGGAAAGTCCATGCAGATGCAGATGCAGGGCAACGTCTGCACATCATATTTATATGGCCAACGTATTTTTATACGGCCAAATACGTTGGCCATCTAGAATCCTGTCCTGATTAACTAAAAGAAACAGATTTTTCTTATGAATGCCCCTGTACCATGATATCACCCCCCGAATGAGCCCGAACACCTACATGAGGCAACCATGTTGAGCCCAAGCGCTAGTCAACGCGCTAAAACAGCCCTGTTGTTGGGAAAGGGTCCAAGATGAGATATGATCGACGTCATGTTCCAATCCAGTCAAACGCCCGAGGCTCATTTTTGCGGGGAGCATGAAAGAAGTGGGCTTCTTCACATGTGCCGAATGTCGCTAACGGCCGAACGACCGGGGAGGGATCGACATTAAGCCCAAGCACTTAAAACCCACTAACCCACCCTCAGGTACGGGGGTGGGTTAAAGTGTGCATTTCGACACTATTGTACTGTTTACGAACCAGCCATGAGTGGTAATCCAAAGGACTCCATGAAGTCCACCTGGCGGCAGCAAGCCCGCTCAGAATGGACTCTCTTCCACTGGTTCTACGAACTACTAGGAATCCACCCAGAACACCTCGACAAGAACATCCCCGTTCATCTAAAGGAAGACGCCGTGCCCTATGTACCAGACTGGTCCATGCACCGGTGGGTGCTCACGCACGCCGCCATCCCCCTCCTACTACACCACGCCTACGTCGAGTTCACCGGCCACAACCTCAGCGCCTGGGCCGCCTTCTTCCTATACGGACTGGCCTTCAAAGCCATCGCCATCCACGAACTCCACGTCCTCCGACGACTGGGCCACCAGCACGGTTTCTTAGACGGCGATAAGCACGCCCGCGATGGCGTTCCAGACGTCGGCGTCGCAAAGGTCGTCCGCTCGCTCATATCGACATCGACCTTCCGTCCAATGTTCACCGTCTTCTTCGCCTACCACGCCACGCACGCCCCCTCAACTATGAACTTCGCCTGGCTGCCCCTCGAAATAGGGCTGTACGGGATCATCCTCGACTTCTGGTTCTACTGGTACCACCGGGTCATGCACGATGTCGGCGCGTTGTGGAAATACCACCGCACCCACCACCTCACTAAGCACCCCAACCCGCTGTTGACGCTGTATGCGGACACCGAGCAGGAGTTCTTCGATATCCTTGGTATCCCGCTTATGACTTATTTCAGTATGCGGTTTATGGGGATGCCAATGGGGTTCTATGAGTGGTGGGTTTGTCATCAGTATGTTGTTTTTGCGGAGTTGGCGGGTCATAGTGGGTTGCGGGTTCATGCTACGCCGCCGTCGACGTTGAGCTTTGCTTTGCGTTGGTTTGATGCGGAGCTTGTTATTGAGGATCATGATTTGCATCATCGTAAGGGTTGGAGGAAGAGTTATAACTATGGGAAGCAGACGAGGCTTTGGGATCGGATTTTTGGCACTTGCACTGATCGTATTGAGTCTGTTGAGCACAATATTGATTATGCTAATTCGTCGCCTATGCCGCTGTATTGAGTGACATGATCTCGTGGGTTTGGCTTGCTGATGATTTGGTCTCTTTTTGGCGTCGAAAATAGTACATATAAAGTCTGTACAGGTTGCGGAGGATTGTTGATATTGGATCTTGTTTTGTTTTGCTATATTCTTTGCTATAGATCCTTTAGATATTATGTCTATGAATGAAATGTCCCCCATGACCAATGACTTTCTCTACATTAGAGACAGTCTTCCTTGAGCAGGTTTGCTTAAGATGCTACGTGTTGAAATTTTGACAAGCAACGTATGTATTACAGTCTAAAGCACAAAATGATATCTGGTATATGAGCGTAGAGGCCTAAGCCCTCCACAGTGCGTTAACTTGCTTTCTCCGAGTCTGTACGGAAGATAGTTAGCAAATGGACCTGGAGATATTTAGACGGAAAACTTACCATCGGAGCCAAAACAGTGACACCAGCTCCGAGTGCCACCACAGTGAGAACAAGTTGCAGCTTGGAGAAGCTCTTGCCAAGGATATCAAATGCCTGGCTGGGCGTGGCTCGTGTACCGTAAATATCGCTTCCATAAGCGAATATAAGACTGGTACTTTCCAAAAGGGTAGGACGGGAGAGCACGGCCTTGATGCCGGCGACATCACGCGTGTGAGAGAGGTACCACTTGCCATCAAAGTCGAGGAAGGGCGCGTAGCGGAACAGGCCTTCTTCGGCCTCAGCCGTAGTGGGGTCACGGTCGACAGGGCGGCGGGGGTCAAGGACAGGGCGAGGGATGCCGACGAGGGAGTTGGAGGAGGGGAGAGCGCAGAGAAGCTGGCGGGTGGTGATGCCCTGGCGCGTTTGAGTGACGGCCATGTGGGAGATCGATTCTGGGATCATGAAAGCCTGGGAGATGACATGGGGCAACGGGAGGGCGGCCGTGCTGGAGTAGTTGGTGGCGGAGTCAAGGACGCCACGGTCGTTGGGGAAGGGGGATTCGTAGAGTTCCGAGATGACCAGCTGGTAGCCCTTGGCGGAGGACTCACTGCCGTCAACGTCGCCCCAGAATGAGTAGGCGAACCAGTTCTCGGACATCACGGATGCGATGGGCTGCGTGGAGTCCACACCCGCACGGGTGGTTGCATGAAGGACCTTGCCTGAGACTCCGTCCAACAAGTAGAAACTGGCGGTGTGGGTCTGCTCGTTCACTGCCGTCACCAGTGCGAGGTTGGGGTTGAGGTACTTGTAAAGGACCGAGCGGTTTCCAAGGACCTTGCCAATAGATGCAACAGGATCATGCGCAGGGCGAGCCGTCGCGTCGACAACCTTCTCTCCGGAGGGAGGAACAAACTCCCACACGGGAGTCTTGTTATCCTTGGCAAACCAGCCGAGGACTCGGCCATCCATGCTGGTGGTTACTAAGAACCCATCTTCGTTGGCAAATGCAGTGACTGGAGTACCATCTTCACGGACACCGACGGTGGCCAGCGAACTTCCATCCTGCGCCTCGAAGACAGCAATTGAGTGGAGTTTGCTGTTAGATGGTTCGATGCGTGAAACGATCTCCCCGGTGGACACATCCACAGTCACAGAGCTTCCATCGTCGGAGTAGATGGTCGCGACTCCTGGCGAAGCCAAAATAGCCTTCACATTCCACTGCGATGTTTCCACCGCCTGGACGCCCCACGAAACGGCTCCGTGGTTACCAGTGTCTAAGGCATACACACGGCCGTTCTTGGTGGCGACAATAACTGACCTGGCAACTCCAAAGCTGTCCAGGTTGGAGACTTCGTCAGTCAAGATACTGCTCAGAATGCGCTTAGGAAGATCCTTCAGCCAGTCGGGTAGATGTTCCAAGTCCCGAACATGGCGCTTCACCCGGTGTAGGTACGCGCCGTATAGAGTCTCATGGCCCTCGACTTCCAGCTCATGAGCTAGATCCTCTTGGGCATCAGTTTCCGCCCAGGTGGCAGCGACAGCATCAATGAGACCCTCATGCCGAGTCCACTCGATCTGGCCATTTCGGATAAGTTGCCAATCTCCGTGCTTCCGGAAAAGCGCTGACCTAACAGCCACAGATTTTCCTTTGGCAACGACCTCGGATACTGAGTGAAGGGCAATGTCAGAAGAAGGCTTCTGCAGATCCCATCGTCCCAGAATTCCATGAGAGGCGGACGATACAACAACGGCTTCCAAGTCCGTGATCCGGGTGAAATAGACATTAGCGTCAATGACACTGGCTGCGACCGCCGACTGCCCAGGCAGATAGGGCAGCTGGTAGGCCTTGGTGACCTTAGCAGACATCAAGTCTACATGGAAAACCTCAGCCCAGGCTCCGGCCTCAGTTTCAAAGTGGACCAAGAAATGAGGCAGAGCGTTAAGCTTGCGGGGAGCGTGGACTGTGATCTGTCGAATTTCGGAGCCGGAGGTATTGTCAATGGTGATAGAGTTGATCTCCTTGGTACCGATGACATTGACCTTCAGGGACTTTTGCGATTTGTCGGTCCAGACGATGATAGGCGAGGCGGAATTAGCGCCCACATAGAGGACGGACTCCGGGGTAACCACATCAGCCTCAGTGTTCAGAATCTGTTGACGGGTCTGTTGTCCAGTCAATGGATCCAAAACAGTGACCTTGATCTTGAAGCCCTTCAACATAGCCGACTGGAGAGAAATATAGAAGACCTCTGTGGAAGAGGACGACACCTGGAACGGAACGTCGCCGCTAACAGAATAATTCATTAGCTTAGGACTTGTTAAAAAAAGGCCAAAGGCGAAACCAACCTTGTATCCTTGTATTCCCACACAGTCTTTCCAGTGTTTCCATTCAGCCGTCTCACAATTCCGGCACCCTCGCTAGCAACCACAGCAACTGTATCTCTCACTCCGGATGTCGCGGTAGCATCCTCAAGCTCCAATAGCTCGAGATCGCCAACAACACCCTCAGAGACCCGATTTTCCCACCCAACCTTGCCATCCTGTGCACTCCAAGACGCGATGTAGTTACCCACTGCACCTACAACGGCATCGTTTCCATCTAATCCGCGCAAAAAGACCCGCACTATGTGCGGGAGAGTTTGCCGACCGCGAGATGTTCTGCCGCCATACCAGCCCGCCGTCGCGGGGGTTCACGGCACCCAGGAGCAGCTTGTCGGATAGGGTATAGAGAAGGGAGGCATTTGAAGCTGGTGATGGCTTGAGGAAGAAGGTCGAGTCGGGGATGGGGTGCCGAGGAGGGCGTGGTGGAAGTCGATGTGATTGACCTCATCAGGGTAGATGGCCGCTGCGGGCGATAGGCACGCAGCGAAAAGAGCGCCGCCTGGAGCCGCATTTTGACGAATGGCTCTTATTGAAGCATTGAAGAGGGGAGGTGGGAGGGATGTAGAATGGATGTTGTCAATACAAACTTGGCGGAGTCCGGGCGGTGATAACCCCCAGATCCCAGATCTCCATAAATTCCTTCTACATCCATCAACGTCCACTCTCTTGGCCTTGATGTTACTATTACTTCGCATACAATTTCCGCACCCTAGTCTTTATATCTAACTTTGCCCTATAGCACCTACCTGCCTCTAACTTAGGCTGGACACTAGACCGGTCTAACAAGGAAACTCGAGCCAGATTAGCACATCTCTGCAGCCCAAAGACATATATAGAAGACATCTGAGAAGACATCGTAAAAAAAGGTCCTGAATATAACGCCCATTAATATCATCTATCTGGAGCTGCTCTCAAGCTAAATGTTATGCCGTCAAGAACAGAAACAGAAGGCTCATAAGCCGGTTATTCTTGTATATGTGGGAAATTGCTCGATTCACTACTATAGATCCTATAGTAAATTAATCGCATATGCACGAGCGATTAAATAGAGACCTTATAGAGTACATGTAGTGATTGTGAGTCAACCAGGTTTAGCTTAGAAACAATCAAGGTCTAGAGTATTCGACTTTAGAAACCTTTAATTGCATTCAAAAACATCCAGGTCTTGATCAGACTCGAATTCCCTTACATAGCTCTCCCACTATATCAGCCAATTTCTAGTAAAGCTAGAGCCCTTAATTACATGGATTGAAGCTAGCTAGGAACGGGATTTGCTAGTCCCTATTGCTAGGCTAGTGAGTTTGCAATACTGTAGGCATTACTATTAGAATGACACAAGAACCTGAGCAGGCGACTAGCTCGACTTACATCGAAATCCGCCGAAAGGGCTAGTATCTCGTTATTCGTTGAAACTCGCACGAGACTGCAGGAACCATGAAATCCAACAGAGGGCTTCCCAATCCAATCGTTCGTACTGAAAAGCGGAAGTATTGCGCGAACACCTCCTTTTTCAATCATCAACTCGAATCCCTTAAGCGGCCTCTCTTGGAAATCAATCATTATTTGGTTTCCTGGAAAGCGATAGCCAGGGACAGTATTCGGCGTATCACTAGGATAAATAAGCTCCAAGCCGGCGATCAAGGTGTTTCCTAAGTCTGCGTGTTCTGTTCGGGAATAAATCGGTGGCGGTACCTAGGAGCTTGGATGCTTTATAGGATAAGGTCTGCCTACGGGTTAGAGAGGCCTAACTAATTATACTTTTTATATTTTCGCCCGCGTTGGCTGTATAATCCTACCCAAGCACAGTCATTATATCTCCGTCAAACTGAAAGCTTAACAATCTTATAGATTAGCCATAAAGCTATACTGTGTAAGTAGTAGAACAAATATATAGTCCTCCCTCGACTTAAGCTGGCTACGGCACCTACTTTTAGCATAATATACCCTTCGAACTAGACCAGCCTATCATTAAGACTGAACCTGTGATCCTCCACGAAAAAATACCAGACAATATCTAGCTCTAGCAATAGATAGATATTCTTGATCCACGAAACGTAATAGATAAATCATATATTGTGCCTTAGTATGTACTAGTTCCCAAACGATACATCCCAGCAAAATCGCTCATTTCTACTGGATGCCTTATCTGACAGTGGATACCGACTTTAGTTGCGGTTCTTGAGGAATCCTAAAATCACACTTATGTTAGCATAGCATTTTCAAAGCCTTCCAGCAAAAATAAGAATCACGAACCTTCAGCCGTGTTCAGCAGCTTGCTACCAATGCTGTCGCTGGAGGAGTCATTGTTACCGCCGTAGCGATCCTCGTTGCGGCCAGAGCTGGTGTTGCTGCTGCCGTAGCTATCCTGGTCGCGACCAGAGCTAGGCTTGTTTCCATAGCTGGAGGAATCGTTGTCACCGTAGCTGGACTTGTTGCCGTAGCTAGAGGAGTTGTTGTTGCTGCTGCCATAGGTGTCCGAGCCGCGACCAGAGCTGGACTTGTTTCCGTAGCTAGAGGAGTCATTGTCACCGTAGCTGGACGAGTTCTTGTTGCTACCGTAGCTGTCTTCGTCACGTCCAGAGCTAGACTTATTGCCGTAGCTGGAGGAGTTGTTATTGCTGCCGTAGCTATCCTGGTCACGACCAGAGCTAGACTTTCCATAGCTGGAGGAGTTGTTGTTGCTGCTGCCGTAGCTGTCCTGGTCGCGACCAGAGCTAGACTTGTTTCCATAGCTAGAGGAGTCGTTGTCGCCGTAGCTGTCCTTTTTGGATCCATAGCTGGAGGAGTTGTTGTTGCTGCTGCCATAGCTGTCCGAGCCGCGACCAGAGCTGGACTTGTTTCCGTAGCTAGAGGAGTCATTGTCGCCGTAGCTGGACGAGTTCTTGTTGCTACCGTAGCTGTCTTCGTCACGACCAGAGCTAGACTTGTTGCCGTAGCTAGAAGAGTCGTTGTTGCCGTAGCTGTCCTTCTTGGATCCATAGCTGGAGTCGTTGCCACCGTAGCTAGAGTTGTTGTTGCTACCGTAGCTGTCTTGGTCACGACCGGAGCTAGACTTGTTGCCATAGCTAGAAGAGTCGTTCTCGCCATAGCTGTCCTTCTTGGATCCATAGCTGGAGGAGTTGTTGTTGCTGCTGCCGTAGTTGTCCGAGTCGCGACCGGAGCTGGACTTGTTTCCATAGCTAGAGTCGTTGCCACCGTAGCTGGAAGAGTTGTTGTTGCTGCCGTAGCTGTCTTGGTCACGACCAGAGCTAGACCGGTTGCCGTAGCTGGAGGAGTCGTTGTTACCGTAGCCGGAGCTCTGGTTGCCACTGCCGTAGCTGTCGGACTCGTTGCGGTAAGACATTTTGGTGGGTTGTTTAGGTTTGTGATTGGAGAAGATGAATTGATCTCGGAGGGAAGAGGATATAGAATGATGATTTAGAAGGTACAATGTTTATCCCAACAGAAGGCGAACGCTTTATTTATCTCTCACCAGGAACGGGACCAGAATCGAATAGAAGAGAATCGCCCCTCTAAACCCCTCAATGACAACATGCGGGCAATCAAGGCAAGCAGGGGCCAATGATCGTGGCACGGCGCAGCTAGCATGTCCAGAGCTCACTAGTTCCGTGCTTATTTGGTATTGATTGCTCGAACCTTGTGAGCCACTTTTCAGCTTGTGTCGCCTAATCCAGAATTGACCCCATAGTTGACCCATATTTGACCCCGATGTTGTGATATCATCCAATCTATGAATAGGGGGTCACGCCATGGAGAAAGCCACACCGGACTCTGATTTGCCGGTCGAATTATATAGTTCTTTTTCGGAGCCGGACTTAGCCGGAGTGCTGGGAGAGTTCATTCCCCTCATTATTTCGCTATATCATCTATACTATTATACAGCCAGAGTCATATTGCAGGATTTGACAATATGAGGGATGTTTCTATTCCGTAAACACAGGTACAAAGTAGCCCTGGTAGCCCTGGAGGTCCTTCCAAGGTTACCTAGGTATTCCTTTTTTTTTCGGGCGAGGCGATAATGTAATGAGATGAGCCAATCATAATGCAGGATCTGGCAATTTTGGGCCCACTTAGGCAAGATCTACCGAGATCCGCACTATTGATTTCTATGGTAACATGGCGAATTGGTCTCCGAGCTCCGCCCGTATCTATGGTTTGTTTTTAACAGTCCATGGTTCAAACGAAGATCCCTTCTCAATCAAGCTGACCAGGTGGCTGAATAGGTGGCTTTGCGAGGTGGCTGTGGTTGCAGAAACCGTCCTTGGCACCTACCCCTCTTCAATGTCCTCCGTACACCTTGTTAGACAGCCGGACGCGTTGACAGTGACTCGGTACTGAATCTTGCCATTTTATGAAGTGGGTTCAGTAATTACATAGAGTGACTACACATAACTTGTATCAAACGAGGTATAGACAAGTTTAATTAGGTAGGCCTGTCTATGTTGTATCCTATCTGCGTAGTCTGTCTGGGTATTCATTCACTCATTCCCCCCCAAATATCATTGTTGATCGCACCTAAGGATTCGCTTAGTTGGAGACCTTGTCGCTGACGGGCTTGCTGTATTGTAGAACAAAATGTTAGCAGATATACAAGCCCAAGGAATTCGGGTTGTCACTTACCCAGTAGCCTTCTCGTAGGCCTCGCGGGCACCGTCGGTGATCTTCTCCTGCATGTTGCGGTCGAGGTTGTAGCCAGACTTCTTGACACCAGCGGCGAAGGCTGAGATAAAGGCTTGTCAGTCAAAAATCCACGTTGCGGAAAGTACAATAAAGCACTCACCCTTGTCGACGTAGTCGTCATTCTGCTGGGCGCTGCTGTCGGTAGGCTTCTCCTCCTTCTTGCCGGTAGCGCTGGAAACAGCCTTCTTGACGAAATCCATGGTGATGATGATTGTTCAAATTATTTGCGAACTTGACAGAAATATACTGGGTAGAGAGGGGGAGGAAAAAGAAAAAATAAGTTATGTCGGGGAATCCATCTGAGTAGGCAAAAGCTGCCCCGCTTCTGCCAAGATTACCTTTCGAGTGGCGATTGGCCGCGGAACTACCCCGATAGTACGGAGTACATCGTGGTGTGTTGGGCTAGCCTCGATGATAACTAACGAACCCTAATATTCCGTGCTTTGCAAATAATTTCATGTCAAAAGTAATAATCAAAACTTATTTTCAGATACAAGTTGTTATACACAGCTTTGAAACGACCTTTGAAATAGAAACTCCAAAAATGCCATCCCAACCAAGCAAATCTTAAACACCGAAACAGGCCTTATTGGCAGACCGGATAGCTTCCTTCTCACCCTCGCTCATGGCATCGGTGATCTCCCAGGGAGTGTTGCCTGAGACCCATCGCACGCTGACCCTCCGGGCTCAGCGCCGACCAATCCATAGCACCCTTGAATCCCGACTCACCGGGTCCACCAGCACCTGGGAAATCCCACGGAGGCGAATAGTTCTGCGCAGCCTGACGCTGCTTAAGAAGGTATTTGACATTCATATCGCACAGCGGGGTAGCGGGAATGTACATGACACTGGAGTCCTGGGTACCGCGGTGCTCCTTGTCCACGGAGTGAAGAGAATCGCAGTGCCAAGCGACAAAATCGCCAGGAGCAACTTGCGGTACTGAGACCATAGTCGATTCGAGATCGAGATGCGGGTGCGTGACCGGGTTATACTCCTGGCAAGCGCCAGGTACGGAGCCCGGGAATGTAGCATCCAAGGCCGGTTTTGAGGTCTCGGGGTCGAAGAAGGGACGCAGAATGGTGTATGCTGTGCTATGGTTGATCATGGGGCAGACATGGAGCGAGCCCTCGCCAGGCTTGGTGTCTGACATGGAAAGCCAGGCCTGGAAGAACCGCAGCATGGAGCATGCTCCGGCACCGTTGTATAAATCCATGTTGGCGTTCAGACGGTGTCGCGCATCCCAAGCGTCGTACTTCTCCCAGTTCCCTTCTAGGATCTTGGTGTAGACTCGAGAGTACTCGAGGTCCTCCCAGCGCTCGAGGGAACCGCCGTCAATGTGTGGACCGAGTGTGAATTTTGAGTCACCTGGGTCGCGGATGCGGAGACGGTCTCCGTACGTGAGTGGGTGTGTGGTTGAGATCTTGCTGTCAGGGTCGGATGAATGCCATAGCTGCTGCATGAAGCGCTGGGTGTTGAGCATGTTATCGTGACCGCGGGCTTCGGCCTGCGATGGTGTCCAGTATAGCTCATAGACAGCTGGGGAGTCAGCCGGGAAGGCCTTGACTCTTTCCTTGTTGGCGGCCACATAGTCGCGAATCCGCTGCTTATACTCTTAGGGCTTGGTCCCGCGGCATCACGTTGCGGACGACAACGGTGCCTCGGTGGCGGATCTCTTTTAATGCGGCTTCAGACACCTTTCCAGAGACCACATCAGAATAATCAATTGAGGGGATAATCTAATATTTGAATGTTAGTCTTTTGCTCGGTATTGCGTGTTACATGTGCACATACATCGCTACCCTTTGCCTTGATCTTTTGCACTTCTTCATCCAAGCTAGGAAGCAATCGCTCCCAGCTCCTTGTGATTGCATCTTTGTTCTTCTCGAAAATTCTCGCCTTCAGCTCCTGAAACCGTGCGGGGAGAGGTTCCGGCTTGTAGTCGGGCCTTAGGCTGGGGAAGACTGATGAGATATCACCAGCGGCCTTGGTTGTCTGGGCCGAGGTAGAGGCCGCTCGGACAGCGGATTTTGAAATAAATTTTGACATCGACATGGCTGGAATGAATTCAAGGTTTGTATTTCAACTTTGCGGGGAACTGCACCACACCTTTATATGTGTTTCGTGGGGAACACAGCATACATTAGTCCAGGCGGGATTATACTATAAATAGTAGTCAAGCCGCTGTCGAAAAGAGCGATGTGCCGAACAAATTACTATATTGGGGGGGGTTACCCGACAGCCGCCATTTGCCATGACATCAGTCTGCAAAGAACCACTCATAAGGCTAAAGGTGGCAATAGTAGAGATAACCTTGGAAGTTTTCTCGAAGCTTTCAGAGTTCGAGATCATTCCGGGGCACGGCAAGTCGGCGTTTTTCAAGCACGGTTCCGGGATAGAAGATCTGCATTGTGACGAAGCATAGGTAGCTAGTACTATGAGAGGAACACTACGTGCCATACCACGACACCAACTGCGACGCTTGAATTGAAGCTGTGCTGTCTTACTCAAATGATATGGCCAATTGAAGTTATATGTGCTGCTCTTTGACTGCTTGAACAGAGCAGGTCTACCGAAGATCTACATGTGAAGATACATATCTTGTAGAGCGTTCCTATGCTTGACAAGTATACCCTTTCAAGCAATTATCCGAGGGTAATCCACCTGGTTTCCACAGTTTTTCACTAAAAGCCGAAGGCAGGCGTACCGAGCCCTACTCTAATGTCCCACTTACGGGAACCCCGGCATACACAAGCACAGTTTTATGTCGAACAATGTACATAAGTATTATCGTATATATAAATAGAGCAGGATAATGCCAACAAGAGGGGAACTGGTGCCAGACGACCTGATGCCAAGAAAATAGGAAATGTACTGCCATTGGGCCCATACGACGTACAGGAATCGTGGCCGGGCTCGGTCCAGTTTCCTCTCGTCCCGACGTTTAAGTACTCTTCTACCCCGCAAGGCCTAAAAATGGATACGGAATGCGCTGCAAAAGACCCCGAGCAAGTTCCACAGAGTCCATTTCCTGTATAAAAGAGAGCAGAACCCCCTACTGGAAGCTGTAACCCATTAATCGTCAATACTCTAGGCATGGCTCTCTCGGTGAAAGGAAGATCTGCCATTGTAACTGGAGCTGGCTCCGGTATGTCTCTTGTATCGTGCATATCACACGGCTAGCTTACATTGTAACCAGGTATCAACCTCAGTTTCGCCAAATTGCTAGTGGAAAACGGCTGCAATGTCCTAATCGCAGACCTAGCCTTACGTCCCGAGGCGCAAGTGCTAGCCGATAAGCACAAGACCGGCCCCGCACGAGTGGTCTTCCAAGAGACCAACGTGATTGACTGGGTCCAGCTCGAGCGAATGTTCGAGGTTGCGGAGAAGGAGTTCGGCGAAATTGATATTGTTTGCCCGGGCGCGGGAGTCTACGAACCGGTAAGACAAATGCAATCCCGACAAAACTACAGGGCTAACTAGAACTACAATCCATATAGCACTGGAGCAATTTCTGGCGCCCACCTCACTCACCTGAAAGCAAGGACTCGCCCTCTGGTGGCAGATACGCTTTGGTTGATATCAACGTCACCCACCCGATCCGCACGACGCAGCTAGCGATTGCTCATTTCCTGAACCACCGTACCAGCGGCCGTCCGAAGCATATCGTCCATATCTCCAGCATTGCAGGTCAGAATGCAAATCTTGCAGCTCCGATTTACTGTGCCACGAAACACGCCATCAATGGCCTCGTGCGGTCGCTTGCCAACCTCGATAAGAAGTTTGGGATCCGAGTCACGGCCGTTGCTCCGGGTGTTATCAAGACCCCGCTCTGGACTGATCATCCGGAGAAGATGAAGATGGTCGATGATAGTGCTGATGCGTGGGTAACGCCCGAAGAAGTAGCGGAGGTGATGTTGGCGCTTGTGCAGCAGGAACAGGTGAGCGAGATTATCGGGGACCGGTCGGGTCGTGGGCCGCAGTTCAAGGTCAGCGGAGGTACGATCCTGGAGGTTTCAAAGACAGTGCGAGCTGTCGGTCAGTTTAATGATCCAGGTCCTGGTAATCGGCCTGGAAACACGGCGTCGGATCACCGTGCCGTTGAGGAAGAGAGTTATCAACTCCTGTCGCAGAAAGGATGGGGATTGCCAAAGCTATAATTAGTGTCAGATTGTCTGGATGATTGGATATATAATCCGATAATGTTTCGAACATCTCAAGGTTAATTGGGGTCGTAGTAAATGTAGGAATGCAAAGTGTTTCACTTTTTAGGTAACCAAGGGTCCGAGGAAGCGCCGGTCATGTGTCATCCCGATAAGTCTTGGAAATTTGGAAGCTTTCGACTGGCCATCTTTCCCTCCTTAATTCCTCCCCTGCTTTTTCCCATTTTCCAAGATTTTCTCTTTTAAAACTACTACGCTCCCTCTATTTACTCCCTCTCTTTTGGTTTGATCTCGGCCCCGCTGGTAGCGGCCGTTAATTATGTTTTGCGCGCCTATCTTTGACCGATAACACCATTTCCGCCACAGATAACCAATATTAAAATGGAGGAGGCTGCGATCGGGGTTAGTCCATCTGGGGGACACCAGAATTTGCTATGGAGGTAGGCTGGAACACAAATTCTTGATGTTGATGGAAGCTAATTCGGATTCCATTAGGCGTGCAGCCCGCGGAAGACCTGGAGATGTCGTGGGTGAGGCCAGCTGGTCCAGTAGCGTGATCAACCTGGTCAATACCAGTAAGTGCGAGGAGGCGCACAATGCATTACGGTGCTCCGAATTCTGATATATTTTCTCACTGCAGTCATCGGTGCCGGTGTGCTTGCGATGCCCCTCGCCATCTCCCGTATGGGAATCGTCCTCGGCGTCTGCGTGGTTCTGTGGTCTGCAACCACCGCAGGATTCGGCCTCTACCTGCAATCGCTATGCGCGCTATACCTGAGACCGCGGAAGTGCCTCATTCTTTGCGTTATCGCAGTTAACATACCCTAACGCCGCCGTTGTCTTTGACTGTGCCATTGCGATCAAATGTTTCGGAGTCGGCGTGAGCTATCTCATCATCATTGGAGATCTCATGCCGGGGGTGGTACAGGGCTTCGTCGGCAGCGAGCCAGGATATGATTTCCTGGTGGACCGCCATTTTTGGGTTACGGCTTTTATGTGCGTCGCCTTGTGTATTGTGCCCAGCTGAGGGTGAAGTGCTGACCATTCAATTTTAGGTTGATCGTGATTCCCATTTCCTACCTGCGCCGTTTAGATTCGTTGAAGTATACTAGTATTGCGGCATTGGTGTCCATGGCCTATTTGGTTATCTTGGTTGTGTACAATTTTATCCTAGGAGACACAAAGGAGGATCGAGGCCCGATTCGCGTGGGGCATTGGGAGGGTGCAATTCCGACTCTCAGCAGTCTGCCAGTTATCGTCTTTGCGTTCACTTGCCATCAAAACGTAAGTTTCCAAGTTATGGCCCGTCGGTTCTTTTCTAACAAACAATCCAGATGTTCTCCATCCTCAACGAAATCGGCAATAACAGCCATTTCCGTACAACTGCCGTGGTTTTTGCGAGCGCCGGTAGCGCAGCTGCAACCTACATCCTCGTTGCCATCACCGGGTATTTATCCTTTGGCAATAGCGTAGGCGGCAATATCGTCGGCATGTACCCACCAGGCGTGTACGCAACGATCGGCCGCGCCGCAATCGTCATGCTAGTAGTCTTCTCTTATCCACTACAATGCCACCCATGTCGAGCCTCAGTCGATGCTGTTCTAAAATGGCGCCCCAAGCCACAAATCATCGGGACAGAGAGCTCTCCAAACAGACACCCACTGCTAGGCCCGCGCGGAAACCGCACGCCAGAGCCAATGAGCGATCTTCGCTTCTCCATTATCACAACCACCATCTTGATCCTGAGCTACCTAGTTGCCATGACCGTGTCCTCCCTTGAATCTGTGCTGGCATACGTCGGAAGCACCGGCAGCACAAGCATCAGTTTCATTCTCCCGGGCTTATTTTACTACAAAATCTCCGCACCCGACTCGCCTGCCCACCAGGGCTTAATGAAAGAGGACGACGAGGCGGAAGATGGTCTCTCGGATGATGATGACTGCGACGAAGGCGAGGGTTCCCCTTGCTCGCTCATTGACCGAGAGTGGCCTTTTGCTCCGTGGCACTCGCCACTGGCGCAAGGCACTGCTTCGCCGACTCAGCCTGGCATTGGCTCTCTATGGCTTCCTCGTTATGATTGTGTGTCTGGTTACGAACACCTTCTTTACAACCTCGCATTAATATGCCCCTTTCCTTTCTGCATAAAAATTCTCTTCCCCTTCTTGTTGGCCTAGGCCTGGTCTTGTCATGATCTTCGAGCCTGCGATATATCGTCCGAGGACTTTGTTCCTTGGCCTTTTTTTTTTTTTGCCTGCTCATCAGGCTCATTTCTCTTTGCATATTCTTTTCCCTTTGCGTGTTGCTCTAGATGTTCGCTGTTGTCTATCCTATTGGATATTGCTCTTTGCATAGTTTAAATTTCATTTGATCTGGGTTGTCCATGCTGGGCGTTTGGAGAATTGTACCTATTTGACTATCTATTTGACTCGGTTGCTTAATTTTATATTGATTGACTGCTGATTACTTTGCTTCAGTAAGGAAAGAAAAGGGAAGATGGGATTTAAAACGAACTTATAGGGAACAGACTGGTAAAAATTCAGATATGAAGGAGAAGTGTACAGTAGAAAGCAATTCAAGCAAGGCCTGATGTAAAGCAAAAAAAGACTCTCATCCGAAACTAGTTCTGAGAAGCACCAAAACCCAAGCCTGTTTGTCCAGCATTTGCCCTCGGCGCCAGGATCTGCTAAAAGCAGGCAATCCAGGCAAGATCGTACGTATTCTACCAACCCTCCGAAATCCAATGCGTAATTAATTGTTGTTGTTAGCCCCGTTCAGAATCCGCAAAATGGACATGAACAGATTAAGCACATCAAGATAAAGCGAGATCGAAGCAGCAATCTCCTCCTCGACATGATAGTGCCGCATAACCAACTGCGTATCAACGAGGATATAACCCGAGAAGATAAGCGCACCAAGCACACCATAGATAATCTCAATAGTGCTGTTGAACGGGATGAACATAGCAACGAATCCGAACAGGATCATGAACCACAACGCGCCGAACAGGTACGGCATCCAGTCGGTGAAGTCGTACTTGGTCTGGCAAGCGAAGAGCGTCAAGGCGACGAAGATTCCCAGTGTCAGCGCGAGCGCTTGCACAACTACCCTCGCATCGTAGAAAGATGTCGCCACGCTGATGGAGTACGCTTCGAGGATGGTGAAGCCGGATAGGAAGAGGAGGTTTGCGGGGTAGGACTTTCGCTTCCAGAAGGTTGCGAGCATGAAGCCCAGAGCGCCGAAGACGGAGATTATCATCAACCAGAAGTTGGACTGGATCCAGGTGCGGTAGGAGTCGTTGAAGAAGGAGATTGAGCTGAGGATCGTTGTGAGGAGGAGTTGAGCAGTTCTAGGTGTGTTAGCAGGAAGGTTTCTTGTAAAACCCATGCGCTTGGGTCTGCGTTTGTAGATCGTGTTGAACTTACAGAATAGAGTACACTTTGCGCACGAATTGCATTCGGATGTCAATAGTGCCTTCGGCGACGGTGCCTCCGAACTATGCGGTTTTGTCAGTTTCCATCGTTCTAACCCGGTGTCGGTCCTCCACATGGCATAATACATACCTTGAAGTCATCGGGCATGTTGTCACCCTCACTGCGAGGCGATGGCTCCGCTGGAGCTGCTGTAGCCTGGTAGGAGGGAGGGGCTTGGGGGTACGGCTCATCCAAGGAGTCCCGCTGAGGAGCGGGCTCATATCTGGTGTTTGCAGCCATAACTGTAAATTGAGATGCGTTTGGTCTCTCGGCACTGGTGTAGAGCGTTGGAATAGATCACCGACAAAGAGAGAGATGAGTGAAGCCTGGAGGTGGAGCCCCTATGATGTGACGGGTCACGTGTGATAAGCCAAAATATGGGGGCGAACTGCTTACGTATACAATTTGGTGGGCCGGGGTGGATGGAGGTATATGAATGTAAAACAAAGAATATCTGAAGGAAAAGATATCTAAAGAAGACTGGGAAGCAACAATGTAATGTCTTACATACAACGTGCCTTGTACCATTTCAAGTCAGATAGGTCAGAGTATTAAGACAGAAGCTGTACCTGCATACACGACCGACTACTCCTGGATATATAGCGAGCAATGTTGCTGTAACTTCCTGGCAATTGATAAAATTGTAGGTCACGGCATGGCAAGATAGAGGGCATTCGAACATATCAGTGCAGATATCTCCCTCAGGAATATAAATCTGAAAAAAAGGGAAAGAGCCACCCTTCCCCTAATAACACATAGCTACCTAGGTAGGGAGCCAAGCAAACTGACGTCTAACGTCCCAACATCTACCTTATAGGTCTGTATCAATATCGGTTTCAGACAATCTTAACCTTAATTACCAGAGATGAGGAAAGTCTTTGAATTATATGACATTTCTAACACGCTCAAATATATATGTAAGTACTTCTAATGCACTCGTGTAAGACATAGCAGAAAGGACTCCATCCTCTAGACGGCACCGATCTATACAGAATTTGAATTGTCCGCACAGGACCAAGCAGCTGAACCGCCGTTCGCCTTATAGCTCTCCATAATGCTCACGACAGACCCATATGTTCCCGCGACCATCATGAAGGTACCAATAACAACGACGAAAACACTCCAGCAAACCATAGCCATCCACCTCGGGGATCGGTTGATCTTCCCCTTGCCCCAGTTATCGTACAGCCACATGCAGCCCATGGGCTGGAAACACATGAATGTGCCGAGCAAAGCACCAATAAGCGAGACGAGACTGTCAAAGACGGGAATGGCGCTCGCGATGATGTAGGAAATAAGACCGACTCCGGCGGTGCAGCCGATCCATGAGCTCCAGTGCACCATGCTGTTGGAGGTGAGGTGCTTGGAGCCTCTGAGCGCGCGGACGAAGATGAATTTCGCGGGTAACTATGAGTATTGTTAGTTCATAATCGAGATAAAAGAGACTGAGAGGTCGGAGAGGAAGTGCTTACATGAACAAATAGCATCACAGTGACCAGAAGGCCCGGAATGGCAAAGCCATAACTGATCTTCTTCATAGTGACACCAGCGGAACCAAGAGCAGGCGAGGCAACATAAGAACCGCAGAAGTAGTAGACGACAACACCGATGGTGATGTAAACAGCGGTCACAGTGCCCTGGCAGATGACCAACGAGCGAGTATAGTATTTCGGGTCGCGCATCTCCGATACGATGGAGAAGAAAGCCGGTGTACCGGCGTAGGCGAAGACCATCGAGGCCACAGCGGTAATAGCTTCGCTGAAAGTGGGATTGGCAACGATCTTGTAGTCGGATACCCAGATTCCCTCTTGAGGGGCCAAGACCGGGCGGTCCTGAACGCCGACAGCAATGGTGACGATGAAGACTATAGTGGAAATCGGTTAGGGTTATGTTGTCTCCTGCGAGATCAGGGAGACTTACTCGCAATGAGAATACAAATCAGTCCAATCCATGCTAGCCAACTGATTTTTCCCAGTGTTCGAATACTGGCGAAGGCAATTCCCGAGACGGCTGCAACAGCAACATAGGCGGCTGTGCATGTGGCATGGGTTGAGACGGCATTGAGGGCGATTGACAGACCGAGCATTCCTGAGCCGGCGACGAAAATCCAATCTAGAGCAGGTTAGAAACGAGTCTATGATCGCTGGGGTTGTAAAGACGTACATAAGCAGAATACAAAGCCGAAAACCTCACGACCGATCGCACCAAACATCAAGAAACCTGCATCGTCGATTCCATAGACTGAACGATGGTTGAGCTTGAACACGCCGACCATGTAGTCGGACCATGTTGTAATGATGGCGACAACCAGGAGGCAGATGATGCCCGGAATGAGGCCTAATGTATCAAAAGCGCTTGGGATAGAAAGGACACCGAGGCCGATTTGACTCTTCATCATGAGGATCACTGTTCCTGCCCATCCTACCTAAAGAGGGTGTCAGTTTTGACCCAATTGGACTTTTTATGGAGAAGAAAAAGAGAAAAAGAGAAAAAGAACATACATTTCGGTAGTTGGGTCCTGATTCGGTGATTTCTCCAAACACATCATCGTGGTTGTGAACGGGACTACTATGGATATCATCGAGACCCTCAAGGTCTTTTTCTTTTTTCATATCCATCATATTGGAGAAAAGGGAATGGGGAATGTACGGCGGAGACAAAAACTGGGTCTCGGAGTCTGCGGGACACGCCGTTTATAACCTCTCTCCTCATATCACCGGCTGCCTGATAGATGGGGCGCCCAGAACGACAGATAAAGGCTAGTCAATTGGAGTCAATGTAGGAAACGGTGACTCGCCACAATCTCCAGTTGTGGGTACTGGGGATATTCGCGCACATTATGGGGGTACTAGAATGGGGATCATACGCCGAGTTTCAGGACTAAGACTGCAGAGATCCACTCAAAACTGGGGAAATAATTAAAATTATTATTTGAAAATATTGCAGTTATCTGGTATGACGACAGGTACGTGGAGACCATGTGGAGAAGATCCTTTGGTAGAGAAAATGGTTGGACACCCAGGATTTTCTCCATCGCTACCCCATGGGGAGACGCGGAGAAGTTTGGAAAAAAAGTGCAACCTTAAAACTACGTTGCAGAACGCCCCCCCGAAACTCTTCTCCGAACACCCGGCAACCTTGGAATATCCATAGAAAATAAGAGAATATCAGTTTTATCTTATATTTTTCGACACTTTTCCAAGCTTATCAAGGTTATCAAAGTTATCATGATACGTTATCTCTACAACCATTGCAAAGTTTAACTTGCATTTTCGCTCAGATACTGAAATTGCTATTATCTAATTCACCAGATAAGCTGAAAAGCTTTGGCCAGTTTCTACGTCAGCGTCGTACGACATTGAGGGGTTTAAAGGGGGAAAAAAGAAAAAAGCAAAAAAAAGGAAAAGAACAGGGGGGCTTAGGGGGCTTAGAGGGCTTTTCCAAGGTTTCTCTTGGCCAAGCCCAACCGCTTCCCGGTCCCTTTGCCATTTGCTTCCGTGACCGGCAGTAGTACCCGGTCGCCACTAGAGTGAACTTTGTATATTGCAGATATCATGACTTTCCTATTGTAACACTTAATTCATATATACCTTCTTTAGCATTGGTTCGAATAATAATATATATAATCGCCCCTTTGGCCGATACGCGAGAGTGCGATCGTCGGTCCCCGGAATACCGAAATAGGAATCTGCGCATATGTCAACTGCAGACCGTGCTGTGAATCTACATGAAATGGATCAAGCCATATGTGCGCCCTGGAGTATCTTTACACTGTACGGAGTAACGGAGTACGGAGTCTCCGGAGACAAACCTCGCAATACGAGCCCTATCCACCCTCTGCCGATGTTGTAGGGCTTCGCCTTTTTTGGCTCGAATTAGCATATGGGGTGAAACGTTGAGAGACGGTACGGAGTAGAAAAGGATCCCAACGCTAGTTTAGTATGACCCACCGCTATCATTCCGTATGTTATACTCTGTACTCCGTTCTTCCAATCGCGTCTTCCAACCCTTGTTGGTTCCTGCTCCTGCGCGAGTTTCCTCTCGGAAATGTTCTGGAAGACTCCCTGAGATGCAGAATCCATGCATGCAGTTACCTTCGAGAAACAATCCTGTCCGAGATAGCCCTAGCATGGGTGTCCTACGCTAAGACAAACCAAGTAAGATTGGCCCCGACAGATACGACGTTATCAGTGGCGAAGATACGGTACACGGTTGAGGCTGGTTAATCAGGCAGGCCACTGGGAAATTCTAACCCATCTGGATTAATCTTGCTTCTTCTCTTTCCCTCTCTCGCAACAGCACTCAACCCGTGATTCCTTTCCGCATCTCATCCCTCACATATCCAGAAGATAATTATTCTCTCATGGTATACCAATAACGCCCGTCGCTTCGATACCCTACTTTCACATCAAGGTAGGATTTTGGCAGTGCTGCTCGCATGAGTGTTATAGGCAAGGGGTATACAATAATACTACAGGACCGCAGCCCTGGCGACATACACCGCTAGGTTAACGGTAGTCTCAATGTTCGCCCCGAAGACAAGAAAACTCGCCACACAGGATCTAGGCACACCCGAGACCGGCCCATGCGAGACATTTAAGTTCGTGGCTCATCCCAGAACCACATACAACTTAAGAGGCAATTCCAGACCGGGATCTCCAGGGGTCCGAAACTAGCCGGTCAAGACCGCATGTGGACGACTTGAGTTTCCTCACGCCATAACCGTGCAAACCTTGCTCCTGCTATCCGGTAGAGTTTTCGGAGAGGAGAGGGAGAGCAATGCGACTGGATTGGCTGCCCTGGCCGAGGAAAAGAAGAGGAAGAGAGCGAACTACAACATACATGTACTGCCTATGTAGCTACTAGGTAGCCCTGCCGAGGATCAGCTGACCATATCTCTGATCCCAACAGTATTGTTGCGGATACTCCCCCGGTCATCACATCAGGCAATCTTTCCGTCCACGGGTGGCCCGGCGATGCGCATACCTGGAAGGGGCAGGAGCACGTACCAGGCGGGTCCCATCCCGAGGAAACAACCACCTCAGACCGGACTCCGGCCACGTATCTGTTGGTGTATCTTGTATTACGTGTTATTGTGGAAGAGAACACATGGACATAAACCAATATTAATATTTATGCATAGCAAGATAAGAAGTATATGCAAGTTACTGGAGATATCTATAATTTCGCATCAAACAGGGCGACGGCCCCGTCCCGACGGGGCCGATAAATATCCCCGTGGTCATTGGCACTGATCGACACCTCTTGGAACCTACTCAATGATCCGACCCATCGTATCCCTGCGCTCCGGGACCGGTCTCGCTCCCGAATCCTCATCCGTACTCATATCACCCTCGTCATCTTCGTCCGTGCTATCGTCACCACCTCGGTCCATATCCTGTCCTAAACTCGCGCTGGACATGAAGTTTGGCAGACGTCTTCGCTCGAAATCCTGCGCGTGGGCTGAGGCCACGATCGTGCCGACCCGACCGATACCAACCGAGGGGCGGCGGTTGCGGTTGCGCAGGCTGGACATAGAGGGTGCGCCCTGCTCGATGTCGCCGGGCGACATGAAGGGTGTTGATGTTGAGGCGTGCTGCTGTTCTTGGAGTTGGACGTCTTCTGCTGAGCCGTCGAGGGGGTGTACAGCTGGACAGGGGACGTCGTAGGGGAGGGGACATCACGGGAGGCACGGAAGAGGAGGACGTTTGTGCAGTGCTCGTTTTCGACACGGAAGATGGACCAGACGCCGCGGCGGCAGACTTCTGAAAAGGAGACTAGGAAGCTAAGCAGGGCGGACTGCTGTATATTTTTAATAAATACTGCGTAGAAGATCCAGTTGAAACGGACGACCACGTCGAGCAGCATGGCGGCGTAGTATACCCATACGCGACGGAAGGCGAGGACATCGCGGAGCATTGGGTTCTTTGCGTATGGGTTGCCCAAACTCCAGTCCATGATTAGATCCCATACTGAGGTGTAGACGGCGTTCAGGAGGGCGAAGGTGATGAAGGAGGCTTGGAACCGCGTTTGGAGGTCGATGCGGTACATGCTGAGAGTGGCATAAAAGAGGACGCCAAATATGTACTTGCCCAAGTTCAGGAGGTGGGGAATGCGTTCTTCGTGTCCAGGTATCGGCGTATACATTGGAAAGCTCGCCAGACAGAGGGAAGGCATTGGAAGAAGCCTAAGAGTCGAGAGTGGGAGGAGTTGCACTTGGGAGGGTAGTCCCAGTACGAGGCATATAGACAGAAGAAGAGCTCGATATTTCCCATGGCATATGTCTGAGAACAGTACATGTCGCCGAGGAAGAAATCACGAAACTCGACTGGGTAGATTCCGGCAAGCAAAAGTCGCCACTAGATCGGTCAGATACGCTAATCAACAATAACATGATGCTATACGAACTCACATTCGAAAAAGCAAACCATTTGCGGCTCCTGTGGTAAAGAACACGGGCCGGCAAGAAAATAATAATGATCGTCAAGCCAATAAGGACGACAGGCCAGTAGATATACATATCGTTGTACCACGAGAAGTTGAGCCACATGAATAGGCCCATCAAGAAAAGGAAGAAAGCAGGGATCTGTGCTTGTCAGAATGGATCGAAGCTATTACCGCAGAATAGGACATACCTCCAGCAACTGACGCCACTCCAAGGTGTGTCTACTATCGTATTCGAAAACAAATGCATGATTGATTTTCGACTTTGTCCAGATCATACAATCCAAGCAGAAGAGCAAGACGTGGAACACGATGAGGAAATACCCACCATATATCTGCTCAATTGGTCAATGAGGTCACACAATAGGCGGAAAGAGCCAAAAACCTACCTGGAGGAGATAACTGGTCTGAACATGTTCAGCGACATCGCTGGAGCGGAGTTTTGACGTAGCATCAACCAAGCCCTTGATGGCAAACAGAGTTCCGCCCATCAACAAGAGACCGGAGCGGAAAGTGTTTGGTGAGTAATCGCCAGATTTGTTGATTGTGTGACGGAGTTTAGAGACGGCGATTTTGCGATTACCGCGCTCAAAGTAACGGGAGTACAAATCTTCGACCGCTACCATCAAGCTCTCAATCACTTCACTCTGTACAAAGGACGCTTTGTTGACCTTTTCAGACATGTACCGGAGCGGCGGGCGGGCGTTGACCGCTTTGTCGTATTTCTTGTTAATCTTCCGGAAGGCCGTTCGATTTAAATATCCATATCCCTTGAGAAGCTCCACTCCGCGGTAGAACTCCTGCAACGCATGCTTGAGCTTGCGCTTGGCGGAGCGATAGGGCACTTCTTGACTATGTGGATCCTGCCGCCGCATAAAGTCCCTCCGGTTGGCAATGAAATCATCTTGGGGGTGCATGCCAGGAGTCGCCATCTGGGCCAGTGCTTCCGTATTCTTACCGAAACGATTTTTTCCCACAAATGAACCCTTGATTCGACCGTTCTTAATTTTTGCGAATCCATTTGGCCGTTGCTGTGTTTCCGAGTCATCGGATTGGAGGCCTCTCTTAGCAGCCTCGACCTCTTGCATGCGCTGATCTCGCATAATATGTAACTGCTGGCGAAGGACCCGCAGTTTCTCGGTGGCCTCCTGCTCTTTCATCACGTAAAACGTATCGA